GAACTCCCCAAACCAATTTAAACATACGCACGAAAAAGCGAGATTGGGACTTCCATTGGGGGGGGGGGGGTTGGGTTATAAAAACGCTTGCCTCTCCGCCCTATAAGCATCGTCGAGATAAAGGAGATTGATTACATATTGATCACTATCGTGATTGTGATCAATATGTCATCAATCATCAATCTCAGCAATGTACTTAAAGTACTTTCCAACGCCGGTGCACCGGTGTTGGGAAGTACTTTAAGTACATTGTGTTTAAAGTAGTACAACTTCAAGTACAACTTCTACTTTACCTGCTGTACATTCTCCGAGCATGTACTTATACTTTACTTAAAGTTTTTTTTTTTTTTTTGTACTTTCCCAGGAAAGTACATTTCCCGACTTTAAGGTACATTCCCCAAATTTGGTATTGTTAATTAGCATGCCGTCGTTTGAAAACGCGCTGTCGTCTTTTGAGACGTCATCTGGTCATTTCTCTGAGTGGCTATAAGTTCGATACAAAGATTGTTTTGGATGGTTTTTCAGCGAGATGGTTTATCAGCGAGAGTAAGACAACTATAAAACGACTACTCTGTGATCGCTTGTCAAATCATCGCCGCCATTTCCGAAAATAACTGATGCAGCCCCGATTACCCCCGGGTTAACGCATACCAGTTAAAAACAAAACAGCACTATATAGGAAAATGAAAGGGGCACCATGGGGGGGAGATTGTGTTAAAAAGTATTTGCGCTTTGCTTTGGACAGTGTACCTATTGCTTTCCTTGAAAAACATAAGCTCTAAATTACTTCGTACTTCACCCGACACTCCAAAGACCCCTACAGAGAGAGCTACATAGTATTTGGGGTAATTAAGGGGTTAATGATTTTGATGATAAGCGTTCTAGTTAGTAAAATAAATGTATAGTTAGATTTCATTTTAAAGATAAATCGTCGTTTCAACGCTTTTTTCTCCCATAACCTCCGCCGACATTGTATTTTTGTTAGAGAAAGAATACTATTATTAATATTTATTAGATTAACATTTTGAATAGTAATGTTAATAATTAGGAACTTTCGGGGCATCATCGAAAACCACTCAATAAGTACTTTTTATAAAAAAAGCTTAGAATTGTGACGCTTTTTCACGTCTCTCTCTCTCTCTGTCTGAAAAAAAAAAAAAAAAAAAAAAAAAAACACGATTTGAACGCATTGTTAACGTTTCTATTTCTTATTGGTTGTTTCTGAAGGCCGATAGCCAATAGGAAACCGAAACCTTAGAAGCGCTTTTTAATGGCTATTACGACAAACCCTAACCCTGAAAAAAAAAAAAAAAAAAAAAATAAAACGGAAAAAAAAGGGGGGGGGGGGGGGGGGGGGGGCGTCACGGACAGGGTTTCAAACTCCGCTCGGTGTTTACCATCCTGTTCAGTATGTATTAGTTCACCTACGTCTTTTCGCCAAAATTCCAATGAGACTAAACCCTTGACGGTGCGTTTAATGTTTTATTCCTCTGTGGGATGCTTTCTTTCTTTTTTTTTTCTTTTTTTTTTTTTAAATGAAACACTACGGTGACACCCTGTTGTGAAACACCATATACATTATATGGTTTATATCCAGCATAACGCCGTTTTCAATTGCAGTCGTCTTCGTTTGTCGTGCTGGGAGGCAAGTTACAATTCTTTCTCTGTATTTTTTTTTTTTTTTTTTTTGTAACAAACGTTACGGCGGTTAACGTCATGTTTCCTTTTATGTATATTTATCTTAGAATTTTCGCGAGAAAAGAAATCCCATAATTTATTAATTAAATATCTAGAAGAAAAAAAAAAACGCGTGCGGCGCATGGAGTTTTATATAAAAGCAGTAACCTTCAAACACTTTAATTGGCTTTCTAGTTTCTTTAGTGACCGATCCGTCTGAATCACGCCGTAGTGTTCCGGTCGGGCGCGGTGACACCTTTTCGGTTGCCGACAAAACGTTTGACCCTCGGCCACTTCCGGGTTCGGGCGACAGCCGACGCCCCGGGACCATCGAACGAGGCCCCTGTCGTGAATTCGGGCATTTGGAGATCGGTCTAGCTCCCGCTTTTGTAGGCATCGATTAGGTTTAGTTGCTCGTGCCGACGTCAATTTTAGCTTCCATCGGGCCGACCTTCTCCGCTAGAAAGAGAGAGAGAGAGAAGAGATAGAAAGTAATTGCAAGATGAGTTAACTTTTCTGTCATCGGCAGGAAATAAAGTTTATTAGCTGTCCCTGACTAACACGCACGCACACAAAGAAAACACCCGCAAGCTGCAAGTACTACGAGCTCCTTTAAAAATATATATATATTGTAATTTAAGCCCGCGAGGTATACATACCATTGCTCTTCTTTTACTCCAATGAAACAGTCATTTGCGCAGATTCTTTTTTGAAAGAAAGTACACTTACCGATATGAGTGGATTTTATTTAGTTTTCGCGAATGCTAATTGTTTTTATACCGAATAACGAGAGAGAAAGTGTTGTTGTCACGTTTTCGTTGCGCCAGCGGGTAGCGGCACCCAACGGTGCCGGTACTTCCGGTGCACTTAACTGCACCGGAAGTGCATCTGTCGGGGACGCCGCCGCACTGACGTATGTGAGCAAATCGCGCGAGCGATTAGTGGGACAGCAACAGTTTATCCTGTTCGTTTTGGGCTTTCGAGCTGGCGGCGGCGTCGATGTAATCCAATCTGCCCGAGAGCAACCGATCGTGCTTGAAGAGCGCGGCCGCTCGCCTGCCGGAGTTGTTCTTGTATTGTTTTCTTAAACCTGTCATTTTAATTCCCCCTTCTATCGTTAACTAACTCTCGACCCTTAGCTGCCGAAAAGCCGTCCTTTGGGGCGCCAAAATAGAACAAAGAGGTTTCTTAAAAACCTTTCTCCCTCTCTCACACATACACACTCTCGCAGAAAAGAGCTGAAACGAGGCATGCGTAGACGTTGACGTGTGCTACCTGCGTAGAAAAAAAAAAAAAAAAAATAGGAAACAGGTACGGGGGGAAGTGGATAGACTCGTAGGGCTGAAATGGGCGAGGGGAAAGGGATGCCTATTTCGAGCCGAATCCAGCCGTTACGTCATCGCCACACGCACTGCGTGAAGCGGATAGGTCGAACAGCACAGCGCTGGAAAAAACCGTGGAAAGAGGGGGGGTTGTGCCCGGCAGATTAAAGGGCCTGCAGAAAAAAAGATGGCGGGTGGTGATGGGACCTCGACGATTCGATCTGCTCACACCACGCCTGCCGACGCCCCGGCCTAATGTCGGTTTTCGCCCCCCTCGGGATCCGCGACGCTAGTGTGTTATGGCTGGGCGACAGGTGATCGTGTTGCTACACACATAATGTTGGCGACCGGGTGAAGTTGTTTGAGGGGGGTTTGCATGTGTACTGCGTCTCGCCATGGTGGCCTCCTCAGCTGTCTTCTTTGTTTCACTGGAGTTGCTTCGGCGCGCGGGAAAGTGGGAAGTCGTCGAGGAGGGAGGAGGGTACGCGGTGCGCATTGTCGGGGCTGCGGGCGTGTGTGTGTGCGTGTCGCGGCGGCCTTCCGTCCACCGTGGCGGCGGCGTCGACTGGAGCTGCTTGCAGGGCATTGTAGCTAGGGGGCCGATCTGTCGTCTTCGTTCGTTTGCTCTGGTCGGGTCGTCGTCGTCTTGCAGGCATGGCGGCTGCTTCCGTGGGCAGCCTCTTTCTCCGTCTTCCCGGCAGGCACGTTTTTCGGTTGTTGCGATTGTCTTTCTTTGTGAACGTCGTGGCTCTCTTCGTTCTACGAACTCTTGTCCCTTGGCCTTATCTCGTCTTTGTGACGGGGATAGCCGAAAGGACGGAATGATGCGATTACACCCGACGCTTGTACTTCTATGCCTGGCGCCTTGTCTCTTTGGGCGATGTTCGTGGCAAAGTGCTCGTCGACTTTTGACTCGGGATAAAATGGTGTTGCCCGTTCGTTTAGACAGCTGGAAGTGGTTCAGTCAGCTTTCAACGGGCGTTTTGTGTATCCGCTGTTTGGGATTAGAAATGTAGCCAGCGCAGTACAACTATTGTTGGCCGGTGCGCATCACGCAGTGGTGATGGGATTGATGATTCATTTGCAGAAAACCTTAATCACGTCGTCGAACCTGTGTTATTCCAAATGAAAGAAAAGAAAAAAAGAGTAAGAAAATTAAGATGAGGAAAACAACCAGGAAATTGCACACGAAAGTTCTGGAGTTTTCTGGGCTCTTACGTTTCCATTATTTGTGGTGTTTCTTGCTGCCGAACAAACTGCGCATTACTCTATTCAAAGGCCCGCTCGTGAGCGAGTTGACCGTATGTTTTGCTCTGACGTATGCACTTTTTACCCTCTTCGCGATAGTTTAGCCTGGTCAGTACTGCTGACGTGTTACATACACGCTGGAGTTTCTTCTTTTTTTTTTTTTTTTATCAACTTCTTGGTATTACGTCCATGAAGTGAAAACAAAAGGTCATTCTACCCCTACGTAAGAGTACGTCGACCTCTGGCATTTTGGGAAGAAAACAAAATTGCCCCTTATGAAGCTTGTTTATTTTTTATTTTATTTTTTTCGTTACATTGCTGCATGTGTCATTCCTAATACATCTTTTCGAGTAAGATCTCGCGCGGTCAACGACCTTGAGCCAAAAAAAGGGGAGGGGGGGGGGGGAAGCATGAGTGATCATTTTGGTGCTCTTTTCGCATGAATTTAGATGTGTTTATTAGTAAGTTTATATATATTTCACACCATCCGTGCAAACGGACTTGGTAAGGAAATAGGGGGGTGGTGGGAAGACACTCCCTCGCCTCCCTCAGAAAGAAAAATTTTTGCTAGATATGTGTGTCAACTCTATAATGGCGGCCATCACATAATGCCCGAGAGGGAGAGCCGGAGTGTGTTGTCCCACCCCCGCCATATTGTTGTGCGGCCCTTTGTGATGTCCGGGTGGCTCCTCGCTAGGAAACTGGGCTAACAGCCGCTCTCTCTTTGTCTTTTCTCCTTTCTCTCTCGCCCAGGTGGGAGCTAGAGACAATGGACAACATCCATAGTCTGGACCCACGAAAACAAGAATTGCTGGAGGCTCGGTTTCTGGGAAATCGGGTGAGTTGTGTGTGTGTGTGTGGGGGGGGGGGGGTCGACGAATCGTTTTTGTTAAAATTTTCATAACTGAGAATTCAAAATAAAATTTAAAAAAAAGGCGAGGACAGTACAGAACATTTCTGTCCTCAGATTTTGAGGTTTTACTTGCCCATCCAATGAAGAGCATCCCACTGAAATCTCTGTTCCACGGCACTTCCACTGCAATAGGCATTCATCCTCATCCTTTTTATAGCTTTCCTTTTATTTTTGGCAAAGGGCAAATTCTATGGCTTTCTTGAGCCAATCAGAGTGATGGAGTGGAGCACGGGAAGCACGCTTCCTTGTCACGAGCCTGGCTTGGGCGCTCCGATTGACTAGCCAGGGTTGTAGCCGTCTGCCGAGTTTTCGTCGAAAAGGAGAATGCAAAACAAACTGAGCAGAGGTATCTACTCCATAACTTCGAAGGCTGGTTCAGACGTTAGAATTTGAGCGTGGAGCAGCCGCCTGCAACTGCTGATGACGAGAGAATGCACCGGCACACTAGCGCCATCTGTCGGGCAGCCCTGGGACACTTCCGATATGCGTATAACTAGACAGAAGGTTGTTCCAGGGCTGCCCAACAGATGGAGCCAATGTGTCATCTCGTCATAAAGACTGCAAATAAAACTGGTGGCTGTTTATACATTGTGAGAAACTTTATACCGGAGGAACGGAAGAGGTGTGCGTTTCCTGCTTATTCTCACTGCCGTGTCTTGAGTGTTAGCGTTTTTTATTTCTATGTTTAGTATCTGTTTGGCAAGCACTAGTTACAAAAGATGTGGTACCCATTCAAAGCTAGGATGTGTACGCATACACAAAGCAAGTGTATGAACCTTTAGTCATTCTATCCTTTTCGTACGTGCAAGTGCATGGCTAGGCTTTTTCTCGTTTCCTCTCGTGTGCTTGCATCATCAATAACTGGCCACTTAGTACCGTGTAGTGCTAGAACTTGTTCGTGCCACCTCTATCTAATACACCTATTTTGAGTTCCTGGTATTATCGTCTTTGATTTAGTAACGTGTAAAGTGACTGCATGCTTTTACATATACCTAATATCTTGAGAGATAGCCCACCTAAATATTAAAAGCAAATTGGTAGAAAATAGGGATTGAGATAACTTTCGGTGTGCGATTAAAAGAAGGTTAAAAAATGGTAGTTCTAAATTTTGTGACTTGCAAAACCCTTAATCGCAGAGAGGGTGGCACCATTTCTGCCGAAGTCACTATTGGCCAGGGCCATGCAATTACTAAGAGTGGGCTATCTTTTGGTATTTTGGAAAAAATAGCATATCGTGTCAAAAATAGGAGTGGGTCATCTTTTGAGGGTGGGGCAACTTTTGGGATATTAGGGCACTTTCATTAAACATTTTAGGGCTACAACTGTTTATGTGAGGTACAGATCAAGATGAGAGCAATAAACGAGAACCCAGAACGAAAGGCAAAGTGTGTTCATTGCTTTTAAAGTTGTCTCCATTGCATGAGTAGACAGAGCTTGAAGTGACTTTTAAAGCCCAATGCTTATGCTTTTGTCTTTTGCTGCACACATTCCCTTCTTAAAGGCCCGACATACAACCTCGGTTTTCTGCAGGAAAGATAATCCTCTTAGCGCTTCCCTCTTCTAAGCTGCGAGGGGAGCCAAGTTGGGCCAAGCTAAAAAATGGAGAGGATATAAGAAAGGAGGAGGCGGGAAAAAGTGGAAAGCGCGAAGTGTATGTCGGCCCTTAAGGTCAGGTAGTGTGTACCACCCAACTTAACACAGTATAACTTCCATAATGCCAATTATCTTAATGTTTCCAGGGAACGAAGCTAGAGGAAAATTGAGTTTCCTGTCATAAGCGAGTGTCTCGGGTGATTGAGAAAAATTGACGAATTCTTTGTAACAACTTTGTCAATATTTAAAAAAAAAAAAAAAAAAAGTCTGTGAGTGTTGTGCATGTTGTTTGGGCCTGTACAGCTGAACGCAAAAAAAGGCCTTGGTTTGTATGCAAAAAAAAAAGAAAAAAGACTAGGATAGGTGTTTGCCATACACCGTGCCACAACTGATTGAGGTCTACTGCTGTTTGTATGTTTCACCTAAAGTCTTGCAGTGCTCCACCGACACCACTTAAAATAGTCAAAGCCTGTGAATTAGAACTTTGACGTCATCACGGTTAGGTTGAGCGAAGACGCAGGTTGGACACGAGTGCTGGGACAGCGCTCGGCTGGGCCCCGTGCCCAGTCAACACGTCGAAGGATGCTCGGCATCGGGCTCAGGTCCAGTTGCCGAGTTGGCGCCATCCAGCCGCCATGATGTTCCCTGGTGGAAGGGGAGGACATATGTGTGCCTCGGTTATTGTAGTTTGTGCCGTGCGGATAGTCCTTTGATTGCTCCTTCTTTTTCTGCCCGTGCAGCAACTGTGCAACAACCTGGGGCAGGGTCCCTACCTTAGCCAGGCGGCGGTGTCGTCGCAGTCGTCGTCGGGCGGCGTGGGTGGTGGTGGTGGCGGTGGCGGTGGGGCGGTGGCGGCGTCGCCCGTGGGCACGGTGGCCCCCGTGACGTCCCTGGGGCTGGGCTCCGTGCCCACGTCCCAGCTGCTGGCCCACGTGTCCTCCTCGGGCAGCTCCAACAACACCAACCACAACCAGGACTCTAACATGAGCAATGCCAGCCTCGGCTCGCAGCACAGTGACAAGGAGCTCGACGTAAGCCCCCCGGGGACTGTTCCTTTGGACTTGGAAATGTTTTGTGGGGCTGGTTTCTGTGAGGTGAGCGGAATGCTAAAAAGAATGTCGCGGTACCAATGGTTTGCTCAATTTGGCAGGCACTCCCCCGTCACACGTAGCGACAATGAGCTCGAGATGGGCCTGGGTGCCATTTTTACACAGGATGTGTTACGGGGCTAGTTTCCATAAAATGAGTGGAATGTTGTCACGAAAAAACTGCACGAAATATGATTGGCTAAATTCGGGGGGCAAGACCACTAAGTAGGGTGGACATTTGTCATGTGAGGTCATCAAGGTCACATGACTATGTCATGTGACGTCACTTCCGTTAGTGAGCATAAGTTTAATTTTTTGCCTGGAGGCAGCTTATCGAGGTTGCTTCTAGAAAAGTGACATGGGAAAGCAGTAGGAATGTGTGAGTGAGAATGTTAGAAATTTGGAATAGGAATAGAATAACTTTAATGTTCGGTTCAAATTGAATTTGAGGAATGCTTATTTCACACTTTTCGGTATTCCAATTCGTGTTTGATATATGTTAAAACTTTGTTTTATATTTACACATCCCTGGTAAGCAATGTGTGCTACAGTTAGGTCTCATGTGGCCAAACACTGTAAATTAGTTTGGATAAGCTGGTTGTTTCAGATTTATTAATTTTTTCACAAATACAATGAAACACAGATAAATTGTTTGGACCCATAGTGTCTTATCAAATCTTATGTTGTGATTCGACCAATCACAACATAAGATTTGCAATGTGGCACACATGTAAAAAATTACAACAAAATATGTGACATTTAGTTATGGGATGATATGTATGTAATGCACTTGGGAATTCAAAGAGAAAAAGATTTGTTTAGTGTTGTCAAAAATTTAAGAGTTCTGCCCCACATCCATTGGCATTGCATTCCAAATTAGCGTAGCACCAAAGTCAATGGATCAGTCTTTGACTGTAAGTATTTTTTCGTAATGGTAAGTCAAAATTATGACTAACGGCGCAGCCCTCGTAAGCCTTTTAGGAGATCTAAACAAACATAATGGAAGGGGTTTATTAATTTTTTTAGTAATTGTGTGTGCAGTCTGGGCTATTTTTAATTTGAATACTGATCAGGCTAAATGAGAGTGGAGCTATATTCAATTTATCTAGAGTCATAGGGCTGCCAGGCACGTGTCCGTGGGGGGGGGGGGGGGGGCTCATGGTGTTTCCCCCCCTTCCCAAAATCTTCCCTTTTGCTGTGGTCCGCTCTCCACTCTCATACAGCATTTTGTTATGCCCCCCCACCCTTTCTCTTTCCCAAATCAAAATCCTGGCGATGTGCGTGATGGCTGCAGTCTAAAATGGGTCTTGAAGCGGGCACATAGCCAGGGGGGGGGGGGCCGATGGGGCCCAAGTCCCCTCCCCCCCAAAAAAATCTTCCATTTTGCTGGGACCCTCCTCTTCCTTCTCCCTCTCATACAGCATTTTGTTATGGGCTGGTTCACGCCCCCCCCCCCCCCCCCCCCCCCCCCCCCCCAAAAAAAAAAAAACATCCTGGCTACGTGCTTGTCTTGAAGCAATCAACTTTCTGCAGTCTGGTGCTTTTCACCGTTGAGACTTTGCTGAGGTAGGGCATTCCAAGCCGTAAAGCTTAGGATCCACAGGGCAAGTTGATAAACCGAAGTTTCGTTTCTTTGCAGCAGACGCCGGAGAAGCACCATCGAACACCACCCCAGACGGAAAGGAAGAGGAAACGTAAAGAAGAGCTTGTTCCCGCCGCAGGTTAGCAGTCTCCATGCCTCAGCTTGCGGGCTGCCGAGTATGGCTGGGTGTCCGCCGGTCTTTCAAACGAGGCTCTCATTTCGGCAGCAAGAGCTTCATTGTCTTCGAGGCGTTGAGTTTGTTTTTTGTGCTCTTTTGTGTTCAGTGAAAGGAGCCAGGGGAGGCGAAAACCCAAAGAAAATGAATGAGTACTTTAAGGTAAGCCCCTTCATGTCCTTTACAGAGTGGTGGCATCATGTAATTACCGCCGTACCGCATTGACAAGCACAAGCTTGCGATTTGGCAGCAGCTGCGGCGGCGGATTGTGACGAGAGTATTGTTCTTTTTCAAGCAGGGTACCCTTTGTGAGTAAACTCAGTGTGATGGTGTGATATCTGTTTCAAAGCAACATGTAAAGAAGGGAATGGCATTAGTTTTAAAATCTTTGCTCGATACATCTGTTGAATACCTTTAGTATTTTACCTTGTGCTGTGGTAAAGGCTGCACGGGCCAAACCTGTCATTGTCGATGGTGGTGGTGAAGGAGCGTGCAGGCGCTCCATTTTCTTTTGTGACCTTGAGCTCCGACACCGAGGCAATTCAAGGTTTCAGATGCTTGCCTCTTCGTTGACATGGATTGTCAAGTTCCGCTGATCTAACGGCGAGCCCTGCCTGTGCCTCTCCCCTTCTCTTTTTGTTTTGCCCTTAGAACCAGGGGCATAGCCCTAGCCGCTTTGGAGGGGCCAGGTCGCCCGTGCCACAGGGCTACTGCCTGGTACGTGACACTCCCCCCACCCAGTGCTCCCTCCGTTTCCCAAAAACTGTTTAAGAGCAGGAGAGATCACTCATTTCCAATGCCCCCCCCTCATGCGTCACGTCACCACCACCAAACTTCATATCTCGGCAGCTTGACCCTGGTTATTTTCAACCCTCCTGAACGGTCCCACAGCTGTTCAGAAGTGCATGTAAAAGTTGCTTGTTTGTTGTTGTCGTTCCATCTTTTGTCTGGGCATCAATCACTCTTCTCTGTTCTTGGTCTTGCTTTCCACTCTTTGAGATTGCCGGTGGTCCTGTATTAATGTTATTGGCTTTTCTCGTCGAATGCAGCGTGGTGCTGCTGCATTGTTCATGGCATTTCCAGTGCAAAGACTATTCACACTATAGACCCGCACTTCTCTGCACTGCGAAACTTAAGAATGAAAAAGCTGTAATTTACCCTAAGCTTTTTGACAAGCTGGAACGTTTCTACTCTCGCCGAGTTTTACGATTGGGCATTGGCCATCGGGTTCAGAGCATCGAGGCATGCAAAAAATATGGCAGCTTAAAATTTTTTTATAAAAGGGTAAATGCACATCATCTGACATTTCAACACGCCACTTCTTTTGTCGCACAACACCAGCCCCTCCCATCCCTCGACCCACTTGTCCGACGCGAGGGTGTTGTGAAGCCATAAACATCATCACTTGAAACATATTTCCTTGGACAGCGTGCGAGCATTCTCTCTTGTTTGTCGTGCAGGGTGGTAGTTCGCTAGTGTCCTCTCTAGCGGGGACTGGCCTGAACAGCCTGGACTATGCGGGTCTCATGGCGCCGCCTCAGAGGCCGGTGCAGACGATGACACGGCAAGCCCAAACGGACCTCACTATCAACAAGATCAAAGAGCTGGAGAGCAAGTCTGCACTCGACCTGGAGATGCGGGACAACCGGATAGACGAGCTACAGAGGGTACGGTGGTCCTCTCTCTTTCCCTTGTGCTGGTAGCCTGAGGCATGAGTGTTTTATTCTAGGAGAAGGTAAGTTCTGACAGGGCGTAGCTAGATAACTTGAACCTACTGCAGTAGACTGAAAATGAGTGGGCTCAGATAGAAGAGAAATAGAATCAGTATGCATTATTTTGTTGGTGTATGTTTTTGTGCACTTTCACTGGTTGCAAGCATGTACAAAACAAGTAGTCTTTCTACCTGGGACTTTATCTGGCTAGGCCGAACTGTTTCACTGGCAAGAGGCAGGACACGACTTTTAAAATAAGAGACTAGAAAAGAAGACATTTCCACAGTTGCACTTGCACTTTTTAACTTCTCTTGGTTATTTAACTTTGTCTCTCTTGTGCTGGAAGTGGTTAAATGGGTAGTAGCAGTTCTTTTTTTAACTTAAGTCTGGTTCACACAGCACCGTCTTCTTACGATTTTTCATGTTACGTATAAGTCACCGAAACATTCATATCTGGAATGTCGCGTCCCTGGCAATCTTCTTGAACTGGTAGCCACGCTGAATAGGAATCACAGATGTCCTGGTGACTTGAATGTAAGCTTTCGTAACGTGACGTAACATAAGAAAACGGGGCTATATAAGCCAGCCTTAAAGGGGCACTGACACCCCAAAGGTCGTATTCTTTTTTATTGTCTAAAACGATGGAAGTTGTAGTCATAGACACGCAAAACAAATCGCATCACAAAAAAAAATTTCCCCAAGCGCGCGCGCGTCTTTTTATTTTTGGCGTTTATATTTCCCGCGCTAACCTCCTTGCTTCTTTTGATCGGTGACGTCAAAAATCAGAAAATTTAGAAGCTTTGTAGGCGACATTTCTATAACATTTAATAACGGCAATCGTAAAACATGTTTTTTAACGCAATGACGAACGCACCATGCCCTTTCTTTTTGAAATACCAAAAATCAGATTTCGGTGTGATGTCGCTTCCTGAATTTGTGTTCTCCCTCGGAAACCTTGGCGGCGCTCGAGCAGAGGCTTATCACCGAGTCCGGGAAGACCGGTTTTTCCCCGAGCCGGCTCCCTTCTATCCCGTCTGCTCACCTCCTCCTCTCTTCGGGTCGCGGTAGCAATGGCGCTTTGCTTCACAGCGTCGTGCGGAGGTCCGAAAGAAAGTCGAGTCGCAGGAGACCGCAAAATTTGACTCACTGCGCTGGCGCGGATCGCGCGGGAACTTCAAATCCGGCATTTGGAAATTGTTTTTTTAATCCACAAATACTGAATTCCCAAGTTTCGAATTTTGAGGGTAATGTCCCGGCATCATTTTCAATCGTTTCGGATAATAAAATAAATTACGATTTTGATGTGTCAGTGCCCCTTTAAAAAGCCAAAAAAAAAAAAATTTAAAACACTTTAATTGGGACACGCGTGTCAAAAAATAAAAAAAATTTATGGGAATTTTTTTTTGTAGAGCAGTATTGACAGCGTGAGATTTATTTAAAATCCTGCGCTCAAAGTCCATGACGTCACAGAATGGTCATAAACTCTTTCCACCTCAACAAGATGGTCATACACTCCCTCCACTTTAACGTGATGGCCAAGCCGATCCACTTCTTCTCATGCCCGAAATGCCGAGAGAGAAAACAAGTGGAAAGGAGGTGACTACCAACTAAATCACAACTCGCGCTGTCAATATTGTTATAAAATTTTTTTTTTTTTTTTAATAAAGTTTTTTTTTTTTTTTTTGACACACGTGTCTCTACCAGACTCTTTAAAAACTAATATTTTTTTTCTTTTTAGTGGCCTTAGGGTCAGATTGCGTTTTCATCACAAAAGTTGTGCGGCCGTCCCACATAGCATTATCTCTTGCCCGTATCCAACGGCCCTTGGACCTAGGTGCTGCAACTCCGACACCTCAACAACATGTTTCTTTACAAATGGCAAGACTCATTGTTTGGAAGATCGGAGCATTTATAGACATTTTTTTTTTTTTTGCGAGTGGGGGGGAGTTTTGGTGTGTCCCTGTGATGGGCTCACCGCTCTACCAAGGTTGGAACTCTCTCGACAGTATGGTTTCAATTGTGGCCCTCTCGACAGTATGGTTTCAATTGTGGCCCTCCGCCGCTTCCCTCTTTTTTTCAAAAAGCTGGTTTACCTTTGTTGTTTTAAATGGACCTTTCTCGAGTAACGAGCACCGTCTGGGGAGTTGTCTGCAAACTACAAATGAAGAGCAGCCCAACATGCCTCCGCCGGTCAAAACACATTGGCATTGTGCGGTTTTATCGGTTTTCGGTGCTCTTTATACCCCATACTACCGATACTAAAAAACAAAGCGTCAAGATACACTAAATACGCGCGAAGATGAATGCTGCTGTCGGCATTTTCGCAGGGCACCGTCCGGATGCCCTGCGAAAAGGTGACGGCGGGAGTGTATGCTTGCGCGGAAGCTTACAGGAAAAAGGTCCCTTGCGTTTCAAACCATACAGTTCTGCAACATGGTTTGTCATCGCTACATTCTTAAGTGGCATGTTAGTCTATTTAACGACAAACTGCTGGTCTCTTCATTTCTTTCTTCTGTACATTTAAAGAGCCTTACAGTTGGTGCATGTCACTTCAATTTTGACGGATTGTTGAGCAGCTTTTTAATCCTTTCTACATCGGCTGCTTGTTCCAGCCCCTCTTTCTTGTCGTATGCAACATTGTTATGCAGAGCCTGATCTTCATTCCCCTCCAGTGTGCTGGTGCTGATGTCCTTTCTAACGTTGCTCTGCAGGGCGGGGAGGAGCACAGGCGGCAGATCCAGGCGCAACAAAAAGTTATCCAAAAGCAGGAGGAGCAGCTCCTCAAGTGTATAGATGTTACAAAGCAACTTCTCATAGAAAAGGTGAGCCCTTCGTTGGATGAGCACCACCCCACCTGCAGTTTTCTTCCTTGGTTACTGTGGGCAGTGCAGATTCGCATTATAGATCCTCGAAGCGAAGTTATTCTATTGGCTGGGGTGGCAGTTATCAGATCCTGAAGCCTCGACTGATGAGTGAGGTCTTTGCTTAACTCAAAAATGTTTCCATACATCCCAGAGGAGTCTGAGACCCCCTTTGAGAATCACTGCTCTGCCTCATAAGTTTGGTGCTGCGCTATCATAGGAAACATGGTCAATCTTGCAGGTTAGATGCTGTGTTATCACAAAGAACAGCTGTGTGAGCGTAGCACTGCAGAGTGCTTTGTAACTCTAGGATTTGCGCTAGCAAAGCACTCCTTCATGCCCAAAGTTAGTGAGATATGGTTTTGATGATTTTCTGTACAAGCAAAAGCACTTCTAGTAACTATCTTTCATCTTTGCTTTTGTATTGAGCCAATTGACAACCTGTTCTTTTTTGCATAGTGCCTGAACATCTTTGAACACTACTTACGTCATAAAAATTAAAAAAAAAAAAATGATGTGTGCAAATTTTGGATCAGTGTGTGGCGATTGTTATCTTTATCTTTCAAGCTGTCCTTCTTGAGTTGCCATTTCGAACCGGTTTGTATTAGCGGCGTTTTGTGACCCTTTTCACTCCGTCCCGTTACAGTCGGCAATGGAGAAAAAACAGTCTCGGCAAAAATGCATGCAGAACCGGCTAAGGCTAGGCCAGTTTGTAACGCAGCGGCAAGGGGCATCATTTGTTGAAAACTGGGTGGACGGCTACGCATTCAACGAGTTACTAAGGTGAGCCTTCCTTGCAGCCCATCTCGACCCACGTGCTTTGACCTTTTAAATGCATAGCATTTGTGGGGCCAGTAAGTGCTTTTGTCTTCGTGGCATGCAACCTCATTGGTGACATCACATTGACAATGTCACGGTGTTCAAGTGACGTCATTGACATATTAAAGGTTCACCGTGAAGTCAGCATGGCGGTTGTCATGAAACACCACAATACCACGTGACGTTATGACGTCACATGACACTGGCATCACGTAACACCGCAATATTGCGCGACACTGTGACACGGTGTTTCGCGAGCGAGGTTAGCCAAGTGTAATGATGTACATACCACCGCGATTTCAGGTGATGCCCTGACAATGCTATGCATTTAGAACACCTTTGGGAAATCCCAAAGATACATATAGTCTTTGCAGTCATTCACTGGTGTTCTCCCTCCCCCCTCCTGTCTTTGTTTGCAGGAAGCAAGAGCAGATATCGTCTGAACGGGAAGAGATTGAGAGGCAACGGAAACTCCTGTGTAAAAAGAAGCCCAACACTGGGCAACCAAAGGGCAAGGCGGCCAACAACGGTGCCGCTGCCCTCGCCAATGGGGAGTTTGTCAAGCCCGAGTCTCCAAAAGAGTGAGTGCTTGTCCAGAATTCTTTTTTTCTGGAGTTTCTAGTTTGGCAAAGCCAGAAGAACCCCGGTTTCTTGTAGGAATGTCTTTTTAAAAGTGTCACTGCTTGGGCTGGCAAAGTTTGTTCAAGACTGATGCAAGATTTACCCATCGTATGCACCATCTCCGAAAGGACCGTCTTTTGACTAGCTCCAGTTACATCGTCACCAGCAGTTGCCACGTGAAGTGCACACAGCACATGTGGTCTCTACAGCACATGTAGAGACCACATGTGCTGTAGTCACTTTTCATATACTAGCATGAACCCTTTCTAGGTTACTTCAGTGGCTGAATTTAGTCTCGACGGGGGGCGTTTAGCAGTCTTAAAGTCGTTGCAGTCTTCTTCTGCACATGTTCTAACAAAATACCCAAATATGCCACCTGGTCTTGTAGTGAAGGTAGGTGTTACAAAACCTACCTTCATTCCGGATAATCCATCCCAAAACGAGAATACTAACTTCTAAAGTCACTGCCAGGATGGGAGTGGCAGGTCACAGTAGTTAGCCAGGCGCAAAAGGAAAGGAAACATTTGTGCGAGCGGCTTGCGTCGTTGCCGATGTTCTGTGGGCGGTAGTGCCGTCGACGTCCGGCATCCTTCGGTGCCGACGCTCAGTAGGCTGTTCTCCTCCTGCCACAGCCTGTCGCTGGTGCGGCTGTCGTGGTACGAGTACTACGAGCAGGAGGAGATACTGAAGCTACGCCAGGTGTCCCTGAAGAAGGAGGACACAGACCTGCAGCTGGAGCTGGAGAAGCTGGAGCGGGAGCGCAACCTGCACATCCGAGAGCTCAAGCGCATCCACAACGAGGACCAGTCCAGGTGCGGACCTTCCTTGTGAGCAGCGCAACCCCCCGGGGACACACCTCTTGGGATCGTACGGGGAGCCGGCTTTGAGATTTGCGTTTCGAGTGGCATCGACTGCATTACGACCTCTTGCGTACCGTCGTAACCATAGAGGTGGGAAGCTTCTGGAAGCAATATCAGGCCACCAGAGGTAAAGCCAAAAGTGTGGAGGGACACGCCCACAATGATGACCAAGACCACAGCTGTTTTGGTTACCCTCGGGGGCCCCTCGAGAATGACCAAAACCACTGTTGGCACCAAGTGAGCTCTCCTTTTCGTCCAATAACGTCTCTTTGGCGGTCATCGTTGGGGGCGTGTCCCTCCACACTTCTGGCTTCACCTCTGGCAGCCAGATATTGCCTTCAGAAGCTTTCTACCACCATGGCCATTACGCTCTGTGTGGACCTCCGTTGTCATAGCCCCAGGGCAGCGAACGGGAGTTGCCTTGGTCGGCTGCTAGTCGGCGTGGGTGGCGGCCAAAACAGGCAACTTTGGGAAGGTCTGACCACCGAAGGATGGGACACGAGCGCCGTGTCAGAATTCAGGGAGGCACTCAGGGATTTGACCTCGAGATTGTGTTCAATGAGTATGACTGCAGGCCAACTTGAAGTTGCGAAAATTCTGCGTGAGATGGCGCCACTCGTCGAACCAAAACTTAATTGCCCGGTGTGTGTAGCAACCAGTTTGTCGTGAGCGGTTGTAACGCGGTCGGTGACACTCGTGAGGCAAATGTCTGAACCGGCATTAAGAGGGCCGAGTTCTACTCTGTAGTTTGTGTAAGAGAGGCCTCTTGTTTGCATCTCTTGGGCCGCGCATCGCTGAGCGTCACTGGACGTGCACTCCCGAAATCGCAGAATGGCGGCAGAGCACGACCCAAAGGGTGCAGTAGAATCTCAGAAGTGGAACTCTTGTCGGTGAAATTTTCGGATGTAGCGAAACTTCACAAAATGTGTGTTTAAGTTTTCAAAGGGATCTTAATAACTTCTCATTGGTGGAATTATTTTTTCACTGTATTACTTAGAGCTTCACTTGGAGAATCTACCGTAGTTTTGATATAGGTGTTCACTCGCCGCACTCTGAAATCGCGCAATCCACTCCAAGAGGATTTTTTTTCTTTTCTTAAAGCTGTTTGAATATGCCACATATATCTCAAAAAAATGCATTTTCACTGTAAAATAAAAAAAATTAAATATATATATATTAAATGCAATTTTGTTGTTGCCAAGCATATTTTGAGTTCAGAGAAATTTCGAATGCCTTCTATTCAAAGGCAGGCAAATGTGCCTTGTAGTTAAAGGTCACTATCACAATAACGTTAAAAAAGAGCTAGTTTGTGAGCCTTCCATAGGTTATGCCCACTCTTGCATGACTCTCCTTTGTGCCTCCATGGCCTTAGCACACACTGTCCATCGCTTCACCAGAATTGCCTGTCAAGGCGTAAGTATTATGCTCATCCATTTTTGGAGTAAAAAATTTGATTTGTTACACTTCTAAAATAAATAAAATTTAGTATGTATTTTTTTTTTTAAGGTGAGGTTTTTTTAGGTATGTTTTCAGGCTTTTAGTTGAGGTTGGCTGACCTTGCTATACTTCTGATGCCTTATGGTGTTTGGCCAGTAGCTTGTGGGTTTGCATGCTGATGTGGCTAAAACACAAATTGAATTAAAATGAAAGTACAGACTGGGGCCTTGTAGCTTCCTCTTTGAGCAATGCTTTATACATTAAATGGGCTATAAAAGTGTGCATGTGACTTTTAGAGTAAGGGTTGATGGCTACTTGCCTTGCTAAATCTCCAATTAGTCCCAGCTTTTTTTGGTTGTATGTTTTATTGTTTGCTCGTTTGAAAAAAAGCTTAGTTTTATAATGTAGACTTCCTAACTCTAAAGAATCAATGGTCCCATGCTTGTTCACATGCTTAAACATTAAAAGTTAATGGTTGCAGCAACTTTTTAAACCGCACTATAGTAAGAAGTGACCATGATGTACCTAAAGCATATCCCCAGGTTGCTTACATAGGCCTTCAACTTTCACTATACCCCAATAGAGCATTGTCTCGGCGTACTGTGCTTCTACATCAGCGACGTGCAATAAATTCGTATGGTGCTGTGTTCTTCTCGCCCCCAGGTTCAACAATCACCCTGTCCTAAACGAACGGTACCTCCTCCTAATCTTGCTGGGCAAGGGAGGATTCAGTGAAGTGCACAAGGTGGGCACTTTCTCCAGTCCTTCACAGTATGGAGTTTTAGTAGATAGTTCCGATAACTTTGGTAATGATGCCCGATGCTCTCCTTGCGCATGCGTTGTATCTTTACCGGAGGCCAAGAACAATTGACTAGAACTCCCAGTAGTCCTTAAACCTGAGTCAAACCGTTGTCATGCGTCCCTACTCTCAGTGCCCTAGTGATTGAGAGGTCGTTGACTCTTTTTTGCAGGCCTTTGACCTCAAGGAACAGAGGTACGTCGCCTGCAAGATCCACCAGCTAAATAAGGACTGGAAAGACGACAAGAAGGCTAACTACATCAAGTGAGGGGCAGTTTTGTGTTGTACGGCCCAGTACGTCTGCTCGAGTTGGGCAGCTTCTTTATGAGCGCTGCTCTTGTCTTTGTCCCAGGCATGCGTTGAGGGAGTACAACATTCACAAGTCTCTAGACCACCCGAGGGTTGTGAAGCTCTACGATGTCTTTGAGATTGACCCCAACTCGTGAGTTACTTCACTTTTACTTCATTTTGTAGGATGCAAAAGTCGCCCTTCACCTTCTGTTTTTTTTTTTCTTCTCAACTCACAGGAAGAGAAGGCAGCTTTGTAAAGTGAAATACAGTAACCCTACGTTGTAATGAAATCACTTTTTTTCAAATTATCGCTTTTATTGAAGTTCAACGTGGTTTCGACTGAAATGCTTGCATTTTTCACCAGATTATTCTAAGTGTATCGGCGATCGACCATGCTTACTACGAAAACCGAGGGGCCGAAAGCATGCAAGCCTACATGGAGGCGCACGGAGACCTTTGTGTTCCTTCCCCCTTCTTTACCGAGGTCTATGGCAAACTTGGAAAACCGCTTCCGATGCTGATGCGCCGACACGGCCAGGTAGCAGCGGAAGCAGCGTTGGCGTTCCAACGCTACTTGCGGTGTTCACGGCCAATGCTGCCCGACTCCTGTCAGAATTGGGTCAAAGGAGCGGTGTAGCTTGTATGAGATCGTCCCTTCGAGAGCCCCCGACGTGCCACCTGCATGGACGTGCTTGTGGCTTACCACACACTACAAACACATGCGTTGTATGGGAGTGGGAGTGTTTACCAAAAGTCGCTTAGACCTGCGAGGTTGAGAAAAGGGGTCGTCCCAAATCTGAAATCGCCAAAGAATTCGTCATGCCTACGTCGGCGGTTCGACATGTACACCGTTTTATGGAACAAGCAAGGCATACTGGACGGGTTTAAAAAGTTTCTCATGTAAAAAGTCAACGCACCCGCAACCCGAAGATGAAAGATCGCCAACTGTTTTGCGCACTTTGGATTCTCTCGTGAGCAGGCCCGCTGAGCCGGCGCACGATTCCCAGAGCTGCAACAGTCTTTACAGGAGTGTGTGAAAACATGCCGGCGAAGCCACCGAGAATAAGTCGTTCATTCGCGCTTGTCGATGCAAACATTCCCGTTGTTGCTCCACCACGGATGCTGCGATCGTAAACCTCGTGTGCAGCCGGGGTAAACACGAAGTGATGTCGGAAAAACACTTCGGGAAACGTCTAGGACTGAGGGGACGTGAAACATCCTACGGCTGCTCTGAAGCAAAGTGGAGTGCAGCGGCGATGACAGTGTTCTTGCAATGCCTGGAGCAGTTCATGGAGAACTGATGCCGGGATGAAATTATTGGCAAACTCCACTTAATTATTTCTTTTCCATGGTCAAGCTGCCGCTTGTTGTTCATAGCCAAGGTTTGTTTGGTTAAATATACGGTCTGAGTGTTCCTCAGTTTTTCTGTTCACTTGAAGGCTGCTGCACTGTCTTTTTGGCTGTATCGCTTTTATCAAATTGCTGCTTATATCAAATTTTTTCGCCGTCCCGTGGACTTGGTTATAACAAGGGATTACTGTACGTCAGAAATTGGTACCTTCAAAGTTTGATGAGTTGTGCAATGATAGGATAGCATCACTTCGTGTGATACTTTTTTAGTCGCACGTGGGCAAAGGACCCTGCCCGGGGTTTCTATGAAGTGGTGTGAGCCCCCTTTTAGAAGTACATACAAATACTGACGAATGTTTGGACGGGTGCACAGACCTATTTCATTTCAAAAAACAAGCTTTACTTTGAAAGTGGTATTGTTACTGTCATCATTCATGGTTTTAGAATTCTCCGATTCATAAACATTTGGTGGAATTTTGCTGAAATACCATATTCTCGAGTAATAGACACGCAATTCATTAATGAAATCCACGTGTCTGCTTTTCTACTAAGTTCATGTACCGAAAATTGATGCATTTTATGTAGAAAATTTAGCAAAACAAAACTGCAAAGAAAAAAATATATATGCTGCCAAATAGTGATCTCTTCCAATGTTGGGTATGTGAAACATTGTGCACAGAGTCGTAGCGGACGCAGCATTTTTATGCGAGATGTTGGCTCTCTCGCATCATTTGCCGCCAATCATTACAATTGCCTGCCTCGGCAGTCCGTTGAAAAGTGGGTGCGCAGACTTTGTTTGTGAACGGCCCAGTTGTTACTCTAATAAATACAACTGTCGTGGAAAAGTCATGAAAATAGGGTGGCGTGAAAATTGGACGCTAGCAGGTGCCGTGGTGTTGGTTAGTAAGCCGTGCAACCCCGCAACTGCTTGTATTGGGCAGGTGAGCATTTGGGGCCAGAGGAGGTGCCTTTGTGGGACTGTTTCCAAAGGGAGTTCGTTGCCCTCCAGGTTCTGCACGGTGCTGGAGTACTGCGACGGGCACGACCTGGACTTCTACCTCAAGCAGCACAAGTGCATCCCCGAGCGGGAGGCCCGCTGCATCGTCATGCAGGTGGTTCATGCGCTCAAGTACCTCAACGAGATCAAGCCCCCCATCATACACTACGACCTCAAGCCTGGTCAGTGGCGCCCCCCCTTTCCCTCTCTCTCTCTCTCTCCGCTCCCTGGACTAGTGCAGGAGAGCTAGGAAAGGCAGTTGCAAGGACCCAGTCTTGCACAGCCTTCCAGCTGGGAGGTCCTAAAAGCCTTCTGTTGCAAAGGCCATTGCAAGGAATTGGTCTCACCGCAGTCTTCCAAGCGGTTGGTCTTGAAGGTAGTTGCGAGGACCTGCTCTTTCAACAGCCTTGCAGCCAAAAAAACGATTTGAATGTTGAAAGGATTCACAGTTTGTATTTTAGAGTGCAGCTCTTAGGCGCCCGTTTCCGGCTTGAGCGGCGTCGCCGTCGGCGTAACCGCGCGGTGCATTATGGGCAGGGCTCCGTGTTTTTGGAGTTTATTTTTCGTGAAATTCGGAGGGTGTTCTTGGTAGTTTATTTTTTTAGCGAAAATTCGGTGTTTATCAGAGTTTATTTTTCGTAAATCCCAAATTCTTCGAAATTCGGAGAATAATTTCGCAGTGTTTCCCTATTAAAAAAATAATAAACAATAACCAGATGCGAACATATGCCAGATAAAAAATAAAACACGCTTGTATCAATTAACATTTCTTCAGTTGAATTTGGCGTTGGTGTCATTGACAATACTAATTTTTCCCACGACAAAAGTGGCACGCAAGTGTGGCTTCGATAAACGTCGATACCTTAAAATCAATAAACTGTCGGAGGTAGCCGCAAGGAAGCTCGTAGTCATCCCATCAATCTATCCCGCGGCCGCGCGAGGTGGAGTTGTTAAGGATGTAATAGAAAAGTCTCAACTGCCCCTCTTCCCTATTTTATAGAATCTCTATCATCCGTAGCTTCCACTGTTACCCCCAAAAACATACCCTTTGCTTTCTCTAAATCCCAAATCCCATGGCCCAAACTGGAAACCAAAAGAGTGACTTTTGTCGTGACACGAATGGTACGATGACGCGTTTCCCTGGACCAACCTTGACGAGATAAGCCGTAGGACCCCCTTTTGACAACCGCCCGAGGCTTCAAAGATAATTAGGGTGTCATTTTCCCAGGATCATTAATCCTGCACTGCCCAAATTGTTAAAAAAAAAAAAAAAAACTTTTTTTGGCTGGGGCTGGGCACGGGCTAATAACAATTCGGAGTTTATCAGATAAATCCGAATTGACAGAAATTTTACCGGCGAGTGTTTTTCGGATTTATCCGAAAACACGGAGCCCTAATTATGGGACATGTGACGTCACTAATGACATCACTGGCATCGTCATCGTCACTGATGATGTCATCCGCATCCTTATCGTCATGATGACGTCATCAGTGACGTTACTGATGATGTCATCGGCATCCGCATCGTCATCGTCACTGATGAAGTCATCAGTGATGTCACTGATAACGTCATCTGCATCGCCATCGTCTTCGTCACTGATGACATCGCTAGGGATGATGACATCACTGATGACGTCATTGTCATGTCACATGACCTCATAGGGGTCATGTGACCCCGGTGACGCCACGTGACCTCCTTGAGGTCACGTGTCCCTCGTGAGGCAACGGCGACGCCGCTCGGAGGGGGGGAGGGGTAGCAGACGGGATGAGGAGGTGAGGAGGAGGGAGGAAGGATATACCTTCCCCTCAGTACCCTTCCGCTCCTCCTCAAGAGTTGCCCTCTAATTCGGCGTTACAGAGAGTTGTAAACGGTTTTCATTTTTTTCAGTGTGTCGAACCGAAAAAAATACGGGTTCGGTTACGGTTCAGGTTCAGGTAAATTAATTTTGTTCCGGTTCGATTAATTCGATCCGCGAACCGGTTCGCGAACCGGTTCGGAAATTATAAATGACAAATTGCAACATCAAAATAAATTACAAATAAAACATCTGAAATCAGCACATACGAAACGGGATACATCGTAGTATAAGGCTCGGGTATTTCTACCAGGAATGGTTTCTTTATGTGCACTCAAAGGTTACCTCACCGACGTTTACGCATTCGGACTTCATTTAATTGGGTCCGACGCAGTAGCTGTAAAATCCGCGACCACCTCACAAACCCACTTACAAGTAGAACTCGCTAACTATCCCGCCACCTCGGCGTGTAAGCAATTGAAGGAACAGTGGGGAGAAAATACAGCTTTCTTTATTTGAACTATCCTTCGGGAACTCAAATTAGACCCTTAAAGAAGTTTTCATTAAACGAGATACGGAATATGGAAAACACTTTACCAAACGCAACGTCAGAAGGACGTAATAGGATAAATATTAAAATAGAAGAGTTCGCTGTCTCACAAATATGTTAGCTTCTAAGTGCCTATACGAAACCGGATGCATTATTATCAAACTCCGCAGCCTTTTCTTTTCTCATTCCGATGGAAGCAAGCTTCAAGAACTCGCGCGTTCTAGAAACGTGTTATGAAATGAGCACACAGCACCATTTAGGCTTTATGAGATTGTAGGAAAATAAAATCTTGTGACGCGATTTTTTTTTTTTTGCACAGCCTTCCAATTTTTTTTTTTTCCGTGCAAGCCGCGACTAGCGACTGGTTCCTATGTCAAGATTCATGGATGCAGCGTTTGTCAAGATTCATGGATGCAGCGTTTATATTCCTAAGACTGAGTGGAGAAGAAAAATATGCAAGCGAGGTGTGTCAGTTGACGGCACTTAAAAAACAAATGACATTGATAGCACATTCATTGTCAACAGCGCGTGGCCGAACCGTTTTGACATGAGCCGGTAACCGTTATTTTTTTTCCGGTTCAGTTCCGGTTCGGGTTCATCGCGATAACAATATAACGGTTCGGGTTCGCTTCCGGAAAAAAATATCGGTTCGGTTCCGGTTTTCGGTTCGGTTCCGGTTCGACACCCTGATTTTTTTATATTGTTTATCCGAGCACATGTTATCAAAAATGCGTCACTTTTTCCCGAAAAATTTATCTTCTGCTACGTAATCGCAAAGAAAAAAAACATTATTTGCCGATCTGCAAGCCACGTGTGCCAGTTATGGGAACTACGGCGACAGCGTCTCTGGGGGATATGCGGAAGCCCAAGAAAAACCTGTCCCCCTCCGCTGCTACATTTGCCCTCAGTCCCGTGGCAAGCCGTCTCTTGTGTCCACCGCTTGCCGCGACCTTCGACAATGCTAATCATTAAAAAGTCGACAATCGTGGAGGATGCGTTTAGGGTCTCTGGAGAGAGAATCCAAGGGGAAACCACGTGATCCCCCAGAGTAAGTCACTCGAAAGGCGACGTGAAGAGTTGAGAGGCACCTTGACCTTAGATAGATTTGTTCCGTTTTTAAAATAAAAACTAGCACTTGCAAGAAAATGTGGTTTTCTGTTCTTCGCTCCATAGATGACAGAAATTAATTTCCGCAGCTTATTGTCCCAAGTTCGAAAAGTGTTGCACCGCCCCTTTAAAAGGCATTGCAACAACTTGCTCTCGTGACACCTTTCAGGCGATCAGTCCACCTTGAAAGCCTTCCACTTTGAAGGCTGTTGCAGGTACCCAGTCTTGCAGCAGCCTCTCAAGCAATATCTCTTGAAGGGCTTTGCAAGCGCCCGGTTTTGCAACGGCCCTTGAGGAGATCGGCCCTGAAGGCCGTTGCAAGGATTTTTGCTCTCTGACATCCCTTTGCTCTTTCATGGCTCCTCCCACTAGAGCCTAGCTGCTTTCCGTCGGGAGTGGAGAGTGCAGAGAAAAATGTTCTATCTCAGTGCCTTCTTTTAGATGCGGAGCATCTCTTGCTCGGGTCTATGTCCCGCGGCGTCGGCATCGTAGTCCGCACTCACACTACGCATGCGCAACTCTCCTCCTTCCCTCTCTCCAACAGCTGCGCGTTACTCTCTCCGCTCTCTCTCTCTACCAGCTGCGTGCACTTCGCGTGCGTTCGCTTCTACTCACACCGCGTCTCTAGTCTCCTCTCCTTCAAGTGTGAATATAAGCAGCGGTAGCGCGCTGCGCGCGTTCTGTTCACCGCTGTTGACTCCACTTCACTCCGTTCTTCCGATGAAGTGTGATGGAAGCAGCAGTCCCGTCAGTTAGTAGGTTGGCGCAAGCAAGCGTCAGCACCACCCCACAAACTAACAGCAATGCTACGCCACTGAAGACAAAGCTGCGCAGCGAAAGGCATGCGACGCTGAGCGCAAACGCTTGAAGCGAGCGGCAGACCCTGAACTACGGCAACGAGAAGCGGCGTCCATTCGTCATTGTCGAGCGGCGGATGCTGAACTACGACAACGTGAAGCAGCGGCAGTTCGAGAACGTCGAGCAGCAGAACCTGAGGTTCGGGACCGTGAAGTTCAACGTAAACATACGAAGCGAGCGGCGGAACCCGACCTTCGAGAACGGGAAGCCGCGTTGGTTCGTGAACGTCGAGCAGCAGAACCTGAGGTTTGGGACCGTGAAGTTCAATGTAAACGTACGAAGCGAGCGGCGGAACCCGACCTTTGAGAACGGGAAGCCACGTGTAAACGTCAACAACGTCCTCATCAAAGCAAAGTACACACCTCAAGTACTAGACGCTGCTCAATAAAGACCTTCGTTAACCGTTTCACCTTCGTCTACGCAATTAAAAAAATTACACCATCTTCCCGAGGCGAACCATGGGGTGATGCGGAGCATCGCGGAGTTTCCAACAACGTTCACGCGATGTGTGGTAACCAACGCAAGTTAACAACGTAATAACACGCAAGTTAACAACGTTACTAGCACCGTTAATAACGATCCGCGATGCTCCGCATGACCCCATGGTTCCCCTCGGGAAGATGGTGTAATTTTTTTCTTATATACTACCTTTGCAGTTTTGGAAAAAAAAATTACTTGAGTACACTTAAAACTGCTTATACGCTGAGAGGCAAAAGCATTATAGTCTTACAAGAGAAATGTTTTCAAGTAATATGTCTACACGTATTAAAGTTTAGGACGACTTCTAGCACGATTTATAGGATGCCACCGAGAAGGATACCTAGAAGACGACAATGAGAATGACGTCTAGAGGACGACGTTTAGGAGAACGACAGGAACTTCTGGAACGACTCTAGGACGACCTTAAGGACGACGTCTACGGTGACGTCGAGAGAATGACGCCTAGAGGACGACACTTAAGGAGGCTGTGGCGTATTTGCGTGGGCTGCCACGTTTGCCTGCGGAAGCCGCCATAGATGTAGACGCTGCTGCCGATGTCGAGGCCGTAGATGTAGACGCAGTCGCTTCACAGTCCATCGCAAGAAGCTCACAACAAGCACAGATTAGGTCCAAAGCTCACCTTTTCCACGCGGCACTCCGGCGTTGACGTCACGCTGATGACGTATGACGATTTTTCATGACATCATGCTGATGACGCTTGATGAAATATTTTTATGGCCATCTTTAAGTCAAACGCCGACGGACGCAGCTCGTTTTCACGTACTGTGACAAGTGAGGTCGTCCTAGAGGTCTAGAATGACCGCAAGGACGAGGGTCATCCTTGAGCATACAATTTAGCGGTGCGTGCTGCTCAATCACATTTTTATGGCCATTTACTCTGATTTGTAGTTCAATGGGACGAGTAAGGCTTTTGCCTTAATAGTATAGAATTTTTCTGCCTCGCAGAAGATTGTGGTCATACGGTGGATGGTTCTCAGTAACTCGGGTTACTGCATGTCAGATATGTCTTAGTACATTAACTGCAGCGCCACATGAAATGCGCATGCTTCATGCCGTAATGATTGGTTCACTCGCTCTTGCTCCTCTGGCAATGATGTGTGCCTGTTGTTCTGTGATTCACATGCTGTGCCAAAGGCTGGGCTGTGGAAGATGCTAATTTTTCGAGTATGCAAGTTTTTCGTATGTGGATCCTTCACTTTTGCATCTAAGGTCTCGGACCACAGTGTTGTTGCCTTTATTAGCCGGCTTGCTGGCCGATAGACCAATGACCGTGGCCTCTTCCCCAGGTAACATCCTGCTGGGTAGCGGCAGCCTGAGCGGAGAGATCAAGATCACGGACTTTGGGCTGAGCAAGATCATGGACGACGACAACTACAGCCCCGAGTACGGGATGGACTTGACGTCGCAGGGTGCGGGCACCTACTGGTACCTGCCGCCCGAGTGCTTTGTGGTGGGCAAGACGCCGCCCAAGATCTCCTCCAAGGTGGACGTCTGGAGCGTCGGGGTCATCTTCTACCAGTGCCTGTACGGCAAGAAGGTGGGTCGTCCTTGTTGTTCACTTCATGTCGAGGTTGATTGATTGATTGAATGATCGATCAATCAATCAATCAATCAATCAATCAATCGGGAGTGTTTTGGTACAAAAGCTAGGTACCTACTCGGGTTTTAGAGTTCCTCGCAGGAACTGAACTATTTAAGAGAGATCATCTCCAAGAAACCAATCGGCGCATGCACAGATGAATGGTTCTACTTACTGTTCCACTTAGCTTGTCATACTCTTTAGTGGCAAAGTTTGGAAAGGCTACATGGTGCAAGACAGGCTCATGTGGCTATTTGTGCATATTCGTGCTAATAGTGAAATGTAATGGGCCACTAAATGAGCCACAATGAGTGCCCTGCTGCATAATTAATAGGGGGAGGATCTTGTAGAATGTAATACATGTTTGTGTACTTCCTGAAAGTCCTGCGTTCAAATTGTTTATTGATCCTCTATTTGGATGGGTAGCTCATTGAGTGAGATCCATTGAATTCTTAGCAGTTCTCGGCTGTCGGGAGCTCCATTTTACTGGGGTCTGTAGCTGTGTCTTTTGCCTGATGTGGGACTGTGTATTTGGTGCAGCCATTTGGGCACAACCAGTCTCAGGCCACCATCCTGGAAGAAAACACGATCCTCAAGGCCACGGACGTGGAGTTTCCAGCCAAGCCTGCAGTCAGCAATGAAGCCAAGGTCTGTTCACATTGCTTTTTCTTGATATTCACATTTTTGAGCAATGTGCTCACTTTCCTGGCGATTGTTGGCCAAGTGCATTAGTGCACCGTATCTGGGAGAACGCAGAGTGAACACTTACGCTGCAGAACCCAGGGATCTTGGATTCAACCCTTATCCCTCCCTGTTTTGATCTGAATGGGCTTAATACATTGCAATCCAAGCGTAACGATAATGAGAAAATCCAAAAATTCAATCGTTATAACCGGTTATCGTTGTATCTGGACTAGAGACTGATCGTTTGTAGTCTAGAAACTCTAAGAACTGGTTGCTGTAAGCAGTACGTTGTTACAAGTGTATTGGACTGTACTAGTGCATGCTCATGTAATCCCTACTGCATGCTTCATGCTAAAGGCTCCAGGCTAGTGGTCGTACTGCGCTGACTAAATTTCTTATCTACAATTGAATCAGTAAAACGCCATACCCTGGCGGACCAACTTCATGTGGCCTAGGCATCTTTATGTCTAGTTTGGTTTTCTCTTTGTTAGGGGAGATTTTTTTTATTTGGAGACCATAGAGTTGAAAGTGAAAATATGCAAGATAGCTCATAATCTAAACCCTGAGACAAGGAGAAATAAAATAACAGACAAGACGACACAAAATCTAGAATGCAGCTGAGTTTATTCGCAAGGGAAAAATTTATAGCCGTGCACGCAGACGGGAAAGAGCGAAGATAAAAAGACACGCTGCCGCAAAGTTGGCGAAATCGAACCAGACTGACTGACCTCCACCCAGACATCACACCACCAGCAGTCACATGCCACAAAGCTACCCCACAAGATAATCCTCATCGATGTTATGTCAGGGTGCCTAGCGACCGGGAAAACCGGGAATTGTCAGCGAAATTTTAATACCGGGAAAAATCGGGGAATTGTCAGGGAAATTGTCAAAAAGTGAGCCCTGTCAGGGAAAATGAGCCGGAAATGCCATAGAGTGCCCTGAGTAAAGGCTTGAGGACTTGGGGGCAGAAATATAGGCAATAAGTACTGCTTAGAGTGAGGCGCGGGCTTTGCTCCCCCGATGTAGAGTGTGCTACCCGACGCAAAGAGAGTCAACAAATCCAGTCGAAGCCGTGGATTCCACGGTTTCGACTGTAGAGCATCATGTTTTCATTTTGTTTCCGGAAGTGGCCTTTTCACTGACGATGTCAGCGGCAAGAAAGTGCTCGTTTAATCCGGACTGAACGAAACCAAATATTTTGGAATATGCAAGTTAGATTAGGCCCATGCAAAATAATCCTCATTGTGCTCAATGCTCAATGCCTCTTGTTGTAATGGTCTTATATATTTAACCGCCTCTGGAGTGGTCAGAGAATTTCACCTGAAATTGTCAGGGAAAACCTGGAAAAGTAGAGGGAATTTTAAAAAAAAATAATTTGCTAGACACCCTCACCCGTATTCACCAGGCACGACTAACTAGCTCCGTTTTAAGGTTTGTAGCACGGCTAAGTAGTCGCGAGCTAAACGAGAAATCCGCGACTAACGAGCGATTATGTTCTGCGCCATTCAAGAGCGTGAGGCAAGCGGGTGACTATCTAGTCAGAACTAACAAGTGGAAGTGACGTAAAAATATAGGTCACGCATGTGCATATTTAAATGCCGCTGTGTAAATGGGTATTTTTTCGTATAAAAACTAAACTTTAAATGTTTATCAGGAAAAAGAAGTCACAATGAGAGACATCTTCCGAGACAGAGTTTTACAAAAAAAAAAAAAAATTAAAAATAACGCCAGGGAGAAACACGGAAGCCGCATTGCCAGCGACATAAATAAATATGGAAGCGCCCGTAAATGTGTTTTTTTTCTCGTCGTCCAGCGTCTTGCTGAGATCTATTTGCGGTATCCCTGACCGCTGAACATGGCTATTTACGCATTATGTGCTCCTCCAATTCTTTCTAGATGTCTCCCCCAGTGTTCTGAGAGAGTAAGTGCTTCTTTATAGCTGGCCGTCAGCAGTGATACGAGTCGGCCATGGCGCTGAGCCGCTAGTCACCCGCTATACACCGGCTAAACTAGCCCTATCCCATGACTAAGATTTGTTAGTCGACTTCTTAGTCGCGCGAGGCGACTAGGCCCTAAACACGATCGGTGAATACCAAGCGCTCACTTAGCGGCAATTATAGCTCGCCACGTGATCATTTTAGTCTATGACGTCACTAGTCGGTGGTTCAACAGGCGCTACTCGCACCTGGTGAATACGGGTGCCTGTATGTGAACCGAGCAAAACTATAGCAACTGGCCCACACAATTTATGTGATCCTCTATACTCAAAGTTCCCTTTTCAATATTATTTTGAAAGATTCACTTTCCTATAATAGCGAGAACACATTACATACAGCAATTGTTTGGCTAGTTCAGATGATGGAGAAACATCTTTCACACTTCTTTTGTGTTCCAAGAGGCGGCCATTTCCGCACCAACCCATCTAGCTCATATAGCAGAGCCCACAATCAAACATAATTTTGTACACAACTTCCTTGATGTAGCCAATTTGAGGATCTCTTTAAGACACTTTTCTGTTGCCTTTCTTCTGTTTCTTGTAATATTCTTGTAAGTTTCCTTCCCAGTCTCGGGTTTAAACATTATGATCCCTATGTTTTTCCACACAGCCGTGTTCTCATTCAAGCGCAAACGGTGCGAGACTGCCCAAGTGGAAATCCAACCAACTGGAAAGATTTATTAGGAAATACAGTCGCCGGCCGATTCTTTGGACTTCGCAGGGACTGAAGAAACGTCCGAATAATAGAGTAGCCCGAAAAATCAGCAGATTAAAAAAACATACCTTTATTACGTCTAAGCGGGTTTAACAAAGCCGTCAGTAGTGCTTTGCTTTAGCTTACGCCTCCACTTGCATTCGGCCACTTTCTATTAGTTTGAGAATCGCTGCCCTCTTTTCTAGCGTTATGGTCTAGTGGGTCGAGTACTTTCCGCTCTCCTTAGCGACACTTTGCAGAGGCGCAAGAACAGATGGGGCCATGACGTCCAAGCTAGCGCAGTCCGAAAATAAGATTCACCGAGCCGAGATGAGAGGCGCAAGGTTCATGACTGCAGAATGGTGAATTAACAAAGGATAATGGTAACAATTATAATGATAATGACGTGCTGCTAGAGAGATAAAAAAGCCGTAGCATAGCGTCACCTGGCAGTAGGACTTAGCAGTAGGTACTCGGGTAGAACTGCCAATCCATGTGCAGCCAACATGGAATCTCAAATGGCGGCTTCCCGGTGATGTTTCCCGCTGATCGCTCGTGACGATTTTCTCAGAAAAATCGATCTTTTGGAAATCAAGCTGCTAAAACATTGGTCGTGAATATGCACTCTTTCTATCGGGTAGGTCACGGTTCCTCCTTTAGGTCTCAAATGTCGAACAAGTCCGAATTGTCGGCGTCCAAAAAATCGGTCGGCGGCTTTATGGGAACTTTCTGCTTGGGAGCCCATTCCAGAGCTCTGGGTTTTCTGTTGCATGATGTACCGGTGACCCGATTTTGGAACAGACTGGCATTCTTTGGTGATGTTCTGTGGTGTTTAATCCTTGTGCTACATTGCCTCGCACAGTGTCCATTTGCCGCTTAGGAAAGTAACTAAAGATAGGTTTTGATATCCGAGCTTGTCTTGTTGTCAGCATTCTTAAAGCTAGGGATGTCGTTCCCCTGTTTCTCCCAAGTTCTTTGCTGATAACTGTGAGCATTGGTAAGGCTTTCTTGCTTGTGCTCGCGATGCCAGTATCGTTTCCCGGTAAAAGAGGCCGACAAATAAACAAGCGACCCCACTTTGCAAACCCCGTAACAATTGTGCGTTCTGTGGACCAAGGCACTGACCTATTTGTTCTCGAAGAGTGCCCGTAGGCGCCGACAAGATGAGAACACCGGGAAGCATCTCTCGGATGCCCATCCTGCAGCACACATTCGTTGCCCTCCGCCGTGCATTAACTGTCCGTGCGCGCTTGGAAGTCACAAGACGCCGAAATGTCGTCGAAGCTTGGATTCTCGTGCTGGAGGCGGGATAACCGAAACCCCTCCCTGCTATTCCCATCCTGTAACTCGAGAGTTCCTAAAGTAATTCATGGCGCCACAGTACCGGGCATAGAGTGGCGCCACAGTACCGGAGGCACGACGCAAGCTGCTTAGTGTTTTTCCCGACTCTAATGCCATGGCCTCTGCCTCCGTCGCGCAGCAATTCATCCGTCGCTGCCTGCAGTACCGCAAGGAGGACCGCATCGACGTGTTCAGCTTGTCCAACGAGGAGTACCTGAAACCAAACTATTCAAAACACGGCCGGCAAGCCAGTGCCTCCGACAAGGACAAGTCGTAGCCGCCGCCGGGGCAGTTATCGTGGCTACAAAAGAAAGGGACTGGCAGACAGCTCGCCTCGGGCGCCGGAGGAGCAAAACCAAATGGCGGCGACGACGACAACGACGGCGGGGACTGCCCCGCCTCGCCGCTTCCCCGGAGGGCCGGCGCTTTTGTTGTGGTTGTTGTTGTTTTTTTCTTTCCGGGGGACAACCAACGGGCGGGAGACGCCGGGTCGAGGAGAACGGACGGACGTGCGGGACGTTGAGGTCGCCCACCGCCGGGAGTGATTGTGTGCGTGCGTGCGCGTTGTGTGTTCGCAACGAGACTGTTCCTCTCTTTCTCTCTCTCCCTCTTTTTTTTTCTGTTGTAAAATATTTGGCGTGCATGCGTGCGAGCTGAGAGAGATGGACGGACCTGAGGAAGGGGGAGGTGCCCCCATAGAGAGGGGGGCGGAGCAAGCAACAACGGGAGGGGGGGGGGGGGACATGTTTCCTTGCCTTCCTTCCTTCCTTTTTCTTTCTTTCCCCCCTTCCCTTTCGATTTGTTTCGTCCTAATAATAGGTTAAACGGGTGTCACTTGTTTCCCAGAAACCGCGTGATAAGTTTTTTTTTTTTTTAGGTAGGGGAAATGTGAAAAGAGAAGAGGGTTTTAAGTTTGGACTCCTTTTAACAAAGAAGTGTCTCGTCTGCCCACAATCCCCAACTCCTTTTTTCTTTTTCCTTTTTTTGTCGTGGTGGCGTGGCCCCTTATATCTGAAGAAACCCTCACTAAAGTTGAAAAAACAAAAAAAGGAACGCGAAAGTGATGCTGCCATCATCATATCCTCACCCTCTCCTTACGTTTAAGGCTATCAAGAAAAGCAATGCAATTTTGTTGACTCTCTATAAAAGGAATATGAGACTGTTTTTGTTTAGGACAAGAAGCTGCCATTGACAATTCTTTGTAATTTTTTTTAACCCCGATACATGATGCATAGTTCTTCCTACCATTCACCCGCATTTCGTTGCCGTGTAATCTAGCCCACTACCCTGGCTTGCAAGTGTGTCGCACCTGCCCACGAAAAGAGCTAGCAAAATTTTGTGTAAAAATCATGACCGTTTTTTCTTTTTTTCGAGGTGCCGTAAAATTGTTGCATTGTGGGTAGCGGTGTGACATCTGTCTTGGGTGGATGGAGTGGTGGGGGGTGGGGGTGAACACTACCTTTGACATTTCCTGCCTTTTGGAGGAACGCTACGATACACACTGACGGAAGATGTCTCACGATAGCACTCTGTCAGCCTCTTGTCGGTGCAGTCCATCCAGAGATCGTTTTTCTTTTATTTCGTCGTTCCATTTTATTTTTCTAGAGAGAGGACACATGTGTTTTCTTCCCATTTTTCGTAGCCACTTTTTCAACTGGTTTCGTCTGGCGTTGGTGCCGACGGTAATCGTGGTGGCGTAGCGACTGGGAAAAGGAAAGAACTGAGCATTTTTTCCCCCCTTCATTTTGTACAGCATTGTTTACGAGACCCTCGCGGGAGGGTGTTTTTGATACGCTTTGTGGGAAGGCCACTGTACATAGCGAGAAGGAGATGCGTTAGGTAGACGTCCGCCTCCCCACCACGAACAATTCTTTTTCCTCGAGTGCTACTATTTTTTATTTGGTGGGGAGGGGGTGTGCTTTTTGCTATCCAATCACAAACTAGCCTTTCGATGCGAGATTTAAAAATCCCATTATTATTATTTTTTATTGTTTCACCTTTCTCTGTTTTTTTTTTTTCTTCTTTTTTCGTGGTGGTGTCCAGTCAACTCGGGGGAGCACATTTTCTAGTCAAGCCCCGTACACTTTTTACTTCGAAAAAAAGAAAGTTCCGAACTTTATAGGACTGGATGGGCGGGCAGACCTCGCTCAGCCTCCACACTCTGTGATGACTTACTGCCGGTAGAAACGCCGAACACACGTATCTTGACAGACTCTCCGGATGGACTGGCATCGTGCCCCCTCCCCTCCCCTCTACTCCCCTCCCCTTCAACTTCACTCTGTCGCAACAAAGGAAGAGAGAAAAAAAAGTGGGGTGTCGGACTGTTATTGGTCTCTGCCACATCTTATTGTGGGAGTGGGGTCTTTGGGCTAGGAGATCATCTCACAGAGAAGATAGAATGTATAATGTGAAGCGAAAAGGTGTTATGAAGTTTCTATTCAAACAAAAAGTGTGTGCAAACAGTGCTCATTTCTTCCATCTCTGACTCGGCTTGTTGGTTGGTACGTATAGTAGCGATTTTTAAAACAATTGTGAGTGGCGGGAGAAGAAACGGAAAGACGACTCCGCCGTTCTTTGGGACTGCAACTGCCGCTGCCTCCGCTGCAAGTGTTTGCCGAAAGAAGAAAAAAAAAAAAAACAACAGAAAGCGAGCCACGAAGGGCGCGCACGCATGTGCAACATGTTTTCGTTGGGGGTGGAAGGACTTTAGCCGGCGCAGAAACTCTCCTCTCCAGATTCCTCTGTGAGGAGGAGGTTTCTGTGTTTATTTATTTTTAAGTTTTGCCCAGTAAAAAACATGAAAACATCAGAAAAAAAGAAACTCCTTCGTTTTCTCGTTTGTTGCGTTGGCGGCGCCGACCGGACCGCCGACACGTGTTGTGGTCTGGTGCGACGTGTGCCAGCACAGGATCGACCATGGCACTGTGTTGGTGTCTTTAGAAAAAATTTGCATTTTGAAACAAGCAATGGATATAGATCAGCTGGACATAAGCAGAAGGGTAAGCTCTAAATAAGTACAAAGGTTATCCTAGAGCTACAAAAGTATTGGCAGGCCCTTGGTGCCAGAATAATGCTGTCACCTGCAGCATTCATTTGGCATGCTTGTGTATATGCCCATTTACTTTCCTTTCAATTTTAATATAGGCAAAAGAAATTATGTAAATTGATAAACATGGTTCAACCTTTTGTCCACTTACGAGTTTTAAATGGTGCCGATGTTTAGGCAGTTGCTCGGTATTTTGTAGCAGCCTGGAGATTGGTGCTAAGACATCGGGAACTGCGGAAAGGTGAATCTAAGTTTGCCCAGAATTGGCAAGAGGGTTGAGGTGCTTGATGAGAATGGGAAACCACTCATCACTTCTAGAAAAGAGCAAGCTTTGTTCATAGTTCATATGCTGCACGAAGTAGTTTGTACAAGATCTGGTTGTTGGAGAAAAAATTGTGCTTTCTGCATGTGTGTCTTGACAATTAATAGGCAAGTCATCTTAAATGCATATACAAGTATCTTAACCCACAACATAAAGGGTGCAAATCGTTACACTCTGCAAAGAGCAAAACATCATTTTTTACCGAGTCCCTTGAGGCAAAAGCAATATAGCAGTATGCCTGCCTTGACGGATTATGAAACCCAAGCTTGCTGGGCATCCTGCAGTAAAATTGATTATCAAGTGAGTGATGCGCATGCAAACTGTTTGCTATCGCCTGTTCCATACACAAATATTACTTGCCTGTCAAAATTTTTACGTAGGGAATTCGAAAAGAGTCTATTCACAGTGGCGTTCAAACTTAATATTCAACAAATTGCATGAGATGCTATAGACGCTTTACTCACGCGCCAAATTACAGCCGTCATTGCTGACCTTCTCTTGTCTTGCCAAGATGCCGAGCAACTGAAACGGTAGTTGACGACCCTCTACAAAGGCAGATGCTTTAGAAAAGGACACAGTTGAATCTAGGATGGCAATAACCTGGCCTGCTATGGTAAAGATGGAAGTGAAATAAACGAAATAAGAGGAAACAAAAACTGAAGGTCAGTTATGGCGGCGTCCATGTATAGCTGCTGCAAAGCGTCTATAAGGGCTATGCCAGGGTCTGAATGTGCCACTCTTGGGAATTAAACCTGATAGGACCATGCTTGGGCACACACTGGGAGTCTGTACAAAAAAAGGCTTGAGGTACACCTAAGCACTGCTTATGAGTTGTGAATGCGAAAGCATGCTTGTCGTTCTGTGTCGGCCGATCGCTTGCTCTCCCAGCTGTGCTTGCTGCTCTGACCCAGGACGCTCCGTCTTACCGGTGCCCTCGTGGCGTCGGACATGCAGCGCCATGGGGTGGCCGTCGTCAAAACTGATGTGCAGCGGCCAGTGGGAGCCTCGTCGACGCGCACCATCCAATGGGATTGAAACCAAAATCCATCAGCTTTAGTCTGCTCCTTTGGGATCGGGGAAACTAGGTGCCGTTGTTTAGGCTTTTTGCCCGGTTGCTGGCTTCACTTGGAGAAAGGATTTAACGTGCCGTTTGGCGCTGCTTCAAAGCTGATGACGTCGGCTCGCTTCGTGGGACAGTTAATGTTTTCGCATTAAAATGGAACACTGCAAAACTTTTTATTTTCGTGAATCGGTCACGAAGGACATAATCGCGTGCCCTTAAAATTCGTAAATTTTTCAATTTGCAAAAAAGGCTCGCAAACCTTAAGGGTTTTACAGTACTTGCAAGGTAAGCCTCAGAAGTAGAAGTGCATCAATATTTGAAACTTCAAATCATTTGCTAATAGTGCACTTTTCTATTGTCTTCACAGCACTTTTTTACAGTTTGAAGTATTCGAGTTCTTCAAATAATCGAAAAGTATGATTAATGACTTCAGAATTCACAGATCTCTTGCAAGAAGCTTCACTGCTAAACAGCTGCACATGTGCACCAAGCCTCGCTGTTTTGCAGCCGAGTACTGAAAGAAACTGCTGACGGTGTCGGCGCATCTCTGTTGACCCAGTGGTCTCGGAAATTTTGTTCACTATTGTAAGTTAGCCTCCTTTGGTTATCATTTTAGTTCAACCCCTGATTTTGAAGGGCTAGTGCTGGAAAATAAAACCAAGTTATATTCAAATAAACAAGGTAGTTATTGTTTTTGCGTAATAAAGCTGTCCCTTTCATAAAGTTTGACTCCGTCAGAAATTTGACATTTGCACACTAAAGATGCTTCTACTAAAAAAGGTTGGTGTAGCAATCTCAAGAATGCACTGATGTCTGTGTGTCATGTACTGATGATTCTTAGGATGCCCAAGTAAAATCTGAGTGATCAACAATAACAAAATGAGGTGAGGTGCCACATGTGTAAAATGAATATAGAACAGTATATGGTGGGTGATATCTGCCGTGCAAACAAATTGTTGCAGTTCACCTTGAATTCCTTGAATTAACATTTTACTTAAACATAGACAAGCACATAGGTGGGGTATGACTAAAAGGGTTTGTAAACATCTCCCTGCAGTAAGGACTTGATCTAGCTCTCTAGGAAGTTTGTGACTGGAAATATGTATACTTTGTTGTCTTAGTGGCAGCAAACGGTGGCATTGTATGGCAACAGAAACTTGAACCTGTGAATATGAAAATTTAGTCATGCTAGATGAGGTTTTACAATGCCAAAATAGGATAAAAGGCTGATGCAGAGCTTTACTCTGTTCTAGAACAGACTGCAGATAGTAATTTGTGTCTAAACACGTGTTCGGACTTGTGCTTTGTCGCCTAGATACTTTGGTAAATCTTTTGATAAAGGATGAAAAATTCTCGTGACTTTCTTACTGAGCAGCCTCACAGGCTGAGATGCTGAATGTCATTCACTTGACTGGAATCACTTAGTCCTTTAATGACCACAAGCACAGCTTTGAGACCCAGCTGTGCCTACCACTATTTGCCCTTGCATATAGCCAGCCGGCAATGGCCAGGCGGCGCCAGCAGGGTGAGAGCGCACGGTTATACCCTGTCTCGTTGTAACTTGGCGAAGGGTGAACGATAAGCCCCACATCGCGTGCCGAAGGCTTCGAAATGCGCGACGTATACGAGCGCAACGCACACATATTGGAGCATGACGCAGGCGAAAAAGCCTGATACTTCTTCGGAGTTGAGGCGCGCTCTGGTGATACGCAGTCGCGTTCTGATTGGCCCGCCAGGGCCATAGCTTCCGCTCTACTGGCACGTTACGCGATCACGGCTTCCTGGGATACCCAGTATTTCTTGCTTCTGACACTAGGCTAAGCGGCGCCACCGGAGCAAAAGCTCACGTTTGAACAATGCAGCCGCCACTCCCAGGGGTACCCAATAATTCTTGCTTCAGGCGCTGGACGGTGCCAAACCAAACTGCATTGCAGGTTGCCTTAGTTATGCAAGGCACCCCTGCTCCAGACATGCCTTGGACAAGTATGATCTTTTATATTCTTTTAATTGTTGGCTACTGTGCTTCTGTGGCAGAAAACCCTCTCTCCATAGCTTGCCGAATGAGATAATAGGGTACAGCAGTAATTTTAGAAAGGTGGTATTTGAGTGTCAAAAGTTTTCTGAAATATAGGAGAATTGGTGTACACTGCATGATATAGTGCAAACACAGCACAATAATTATTAAAGGGGCCATGCAGCGATGTTTTGTAGAAATATTTTTCACTTTATACTGTACAAGCTTACTGGCACTAGTGGGACCAGGCACGTAGCCACAATTTTTTTTCGGGGGTAGGGGAGGGGGGGGGGCCGGCCGTTTATGACTAAATGCTGTATGAGGGGGAGGGAGGAGAGGAGGTCCCAGCAAAATTGAAGATTTCGGGGAGGGGCCAGGGCCCAATGGGCCCCCCCCACCCCCTGGCTATGTGCCTGAGTGGGACCCAAGTATACTCGCATGCAACGCCACTGACCAAGAAGCTTTGTTGTTGCCACATAATTTCGAGGATGAAAGCAGACGTTTTCATTCAGCCTCTTTTGCAAAACTTAATGATGAGGTTGTGGGGATGGCATCGTTGGCTTTGTCAACAATGTGGTCACCAGGATCTTATCAACAAGCTCCACAATCCCCATAGTGACAATATTTAAATGCAGCTCACACAGTGGACGCAAGCATTGCCTAAGCATTCAACTGGTGCTCGTGGCAATTAATGCCTCGACATGCATTCGGGTAGTGGCTCGTGCCCAATCGCTGTGACGATCGGCATAGCTGAACCTTAACAATGCATGAACTTCGGCACATGCCCTGTGCTTTGCCAAGTCCAGCGCTTGGCGGTAAACTTTGACAGCGTATAATCGACTCCAGATTACGCGACCGCTTGTTTTGGATGTGAGTTAAAGTGGGTGAATGCTGCTTGTCTTTCAGATTTTTTCTGAGATTCGCATTCCACGGAGGAAAAAAACGGTGTGTTTCATAGGTTGTGAATGTCGAGGAATAATTTTGAGCGGCATTTACTGAGTACCGAAGTCGTTGCATCGCCCCTGAAGTCCAGCACACATTTTTTTAAATGTATCGGCATGCACTCTTTGCGCATCTCTGTTTCTGACATGACCAAGGCGCTTCACATGAGGTCAGAATCCACCATTTTTTTTTTTATCCCTCTATTGACAGAGAAAAATATTTGGCTTCTACCAGGCGCCGTTTTATAAAGGAGGCTATGGCTTTACTAAAAATTGTGGTAGACCTGCAAGATATTCATTGAAATTTTTCTCTGCACCATTTGCACAAGAATCCTATCGATCATGATCTCGACTTCAATCCTTTTCTTACCATATCCTTCGATCTTTATTTGTCCTTTATTAGACTTCCCTCCACCCCAATGGGACTCGCTGACCATCCGTGCCATCTAAATGTCAATACCTTTTAACTTGTTTTTCCTTTCTTTTTCCTTCTTTTTAATTCTGTCTTTGACTTCTCGCTTGATCCACACAATCAATCGTGTGGCGAGTCAAGAGGTCCATACTGATTCTCGACTCGTTGGATCCCCCGGCTCTGTGGACAAGAGTCAAGAGATCAAATGTAGATCAAGAGGTCCAACGAGTCGAGAGGTCCGAGTCGAGAGATCCACAGCAAGTCAAGAGGTTCAATGGGTCAAGAGATCCAACGAGTCAAGAGGTCCAATATTGTGTCTTTTGACTCTTTCGATGATCATTTAAGAAAGCAGAAAAGCGCCGAAAAAATACAGGGACACAGACGAAGGGAGATACAGGACAAGGCGCCTTGTCCTGTTTCCCTTCGTCTGTGTCCCTGTATTTTTTCGGCGCTTTTTTGCTTGCAATGAACCAACTGGCCCAAATCTCCACTTTATCTTTTAAGAACTCCGTTTTAGTGCGACTCCTGCACAGTTTGTTTATTCAAACAAGCAGATTGTCACACTGGCACGCAACCACAATTCTCCCAAAACATGATATTGGCACGTGAAAAAGTTTTTGTAAAAATACCAGCTGTAGTCGCTGACAAGGTGAGTACGGCAGGGAGGAGCTTCGGTTGCCCTGCCTCCAGCGTGAGCTTCCTACTTCCATCAATGCTTCGGCATCTCTCGCACCTCGAGTGCCTGCGTGCAACTAAAAACACTGTGGAAGGCATGCAGTGCGTGCTGGAGGTCAAGCGTTCGAAAGACACGCACCCTGCTGTTCTCATTCTGTCGACGACTGCAAGTGCTCCGTGTTCTTTTCGTGTGCACTGGCAATGCCCCTGACTGTGTCCTCAGCAGTCTTGCCGCTTCTCTGTCTTCTCATTGTTCCTTCAGTTGAAGTCTCCGCTTCCTCCAGTAGACCCTGAAGAAGGCTCCGCCAAAGAGGGCGCAGATGACGCACCACGAGAGGAGGGGAGCCCAGTCGATCCACGTCGGCTTTCCGTGGTACTCTGCAAAGGGGGACACCAACATCTGCCCTGATCTTTATCATCACCACTTCTTTCACAATGTAGAAAAGTGTTTCGTTTGTGCCTGTTTCTTAAGATAATATCGCAATAATTTGATTCTTAAAGAGGGGCTACCAACAACATCTCTTTACATTTCAGTATGCATCGATCACCATCATAAACTAGCCATCCTGTCCATTGTCTAAAACCCCGATAACGGGAGTTTTTAAACTGCCACCATTACTAACCTTTTCTTTTTTAGGGAGGACTAACTATGCTGTGTAATATTTCTATTGTTATATGTTTTGCTGTATTTTTACTGTTGTATTCTTGCTTATATGACCTTGAAGGTAATGAAATATAAATAAATAAATAACAAATTTTGCATGAAACTTGCTGCCACCAAATTCCTGCCATTTGGATAAGTATCTGAGAGATAGTATGGTGAGAAGCAAACAAACGAATTTTAGCAACGTGGATTGCGTGAAATGTTAGCCACATGGATGGCTTAAAATGTTTGCTTGAAATGTTGGCCTCTTGGATTACTTGAAAATACTGAGAGTGAAGGCACACCACAGTCTTGGGGTTCATCGCTGCGGTCACCGCAGTGGTCCACCTGGTCACACAGCAGGGTTTTGGAGATGCAGACCCCTGTCTTCTGGCACAGGAACATCTCATCGAGGTCACAGCGGATTTCTTAGGATAAAGCAAAGATGACAAATGTTAGCCATCTGGATTGCATGAAATATTAGCTAATTGGATTGCATGACTTGATGGTGTAGCCACTTGAATTACTTCAAATGTTAGCCACTTAGAGATTGTGATACGTATCTATAGTTACCTGGGCTCTTGGGTTGCTTGAAATTTTAGCTACATGGTTTGCATGAAACATTATATAGCGACTTAAATTGCAGGAAATATTAGCAATTTGGGTTGTATAAAATGGATGCGTGTGTTGGGCAGCGATGTCTTTACAACCCACACTCATTCATGCTTGTTTAGTTGTTGCTTTTTTGTGTCATATGTGAAATTGAAGGAAGAAAATTTGCATACAGCAAGCAGACTTATAAATCCCCCTGATTAGGATAGCTGCAACAATTTTGCCATTTCTATGCCATAGCTCATACATAGATACTATCTGTAGTCGGCGACAGGTTAAGGGTAACGTGGAAGCTCCTCCCACCTCTTTTAACTTTAGCAGAGCAAACGCAGGAGAGAAGGCGACCTCCTCTCCAGTGTTCACTCTGCCAAAGTGGCAAGAGGTGGGAGGAGCTTCCACTTTACTCTTAACTTGTCACTGACTAGTATATATTAAGCATAACAGCTTAGAAGAGGACAAGTGGAAGGTTGGAAACAACCTTCATGCATGAGTTCAGGTGAATTTTCGTTCAAGCATGGTGTAAAGTAGTGAATGGCTTCGAGAAACTATTCAATATTCGATTACAAAACAACCGGCCAAAACCACAATTTGCACATGACTACTGATGTGCCCTTGAGACTTGGCAATGTCGGTTCAATTTGGAGAGGGGCAATTTGGCCAGCACTGTGTGACGCTATAACTTGGGGTTTTTAATGTTCATCACGCAGATTATTAAAACTCATTCTAGCTCTAGCTGGTATAGCAATGCCCACCTGTACCGAGACTGGCAAGGGTAGGAAATGAGCACAGACTCCTGAATTTTGCAGTGAATGGACTGTTAGATGTTAAATACTCCGTGTGGTAGGAGCTATGATGTGTTGGCACGCTTGGCCACCAACCTTCCCTGCTTGGAGTCGGTCGGTCATACCGAGAATGCAATAAGAACTTTATCAAAGCCAATTGACCTTTTGCAAAATCGAAGCGATCCTAGCAAAGCGTCCTAGGTACCCTTTGGCTACCGTTTCAGTTTCAATTCGCCAACTTCAATTCACGACATGCCGTTGTGACCAAATACAGTCTGTGCGTTTTCAAATATATCGCTTTCCTTAAATTCGTGGTGTTGCCTACCAATATAGATAGAATGCTAGGGCACGTTTTTTGGGGCTCCGGGTGTACCATATGGTTTGTGCTCAGGTAAACAAAGAAAAAAGAAGTGTACTGGGCTGATCATCCTGTTCCATCATCTCAATGTTCTAGCCCAGACGAAAATCTGTCCACTTCCAGCTGGATTATGGAACTGGAAATGAGGCAGTCCAGCTGGATTCCAGCTGGACCCAGCTTGACCCAGCTGGACCCAGCTGGAATCCAGCTGGACTGCTTCATTTCTAGTTCCATAATCCAGCTGGAAGTGGACTGATTTTCGCCTGGGAGGCTTAAATGATCAGTGACACGGGAGGGCCATGCTGCACTCTGTAGTGCTAGCCAGGCTGCCAGAAAGCTATGGGATGTGGCGGGCCTCACTCCTACTTCTCGCTAAGTTTATAAACAGGTCTTTGTACTGCCGCTTGAGGTCTATGTTTCAACAGGGGTTTTCACGCAGATGAATGGGTGCAATGCAAGCGAGTGCTGACTTTATTTTTGTGCAGCGCAGAGACACACTACTCCGTCAACGGGGAAATGGAAATTGAAACCTTATACCACTCCTCTTTATGGTCAGAAGTCCCATATAATACAATGCACGCAGTGTTGCGTGCAGGGATTTTCGAAAGAAGTCTATTCAGGATACCTATGGACTCATTGCCAAGACTGCAGTTGTATGGCACATCCAACCAATTATCTGCACCATACTAGGCAAGCAGGAATAGTAATAATCGGATCACTAGGGTGATTATCAAAGCCGAAAATATAGAGTGGCTAAACAACTACCGTGGAATACCGTGCATCCGCCCACACCACACTAAGTGCCCATTCCCAAATTTGTAGGATCTGAGAAAATTCACACAGTACATTTATATGTAAAATTGATGACCGGAGAAGGGCCCATCCCCCACTTTTTTGCGATTATCTCCAAAGTTTGAGTGGGCACTTGTCCGGTATTTCACAGTAGTCTGTTAGCACCCCGTCTCTAACTTTGTCGGGAAAGGAGATATATTACTTAGCCACAAGTTTGAGGAGACAGCAGCAGAGATTTTGAATCATGGTTCTTTTAATGTGTCGAAAAAGAGTAAAAAACAACAATAAAGTTTACAAAAAAAACAGCTGTATCGCTAACACTGCACGAGTGTTCTCCTTTTTGTGTGCCCGAGAAAATTTTATTTCTTTTGTGCGCTATACTACTAAAGCATACAAATACAATCGCACATAAAGAGGTGCCTGTTTACTTTTATATTCAAACTTCTAGGTATGCTGCGGAGAAACTAATCTGGAGCACAACCATCTGCTGCCAGATGCGCTTAGCAACATGTTTTGCTCGGCTATTTGTGCAGCAGGTGAAACAGGTTCTGAAGCTTTGTGTAACCACATGCATTTTTGGATGATCACTTCAGATACAAGCCGAACATGAATCTTTAAAAAAACAGAAAGTGGAAGAAAAGTTGGTTTGTACTGTCATATATTTCACAGCATTCGTAGTCACCCTTACTAAGCTAGCTTGTCAATTACACTGGTCACGTCATCGTCCAACCCTGCTCTGCACTACACGCGTCAAGCTTCACGGCTTTGCACCAGTGCTCTTGCGTCAGGCTTCACCGCTTTGCACCGGGGCTCTCGCGTTGAGCTTTCCCGCTTCGCACCGGCGCACATGTGTCAAGCTTCACCACTTTGCACCAGCGTGCTCGGAGATGACGGATGATGCGGGGGAGCACCTCGGTGGGCTCGGAAATTTCGCTCGCTATCATAAGCTAACCTCTAATCTAACAAAAAAAAAAAAAAATGTAGATCCAGTTTTGAATAAATATTATTTTGTATCCTGAAATACACTTGTTTTTATTGCCATGTAAAGAAAGAATATCTTGCAGATGCTAAAACATGATTTTATACAGTGCCAATAAATAGATCTATGTTCTGATAAATATTTTATAGTGTGAAATACACTTGTTTTATTGTCATATACAGAAGAAATAGCACACAGATGCTCATTATTATAAGTTAACATGTAATTTAAACAGTGCCCCCCCCCCCCCCCCCCCCTTTTCCCCCCAAAAAAAAAAAAAAAAAAAAGATTTAGTACAAATATTGGAATATGTATTAACTTCGAGTGTGAGAAGAGCCATTGCCAAGTCGGTACAGTACTTTTCTTTGCTGCCTCCTACTTCGCTGGGGAAAAAAAAAAGAAAAAAAAAAGGAGGTTTCAAATACAAGTTTTTGTTTCAGTGTCATTACAGAAGAAATATCACACAGAAGTGTAATCTTCTGTGCATTGACAAAAAAAAGTTAAAGAATGCTTCTACGTACTCCCATTTGGAAACAACTGAATTGGAGCGAAAGGTCCATGTGGCATTCAGAAACGGTTCCGTCGTGTGCCCCAGCTGGCTAAATGGGCAGAGTTATTGTTCTGCGGATGTCAAGGCGCCAGATGTGCGGAAAGAAGTAGAGCAGACAGAGGAAAATTGGGTGTCTGCAAAACTCTCATGGATGTTGTGCAAAACCTGGGCAGCACAGATATGGTGCTATGCACATCTACAAGACTGAAGCTGCATCTAGTTAATGGAACATGCTATGAGAATGGCACACACAAAACACAGCCACGAAAGGAAAGGGCTTGCATGCAGCACTGCGTCTGCAAGGGACGTCCTGATGACATCCGCAGAACAATGTGTACTGCGTTTTTTTTCTGCAACTTTTAGCTTGGTTTAAAGTGGGGGTGCACGGTGTTCTGCTTTTTGAGAAGAGATGGGGGGATTTGGGTTGTGAACTTGCGAACTGGGCTTCCTGTTCACGGTTTATGAAAATAAACCTTCAGTTGTGACTAAGTGCTTATCTGTAACCCTGTCTTTTGTGCATGTTTTTCATTGTCTGCTGCTAAGGTTGTTGCTGCGGGTTTCCCAGAACTCGATCTGCTAACACTGGTACAAAAGGGAGGTGCCACCCACCATTCACGTATCCCGTGAAAGCGAGATTGAGACCTGTGTAGTTGCGGGACGGGCTTGATGGGTGGGTCTTCACCTCCAGGTTGACCTGCTTCTCGGGGATGGCAACAAAGCGCGTCCCAATGGCCCTTGCGGAGCAGAGTGGGGCAAGCAGCACTTGGTTCTTGTCAGAGAGCTGCATATATAGAGACACAATGAGCAAGAAAGCACCTGATCAGGGTACCAACAGAAAAAAGTCTGGCTCATGCAGTATTTGGAAGATGTTGTCAGCTGCTGCTGGCTTCAGACCCTGATTTTGCGTGTGCATCCAGTCAGCGGTTACTTATTTGTTATAGTGATGGCAAGCATAGCGGATGGATTTTGTCGTGCAGGAGGAGATGGCAGTGTGGCGAGATTGGGAATGTGCTTCGGCTCATTTGCTGTGTTTTTCAATGGTCCATACGCCGATTATCTTCAGTGCCCTATGTTTTGACGACCCCTACACATATTTTTTTTTTCTTTCCCGATTCCATCTTTTTTGGCAAACTGGCAACCATGGGACTAAATTGTATCAAACTGCCGGAACCCTGACCAGCAAGAGAGGCTCATGTAGATGTTCAGCTTGTCTTGTTATGTGTGCACTTGAGGAAGAAAACCCTTGTTCCTAATTGCTTGCACCTGCCACTGCTTTTCGCTGTTACTGCCCTTCTTGGTGAATAATATTTATCAGCTATAGTAGTACTTTAAGATTTTATTCTGTGTAGCCATCAAATAAGGAAAATCTGCTTTTCGCTCGAAGGGGTGATCCTGAAAAGTTTGAGACATATGGCATCACATTTGATCTTCGACCATATGACACCATGGTGTCGCATGGCATGGTTAGGTGTCCCGATTCCATTTGACCACATCACTGCCATGAACGGATTCTCTGTACACAGGAGTTTTTTAAAGCAAGTCAATCTTAGATTTTAGATTGTTTCTTGTGTGGTTTGTCAAAAATAGCAATCCCATTAACAGGGCTTTGAGATTGTAACATCATAAACTGTATTCTGATGGAGTACAGTTAACAGTGTTCCACTACCCTTCGTTAATTTGTAAAATACTACTAAGATCTTAGTAGCACATACAAGCCACAATAGCTAGAGATATGCCTCTGAAACTACATTTCAAGGAATACTGGTCAGATCTGACCATCACCTTCAAGGTCCAACCTTTCTCATGAATCTATTCAAGAGCATATCTTAAACAAATAACTGCATGCTCATTTTAGCATATCATATGGGCAATGAATTGTTTGTGTAAAAACTTGACTGATCCACGAGATTTCGTCAAGTAACTGCAGGGGTGTGTGAGTAATGGTTCTAATTGAATAATGCAGCATTATTCTTAGCCTTCACAGAGCAAAAGAAAGTCAACATGCAAACATACTGGCTCTCTTCACAGTGTTGAAGTTGGTCACTCCTTTGCTCCGTAGGAAGCTTAAAATTTGCACATTCCTGATGATAATTCCCTGCCTGATATATTCATAAAAATAAATATCAGTTTAAAAAATAAACATGACACCCTGCTTTTAATGAGGGTTTCTCTTTTCCGGAGTTCATTTTTGAGCAAAATCGGAAGGTGTTTTTCTGAATTTATTTTTCACCTCAAATTTTGAGCTTTTCAGATGTTAGGACACCGGAGAAAAGCCAATGAACATCTAAGAACGAGACCTGTCTAAGAGAAAGATCTGAAGTCGAATGGCTAAGAAGGCCGGACATGTTCAACTATTGGCATACTTGTCACTCTATTTTTTAACGAGGGTTCAAAAGATATTCTTTTGTGACGCAAACAAAAGGGGAAATAAAAAAGAGAGTTGCAAAACTTGTCTCATGATTCAAGGAGAACCTGAAGACTGTTTTTACAACCGGCAGTCCCCAAATTCAAAGTTTTTCTGATAAATCCGAATCTGGAATATTTTTACCAACGAGTGTTTTTATAAAGTTTATTGGATTTATTCAAAAATGCGGAACCCACGTAAAAGACCACTCACACACAATTCCGTTTGGGTACGACCAAGTTCTTGTGATCGCTTACGATGAGAGGAGAGCGCCATCTATTGGGCAGCTGTAAAACTCTTGGCATTTTCACACATTTCCTATATTTTTTTCGTGCATCATTCTTTCTCTCTTGGTTTGAAAGGCTCTTGACAATGTTACGAAATGACCATTTCTCATAAATAGTGCATACTGCTCGCAAATACTGCAAAATCCAATGAGAAACAATCATATCTTAACATTGTCAAAAGCCTCTCAAACCAAGAAAGAATGATGCACGAAAGAAATAGGAAATGCCAAGAGCTCCATGGCTGCCTGATAGATGGTGCTGTTCTCTCGTTGTAAGTAGTCGTAAGAGGTCCCTAGGGGTTTTGAGGCACTCGGTTGTAAGCAGCTGCAAGTGTGGGAACCAGCCTTGATGTCTCTATATATTAGGCAAACCTTCATGTGGTCGAGGCAGCGGGAGTTGTCCCAACGCATGTTGATCATGCGAACGACGAAAAGGAGACCATCTGCCCAGGGCGCATTGATGGTAAGGTTGCAGGAGGAGTCCCCAGGGTACGGCAGGTGCTTGCTCAGGGTGACCACCACCGACGACCGGCCTTGGCTGTCGGACAAGTCGAGGGAAACCTCGCCGCTGGGACACTGCTCTAGGACATGATCTGTTGGTCAGGAGAGAGCACATCAGGCAACACTGTAATTTAAGCCAGCGTAGGAGTTTCCCCGAGCAATGCTCTTAGCGAAACATCAGTAGCCATTCCACATTCTGTTTCAAGTTTAAAAAAAAAGGGAGTTTTATACACAATGTCCTCCGGCTTCAGAACTTTAGAGGTCTATGATTGCGAAGAACACAAAGACTGACAGCAAAGAACACAAAGACTTTACAACTATGCTCAATCTACACCAGCTCGTTTGCATTCTTGCTTTTTGTTAATTGTCAGATGTGCTCTCCAAAAGTAATATTCCTTGAATTCTATTTTTTACTGAGCTGTTAGAAGACATATCAAGTTAAAATTAATGTATTGTATGAACCTTTATTAACTTATCATTAACTCTCCACAATGCACCTTCTCCAGGGATTAATCCCAATCGTGTAGAAATTGCTGTCGTTCTGACAGAGACACTTTTTTACAGTGTGGATTATGTCCTTTGTTGGAGAACCATTATCACCCTCGAAATGGCTCTCCAACCGCTTCGAGGGAAGCGGTTCTCCAACACGGATGTTTTTATGTATGATGTCAAGTGACCTGTGTTAATAGCAAGTTTATGCTACATGGATACAGAGTCTGGATGCCAGAGAAGGTGCATAAAACTCAATGGGAATTGTGAAAAAATTATGAAAAGTTAGAAAAGGTATACAATATAAAATATATTAATTTCATCTCGTCTGCAGATTGTAGTAGTGTGATATATAAAATCGAAAATTAAAATGTAGGATTTTCAGGACCTCATCGAGATCGTCAAGAGTACACTACAATACTGTACAAATTATAAACAGTTGCTACCGCATTGTTTGGTCACATGCTATATGCCAGTGCCTCAAAGCAGCTGTTCATGCTTTTACTTCGGCTTAATTTTTTTTTTTTGCTTTACACATTATCTGTTTTAAATGTAGTGTACGTAAAAAAAAAAGTTAAAAAAGTTTTTTTTTTTTTTTATTAAAAAAGATTTAAAACTGAACTGAGATATGGTATATGTAAATGTGTGTGTGTGAGAGAGAGAGATGGTCTGCGATTAGTTTGTGATTAGCAAGTTAATTACTGTCATAGCAGAAAAATTTACATGCCTAAAGTCACGCGCAGATGAGCAACTAAAAATCGTCGTTCAGTTAACAATGAGGCAAGCGACTGAAGGAGGATTTAACAGGCACCTTTGAATTTATACAACTAGCTTCTATTCTTTCTTGCCAGCGGCGTATGGGATTTACCCAAAACAATAAAAAAAAAATTCGAACAGCGTTACGTTGGCATCGCTGTGAAATCCGATACGGACCGAGTCTTACACGATATGAAACAGCGCGTTACCGAAACGCCGAAAACGCTCAGGATAAGCAGCCGAAGGACCGTCATTCGAAGTGGTCAAAGGAGTCACTGACCAGATGATCAGAGCACACTGCTTTTGACGCTGCAGTGTGCGGGTTCAAGCGTTCAAGCGCGCTCGGCTCAACGCCCGCACGCGGAGGGGAAAAAGAAAAGAAAGCGAAAACAAACGGTAGCAGACGACACTCTTGACGCCTCCTGGCGGGGAAAGTGTTTCAGGAAGCGCGCGAAACCCGCGAAATCCCGACTGAAAACAGATCCAATAAAACTCCGAGCCTTTCTTTCCGTCGGCAGTTCGACACGAGAGAGTCAGTACAGTCAACTGCGCGTCCGATAGACCCGAACAAAACTATTTTCACACTCTCATCGGATGTATCGCACACACCTAGTGTGCGTGTGTGCGATGTGCGTCCCTGAGCGCCCGTGGCAGCAACTGTTCGCTTCTCGCATCTCGACGCAGCAGTAAAGTAACGGAAGTAATCGTATTGCATTCGTCAGTGATCTAGGCGGAACAGAACCCGTAGACAAATCTGATTGGAAAAAGAGCTCGTCCTCTCTTTAAAGCTGACCTTGAAAGGTAAAGTGAATTTCTTTTCATTCCGTGCGAGCGCAGTGCGCGAGGGTCGTTTTTCGCTGCTTATCTTGCTTTGGCGACGCTTCCGTGCAGTCTTTTCGCCGAGTGTTGCTGAGATCGCTTTTCGGAGAATGATGACGCTCCGTGATGGATGAAAGTTGGCCCTAAAAATCGCAACGAGTCACGACTAAAAAATTATCTGGCAAGTAAATACAAACAGACGCGCTGCTACATGACGGTGTGCGAGAATGTAAAAACCCGCGCATGCGTGTTGGGGTCCCAGAGCCAGCCAGCCAGCCTTTGCTCTCGTTGCGAGACTTGTGTGGGAAATTGTGTGAGCAGTCGTCCAAGCAAGCTTGGGGTTTGGCGGCCGACTACGTTCCCGAAGCTATCGGTACGCTCTTATTTTCAAAGCCGCATCGTAGTATGGTCTTTAGTCGTGGAGAACGCAGTCCCGAGTCGCCCATTTGAGCTCATGAAAAGCGAATACGCAGGTTCATTTTGTAAACTTAGGCCTAGAGTGCGTAGCGTTTCTTGCTTTTTTTGAACCTGCCTTTAGTTTGTTTGTGCATTTTTAGGAGCTCCTCAAAATGGTGAAATAGCGCTGGACGTTATTCGACTAATTATTGATCACACCATACGTGGCATAATCGACTTTATTTTTAAATAATTCGGAACGCCAAAGGCGTGTCTTTGAGGTTTTCCATCGGTGACGCTGATGCCCGCAGCTGACCAATCTGGTTTTATTCCCGCAAGTTTTTTTTTTTCCTGAGATGCGTTTCTTTGTTTTTATTTTTTTACCAAGATAGGATAGGTGGATGTGTTTCTTTGTGGGTGCCTTTTTGCCCGACCTACCTTCGAGTTTTTCTCGTTCTCGAGATGTTGGTCGCCGGAAAGTTTGGTCTCATTCAAGTATGTCCTTTCCGCACCCGCGGCTTCTTGGTTCCCAACGAGCACATGCATACATTTCCCAATTCTTTTTCTTCTCACCGAGTCGACCATTTCGCCGAGCACAAAAAAAGCAAAACGCCGTTTTCTCTCGGTATCAGCTGTGGCTGCAAGCCTGACGACTGGTTTGTTGTTTACAACTAAAGAGCACAGCATGAGAGCTTTTGTACTTGCCGAGATCTCGCAGGAAAGCTGTGGAGCGGAGTTGCATAATTACCTTTCGCAGCTGTTCGAGAGGCACAAAAGATACGCACTGCAAACTTCGGCTAGGCTACCCCTATCGTCCTAACCGTCCAACTATCGGGGGCTTGTGCTGTTTCAACTTTCTGAATACGGAGGGGCCCATAAGCTGCGATCTAATCAAGTTCCAGCACATCTGCCGAAAAAGTCGTGACCGCTTCGTATTCTAGTGAGTTGGGTACAAGTCTCAACGGTAACAACGACCAGTCGCATCCTGAATGAGGGTTCAGCAGGAGAATGTTTTCAACGGAAACGGCGTATATCTTTTTGTCCTGTCGCTAAACTTGAAGTTTCTAAAGTCGCAACAGCCGTGTCGGTGTTTCCAATCTTTTATTTGCACTTCGTGCGTTTCGAGGCCCATCTGCTTCATTTATTATCAAAGCACTGACCTCGGTGAATGAACTGATGCCTCAATGCATTTTTCCAGAACTTGTAACATCTGCACATTGCTAGAGTACAGTTCCCATAATATAACATTCCTAGATTTGTGGACTTTGGTACCGATAAAGATTTTAAGTTAACCTTGCAGCTGCCTTTCATGTGCTTCATTCAACCTTTGCAGCACTAGTGTGCAAGTGGTTCAGTAGGTTAGCCTGAGATGAATCATTTTTGTTTTACATATACCACTTGAGTGTAGAGTAACGACTTCGCAGTTTTGTTAGGTCAACGTACAGAAAGCGGAAGCCTCAGATGTATAATAATTTTGCGGTTGCCTATAGTTTTCACTGCCTAAACTGTTGGTGCATCAGTGCGATGGACAGTTTAACCCATTTCATCCTTCTTGGGTTACCATGCACCTCAAGTGCATACCTTTGGCAATAGTGTTCAAACGAGCTTATGGTGGGTATGCGAGCGAGCAGGGGGAGAACTGTCGGCACATTTTATCACAAAAAGTATGGAAAGAGAAGACTCAACTTTTTTGCGTCAGTTTGTTGTGTTCAAGACGTTGCAAGGTTGGCTTGTTCCTATTGATAATAATGCAAGCGAGCTGGACAAGAATTATGGTAATAATTCCTAGAGAAGGGGGACAAAGGACAAACGTAAGTCTCTGAACACAGCTAGGTGACTGGTGTGCGGCCGAAAAATGGTGAAACAGAGCTGTGCTTAGAGATTTGTGTTTGTCCTTTGTCCCCCTTGTTCTCCTTCTCCAGGGATTATCATCATGTTTCTAATCTTTGGTGATAAACCATATTAATGGCTCATAAGAACGAAAGACATTGTAAATGAAGCATTCACCATGCAACCTCTCTGGCTGGTGCCCGAGATCCGACCAGTGAGATGTTGATTAGGAAACCCTTCTTGGAAGGCCTCATAGTACACATTTTGTGTAGTAGTGTGTGGTTGGTTTGGAGAAAACGGCGGTTTGTAGGTCCCTGTGCAAAACGCCTCCGTCTACTTTCAGGTCGGTCGTGCTTGTGTACGGGGGATCTGGAGGACTCCATCCATACTCCGAACAAGCTGCCATGTAAAAGTGGCCAGTGTGAGTATGCCTTGTGTATCCCGTTGCTTCATAATTTGTAGTCTCAGGCGGAATGAGGATGGCAGGGAAGTGCTGTTTTGATCCTGTCAGTAACCATGCTTTGAACATTTCAAACTTTTTCCTCACCTGCTTGAATTCTTTTTTTCCATTGTGATCAGGTTTATAATTAGGAAAGGTTCATGGGTCCTGCCAGAATTCATTTGTGTTCTAGAACATCGACCCTCTTACCCATGAATGCTGCCTCTTGTCTTGCATTTAAAAGTTTCTGGGAGCTTTCCTCAAATTCAAGTTTTCTCCCTTAGCCCTCCTCCAAGGCAATGTCCAACCGTCTGACGTAGCATGGAAACTTCAGTTCCTCAGCACCTTAGTGTCCAGTCTAATTTGCTGTTTCGTATATCCACGGTTGGCAGGTCCAAGTCTCAACAAGAGTGTTGAACCGGAACCGAACCGTACTGAAAACTGCAATCTAACCAATATTTTTAGCCAAACTGGAACTAAAAAGAAACACGTAACGGTAATCGGTTCAAGGCGGTTCACAGTATATTTTTTTTTGTTTTGTTAGCATCACAAAATGAATTTTTAAGAATAAAAATTTGGCAGCCATATATTATTTTTCAAATCGTCATATACAGAATTGCAATGTATGAGAAATTATGAGCTTTTTGTGCTTTTTTATGGGCACTATGATTTGTCATGTGGTCACGTGACGTCATGGTGTCAAGACGTGCTGTCAAGAAGCGTCGCGTCACATGGCCCTGTGGCGTCACGTGACTCTCTGCGTCAAGTTGATATAAATAAATGATCACTAGATTAATTTGCGTTGTTGACAACGTGACATCATCACGACTTCGCACTGCGAGTTATGTGGCGCGTCGTGCTCGATTATCATGAGCCCGAGTCAAGTGCTCGGGTTCATGACAATCAGCATTGAAAAACATTTGGATATGGCTCGTGTTCAATCAAAGATCAGAATAGTTGAACTCTAACAGAACTCTAACAATGTCTTAAGCTCAGCCCATGCTCTGTGCTTTGCCAACCCCAGCGCATGACTATGAACACTGACGGTATATAATTAGCGTCGGATCACATAACCGTTTGTTCCAATTGCTAGTTGAGGGGAAGCTGTTTCTTTCCTTTATTTTTTCTGCGTCGGCCATTGCACGGAGAGGAAAACTGATGGGTGTTTTTGCAAGTTATCAACATCGGGGATTCATTCTTAGCGGTATCTAGTAGAAGTACAAAAATTGTTGCACGACCCATTTACATGCACATCTATGTACAATGGGTCGTGCAACAATTTTCATCTAGGCACCCAAACATGCTTTCATTGTTGCTGAACTGCCTTAGAAAGTTGTCCAGAAAATAGAAACATTGAAAGGACTAATTGTTACTTATCAATCCAACGTTACATAGAACTAGAAGTGTGTACGGGAAGATCTTAGTGGCCTCCGATGGACAGCCCAACGTTGGCAGCCGCTCTAGGACTCGCAGGATTGTCTTTCTCAAGTTCTTTCCCAAGCTTCGACCACCTCTGTATTTTGTTTAAATTTCACTGTTTCTGGATGCTAAATGAAATGAATAGAGGATTACTATTAAGAAGTGACTCAAATATAAATGTTGATTTAACGCCCTCAGGAACAAAAGTAGCCTCTAGAGCAGGGGTGCACAACTCAAAAATTACGTGAGCCAAAAACTTTTTAATTGGGACCTGCACAGGTTTTCAGTATACATGTTTTCAATATCTGGCATCATTGCATTGGTTGCCGTCTTGAGCACATCTTAGTGTCATGTCCGCGGACTGCATGTTGTGCACCCCTGCTCTAGAGGAACACCACAAAAAAAAAGGGGGGGGGGGGGAGTTTTAAGAATGTACTGTGTTGTAGAGGTTCCTCTGCCCCGCATTTTTGGCACATGCCAAAAAGCGTCGACCCGGAAACTACTTTGTTTGCAGAAACATTTGCCGGAAAGCACATTTTCGTGGTACCGGACGCTGGCGCTGTTCCTCATGACGCTGCATCAAGCAAAAATAATTTCTCTCTCAAATACATGGCTTCCACTGAGCACGGATCTTCTGCAGCGTGCATTTTGCACCAGTGGATTTTTTTTTTTCTCAGCGAGAACAAATTGCAATGGACACCAGAATAGAGTATAATAACGTCACCTGCAAACCATGTTAAATAATTCAGTTTTCTAAAGAAATGCGATGTTCGCAAGAGGAGCAAAAGTAGATGCCCGAATTGTAAAGTTGCTCTGTATATACAGTAGTGTCGCGATGATATACGACAGCCTAATAAAATGTTAAAGCCCATGACTAATAAAGCACAAAGTTGTGAAGTGAGGGACCAAAACAAGTGCGTGTAAAACTATATAACTTTAGCCTCCCGAGGCAGTATCTCGCAAAGTTTCGAGTTCATGCAGGCTGATACCTCAATGTGATTTATGTGAGGATTATAAGAATCTATGTCTGTCCTTCGTGCTATTTGTTAGGGCTGAGAACTTAATCAATTTGCATACCAATTAATCAATTAACACTTTAATTGTGATTAGTATTTTTTAACCGGTTAATCAGTTAAATTTTTACAAAAAAGAAAAGTAAAAATTCAACATTTTCACCATGCAGATGCAGTACACTCATATGAAGGTAAACCTTAGGTGATATTTTGACTTAAAGGACACATGCAAAGGAAAAAAAAATTTTTTTTAGACAGCTTAGATGGAAAAAGGATGTCATAAAACGATTTTACAACGAAGAAACAAAATTTTTAGAGCTATATTTACGGCGCTATACGAATTTGTAGTTGGCGCTCGCGGGAGCCGCCGCTGGTCACGTGGTAGGCCCGCGCGCCGCCGCGCTGCGTCGCCGCCGCACGCTGAGCGTTGTGCGAACGCCGCTTCAACGCGTTTCTCCACGCCGCCGTCGCCGCCGCCGCGCAAGTTCGTCTGCTTCGGGGCGCCGCCGCCGTCGTCTGACCGGCGCGCTTTTTCAGGAGTTTCCTTTGGGCTCTAAAAGTTACTTATTCGTCTTGGTTTTTTGTTATACTTCAAACAAAGATGAATAAGTTACTTTTAGAGGCCATAGGAAGCTTCCGAAAGAGCGCAAGCACCACGTGATAAATAAAGACCAGTCACGTGATAAATACAGACCACTTTTCCGCAATGCCCGCGGGCGCCAACTACAAATTCGTCTTGCGCCGTAAATATAGCTCTAAAATTTTTTTTTCTTCGTTGTAAAATCGTTTTATGGCGTCCTTTTTCCATCTAAGCCGTTTAAAAAAATGTTTTTTTTCCTTTGCATGTGTCCTTTAAAGTAAGTTTTTGGGGCGAGGTTTGTAGCTCCAAACAAGTGGAGAAGGTGATATGTGTCCCATCCACTTCAATGCTGTGCGGGTGTCTATTTAGCTCAGCAGAGACTTGTTAACAATCAATGAGTTAGCTATTGCTGGAGAATATCATCATAACTCTTTACTTCTTTGGCTGAAGTAAGGGTTTGTCTGTGTAACAGTCTTTTGTCTGTTCTGAACTACACTTCAAGGTTGATTTATAATCCGAATTTGTACTTTGTGCCGTTTATCGCATAATCAGCAAGGGGCAAACATTTTTTTAAAAAACTTTTTATAATATTATGCATGGGAATGAACGACACCGATTAATCGTTTAAGAAGTGGTGATTATTCTGGTTAAAATTTTTATACAAGGCCCAGACCTACTATTTATGCGTAAATGGGAATATCATTGGATCTCTATGTATTTCTTTTTGCAGTAAGGCATCTTGGGTAGGGTTCTTTTGAAGAATACCATTTATTAACTTTTTCTTTCTGTGCATTTCGTGTAGTGGCCTTCAGATCAATCATTCAGTGAGCACAAAGTCCTTTTTGGCATACCCCGCGACCCGGTGTTTTACACTGCCAAACAGCGAACAAAAAATTGTGTTTCCATAGATCGACTTAACTGCTGGCTTGTTGGTCTTAAGCGGTTATGTGAACTTCGTACAGTCAAATTTATGGTTGATAATTAAATTGTATTTAATTACTAACTGAAGATTTGACAACAGGGTGAAGTGACCGGGAAAACCGGTCGCTAGACACCCTGCTTGGGTGTCTAGCGACCGGTTTTCTTGAAAATTTTAGTCGCAGGGAAAAATCAGGAATTGTCAGGGATATGGCCAAGAAGAGACCCCAGTTGGGGAAAATGAGGCTGAAACGCCATTGAGTACCCTGAGCAAGGACTTGGGGGCAGAAAAATATGCAGTAAATTCTGCTGAGAGCGAAGTGCGGGCTCTGCTCACCACCCGATGTAGAGTGTGCTGCCCGATGCAAAGAGAACACCCGACAAATGCAGTCCGAGCCTTGGTTTGGATTGGATTAAGGGCGCGACACTAGGCTATATCCAGTTAGAGCTACTGATTTAGTCACAAATGGGAAAGCCGCAGACCCCAATCCAAGCCTTAAGCCGAAAGTATCCCAAAGCGTGCATCTGGCGATCATGCTGCTATTCGGTTATTGATGTACCATATTTTCCGGGCTATAGTTCGCAGATTATACATGTCTAAACGTTGAAATTTTAGGCTGTGTGGACTATCTACGCGTGCATACTATGCAAGAATTTTCATTTTCAAGATCGTATATCATGAGGAGACGTGATGGATTTTGTAAGTGAAAGAGTATGTTAATAATGATTTGTGTATACAATGCGCCTCTTTGTGAGCTAAGAAAGCAGACATTTGTTAAGGTGTGCCGTCTATGAGAAGATTTTTGCGTCTACTAAGCACCAGGTGCGGACTATCGTAAGCAAGAACTTTTACTTTCGACTCCAAATTTTTCCCTGCGGACTATACACAGAGTGCGGACTAGAGCCCCGAAAATATGGTATGTGGTTGAGCGTCATGTTTTCTTGGTGTTTACGAAAGTGGCCTCTTCATTAAGGACGTCGGCGGCAAGAAAGTTCTCGTTTAATCCGGACTAGACAAACCCGAATATTTCGGAATATGCAACTTGGATTAAGTCCGTGCAAAATGATCCTCACAGTGCTCAATGCTCAATGCCTTGTGTTGGTATGGTCTTGTATAAGTATTTGACAGCCTCTAGAATGGTTAGGGAATTTCACCTGAAATTGTCAGGGAAAACCTGGAAAAGTCGGGAAATTTGAAAATAATAATTTGCTAGACACCTTGATAAAGGCCCGATCACGTTTAGCCGGGGTCACACTGCTCATACACCATACTAAAGAAAGTCTGCAAACACAAGCCATTGCGATATCTGTGGTTCTAATGCCGTGTGCCAACTTTCTCCTTGAACTCGTTGCCACGCGGCATTCGAAGCACAGATCTTGTGGTGACTCGCATTCAAAACTGTTTGCAGACTGTCTTTTGTGCGATGGGTAAGCAGTGTGACCCCGGTTTTAAAGATATACTTTATAAGTAAATGCACCCCAGAATTTTTTTAAAGATGCTTTGTAAATCTTTTTTGATGTTTTTATCCTCGATAGGCACGTGTAGAAGTGATTTGGGACAGTTAGACTCCATGGAGCGAAAAAGAGTAACAAATTTCGCCCAACGGCGTTCGCTCTGCGCGTGTTGTCGGAAAGGTGGCTGTCGCACAGTGCGCAAGGAGAATGCGCTGCCGGACGAAATTTGTCGGTTTGTGTTCAGCCTTTAAACAAATTTCTGATTATGAAGTTGATTTAAATAACCTTGGGTTCCTGACACAAATAGAACTTCTTAAACATATAAAAGTCTGTTATTGCCTCTTTTATGTGACGAGCAGGGAATTTAGGTCTGTGGGCTGCACAAAAACAAAGTACACAGGAGAACGCGTAGCAGAACTGTGACCATTACGCACGCAGACCATCACAGTGACAAATTAGGTAGCTGTCATATCGAGTAAGCATCAAATGCTACTTTCTTCTATTTATTTAAATGAAATAATCAAGAAGCAAGGGTAATGCATATTTGCAAATTGAATTGACTGGCATCTTGTCAACAAGAAAACGCAACTGCCAGTTTATGCCAGTTTTTCTTAAATAAGACAATCACTTGGGTATGTGCTATTTTATTTAGGCCATAATAGATCTGAGTACAAAGGTGCATATAGGTTAGAGTGAACAATTGTGATCACCACTTCCAGCATGATTCTTTGCCTGCAACACGGTGCTGAGTGTAAACAATATTGGTTAGGAAAGCAAGCTTTGTGATTGACTGAAAGAGCTTATTCTAAAACTTTCGTGACATTTTGAAAATATTTGTTTTAGGTCAGTTGCCTCATAATATATATTGTGAAACGCATTACGTAAACTACACTTCATGATATATGATGATGATGTGCCCATTCCATGATTTTATGCACTAATCAATTTCTTAGATCAAGAGCACAACTATGAATTAACTTTTAATACTGGCGACGCAAAGCTCTACCAATCGCGGATATTTTAGGTGACCTACCACACTTCGTGGCTATCGTTCGATTTAGGTAAAATATATGTGACCGAGGTAAACTGATGAATGTTGAGTCGTATAAACACAATATTTGGTATGTTAATCTAGATTTTCCTTTACAGTTTCCTCAACATTAAATAACACTTTCTTTTTCTTTTCGTACCTGAAAAAAAGAGAAAAAGGATTGTATGGACGATGAAAAAACTATACAGCTTAGTTACTCATTTCACGGCGAAAAATGTCTTTTGCCTAAACAACTCGGAAAATATATTATCAGTTTAGTGGTTCGAACCAGTTCGAACTGTTATTTTTGCTCCCCGGAACTGAATCGAAAGTCGTGAACCTGAACCAAACCGATAAAAATGTTGGTTCGACACTCTGGTCTCAATTGTTGCCTCTAGAAACCTCCAGAATTTTAGTTTCACGTCGTTAGTCCTCATGGAGTCTGGACTAGATCTCGGATCCCTATGGGGGTGTATTTTGTGTTTCGGTGGTCTGGGTGCTTTCCACTTTTCACGGGTTGTACGATTAGTCTACAGTTGAGATGAGAAATCCTAAGCAGTTTTATGGAAGAGCAAAATTTTTCTGATCATAATTTAAATCCCAAGGCAAGAAGGAGTACATTTTATTTGTCTTTGTCTCGAGGACTAGACTGCTCCCCAACTAGCTCACCTGTTTACTTTCTCTTCTTACACATTTCTTCATCGTTCTTAGCCTCGACTCGGGCGTGCTTGGGTCTGTACGCTTCTGGCGCGGGCTCACTGTGTCCCCTTTCCTGGTCCACTTGCAGAGCCTTGTGGTAGAGCTTGGTATGGTTTGCTGTGGGCGGACTGCCTATGGCCGACCAACCTAACAGCCAGCCAGGGGGGTTGAAGAAGCAACAGCCTCTCGCGGGAACGCGGTCTCCCATCCAAACCAGGTAAGGCCAGCCGCCCTCGGCAAGAAATGGTCGGGGTCTTCGCAGAGGGGGACCGACGTGAGCCCCGCATTTCTGTTGCACATTTGACAGTGTTTTGCTTTATTCCTCGCCGACCTTGCTTGCTTGTGACCAATTTCATAGTGTCCCCCGTGCTATGCAATCTCCTTCCTTGCATAGGAAAGGAGATTGCATAGCAGGGTAGGAAATACGTACTACTGTCGCCACCGTCTATAACAAAGTCGGTTATAACAAAATAGCGGCTATGGTGAAGTGATCACGACTTCCCGTTCACACTTTTCCCATTGTGTTTGTGTCTGTTTTTAGCGAAGGAAATTAAACAATTCCCACGAACATAGCAAAAAAAAATATTTTGTGACTATTAAAAAATAAAGTTTGGAAGGTTCATCAATTTACAGATTGCCACACTTTGCTGCCGCGGCCAAGCAGCCGCCAAAAGAGGCCGCAAAAGTGCTTCAAAGACTGCCGTCGGCAGCCTCTTTATCATCGTCTGCTCCCCGCTCCCTATCTGGGTAGCGGCTTTTTTGCATCACACATAGAGAAGCCGTAGCAACATGCCGATAGGGGCGTTCGGAGCGCTAGCGACCACCAGAGCCATGGGCCATTCATTGGGGAGCATAGGGGGCATATGAGGAAGCATCATCTGCCGAGAGCAGGCTGGGCGTGTTCTAGGCCACTCTCCGGTACAACACTGCCAGAGCTTCCCAACGTCGTACCTAAAGCCTAAAAGTTGCATTTTCAAACGGTACCCATCGCCAATTGCACGCACTCTGCTCAGAGTACCAAAAATGGCGGCGCTCACAATATATTTGGTGTGTCAAGTGTCGATATTCTTGAGCGTAGCTTGGTTAGTTGCTCAGTCGGTCTTAAGGCAGTTGGTCCTACTTGGAATGCAAATATATGTGTACGAACCTGCCCCGCAGACACGTTTTGCAGTGCAGGGCCGCAGGGGCACGATTGAAGCGCCGCGTCGTTGTCTGCAGGTCCCGCACGCGCAACTCGGCCCAGTTCGAGGGCTGCCCGTCGACGCACAACGGGATTGCATTGGACGGCCAGCAGCCGCACCCCGGAGACGTGCTCAAGCGCAACCTCGAGTCGGACGACGTGCCCCGGCAAAGCAAGAAGCACAAGGGCCACATCTGGGTCTTCAGTAAGTCGGCCCCGCCTTTGTCTTTCCCTGCAATAGAACCTGTATACAGTCCATGCGGCGCGCCGCCGCGCGGCCGTTGCCGAAGTGTATGAACACTTCCTTCATTGTTTTCTCCGCTGCGTAGCAGGGTAGGAACTGCACATTAGTGCTGTTTCATCTTTATTACATTCGATGAAACGTCAAAGCCATGCAATTTTGTTTTTCTACTACGTTGTCGAGGGTACCGCGGAGGAGACGCCAGGCAAAGCCACGCGATGGCGCAAGTGGCTCTGGCAGCGTTGGAGCACTGCAGAAACTTGGCTGCCCTCGAGAATGTGGCCCCAAAAACGACATCGAGTATAGTGTTCCTATATTTTGAAGGGGTTTGAACTGCTCTATCTTGGCTGTATGGTTTATGGGCTGCATTTTCAATCCAATGTGTGAGGAGGTGCCCAAAAATCGGAGCATCGGAGCTTTGCGCCCCTGAGCATCGGAGCTTTGCACCCCTGAGCATCGGAGCTTTGCACCCCTGAGCATTGGAGCTTTGCACCCCTCTTTTAGTTGAACCGGTTTTGTTCAAAATGTGTCCATTAGTATATGAATGCTACTTGGCACTCATGTAGACATTAAAGGGGCACTGACACATCAAAATCATATTTTTTTTTATTATCCGAAACGATTGAAAACGATGCCGGGACATTACCCTCAAAATTTGAGATTTGGGAATTCAGTATTCGTGAAGTAAAAAAACAATTTCCAAATGCCGAATTCGAAGTTCCCGCGCGATCGGCGCCGGTGCCTTGACGTCAAAAATTGAGGAGACCTGAGAGTCCCCTTTCCTGTCACCACTCCCTGCTGTTGCCATGGCGACCCAAAGCGAGGAGGATAGGAGCGAACGCCGGCTAGCGCCGGTGTTGCGGCGGACCGGTTTTGAGCGGTGTCGCCTGTTTTCCGTTGGAGGATACAAATCCAGGAGACGGCACCACAACGAACTCCCGATTTTTGGTATTTCAAAAAGAAGGGCCGTAGTGCGTTCGCAATTGCGTTAAAAAACATGTTTTAAGATTGCCGTAATTAAATGTTATAGAGATGTCGCCTACAAAGCTTCTAAATTTCCTGATTTTTGACGTCACCGATCAAAAGAAGCGAGGAGGCGAGAGGCGGGAAAATCAAACGCCAAAAATAAAAAGGCGCGCGCGCGCGCGGGAAAATTTTTTTTCGCGATGCGGTTTTTTTTGCGTGTCTATGACTGCAACTTGCATCGTTTTAGACAATAAAAATAAATACGACCTTTGGGGTGTCAGTGCCCCTTTAAAACAAGTAGTGTACGGATGCTGATTGTTTGAGTTAACATTTTCTAATGTGGGCTTTATAATTGGTAGTAACTTTACGATAGGTTTGGGGGCATGTTTAATCTACACTTTAGAGGATTAGGCATATTAAAGTTTTGCCTTAGGAGTTCCGAGCATTGCTCGAGAACTTTTCCCAAAATAAATGAGCTGCAATGTGGGAGCGGTCAGGGTCACTAAACCACCTCGACTTTCCCCCCCCCCCCCCCCCCCCCCCCCCCCCCCCCCCCCCCCCCCCCCCCCCCCCCCCGTTGTTTGGGATGTAATCTCTGGCAAGGGGCAGAAGTGGGAGAAGATAAAGGCTATCTCTTAACTATCTGGGGGTAGCCATCAGATAAGACTGGACTCACTGGCTGAAGAGCAGGAGAGCCAAGAGCCGGGGATTTGGTTTAGCAGAGAACTTTGCAGTCCTCCCGGGAAATTGAAGGCCAGCTATTTTATGTGACCCTATGCTCAGTGTTCCTTCCTAGCATCCAGTTTAAAGCTCGTTCTTGCTTTAGGTGCTTTCAGTCGCAACTTTCTGTAGTGACGGTTGCAAGGTTGTGGTGGCCATTTCTTGCTTAGCGATCCTTGTAACATCGCCTCGGAATTCAAGTTTTTGTTTCGCAATGGCGCCGCGGTCACATTGTCTTCATGGGTTAGGTCCTCTGTTTTGTTACAGTGCCTAGAGCACCTTTCCAACCGACGCATTTTAGCCCCCCCCCCCCCCCCCCCCCCCCCGCGTCAGAAATAGTTTCGAGGTGTCAACCAATTAAGCCGCAGGAACCGATGTGCGATTGATCGTCGCTATCCCGGGGCGGTTGGTCGTATAAGTTTTGTCGAAGCAAGTGAGGGAATGCACTTGTCGTCACCACGGCGTCCTGACCCCGGCTGCCGAACCTTCTGCGAACTATTGGGCCGGAGAGCAACCGACGGTGGGGCAGACGTCCGCTGCATTCACCTCCACCGCCGCAGCATCGGCTGGGATCGCCGCGGATGACAACATGATACAGATGCGATTTAGTCGGGTGAAAATCAAGGGGCTGCAAACGAGAATGCGGTGAACACAGCAGGTGCGTTCCGGGCATCATAGGTGGCGCCCGGAGCGCATCTTCGACCCGTGCGTTTCCGCGTCCTCCAACGAGGTTTCTCATTTTTCGCCTAAACGACTCGAGGAAGTGTCGTGCCCTGTAGCGATCCGGGGAGATGGTGCAGCAGCCGGGGCGAATATGTCACGCTCCCATTCGTCTATAGCCTGCTTTCGGCACGACTGCCCGGGGAAGCCTCGGTGGCGACGAGTTGGGACGGTGGCATTTTTACGACCAGCCGTCGGGACCACGACATCGGACAACCTGACGTGCTGGCTCCTTCGACGTCCTTTGTTGGCACTTCATTACCACTCTCGATGCGAGGGCGGTGCAATGTGCTAAACATTCCCGTTGGAGACGCGTTCTGTGGTTGCTGGCAGGACGTGAACGAGAGGGGACAAACTTTGACTGCCCCATCTTTCGCGTGCGCTCCCTGCTTTAGGCGACGGTTCAGTGTTTGTGAGTTTTCATTGTGCCTGCAGCTAAAGTATGGCGAAGTGCAAAGCCATGCAAAGCGCATTCCTGAGGTCTGGCGTTCAGAAGAGACGCCCGTCGTTCTCGCCTCATCGGCGGCCGTAGGCACCGTAGTTTCGCCACTGCGAGAGTAGTCTCTGTGTCTCCGAGGTAAAGAGCCGACCTACGGATCCCCGAGTGGTGGGTGCGAATCCCGGTCTAGGTGCCCCAGTCCTATAAAGGGGCCCATTGCGGAGAAGGCGGCACGTAACTGAGCTTCTGGGTTCAGGTCGAAAGGTGCCCGCAGATGTAATCAATCCTTAGCCCTCCACCGGGGCACGCCAGACACCCTTCTTAGGTCTGGCGCTTAAAACCCCCAAATTTTCTTGTCGTCTTTTGCCACCGACTGTTTATCCCGCCTCCCACAGCGGCACCGAGAGAGTTTGCACCACCTCTTGCCCCCTTTCAGAGCACCAAGGAGGCCACGGGGATCGCCAGGCGCCTCAGCCGGAGAAGGGGGGCACGAGCGGCCAGCAGGGGAGCTGCGCCGCCCTGGAGAGCGGCGGGGCGGGCCAGCAGCAGCCACAGCCGGGGCGGTCGGCGGCCAAGGGGGCCTGTGTGGGCCGGGGGTTCCCCAGGAGCGGCGCCACCACGGGTTCGTGCGCGTCGTCGTCCTCGAGCAGCAGCAGCAGCCGGCGGCGCTCGTCGCGAGTGGGCAAGCTGGGCGGCGGAGGCCCCGGGCGCGGCGCCGCCGCCATGTCTGGGGCGGACCAGGGGGCGGCCTCTTCCTCCTCCAACCACCACGAGGACGCCGCCCAGCCCAGCGGTGAGTTTCTCTGTCACCTGCTTTCGAGGTACCCCCTCCTTTTAACGCTAATTCCCACATTTGCTTTTAAATGCCGGTTCGCGCATTCACAACTGCAGAAGACCGAGCTCCTTAAAACGTCTTGGGATATCTTACGACGAAAGAAGACACCGGCATCATCTGTCAAGTGGCCATAGGCCTATTGGCATTTCCGTTAATTTCCAACATTTTTTGCACATCATAGCTCCTCGGTTTGAAAACCTTTTGACAGTCGTAAACAACCGTCTCTCGCGGATAGTACATACATTTCACCTTGCAAATTCGTAAAGCCTCTTTGCTGTAGTGAAATGCAGTCCCAGAGTCACCTCATATATGTTGCCAGCGTGCCAGTGCGTTCTCTCGTTGTGAATGATAGCAAAAAAGCGCAAACGACTACGCAAAGCGTGTTGCAATTGACAGTGGTAGCTGCTATTTGCCTTCAGCCAGTGTGCTGCACAATGTTTGCAGTAGGTTCTGCTTTCAGTAGAATCGACGTAGGAGACTTGTACGAGATTTTGAGTCTGTTGGTGAAGTTTGCGAAACACCAAAGTGCTACTGTTCTCATTCTGTTAGTGGCGAGGGGGGCATTGTCTCATGTCCACTCCCCCCCCCCCCCTCCCCCCCCGGGCTGCGAGTTGACCAGCTTGGCTCTCTCTGTTTCTGCTCTCGCACCGCTTGCATGTGCGCCTGGGGTCCTCTTCTGTGTGCCGTTTGTGCCGAGGAAGACGTGTCGTGTATGACCGCACTATGCTTTTCGAATATGTTTGTTGCCTGGCAGTTCAAGGACTACCGGTCTATTTCGAATGACAGGTCAGAAATGAGAAAGTTTAATTATTTGGAGCAAGTGGTAGTCCCTTCAGATATCGAGTTTTGTTTTTTCGTTGCTCGATGCGTCGACCCTAAACGATCAATATTATATTTTGCGTCACATTTCGTTTGTGTTCAAGCGGTAGTTAAGAAACACTGACACCCCCCAATATATTTTATTCTTTCGTGCCAGGCTATTTATTATTGTGTCAAAAGACTACCCAATCAATATTTTGCCACAGTGTCACATATATGTGTTATAAAGTAAAAAAACCCAACTGCTTGAAACCGAAACCGGACTGGGGAAGAAGAAATATAGAGGAGGAGAGAGTTAGCAAAAGTCGCGTAATTGTGCAACATTTTTTTTTTGTTCAGTCAATCAACATATTCGTGGTTTTTTAGAAGCCACAAAAAAATGATATCATATTTAATTTCTATTTTTAATATTGAGTGTACCTTCGATGACCCACGACATTGATTATATTTGTTGGTTGTGTCAAAACCATAGAAAACGGCATGCAACCACGAAAAAGAGAGTGTGACTCAAACAGGCCATTTCTTGATCAAGAGTTTTCGGGCGAAAAGAAAACGAATTTCGAGCCACAAATTGTGTTTTGGGTATTTGGGCTCTCATATGTCATGTACAGTCAAATCTTATTATTTCAAATTCGAGGGGGACCGAAAGTTTGTTTGAATTACCAGGAGTTTCCTCAAATAGACGCATAGGATGGGACCTGCATGTTAGTTTAAAATTATCCGCGAATTAAGAGTTTGAATTAATGAGATTCGACTTACAAATAAAAGCCTTGGCGAGCACAAATACCCTGTCAGTGTCCCTTTAAAGACCAATTGGAGCTTTGGGCCATTCGAATGGAGCAAACAAATAAATTTGGCCTAGCGATAAATCCTTGCCCCCCTCGACACGCCTTTACAGCTGCGAGCAGAGTTGGCGGGACTTCGGGGACGGCGGACAGCGAGTCCGATGACAACGAGATGGGGCGCCTGCAAGGTGGGTTCCCCCGTTCCGGAATAAGATCTCGCCAGCTTTGGTGACATGTGCAGCTTGCATTACTCTGGATTGCGGTTTGGACTCTGTGCCTTCCCCCATCCCCACAACCACTGGAATTTTTCATTTTTCCCCCTAACCTTTTCTTTTGCTCACCCACCTTCACAGTTGGTGCTTGGTTTCACTTCATTTGTATGCAACACACAGGGAATGGAAAACTGCATTTGGGTATGGAAGCACGACATATTGAGAACAACATGTCCCAAGGTTCGTTAGTGACGGCGAAAGTCTGCCACTGTATTAGTTCAGATACTTTGTGCGCTTTTTGTGAGCGAGGTCAGTGTGCCTTACTGCGTCGCAGAGCTCGTTTATAGCTAGTCTGTGCAATCTACAGAAGGAGCCCAACGAAGAACGAGGCAGAATAACATCTTGCACAAAAATGCCATCTGAGTGCAATGCTGGACCTGATGTTTGACGTGCCCGGAATCCATTTTTAAATAAATCTTCAAGAATGGACTCTTCCTGGGCCCCATTGTTTGCCAGGCTCTTTTGGTAGATCGCAACGTTCGGCTACACACCTGCTTTGCAAGAAAATAGGTGTGCGGGCCTTGATCATAAACCAGTACGCAAAGTGTTATGCATAGCATTTACGGAGCCAACTTAGGGTTTCTGCTTCTGTGCTGCGTAACGTCATCGGCGGTACATCACACTGGTAGTGTTGCGGTGCTTCAGACAGTTGGTGTCCGACTGGAGTTGAAACCGTGAAAAGTTCTAAAAAAAAAACCCTTGACTCGTCTTTTTTTTTTTTTTTTTTTTTTTTTATATAAGACGGACGCAATGTTTTACTGCGACATCATGTTGTGCTTTGTTTCAATTTAGCTTGGAGCGTAGCCAAAGGCTGGCGGACGGTTTACCACTTGAAAAAGAGCATTCATACTCATACAAAGTAGTTTGCGAAAGTAAAATTTTAGAAAGGCTTCATTTCTGTGCAAACATACAATTTTTCAGTTGTGTCCTGCTAAGGACTAATTATCAAAAAATAAATGACGTTCCCTTTTCTTCATGATATAGTAATGAATATGCTTCAACGAAAAACATCTACCTGCTGGCAACACTGATGCGACTACTAGTATTTACGCGATTGTAAGTCGCCTGCTCACATTGCACAACAGCGAAAAAAAAAAAAAAAAAATTTTTAGAAGCGCGTTTTACGGCGAACACGTGAGAACGGCAAGGTGTCTCTTTCAAAAGCCCAGCCTCCAGCACGCAATCGACGCCTTCTGGCGTACTTCGGTTGTGCATGAGATGCCCAGGCGTTATCGAAGCAATGAAGCTCACGCTGGAAGCAGGACAACTGAAGCTGCTCCCCGTAATTCTCACTCTGTCCGCGACTAGACTCTACAATTCGTTCGCACTGGTGATGTTAGTTCCGTCGTCATCACTGCTATGTTTGCAAAGCATGTTGTCGGCGTCGTCCAGCGAAATCTCTCACTTTGCAGATGACAGCATCTTCCACGCTCGCTCGGTGATCGGTTTGCACGTCACGGGTAGGGCAGATTCTGCGCTGTTGCGACATACGTTGCACGTCTGGCCTCCTAATCTGGAAGGCATCCCTACCTATCCAGACTTTGGCCTGCGTGAGCCTTTTCGTTTGCCGTCACAGTTAAGATCCCACACCATTGTGCAGACTCCACTGAAGCACCACCCGCAACAACGGGTTGAACTTGCATCCAGCAGCTCAGTTGTTGGTTGCTTCTAAATGAAGAAGGGCCATAAACAAGCACTTAAAACCTAAACTGCCGAAATTATGCGTGTCAATAAAAAAAAACAAAAAACATAGTTGGCGCGTTAACATGATCTCAACACTCGATCAAACGACATGCGACCGTGAACCGTGTGAAAAACTGTGAAAAGAAGTCACGGGGAGTGAGGTGCGAGGCTTTCAGCGGCCTCCGGACTAACTCTTACAAGACGTGCCGCCACCCCCGGGAGTTAGGCGTGCCGTGCATTGTTCATCGCTGTACATTCGGGCTAATTTGCGAATCACTATCAATAATACTCGTTCGAGCACATCAAAAGAAACTTGTAAAATGAGCACTCAGAATAGTGCAAAGCTACAGGTACAGCCGGCTGAACTCTCAACAAGCCGAGGTGCTCTTGATGTTGCGATTAATTTTTGTCGGCGGTGGAATGCTTTCGTTCGATTATAAGTCGACCCCGACTTCAGATTTTGAAAATGGCTCGACCTACATTTGTGTCAATACAATACTCGGTCTTTTCCGTGCGATTTTGTGTTCTCAACGGTTGAATCATGGGCCTCAAGTTCAACGCTTTCCTCGCCAAGTTGCTGGACGTCCTTCGGCTTTCTGTTTTCCTAATTTCCACCGACATTACAAGATAAGAAGAAAGGCACGTTTGGGCGTCAGGTGCGAGATTGTGATGAATGTGTACTCTACCTAAGGACTCTCAAACCACGTCATACTGCAAAGTTGTTCAACGAACATCGGAGCTAACAGACGTATAGAAGTCTACAAAAAGGTGGTCCACCGATGGTGGGAAATGCTCTCCGATGAAAAACTGGTCAAAATCGGGTGGAGCGCCGAGAAAACTAATACTCTAGTGTGACCGGAGAAACGCAGTATGCTTTTGTTGCTGTAATGCGTTTGCTGAGAGAGGGTGTGCTCCTTTGTTTTACATCGGAAACTGGGCAGCAGTCTACACAGAGAGCTTGCTCAACCCGCTTTTTCCGTTAGTTCCGGACTGCATCGTGGCAGATCCATCTGGGCACCGAACGTTACCACCTTTCGTGTTCCAGCCCCAGCCTTCCTCTGCCGGCTGTGCGACGTCCCTCCGCGATGCCCAGCAGCCATCGCACTGAACCAAAGTTTTATTCCAGGACACGAAATGGCGTTTTTAATTATGTAGCAGACGATTCTGTTGATACTCCCATAGCAGATGAAATGTCTCTCTTCGACTTGTCTGCACCTCTGCACAGATTCTGAGCGCAGTGATATACGAAGTGCAGGTGAGGTCGCGTCCTATCGCCGGCGTTTGATTGGCCCCGGCGACCCGTAGCTTTGGCCACGCTCGGAACTAAGCTAAAACGGAGTATACCATGTGATGCCAAGACTTCGGGTAACAAGATGATGTGACTTAACATCGCCCGACACTATAATGTCATGTGACGTGGAGTTGCGTCATGTTATGCAAGATCCCCTGACGACCTACTTCTCCGATGGCAAAGCCACATGGTCATGTGACTTAAGGTCACATGACCACACGCTTTTCTAACGGTGGCGTCGTGCGACACCGTGATGTCCGGCAACTCTGCGAAGGAGGTCTGATGACATTGTGACTTCGCAGAAGATGTAAATTTTATGCATTTAAAGCACCCTTGTGATGTACCAAAGTGACGCGCAGTTTTCGAGCGCATCTGGCGCATTCGAGGTGCCGGGCCCCGTGTCCCCTCAACTGCAGTCCCGGGTCGTCCCGCACATTCTGCCGGACTGCCACCGGGCCTGCTCAAGCCATGCTTATCTCCTTTTGTTCTCTGCTTGCAGCCCTGCTAGAGGCCAGGGGCTTGCCACCTCACCTGTTTGGTGCCCTGGGTCCACGCATGCAGCACTTCCTGCATCGATCCATCGGCAGCAGCGCTAGTGAGTCGCCCTTTGGTGGCGGGGCCTGTGGTCGCAGGAGGGAACGGGGAGCGTGGCATTGCGCTGCTTCTGTTGTGCGGCTCGACACACGGTCACTGGCAGAACGAGAATGGCAGGAAGGTCTTTCGGTCGTCCCGGTGCGAGCTTTGAGTGCACGCATGCTGTTGAGCCATGATCGAAGGCAATGAGTTTGTGCCGGAGGTTGGATGTCCGAAAGAGACGCTTTCCCAGTCTTGTCCTGACGGTGACTGTATGGAGAGGCGTCGCAACATACCTTTGTGGTGCCATACGCTCGCATCAATTCTCGTTTTTGGGGGGGGGAGTGCAGTGGCCGTCGAGTCAGCCGAGAAAAAAAAGGGGCAACCTTCTTATTGATGTTGTTTTCTAAACTTTGTGGGCACATGTAGAATACTTCTGGATGTCGTTGCTCATTCGAAGGGCTGTCTGCTATACCCACAGGGTGACCTGCGGCAAACCTAACGAGACTCTGCTGCCTGGAGATTTCCAAGCAAATGTCGGTGGAATGCCAGCCGAGGTGGCGTTGAGTTTGCTACGAGACTTTGCACGATTCTTGGAGTGCAGTGGAGGCGCCTGCACGATGTGCTTCCTTGTGGCGTCTTGCCCACGTTGAAATAAGTTGCTTATCCTGGTATAGCCGCCCTGGTGTTCGCTATTCTGTCCTACGATGCAGAATCTCTTTTAACGGTAGTGAAGTTGGTAAGGTGTGTAAACATAGCCTCGCCGTGCTGTCATTGGCTAATATTAGCGAGCTAACTTTCTGCTCAAACTATCGGGACGCTGCTAGGGTCACGTGACCATGTGACATGCGTCTGGCCACACTAGGTCCACGTCTCCCGCGACGTCATGTCACGTGACATTACCTTGTCATGTCGTGTCAGTTATGTAATCCCAAGCTGTCGCGTTGCATCATGGCTTGACACCCAACACTACTAGATCCAATAACGTTGACACGACAACTTTGCACTGCGATGTCATGCTGCCTGACGTCCTGCTTTACGCTGCCCAGATTTGCACATACAGTGTAGACCGCATATAACGTATGTCGCGGGAGTCGCGAAAATACGCACTGTAAGCGGTACCGCGCTATAACCAAAACATCAATTTTTCAGGCCAAAATATATGCCATGAGGTAACTTACATTTGTAAAACAATGTATGAAAAATGAAGCTTAGTTTAAGGAAAGTCTTTATTTCACCAGACTAGTACACTTCTCTCTCGAGTGTGTCACAGATTTTGAAAGAAATGAGTGACTTTCGCCTGGCGCAGCCTTTTAACGGCGTCGCAAGTTGCGGACGGACGTTGCGCACGGACGTTGTGAGCGTTCAGGGTTGCTAACCCTAATCACTTTTCTCCAGTGATGAAAATGCGTGAAATTTCGCATCCTTTATACGGTACGCGCATGAAATGCACCAAAAAAGGCATGAAATGCTCCAAATAAGCGATTCGGGTGATGTTCGAAAACACAAACGCTTAGAAAGCACCACTGTAGTCGAAGTAAACAAACACGACGACACGGGCGTTTCTGCTGTCTTGATAGTGCCGCCACGACATCGCCGCGTGAGTAGGTGGATCTTCCCTTCTAGTACGTGCTGGGTTATCATAGCGACACACAACGAAAATTCACAGTCAAGGATAGTGCTTTTACGCGGAACGATGAGCTTGCCGTCGACGTCGACGATTACCACCGACGCCATGTTTGCGGATAGAAGCCGACCAGCATGCAACGCGCGCGAACGGCTGGTTGGGCTGGGCTCGCCAATGCCTTGCGCCGTGAACACTGGCCGTGAACGACAAACGACACTTGCGTGCGTCCCTTTGTCGCTATGGCAACTGAAGCCCCTCTCTTCGCTTCTCCCCTTGTCCCCACTTCTTCGAGCAACCTCCTTTCCATCCTTGCCCCTGCAAGTGCCGCTTGCGGCTGGCGCCGTTATCTGGTGTCACACAGGAAAGCGCGCTCGCTGCGCCAGTCGGCGCGCTGCTCCAGAAACCGCACTATAACCGGTATTTCCCTTCGCGCGCCTACATTTTAAGCGGTATGTAATTACATAGAGTTCTATGGGAGGCGAACCGGTGGTTTAAAAAAGCCGCGTTATACCCGGTCCTGCACTATAAGCGGTTACGTTGTAAGTGGTCTATACTGTACCTTGCTGATGCATTCTGTGTTGCGGACGTTTAAGGGTTGGGCCAAGGGGCGCTTTTCTTTCCTCGACGTCCCACTCTTCCAAAGCATGAGCCGCTTGCGTGCGATTGCAGGCAGCCGCGCCCAGCAGCTGCTGTCGGGGCTCCAGTGCGGGGAGGAGGGCCAGCAGCTGCAGGCCACCATGGAGATGTGCCAGCTACTGGTGATGGGCAACGAGGACACCCTGGCGGGCTTCCCCGTCAAGCAGGTGGTGCCCGCCCTGGTGGCCCTCCTGGCCCTGGACCACAACTTCGACCTCATGAACCACGCCTGCCGGGCCCTCACCTACATGATGGAGGCCCTGCCCCGGTCCTCTGCCGTCGTCGTTGACGCCCTGCCGGCCTTCCTTGAGAAGGTACAGGGTGCTCTGTGAGATGGTTCAGCGTCAATATGAGCTGGTACGGTGGAAATGCCGTACAGGAACACTGGGACCCGGGTTCTAGCATTCTAGCAGGAACTAGCATTCTGGAGGCACCCCGTGTGGCCTAGTGTCCCCTTCAGCTAGCACCCTACTATCCTGGCCTGTACTGCTGCAAACTGTGCTACCACAGTGGTTGCATTCTGGATTTACTCGATCTCGCTCCAAAGTAAAGGTTTCCTACCTCAGTGTTTGCAAACCTATGCGGAGGGCAAGTTCGTCTGCTTCTTGCGCAGGGGGTAGCGGTGACGTCAGAACGCGGCCGCTTCTGCTTCTCTCAATGCCTAGGAACATGGGACCCGCTCTTTATTCCGTTAAATCGGGAACTTTGTAAAATCGAGGAAGGTATAGCTTGCGCATAAGCTGCGCGGGGAATCCATATTTTTTTGTTAAATCGGAAAATTCATAAAATCTGGTTTTGTTAAATCGAGGTTCAACTGTATATCGTCGATGGTTGCAATCTCGGCAGTAGCGAAACGTGGCCTTCCACGCCAGTGCATTGCAGGCGAACTAAGGGAGCGAAAGAATAACATGCGTGCTTTCGCATTCACAACTCGTAAGAAGTGCTTAGGTGTCCCCGGAATTTTTCTCTCCGACCTTCCGTTTGACGAGAGGGCAGTGGAGCAACGCCTTTTAGGAAGAGAGGCAATGGTCGTCTCTTGTACAAAAACTGTGAAAAGCTTCCTGTCGGCCAGACTCTGAACGCCCATAATGTTTGATTCAAGATGCCATTTTCGTATAAACATTTCTTTGTTTTCTAATAGAACCGTAAATAAAATTTTAGCGTTGTTTGTGTTTGTACAAGCCGAGCTTCTTCGCGAGCTTACGGAAGATTCGAGAAGCACTTGCCAGTTAGTGTACCTTTTAGCTCGACTAGAGAGAACACTCATTCGTTGTAAGTATGCGCAAGTTATGGACGGGCGCGGCCAAGGGGGCCGCACATTGGGAATTGTGCGTAACGTGACGGAACCTTGCGCAGGATTCCTAAGAACCGCCTTTGTAGTGCTCGCTTGACTGACATGACTTAAGTGGTGTGGTCAGAGTGCCGGATTTGCTATGTTGCCTAACGGAGACCAGCGCAGGGCACACGTTGGACACGAGTGCTGCGTCTGCATTTGGCTGGGACTCGCATTTCATCGGTGATGACACTGATCCTGTTTGAACGCTGACATAACTGACATAACAGCCTTGTTTAACCTGTGACCCCCACCGACCTCTGCTAGGCAAAAGCGAAAATCCAGCGCTACGTCTGTGGCGCTTGGAACGGGTCTCAGACTGGTGTGCTTGCCATGTCCGAAGAAGCGTCTCCTTTATTTCTGCCTCGCGACGTCATTGGCCTGACACCCCGGCTTTTGCGACCTCATTTGTATCCACTTTGGGACCACTTTCGATGCTTAGGTGGAAAACATTGATCGGAAAACTGTTAAAGACACTGTTCTACGACCGTGTTATCCGAGTGTTGAGTCAAGGCAAGGGATTGTGGCCGAAACTCTGTTTCTTTTCTGCCGCAGCTCCAGGTGATTCAGTGCATGGACGTGGCCGAGCAGTCGTTGACTGCGCTGGAGATGCTGTCCCGTCGGCACAGCAAGGCCATCCTGCATGCCGTGAGCCCTACTCTTTTTACTTTACCGGCAATAGTTGTTATGGGCTCTTCCCGCCTCTAAGAATGATGTCTGTCACTATACTCCGCGACAACTTTTTTTTGGCAATGCAGTGGAAGGTACAGGCCCGTGTCCCCTCTCCAATTTTGAGTGTACGCAGGCTCTCCTCTTCCCCGATTTCCGGGGAGAGGAGGAGAGCCCGCGCACACTCAAAATGGGAGAGGGGACGCGGGCCTGTACCTTCCACTGCATTGCCAAGAAAAGTTGTCGCGGAGTATTGTGTCGTAGTCGTTGTAGTAGTGCGTAGGCATGGGGAGTCTGTCGTCGGCATTGCCGAATCCCCAAAGAAAATTGCCCGCGTCCCACGGGGTTCAATCCCGTGGGACGCGGGATACAATATGGGATATTGTATGGGATACAATCTACTGAAGTGTGCTGTATTTATTTGAACCGACACGCCATAACAAAAAATGAAGTGTGTAGGCACTGGCGGCAAGTTTTCGGTGTTTATGGACTGCTAGTCACGGGCGCTACCTATCTTGTTATTGTGGCTGCTGTCGCTCTTGCCATTGTCTGAAGCCGCCTCGTATCCGTGAGCAATGTCAAATCTCTTTGAGACAATTGGAGGTCTTCAATATCGCTTTTGTCTGAGCTACTGCAAGAAACTGCTCTTTTCTGGAGACATTGCCGCCGCGGGGATTCCTCATGCGTGCCACCATTTTTAAATCTGTTACCAGGCCACCGACCGTTGTTGGACCACACGCGGCAAAGGTGCAAAACCCTGTTTTTTCTTTTCGAGACTTCTACCGCCCTCTCGCGTTAAAAAGGGAAACCGAAATCAATTACCGACTGCAACTCGTCTTTGGCGCAGAGAGCAGCACACCATCGGGGTGAATGAGTGCGACTCGTCATAGGCGATATTTGCACAAACTCCGACAACTAGTAAAACTTGGGCCTGGGGGTTAAAAGGTCGAGTGCCAGATACAGCAAAGATATATCCATTTAGAAACGATTTGAAAACTTTGCCACCAAGTTCTTTCACTGTTATAGAGGACGAAAAATGATAAGTATATATGCTGCCACTGTTTCTATCTCGGTGGACGTGTGTGAAGACTACTTGGGTGGTTTCATTTGAAATCGAACACGCTTGTCGGGGTGGGTCTTTTGATTTTTTTTTGAAAAAATATATGTAATTGCCCCATTTCTGGAAAGAACAATACCGCTTTCCAAAATTTTTTAAAAAAATATTTCGCTTCACAAAAAATTATTGAGTGGAGCAGGGTGAAAATGTGTTTTTTACTGCGTGATTTTTCTACCCAGTTCTGTACGCTGGTATGAATACGGGAAGCATGCAAAACTCGCAGTAATTTTTTCTGCTCTTGTATGTTGTTTGGACTATTTTTTAGTTCAAAGGAAAATACTTTTGTAGTTTTGTTTATTGAGGTAAAAAATGCCAAACATTGTCTCTTGGACAATCCGGTGACATCTTCAGAGCCTTGTAACTCATGAGTTATTATATTTGTCACTTACTAAATACTATGCGAGTGTAGCCCTATACATGGGCTATCGACGGGAATAATTTTTGTTTATTTTATTTTCACTGAATTTTTTATATAAAATTTGAAATATCGTCGAAAATGAAATTAACCGATATTTTGAACCTACTTTATCGAAAAAAGACATTTATTATTTCGTTCAATTTTTTTATTATTGCTGCCGATCATATGAAATTTCAACTTGCTTGATGCGATTTCCCCCTTTTTTTTGTTGTATCTTCTGTAGAGGTGATCGAAATCGCTCCCACGTTCTCAGAACAGCCAAACGCAGTTTTCGCAGTTCGTCTTCGCTGCGAAGACTATACTGCTTATTTGTGTGTTCAAATGCAGCGGTTAAATACATTTTGATTGAGAACACTTGTGCTTGGCTACCTTGTATTTTATTAATTCTTTATGATGGCAACTGACATTCCTTAGTCTGATATTTAGCGGTGCAACGGATGTTCCATTATCCGATGTTAAAAGCCAGGGCACAAAGGGCGGAGAAAACGGAACGAGCTTTTCATGTAGCTAGACCGGGGTCATATATCTGTTTGTGCTATACACAGCTTGTAAGGCACGTACAGCACGCCTGGCCCTTCGCGCTATAGGCCCATCTTCGTTGCACCCAGGAAGCATCCGGCCTGGGCGCCAATCCATGATGCGTCTTGTCGCGTGCGATCAAGGAACCGTGTAATTGCCTGTTCTTTATTGTCAGCGTGTATATCAAAACTATGTAATATCACATGCCCTTCTTTAAGAAGGAAAAGCAGTTTGCAGAAAAAAGTGGGGAAAACGGACTGAGTTTACATGAAGCGAAGACAATTTTTTACAGAACACAAACACCAATTGGCGATAAATAGCCACTTTTATTAGTTAATGCTAATATATTTAGGATGCACTTGTAAAACAATATGTTGTTGTGCTTTAAATAGTCCAGTTCACGAGCAGCGCAATATTGGAACTTTTTGACAACGGCATCGGCTTGCCTGTAGAGACGATAGAGCGCGCGCGGGGCGAGCTGAACTTTGTACTGCAGCGGTAGGATGCCCCCGAGAAGTTCAACAGCGTCGTAAGTCGAGGCGGACAGAATGAAAACTGGAGCCAAAGCGAGAACCTGAGACGGTGGCCTTTCTGTTTGAACGAGTGCGTGCAGTTAAAAATAAGTGTTGGGTTTTGTTCAAGATTGATCGATATCTCTGATGCCAAGTAGCAAGGATTCCCACATGCACAGAAGGCAGCGAAAGCAGTTACTCAATGTCTCTGCAGGCTTTTAGTTTCTCCACTTTGTCGCACCGTGCTTAATGCAAAGATTGTACAGGTATGACCCCCGTCTGGCTACATGAAGAGCTCGTTCCGTTCTCTCCGCCCTTTGCGCCCTGGCTTTAAACATCGAGTAATGGAACATCCGGTGCACCGCTAAATATCAGACTAAGGAATGTCAGTTGCCATCATTAAAAATCAATAAAATACATTGTAGCCAAGCACGAGTGCTCTCAATCGAAATGAATTTACCCGCTGCATTTGAACACACAAATAAGCAGTATAATTTTTGCAGCGAAGCCGACCTGCGGAAACTGCGTTTGGCCGTTCAGAGAACGTGGGAGCGATTTCGATCACTTCTTGAGAAGATAAAACAAGAAAAGGGGGAAATAGCATCAAGCCAATTGAAAGTTCATATAATCGGCAGCAATAATAAAAAAAAAACGAAATAATAAGTGGCCTTTTTGAATAAAGTGGGTTCAAAATATCAATTAATTTCATTTTCGACGATATTTCAAATTTTATATAAAAAATGCAGTGAAAATAAAATAAAAAAAAACTTATGCCTGTTGATAGTCCATGTATAGGGCTACACCCGCATAGTATTTAATAAGTGACAAATATAATAACTCATGAGTTACAAGGCTTTGAAGATGTCACCGGATTGTCAAAGAGACAATGTTTGGCATATTTTACCTCAATAAAAAAAAAACTACAAAAGTATTTTGCTTTAAACAAAAAAATAGTACAAATAACATACAAACGCACAAAAAATTCCTGTGAGTTTTGTATGCTTCCCGCATTCATACCAGCGTACAGAACTGGGTAGAAAAATCACGGAGTAAAAAACAGATTTTCACCCTACTCCACTCAATAATTTTTTGTGAAGCGAAATATATTTTTAAAAAATTTTGAGAAGCAGTTTTGTTCTTTCCAGAAATGGGGCAATTACATATATTTTTTCAAAAAAAATCGAAAGACCCACCTTGACAAGCGTGTTCGATTTCAAATGAAACCACCCACTTATATTTTAATGCCTTTCATTTGTGTTTGCTGGAATGTACAGCACGCAACATGTTATAAGCTGCGTAACGCGAGCCATTTTTTTTTTTTAGGCATTTTAAGACATCCATGTCAAGTGTTTTAAGGTATTTGCAGAAGTTGCACGTCCATGCTTTGTTACTTAACTTGCAGAAGTGTAAGGGTATGAGTGGCCAATTGTCATCTGTGTCATTCGAGTTCACAAAGTGATGTTCGATTGCCTTTCTCCGACACCGCTGTTGGTAAACAACCCTAAATCGAAACTTTTTCATCCTTTTTTCTTTGTTTTTAAGGTTTTCTTACACAATATGCAAGTCATTGCAACACTCTAATAATGAGCTGTACATACCGTGTGACGCGATACAGTCCAAGGGGTGCTTGTTTGCTGAGTATATCAAGTTAAACACCGTATTCGACCCACGGAAGAAAACAACGAGGACTTCTTCCCATCCACCGAAGGATGTCCGAGGCAGATGGGAGCTGACGCCATCTCTCTCCTTCCCCTCCTGCAGCGCGGGGTGTCTGCCTGCCTGACGTACCTGGATTTCTTCTCGATCAGCGCCCAGCGGGCGGCCCTGACCATAGCTGCCAACTGCTGCCAGAGCCTGGGGCCCGAGGAGTTCCCCCTGGTGGGGGACTCGGTGGCCCTCCTCAGCGGCCGCCTGTCGGCCAGCGACCGCAAGTCTGTCGAGAGCGCCTGCCTCGCTCTGGCGCGCCTCGTCGACTGCCTCGCAGGCCACAGGGGTTTGCTGCAGGAGGTCGCCTCTCAGGTGGGACTGTCCTCCTCTTGCTTTGCTTCTTTGCGGCCATAGGGTTTATGTGAAACCGCCCTTTTTTAGGCGCTTGTTCCCGTGTTTCGTTGTCGTCAACTTAACCATACATGTTGCACTTTCCTCGCTAAATTTAGCGGTAAAACTGATGTCTTGTGACCTCAATGGAATTCAGTTTCCCCGCTAAATTGAATGTTAATTCTCCAGCTAAATCTACCAGGGAAACTGGGAGGTGTGGAGGTTATGGAGGAGAAATAGCATCAGCTCCTTTGTACCTTCCCCTTCTCCTCCGTACCCTCTTGTCACGGTACATCGCGAATTCAAAATACCTGAAGAGCTGCAGTCTAATTTCGCATTACGGGGATTTGTAAACGTCATTCAATTTTTCGGTATATCCTAAAAGCACTCTAAATATGCGGCATTTATAGGTCCCCTGGGACGTCGCGGTGCCACCCGACATCGCTGTGGCGTGGACATTACATCATGTGACCATATGACTGGATGTCTGATCATATCGTGACACCATGACATCAGTGTCGCATGTCATCATGGTGTCACATGATGTCACGGTGGCACGGGACAGCCGTCACTCTGATGACTTAACGCAAGCACCGTGACGTCATCAAAGTGCTCACATGATGAAGTCTCGGTAGACCTCTTGGAACGCCGGTCACGTCGTGTGAACACCGTGATGTCGCCGTCTAGGCTTTTCGCAAATGCTGGCCCTATAAATGCTGTGCATTTTATAAATCTGGAGAAATAGTTCCACCATGTTGGAATGCACTTAGACAGTCTTGAAACGGCGGGCGGGGCATAGAGGCAGGTGTCGGTGGTCCCAAGGTCCAGATCGCTCGCTTCAGCTAACACAGAAGGAGCAAACTGTAGTTGGCATGGTCGGTACCTGGTCTTTTAGGGCGCAGCTCTTAGGCACCCACTTCTGTGTTTTGCGGCGTCGGCGTAACTGCGCTATATTTAGCGGGAAAATTGATGTGATGTGTAGGAATTCGCGTACCGCCACCGATTCGCCATTTCCCACGTGGTCCGTCAACAACCAGAGTCCAGCCTGGTTCTTCCACGGGAGCAGGATTCCTCTCCCCATTTATTGGTACATAAAACACAACGCTACAAAACACTTAATGTAAACTATAAATACACGAATATTTACAAATGCACGTGAAGCCCAAAGCTAAACACAAAGAGGGCCCCCAGGCCTCGTGTCCCATGATTACCCTAGATCCGGTTGCCACACACTTGCCTGGGCTCGGTAGCGTCCGTAGTTCTAAGAGGCTCTTCGCCCCCTGGTCCACCGAGTATATCTCGATCGATGGGCGAGGAAGTTTCTCCCTGTTTGCCATGGGGCGCCTGCAGCGCCATCCAGTGGCTAGGAGAGAAAGGGGCACGTTGGGAGCCGAATAAGAGATCCTGATCGACCCCGCAGCGACACAACCATGTGATCGTGTCTGAGGCAAGGCAACTACATAGCTGCCTCGCGGCACCTATGCCAGAGTGGTTTAATGGGCGCCCTCATGAATGCACGGTGTGCCATACTTGTGACCTCAACACCACTTCAATTCCCCGCTAAATTTAGCGGTGAATTGGCACCAAGTCATGCAACGTCATTTTGTCTGCTAAATTTAGCGAGTGAACTGAATTGGTGTTGAGTTCACATGGCATCAATTTTTTAGCTAAATTTAGTGGGGAAACTGTGGGTATCAAAATAATTTGTCACATAGTGTTTACTATTCTATTCAATTTGAGCGTGTGGAAATCTTGAACAGAGTACACCGAGACCTCTTGCCTTCTTCACCTTCCGAAAGCATGTTGCGACCGCAGCCAACAGTTTGCGGTACATTGTCAAACAAATGGAGGGGGTGGAGTGATAAAGCAGATCAGGATGTGTCACTGTAAAGAGTGAACGCGAAGGAAAGCATGATTGGAAAGAAGCAAAGGGGGTGAAAGCAATGAAAGGCAGCACTACCCATGAAGGAGATTCAACAAAGGATGCACACACCCGGCACAGTTTTGTTTTCATGTTTCTCCTGCTCTTGACAAAGGCATGCACCTAGGTCATTGTCACGTTTCATGTGATTCAAACTTCTAATGCATCGTTTTTATGGGGAGTTTGCCGGGCCCTCTCCAAATCGTGGTAAAAGTGAGGGACGTCTCGTAAACGAAGGACACAAAATCGGGGTTCCACCGTAGTAAGTCTAGCTCCAGAGGGCCCAGATTTCAGCAGTTAGTTTAGGATTGTAAAACATGTTCCCGAATATGTGCGGTGCCTTCGATGCTCGGAGTTCTTCTCTGAAATGCTGGGTGGCACTTTCCTCCTTGTGTATGCAGGGCTTGCTGCAGGCTGCCCAAGGTCTGCTGGCCCTGTCTCCTCCCCCTGTGTCGTCGGCCACCTTCGTTATGGTGGTGCGCATGCTGGCCGTGCTCTGTGCCGCCTGCCCCCACCTGGCCGTGCAACTCCTCAAGAACAGTGCGTCCTCTGCCTTCACCATTCTGTCTTGTCTCTGTGGGGTGTAGAGGTGAAACGAAGTGTTTGAAAAAGGACAGGGCTGCCCCATATTTGCTATCTTTGTGCGTCATTGTGCTAAACGTGGAGGAAGCTTGATAGGATAGCAAGTGGTGGCAGGGACCCTTGTAGTAGTTGTGTGCATGCCTTCTTTACTCTGGTGTATGGTACACTCTCGTAGAGTAACATTGTCTGAGGGCGGACACTACTCTTGATGGTTTTTCTGTAGTTTCTTGTCTGATCTAGATGAAGTTCTTGCAGTTTCTGCATTATTTTATGTGCTAAGTGCAGACAGGAGCTCATTTTTTTCCTATCTGCATTCAGTTTCCAGAACAATTTCAACTTCACGGCAGTTGTCTCTGTCCCCTTCTTAACAATACCTGCTGCAAGTCTCAGTCCTGACAAAATTGTTTTTGTGGAAACTTCCTGTCAGTAGCTTGATGCATACAAACCCTAGTTTATTTCTGAAGCGTCGTAATTGTCTTCGTTGCTTTCATTCTTTCGCTGCAGACATAGCCGAGACTCTCCGCTTTCTTCTCATGGGAAACTCGGATCCTTTGGGAGATGACATTGAGGTAACTACTTTTTCATTGTTTTCGTGAGCATAAAAAATAAAGCCAACTAGCTTGAAAATGCTACTACTTTTTCTGTGTTTCTACTCTCATGTGTCTATTTTTTCGTGCTCTGCACCCACTTCTCTACATCCAATTTTTTGCGGTCGCCAAAAAAATGAATGTCTTTTTGCTGTGTCTCCCCACAGCTTGTTCCACGAAGTCCCCAGGAACTCTACGAGATCACCTCCTTGATTGCGTAAGTCTTGTCTGCGCTGCACGTTTTCAGTGGTTGTAATACAAAATTGACTGTTACAGGCTAAAACAAAGGCAGGGCGGTCGCATTGAACACTTGCAGATCTTCACTTCTTCGGTCACTTAAACTCTGAGCCAAGGAACGCTCAGCATTGAGCCAATTGTCCCTTTCATAGTTACATTGCAGCTCATCCTTCTTCAGTTATCTTTTTCGTAGGGGTGAAAAACAGCCTTTCTACTCTCGTGAAGAAGGAAGACCAGCGGAGCTGTACTCGATACACTGCCGCAACACGCACGCTCCCGATTCTTCGTCGTCGTTTGTTTTTCGAGCTGTTTCCTACGATGAATTCCCGCCAACGCGCCCAACTATCCATTCTTCTATTTTAGCTGGAAAGGCCGCTGCCATCTACGAGCGACAGTGGAAACCGTATTGGTTGTGTGCTTGCCGCCGTCGCTTATAGATGGCGGTAGCTGTCCAGGTAGGTTTGTGTCGACATACACGGACACGATCCTGGGGAACTTAGCCCTGAACAGCTCCGCTGTAAAAAGATTGGCTCTGTACAAAGTCTTGGACATTCCCGTTCCCTTCTATTTTCTAGAAATAAATATCTGGGCCTCTTGCGTCCTGCACTGATAAGACTGTATTTAGTATCAATGCTAAAATAAACGAGACTTCTATTTTAGCGTAGGCCCTGTGGAGAAAGCCTGAAGCCCCCGAAGTATCACCATAGTGGTTAGTTGCATTAGCTGATTCATCCTGAGGCTTGGTGAAAGCACCAGAGCAGACGGGTTGGACAATACAAGGCACCTTGTATCGCTCGACCCGTCCCGTGCCATTCTTTTTTGGCGCTTCTTTTCAAACTTCCTAAATATGAACAGGGAAAGGCGTGGGAGTGTAGAGGCGTGATTGTGGCCCCATGGGTGCGACCGAGGTTGAGGCCCTGTTCCGACGCAGGGAGCTGATGCCCGTGCTGCCCCAAGACGGCATCTTCGTGGTGGATTCGTTGCTGGTGAAGCCCAACGCCCACCAGACGGATGCCGTGCTCTGGAAGTGGAGGGATGACCGGGGCCTCTGGCACCCGTACTCCTCCATTGACTGCAAGATCATTGAGGTATGAAGGACGGCAGACTTCCTGCTTTGACTCATCTTTATGTTTGAAAGCTCTCTCGACTTCCAAAGTTTGACGCCTTGACTCTTTGGGAGAACGCGCTTTGTTTTGCATCTTGGCATTAGTCGAGTTTGAAAAAGATAGTCTAACTAGGGTCCTGCATTTTCAGTAATGTTAGATTTACCATATTTTTGCAATTCTAAGCACTCCCTACTTTCAGACAGTCACCTGAAAAAAAGCTTTTATGCGAATGTAAGTACCCCCCTCCCATACAAGAAATTTAAAATTGGAGACGCCGGTATCGTCTTGCTATCCGTGAAACTAGAGCGCCACTCTCAAACGGTCGCTGGTGCTTGGTTTCGACATAAGTTAATAGATGGCAGCACATAGCACCACTTTCCGCTGTCGCAACCATGCAGGTGCATTACCATATTCTTTTTAAAAGATGTTTGGTCTGTTCAGTCTCTTTGTGCCTGTTGTAGTCGGTTACCGCTCTCTTCAGGATAAGGGCCAAAAAGCCCTTATCCTGTTTTCTTGTCATCAGTGTCTTTTACATACTTCAAGTGTTCAAGTCATGCACCATGTTCCCAGGAAGTTGGCAAATCCGACGGTTATGTCTCAATTTCTGTAACATGCCTCAATAACTGCCAATTTTTTTTTGTTCAACATAAAAAGTTTGCATTGAAATGCATCGAATCTGTGGGAAAAAATGAGCCCCTGAAAAAACGCTTGTGGGTTCTGAGAAGTGGAAGCCTTAAGATACGGAACTCTGTTGATAATTGGTAATTTGAAAAGCACTTTTTTTTTTTCTTACACACCTTCTTTCTTTCTGCTCATGGGGCCTGCAGGCGGCCCACCAGTCTGGAGAGGACGAAATCAGCCTGTCGACGATGGGCAAGACATACACCATCGACTTCAACCTGATGCAGCAGATCAACGAGGACACTGGCACTGCCAGGCTAGTCCAGAGGGTCAACAACCAGGGCGTGGCTCAGAGTAAGTCGCCCACCGCCCTCCTCGCCCTTCGACGGAACGTCGTAGACGAGGTTTTTTGGCCGCCCTTGGCATGAAATTGTCGTTGGTCTTAGTGGGACGAAGTAGAACCTTGTCGATAGGTTCTTGCAGCGACTTTAATCAGAAAAGTGCATCGGTTGGCAAAACTTGAGCGACAATAACATTCTGAAAAGCTGTACCGCAGAAGTATGGTGCGTGGTGTATTTGGCGTCCTATTCCGCCCATGCTTCGAAAGTGGTCGGGACGCCGCCAGGATCGCGGTCGGCAACGGTGCGACGCTTCTACGACGTCAAGCAAAAACCAGGGGTCCACTTTTTTTTTTTTTTTTTGATGCAGCAGACACGTTGGAAAGGAGATGCGTTCCAGGCACCATAGCAAAAGGGTGAAGCTTCAAGGTGTCTCTGGGAAACACACTGCTGCACCGTTAACTGTATTGATAATGGCCAGAATCTCCTGTCAGGAATTGCGTTTTTAAATTTCTTGGCGCAGCCATGCCTCCAAGATTTGGCGAGAGTGCAGAGAAGTGGAGTACTAGAACCTCGTTGATAGGTTTTTCAGGGACCGTGAAGAAAAAAAAAAAAAAACGTCCGTGCAAACGTAAGAACCGATAACGCTGTTGGCGAGGCTACAGATGTGACGGGAAGCAATCCTCACACTGGTATTTACTCCAGAATGACTTTTGGGGGCTCGGAGAGCTACCATGTTAGTTACCATATAGCTGTTCATTCTTTTTCGGCACAGTTGTTTAGAACTAGCGGTCAACCTTTACCGTATCTACCCGATTAAAGCGCAACCACGATTGCTACCTCAAGGGGCAACTTTTTATATTGCTCAGTGGGGAAAATGGAACGACAATTGTCGCGCGAGGCTAAGAGAGAAATAAAACGGTACCTTTATTTTTCTAGAAATCGTTTCCAGCACCATTTCTGACATCTGCACTCATTCACGTCGAGCAGCGGCCAAGTTGTTCTTAGCTCTTACTCCACTCCTGAAGTTGAAACGGGCGTCGCACTGAGCCCGCCACGTTGCCATCAGTTCCATCAGTTCCATCAGAACGACTGACAGGAACGGAATCTGTTAAGATCCAAGAACTAAAATGCGCTAGAGACTAGCGCTTTAAAACTTTGAAATCTTTGAGCTGGTTGAGCTATCCTAAACGGACTCCGATTGTGCCATCGCTCGCTCGCTAGCCGCTATGAATTTGTTTGGATTTAGATTTAGATTCGACTAGATAATTTAAAGAATCCTGCAGAAAGGCCGAGAGGCATACGTTGCCAACAGAAGACTGAAAATCCGCCGTGCGCGGCCCAGGAGCGCACATTCGGTGGTTCGAGTGCCGAGGAGCTCATTTTGGACGTAACGACCGGGAAATCAAACGTAACAGACGGGAAACTACCGTATTTATTCGAATATAGGTCGACCTTTTTTTTTTCGAAAATGTTGTCAAAAATTAAGGGTCGACCTATAATCGTGACCAAAGAATTTCAACCTAATTCGCAACCAAAATTTGAAACCCTACCGAGGGTATGGAGCTATCCATCACCTAGCCGGCGTCGCGGTAGAGCCGCGCGGCTTCTTGTTTCAAAAAGATTTTGATGCACAAAAACAACCGAACAGCAGCAGCCGACAGCCCGTGTCCGCTACGGCTCTCGCGCACATTTCTCGGGCGTCGAGTTTCGCCATCACGCCTGTAGCGTTCCCCTCGCTGGGCAAGGGGGAAGGGGAGGGAGAGGAACGCGATGCGCCATGCACTTTGCACTTTGCCCCCCTATGCGCTCCATTCCTCTCTCCCTCGCAAACGCGCAAAAAAAAACAACAAAAAAAACGGATTTTTTTAGTTTGTTTTTTTCGGCGGGTTGCGTTACTCACGGGGCTCGCAGCGTTGCTCGTGTCTTTGTGTTTGATCTTTCGTCGCTCGCCCGTCTCCACCTTCTTTCGTTTCTTCTTGTCGTCATCCATTTTACAACGGTGTCAGTGAGGTATTGTTGCCGATTTGCGAGGATGTCTACCAAGCTGACGAAGCTTTTTTGACATCGCCCTGTGATTTAGCTGAGAGTGCTGTAAATAAAGGTTTGTTTCTTTTGCCCTAACTTTCCCCTGTTCCTTAAAAAAAAAAAAAACGAAAAGTCGACCTATATTTGAATTATTTTTTTTTATTCTCGGTGGGCTCAATAAATAGGGGTCGACCTATTTTCGGGTAAATACGGTAGTACATGTATCTCTATGGGAGTTAAAAGGGACCGGCGCTCGTGAACGTAACAGCCGGGAAAACGTATTAATGAGGTTCTACTCTATTAATGTGATAGCATTCTTTAGCTGCGCCTCCTGATTTCTTGGACTTTTTGGCCTCCTGATGCGCAGTAGACCATTTCAGCTCGGATTCGCACCCTCTTTGAAGGACCTCATTACCTTGACGTCGTCCTAGAGGTCGTTTTTGAGGTTGTTCTAGAGGTCATCCTTAAGATAGCCCTAGACGTTGTCTTTGATGTCGTCCTTTCGGACGCCGTCCTTGTGGTCGTCCTAGACGAATGCTGCAATGCTGTTGCAATGCATAGACAACCAACAATAGTGGTTTCTGTTTATTTAACACCATAGCCTTTTTTAATTTTTGTCAGCTTCTGACCCTAAACTGCTTTTGTAAATTTTTTTTGCACGTTTGTCTACCACCAGTCACCACTTTTAAAAACTTGTACAAAAACATGTTGCCATCTCTCGGCAGCTCTGCAAGCCAAACTCTGAACAAGCCTTGAGTCGTCCAAATTGGCCAAAAGCGAGCAAACGTGCACAGACGGGCTACACTTGTCCTAAACGGTTAGGGGACTGCTCTAAGAGGATGAGCTTGGCTCGTCCCAAATGGTTAAAGGGTTAAACAGCCTCGAAAGGTTGGGGTTTTCAAATGCAGTTGTAGTAGTCACCTTGAGGACTTGTGGAGACTCTTGGGATCTGTTGGAGACCCTTGAGGTCTGTTGGGGACTCGAGAAACGTTTGGAGACTCTTAAAGACCTCCGAGAGGCTCTTGAGGAACTCTGGGAGACACTTGAGGACCCAAAAGCTTGGATCAAGCACAGCAGCTGACGTACTACTCTCACACGCTGCACGCAGTGCTCTCCGGCTCTGGGAGCGGCAACACCACGGCCGGAAGTGGGGGTGCCTGCTCCTCCCCTTCTCCCTCTTCGTCCTCCTCGTGCTCATCGGGCGGAGGCGGTGCGGGGCCCGCGTCATCTGCCAGCGCGGGGGACCCCCGCGGGGCCTGGCTGCGCGAGCAGAGCTCCATGGGGGGCCGTGCCTTCCTGGGGGCCCTGTTCGGGGCCCTGCACGAGGTGTACAGCAGCTCGGCGGGGCCCGCCGTGCGGCACCGCTGCCTGCGCGCTTTGCTGCGCATGGTGCACTGTGCCCCGGCGGAGCTGCTGGCCGGGGTGTTGCGCTACCAGCTGGTGGCCTCCCACCTGGCCGCCATGCTCTCCTCCCAGGACCTGCACGTGGTCGTCGGGGCACTCCAGATGGCCGACCTGCTCATGCAGAAGCTGCCAGAGGTGCGCCTCCCTTCTTTACTGGGTCGTCTTGGGGCTTGCGTTCTGTCGCTGGTTCGTGGCAGTCTGCCTGCTTGGGGGAGACGCGTGCCTAGAAAACCGAAAAATTGCGAAACAATCCATTTTTGGGAAACCACTTTTTTGAGTTGTATATTCCATAAACTACCTTCTCTGTAATTATCGGCCCCTAAAGCGTACTCAGACGGGGGAGAAATCTGCTCGGAGATGTGCATGACGATGACAGCAGGTACAATTTCACCCTCGGTTTCGTCGTCCACTCCAAGGTGCCGGGGGGAGGGATGTTGGCGTTTACAGTCCAATTTATCGGTTTGCACACTTGACTCTGCCAGAGTCAAATTCAGCGAGCTCCATATTTAACAGGAAATAATTTAATTACAAAATATTATAGAAAACAAACTGATCACCGCCAAGTCACGATTGTTTGCGCCACCTGAGGTGTCTCTTCCTCCTCAGCATAGCTGACATCATGGCATTGCATTGCAAAAGCCCGGCATTTTCGTCGCGTGATGCGTGTGCTGGGGGAAAATTCTTGGGATTTCTTCCTCGTGTACCACTTTATCCACAGGGAAAATGTGTTTAACTAAGAAAATATTTACGAGGTGTCGGCTAAGCCCTCTGGTTAAACCACAAAAAGGAACAAGACTGTAGGCAAACTGAGCAAAGATTGTTGGGGTGCCCACGGCCCAATGGATCACTGTGATATTGTGTCGTGTTTGCGACATAGTTTTTTGCATGTTTATCCTCTTATGGGCTTTCCGAGTCTAAAACTGCTTTCTTATTTTATGTATGTTTTAACTGCATTGTAAAAAGTGCAATACACCATTGCCATGGCCCAACCAGGGCCCGAGAACAAAATTTGCTACCAGACTGAGCCCGGCCCGGGCCTAGAAACAATGTGTGCTAACCCAGCCCACGGGCCAGGCCCAGGACAAGGCCCAGAACCAGGCTTTCGGGTTAGCCATGCCTCGCCCGTTTGGATTAGCAGATTTTGGTAATTTTCAGCACCTCATACATTGTTTGCCAGTTTCATTACTTTTAGGCGGAATTAGATCTAAAAATTTGGGACGGGGTCCTTTTAGGCGATAAGAGAGAATGTATTATTTTCTTAATATGTGTTGAAAATGAAACTGAGTTGCCCTTGTGAGGGATAGCGCGGCACCGAACGGGCCCGTCCCGCGGATGCGCGGGGGAACGAGAGTAAAAAGGAAGAAGCGGCAGTGAAGGGCGAGCGTACGCGGGACTGGCCGTAGGTGACGAGAAAGGTTTCGGAAGTGGTGTAGTGTGGATTGATACATAACAAGTGGGGGCTCGTCCGTTGCTTAAAATGAACCAACCGTCGGTGTTTGTGCCACCGGGGCTTCTTCAGACACTGCTGCAACAAACGGACGGGACACCGCTACAGCGGGAGAAGTTTGCGGCCCACGTTCGTGAGCTTTTGTTTGCTACTCCTATACGAGCCACGGAAGAGGGAGCGGCGCCCTTCGTTGCGGCGGCTGTCACTGAAGCCAGCACAACGGATGACCAAGACTCGACGCGCCCACGACTGGTCCCCATTCAGCCACCGAAATTCATCGGTTTCGGAGATTTGGAGTCGCCAGATGAGTTCCTGGACCACCTGGAGAACTTTTGCCTCGTTCACGGCGTGAAACTCGAGGACCGGCTCAGCCGGGTCGTACCTGCAGCCCTTCAGGGAAGCGTGAAACTGTGGTTTCGGTTCACAGAGGACTTCGCCGACTGGTCAACGTTTGCTACCGCTTTCCGAAAGGAGTTCGCACCCGTCGACGAAAAGAAACGCCTAAAACAAGAACTGAGGCTCCGAACTCAACACCCGGAGGAGAACCTCAAACAGTTCATTTATGTTTTAGCCTCGTACTATGACAGGATTGGCGACGATGTGACTGAGGCCGAAAAAGTCGAGCGGGTGTTGGAGCAAATGCACCCTCAGTTCCAAGACTTCTGTGCAGGTAAGACCTTTGCGAGCCTGAAAGAGCGTGCGCAGGCAGCGGATGGGTTAATGGAAAGAGTATGGCGGCGGGTGCAGTATGTTCCCCCGCCACAGCCCACCAACCAAGTTGTGCGGGACCTGGCCTTCTACAGCAAGAGTGCAATGAATCATGCACCAGCTCCAAGTGCTGCGGTGGCAGGGGCGCCAGTGCCACCACCAGTTGCTAGCCAGGCCTGGCCCCTGCATCCGGCATCCCTCCAGCCATCATACTATCGAGACCATCTGAGTGCAGTCAAAGTAATGAGAATGATCCTCCAGACTGGCCTGCACAGCAGTCTTCACCAGTACCTAGCAACCAACCAGCCTCCACAGATCCAGTGCCATCGTTGTGGTGGCATCGGACATATGCAACGACAATGTCCCACAGCTAGACGCCAGGGCTCACCACGCTGTTTCAAGTGTGGCCAGCTTGGCCACATGCAAATGAGGTGCTAGGGAAACTCCTGGCAGTAGAGGCCACTCCGGCGGGCCTCTACGACACCACAGTGCAGGTACTAGCTGCAACAGCCGGTGGCAAGGAGCCATTGTTAGAGCTTCGTATTGGGAAGTTCACATTTAAGGCGCTTTTGGACACGGGGTCGAGCGTCAGCTTAAGGGGAGATGAAGCAATGGAGGCAGCCACAGCCACTGGTGTGGGCATCAAGGAGGAATGACGAGGCCTACGTTTTGCAGCGGGCTGTTCCCAGATTACGCATTTCACTAGGTGCAGAGTACACTGGCCCGGGGGATCCAGGAAGCAGCGATTCCTGCATATGCCAGGCCTCAGTAGAGACATTGTACTTGGTAGGGATTTTCTGAATGCCACTAACATCTCGGTTCATGTGTCTCTGAACTCTTGGACTCTGGGCAGTGAACGACAGGCCCTAATCCCCTTTGTCCGGGACGTTGGCTCGAGGGCGCCAGTTCATCCTTCATCCCTTTGTGGGCCGTTGACAAGTTCCGCCCATATTTAGAGCACACTAAGTTTGAGATCCACACTGACCACGCCTCTCTTAGGTGGATGTTCACCACGGACCAGACTTCAAGCAGGGTGCATCGATGGGTGCTGCGCCAGGAGGGATTTGATTTCCTCATCAGGCATCGACGGGGAAAAGCCAACATCCCAGCGGACGCGCTGAGCCGTTTCCTTGCCCCAGCTTCATTAGGCTCTGAGACAAGAGAGAGACTGACAATGAATGGTTCCCCATTAACACCGTGGAAACAATACCGGGTCCGGTTCGAGGGGAATGCAACGGTCCAAGAGACCGACATTTCACCCCTCCTCAGTGCATCCGAGCTTGCTGACGAACAGCGAAAGGACTCTGGAATCAAGCTGATTAGCTATCACAAGGACGGCACCCTACCGACTGACTTTGCAGAAGCATGCCAGATTCGGAACATGGCTGAGGACAGTGAACTGGACCATGACGGACTGCTGCTGAAGATTGCAGGCGAAAGAAGACTCCTTTGGATGCCCAAACAACTATGCGAAACAGTGCTCCAATTGTCCCATGATCACCCTCTAAGCGGCCACCTAGGTTATTTCAAGACACTGAGACGAGTGTCCGCAAGGTATTTTTGGCTAGGCATGAGATCCGATGTGTCTCGTTTTGTGAGGTCTTGCCATTCATGCCAGACACTGAAGCCTTGCCGCCAGAAGCCAGGCGGACTGATGGACAGCACTTGGGCAGAGTAACCCATGGCAGAGCTTAGTGTGGACCTCATCGGACTATTGCCCACCTCAAAGCGCCAACACAAACACCTGCTGGTGATCATCGACAAATTTGCCAAGTTTGTGGAGCTATTCCCACTTCGAGCTCCGACCAGCAAGGCCATATTAGAAAGAATGCTGGAAGTGTTTTGTCGACATGGCTTCCCCCAGAGTATCTCTAGCGACAATGGGCGTGTCTTTGTGTCAAACCTGTGCAAAGCGGTAATGAAACACCTTGGCACCGTGTGGCGGTCACCGTGTGCCCAGCAGGACAGCTGATGGAGCGGCATAATGCGACAGTAAAGCAGTGCCCGATGGCATATTGCAGTGCCCACCGTGACTGGGATCAACATCTCCCAGAGGTCGCCTTTGCAATGTAAATCTGCGAGAGCGTCGCCACAGGGTACCCACCTGCCCTTTTGTGTTATGGGCGCCAGCTCCGCTGCGCTTGGGAACAAAACCCCGGCCAACTCCCTTTACCAATCAGTGGCACGCCGGGCTTCGTGGCAGATTTGACGTCTAGACTGCAGGACGCGCATGAGTTTGCTCTGGAGAACCAAAGAAAAGCGCAAGAGCAACAGCGGCGTTACTACAATCGAACCCGACAGCAGTCAGAGTTCCAAATAGGTGACACAGTACTACGCGACCTGCACACCCTCAGTGATGCCAGCAAAGGAGTGGCTGCAAAACTGGCTCCAAGACGCTCGGGACCTTTCGTGGTGGTGGGGAAAGGGGGGGCAAATGACTACGGTATTGTCTGAGGGACCAAAGAACTGGAAGACTGGTGGGACTGGCACATGTGGACCAGCTGTCGAAGTTCTGCGAAGACCGACCTGACTTCGCTTTTTAAGGGGGGATGATTGTGAGGGATAGCGCGGCACCGAACGGGCCCATCCCGCGGATGCGCGGGAGTAAAGAGGAAAAAGCGGCAATGAAGGGCGAGTGTACGCGGGACTGGCCGCAGGTGACGAGAACGGTTTCGGAAGTGACGTAGTGCGGATTGATACATAACACCCTTTAAGGGGACACGGCTCCTTGAAACAAGAAAATGACAAAAAAATCACATTTTTGAAATTATGTTTTTTAATATCTACAGGTATTTTCGCATCTTTTCTCAAAGTATTATCGCAAAATACGCCCTATTTATTTCGAGGTATTGATTTGAAGTATCTAAACGGAGATGCTTCCTCCGAAAAAAGCAAAAAAAAAAGGTACAATTTGACCGTCGGTAGCTCGAGAACAACGCGATAGAAGGGGGGCATCTTGGTCTCATTTGAAAGCTCCGCTCCCGCTCTTTCTTCTCCCGCCATTCACGATGCTAGACGGCGATTGGCCGCCGAGAACGAAGCACAAATAAAAAAAATCAATCTTGCCACGCGGTTGGCTGTTTCGGATCACGTGTGCAAATGGCGCTTTCTCATTGGCCGTTAGGGTTACGGAGCGTCTGCTCGTTGTTTCCGATCCGCCATCTTGTTTGATTCTCGTGCGCGTCTCTGACCATGCCGATCACAACAACTCCACGGAGAAAGTTTCACACAGCCCACAAGTTCGGAAAAAAACGAAAAAAAGGCCCGAGGAAGCTAATCCACGGCGCAGTTCAACTTCCCGCGAGCCTGAACGTCGACGACGAGGTGCGGGAGCCCGAACACGAAGATGTCGCATCGACGATGCCGTCGACATCCGTGACTTCAAGCGAGCGAGTGCAGCTCGACACGGTGATGCTCAGTGCTTCCGAGATAGACGAGAAAGAAAAAAAAGCCGAGGAAAAACTCAAAGAACTTTCGTCGACGTCCGCTACGACGCGGAAAGCTGCCCTGATGGCCGGCGTCTCGGGCGCCGATCAAGAAGCTCCCGAGAGTACAGAGGGTTTCAACGTCGTAGGCCTCGACGTCGCGAACTCGCTTCTTCAACTCGCGAAGTGTAGAGCTTGTTGCGGCAATGTCGAACTCATAAAATGCGATCGCGAGTATGGACTTGCAGTAAAACTCAAGCTATGTAGCAAGATCTGCGGGGACGTCGCATCCGAGTGGAGTTCGCCGCGGGTAGCAGTAAAAATGTGTCCGTGAACGTTTTTTGCCGTTTTCTCGAAATGAACTTTTTGCGCAGTTTCCTATTTTGCGAAAGCCGTATCTCGGCCTGTATACAACCGATCTTCCTAATTCTTTCTTTCTTTGGTAGGTGTATAGGTGGGGTATCCAATAAGGGGTCTAATTGCATCAACCTAGGCATCAGTATTTTTTGTTAGCACCTCCAATATAGATTGTAAAAATTAATTTATAAACTGAAAATTTCGAAATGCCGTAAAAATGTTATAAATAATCATGGAGCCTTCATTTATACCTTATTGGATTCTGTAGACATTCTAGATTACAGAGATATATTCCTTTTTGAGTTTTGTCTTCATATTTTTTTAAAATCTCGCCCATAAAATGTTCAAATAAAATAGTTAATTTTATCAAAACTAACCGAGCTATTTTAAAACAAAGTACATATTTGTCATCAGAATGGGAAGATGATTATGCTCTATGAATTTCATTTGGATTGGATCATAAATAAAAAACAAAGCTCAAGAAGCAGTGTTTCCCCTTAAGGCTGCTTCCCACATGTTTCACTAGTCATTTTATCTGGTGGAGATGGGAGGCTGGATGGGGCGGTGGAATGAGGTTAGCCGTTGGGTTTGCTGAACTGGTGTAGTCTAGGAGCGAATCCATGATATGCTTTCTTTGTTGTAGTTTTTGTCTGTGGGGTCAGCCAGTCTTCATATCATAAGGCAGTGGTTCTCAACCACTGATGTTGGGGACCCCATCTACCGGGAGGGGGCGGAAGGTAGTGTTATGTGATTACAGTGACAAAAGGGCAAACTAAGAGAACTGTATACGCATGCGAAATAGCTTTGGGGCGCTGAAGCGGAGAATAATTGACCCCACTCAGTCTGTGCACGTGGCTCGGTCTATTCACCTCTGTCAAACTGCTAGCATTGATTAAAAAAAAAAAATTAATGCTCTACTCGACTGACAGTTTAGGGCTTCAAAGGCCTTAAGGGACTCCTCATTTGAGAACTACTGCGATAAGGGTTATAAATCTCGCGTTTGGAGATAGCTTCTTGCCACTGTTTTGCCGCGGCCTCGCAACCCCAGACAAGGTGTCTGCAGGTAGCCGGTACTTAGCGCTTGCAACAAGAGCCCACTCATGCCATTCATCGGATAGCTTGGGAGAAATGTCAGATCTGACTAGATGGAAGGTTTTCCACTATTTGCTGCGAGACGAAACCTATGCACTATATTCAAGAAATGGATGCTTATAACAGGTGAAAGCATGGTGCGTAAAAAATTAGGAAATATATCTGCAGATTGGAAAGTGTTGCAGGGTTGGCCGACAGATGGCATCACTCTTGTCGCAAGCGATCAAAGTGCACCCAGTCACTCCGGGCTGGCTCGCAGTTGCAGCTCGACGCTTGGGTGTCACAGTGGGCGCTGCATCAATGTCAGCCCTGGCTCGGCGCTGAATCGCGCATATAAGTGAGGAAAGGAGGGGTCACGGGGCAGCGGTGTGCAGACAGCGCAGATACAATGAAAAATCTGCCCTGTGTCTTTAGAGTGGAGTCGGTGCCGATCTCTACGTGTAGATGGGCCTTCAGACGCAAATGCTCGAACCGGCCTTTGTTAACCAGGAATTCTTTAAACAAAGATGCAGGCAGGCGTCGCCGTATTGACACATTCTTGTGGCCGAGAGGTTGGTCCCAGTCCCGTGTGTCCCCTCGCAGGTGTTCGGCGTGCATTTCCGCCGCGAGGGAGTGATGCACAGGGTGAAGCAGTTGGCCCAGGAAGAGGTGACGCTCTCGGCAGCCTCCAGCGGCACCGGGGCATCTCCGGGTGCTGCGCCGTCCAAGTTTGCTGAAGAGGCGGCCGGCTCGAGTCGCGACGGCCACACCACGACGGTGCTCTGGGGCGCACTGGCACCGGTGCCCGCCCACTTGACACCCATGACCGGCACGGGGGACAGCGACCACTTTGCCGTGGGCGCAGCAAGTGCACAGATGTGAGTCTCCCTCGGGCTTTCTCTTAACACAGAATGTTTCACGAGTCGTTTTCTATGAGGAAATAGTCAGGAAAGAGCGTCGGACAAGCATTGCCAACCACAGTTGTAGCAAATGTTGCAAGCAAATTACATGCTGAAGAGCATTACATACATTAAAGTTGTACCGTATTTATATGTTTGTTAGTCGACCCCCAACATTCCACATTAACAAAAAAAAATTTTGTTTTCTGCGGAGGCGGGACGAGCAGAAGCATTGTTGACGATGTGGATGATGGAGGCAACGGCATGTTTGTCGGCGGCGAGACGAGCAGAAGAAGCCTCCGAGCGTGCGCCAACGTTTTCGTTTTAATTGGCGCGGGGCCCGTAGTGAGGGCATGGGGTTGCAGTGATTAGTTTTATTGGCGCGCTGGCGGCACGGAAATGCAGTGCCATCGGGCGGCGGTCATTGAAACTGATGCGCGCGGCGGCCAATGGGAGCCTCGCTGCCGCGCGCCATCTAATGGGACCTTCGGGATCAGGGAAACTAGGTGCTGTTTTCGTGCTTCAAACTGATGACGTCTTTCGTTCCATGAAACAGCTAATGCTTTCGCGTTAAAAAATTGTAAAATGAGCGCACAGAATAGCACAGTGCTAGAGGTACAGCCGGCTGAAATCGTAATAAGCCGAGGTGTTCATGATATTGTGATTGTTTCGCTTTTGCCGGCGATAGAAGGCTTCGGTTCGATTATAAGTCGACCCCCCCACTTCAGATTTTCAAAAATTTTAAAAAGGGTTAATCAGCATTCGTGTAAATGTGGTATATAAAGTTTACATGTTAAGTTTGAGTCCCGGCGGGGCTCAAACCTGGGTTGCTGCGATGGCAGTCGGATACTATAGCCGCTGATCTACAGCTAATCTAGAAGGGGAAATGATTTTATTTTAATGCAAATCTGCTGGCGAAACCAGGAAGTTTTGACTGGAAATTATATTAAAAATGAAAAAGCAAAAAAAGAGAAATAAATTGAAAGAAAAATCTAGCGGGGCACGTTTTGTGCCCCCTAGTCTTCGTCTGCTCGATCGTCGCGGTATAATTTCTTTTTAATTGGTTATTTACCGCTGGGTATTGTGTGTTCTGTTCCAGGCGGCTAAGCGACGTGCTGAAGCGGAAGCGCGCCGCCAAGCGCAGTAACGCCTCGAGCCGCAAGGTGCGCACCGAGGAAGGGCACCGGGGCGAGAACCCGCTGCTGGCCCAGGGCCGGCGGTCAGTGCACTCTGCCCGCGACGGGCCCTTCTCGCTGCCCCCGCCGCCTCCCGAGGGGTCAGGGGGCACCCCTCCCGCTGGGGGGGCCACGAGCGGCGCCCCCCTCTCGCCGGGGGGGCGCGGCGGCCGGTGGGGGAGGAGGCCGCGGCGGAGGCAGGCTGAGTTCGGCGGCAGCACGCACCACTTCCTTCCTGGCCAGCCTCAACCCGAGCCGGTGGGGACGCTGGGCCAACCCCCCACTTGTGGGACACCTGAGCAGCCAGGTGCGTGTGGGAAGCGAAAAGGGGGGGGGGGGGGGGGGGGGGGGGGGGGGGGGGCTGAAATGCATAGCATTTAGAGGGTTGGCTCATCGAGGTATTGCGTTCGCGGATTAACTCGGTGTGGTAACACTGCGACTTCGTCCCAAGGGCTCTCTGAATGAACAACATTCTCGGGCCTTCTGGGATGTCACGCGACACTACGTCTCGTGACAATGTGAGGTTATGTGACACTGTTACATCTGATGACGGCATGACGCCCAGTGACACCATGATGCCACGTGTCGCTGACGTCGTGGCATGATGTCACCGGGTGGTGTGACATGACACTGATGTCGGGTGACAGGATGACGTCCCAGGGGACCTATGAATGCTATATGGTAGGGAGGTTAGCTTTTTAACAATCTGAGGGTCGGCACCCCAAAGAAGGCATGACGTAATGCTAAGAAATGCTGTCACAAAATGTGTGACATGAATTTCAGGGGAAAACAAGAAAACGCATTATTGAAAAGAAATTGCGTTAAATTGAGAAAAATGATTGTCCGAACACCCCCAACTCTCTATGTCTAGAGGTTATCGGCCTATGTCAATTGCTCTTTGTGTTGCTACATCCTGGTGATCGTGCACCGAACTCCACTCCTTGGTCTTCACTGGCTACCTTGTACTTTAACGTGAAACATTCTTTTGCTAGGTGTTTGGCATTTCGCAAAGCCTGGATAAAAGTGTGACTTTTATAGCGGAGCTGTTAAGGGCTAGTTTTCCAAGGATCGTGTCCCCTGCAAAGAAATGTCTATTCAAAACTTTGGACAACTACCGCCATCTATGAGCAATGGCGGCAACCAGACGATCGGCTTGCCGGCCTTGCTCATAGATGGCGACCTTTCCAGCTTTTCCTCTCTGGTTTTCGCCTGAGTGGAAAGGCTGAATTTCTCTAGGCGTCGTTTTCAAGGTCGTCCTAGGAGTCGTCCTTGAGGTCGTCCTTGAGGTTTTCTGGGAGGTCGTCCTAGAAGTTGTTCTTGAGGTCGTCTTTGAAGTCATTCTTGAGGTCGTCCTCGACGTTGTTTTAGAAGTCGTCCTTGAGGTCGTACTAGGCGACTTCGAAATCGTCCTAGAAGTCGTCCTTGAGGTTGTCCTAGACGTCGTCCTTGAGGTCGTCCTTGAGGTCGTCCTGGACGTCGTCCTGGACGTCGTCCTGGACGTCGTCCTAGACGTCGTCCTAGACGTCGTCTTTGAGGTCGTCCTAGACGTCGTCCCTGAGGTTGTCTTAGGTGTCTCTGAGGTTGTCTTAGGTGTCCCTGAGGTCATCCTCTTGGTGTCGTCCCTGAGGTCGTCCCTGAGGTCGTCCTCTAGGTGTCGTCCTTGAGGTCGTCCAAGAAGTCGTCCTTGAGGTCGTCTGACCATAGTACAGCTTCGCTGATCTTCCTTCTTCACCAGAGTGGAAAGGCTGAAAGTTTCTGGAGGGGGGGTGGGGAGGCCATGGCAGTCAAAAAGCATTCACGCCAAGTGGGAACCAAGAGATTCATAGTGTAGCGTCTTTCCGGCATACCTCGGCAAACCTCTCTCATGGGGGCCCTCACTCACCCTCGTCTTCGCAGGTGAGGTGAGGGTGAGTGAGGTTCTGAACCAGGAAAATTCATGAGTGAGGGTGAGTGAGGACCATGAGGGACGTGATAACCATGAGTGGGTGTGGGGCGTGAGGGCCATGAGTGCGTGAGGGGCGTGAGAAGTGGGGGGGCCGTGAGTGTGTGAGGGGCGTGGGGGCCATGCGTGCATGAGGGCCATGAGTATGTGAGGGACGTGAGTGTGTGATGGGCATGAGGGCCATGAGTGTTGCGAGGGCCGTGAGTGTGTGAGGGGTGTAAGGGTTGCAAGTGCGTGAGGGCCATGAGCGCGTGAGGGGCATGAGGTTTAGTGAGGGTGAGTGAAGGGTTGAAGTTCAGTGTGACTGAGGATGAGGGTGGGTGAGGGGCTGAAGGTAAGTGTAGCTTGCAATGTGTGGGTGAGTGAGGTGCTTAGGTGAGTGCATGTGTGAGGGAGAAGTTGAGTGAGGGGTTTAGTTGTGTGTGACTGAGGACGAGTGAGGGCAACCTAAAATACCGACTTCTGCTTTCCAGCATGTCAAGACACATCGCCTTGAGTTGAGGTCCTATTTGGCAGGGAAGCCCCACGGGGCATCTGCCCTACGTCCGGCATATGGCAGCTTAACACTCTGTTGCACATTTTTAAAACCCTGCTTAGCGCCGGTATCTAGGTTCCATGAATTGCCGTCGAGCGTACATGCCACACGTTAAGCCAGTCGTTGAACTAACCGACGAAGAGCACGGAGGGCGTAGACACCACACGTTTCACGTGCAACATAATTCCTGGGCAATTTTCTACAGACCTCTTAATTGGTCATTCACTGCCAGGCTTTTTTTTGGCTTTAGTTGTCCTTAACTCTCATTCATCGCCGTTTGTGCCAGACTGCATTCTCTTTTCCTCAAGGTAAGGCTGGTTCATTGATTTAACGGATCTTCATTTCTCCGACAGGAGTATCCCATGGAGGTGAAGTCCAACATGGGGTCTTTCTCCGGGAACAAGGAGAAGATCAAGCTCTGGATTCACGACCAAGGTGGATTTCGGGCTCGTGCTCTTTCGCTCCGCGGGGGTGCCTGGGCGACGCCGTCGAACCGATTGAGGTCACTAAGAAAGGCTGGTTCCCACATTTGCGTTTGAGTGCGATCGACAAAAAATACGCTGACACATCGGCACTATTTATCGCGTAGCCCTAGTTCACTTGCGAGATTTTAATATTTACAGAATTATTTCCAGTGCACAGCGAAGGAGTGATGCATAAAATATATGCGGATTGAAATTGTTCCAGTGCTAACCTCCTTTTGAAATGTTCATTGCAGAAAAAAAATAGTTCGGCACCGTTTTTTCGTTTCCGGTACACTCAAGAGCAAGCGATGCGAGAATGTTTATCTCGAAGGGGTTGCATGTCACGCTTCCCTTCTTCCTCAGAGAACTCACCTCCGATTTCAGTTCAGCGCGCTTAGTACAGCTTAGAATCAGCTTCTCTGCAGTCCCATACTCCCGGTCTGCTTTTGAGATGTTTACAGTACCACCTTCAAGCTTCGCACTTGACACACTCGAAAAGCGTATTTGCAGCTATTAAGCGCGAAACACATGTACGACGAAACTGTCCGATCCAACGTGCGAACTGCCGAAATGACCTTGAGGGCAAGGGATTTCGTAGCACCGGAGAGCAATGAAAACCCTCGCCTCCGACCGTCGTATTGCCTGATCGAAAGTTGGATCGGACGGTTTCGCTGTACATGTGTTTTGCGCTTTAGGCTTACAACAGTGAAGGCAGCGTCGACCTCTGGCAGATCTGCTTTTTTGTCACGGTGAGAAGACCTTTATGTGCAGCCAATGCGGACGACGGCTTTTTTCGTGCCTTGGTTGCGCGGTGCCCTATCTCCGCCCGCTTGGCTTCGGAGATCAGAATCATGTCCACGTGTATTGTTCCGCTTTCGCCATGCACTCGGGAGCGCCACAGCTTGACGCGATGCAGTTTAGCGCGCTTGGCAGAGCCGGACTCCAATAGCTTAGAAGTTTTGGACGACGCTTCATCAACTATATGTCGTCTTTTTTTTGCCGTTTTTCAATCTTGTAAGTGGCTCTAAACTTCCAATAACCGCCAGCCATGGTCAGATAACTTGTCCAAGATGGCGAATGCTATAGTAGCTGAAATCGCATAGTGTCCAATGAGAACGTGCCATTTCCCTCATGCGACAAGAAAGCTCCAATGGCGAAGCACTATTCGCGTTGTGTTTCTCTACGGATATGTTCATTGTTGACAGACGTAGAGCATAGATTCCTCTAAGAACAGATGGCTGAAGAAAGCAGCTTTCAAATGATACCAAAATGGCGGCATTCCACAACCTGTTCCCCCCACACAGGATCCGGCTGAAAATTCTAGTTTTTTCCCCCCGTATTACACTCGCAAACGGTCGGATACGTGACCTTGAAATGATGGAAGTAAATAAATACAAACTTTCTTGGTGAAATAATTGGTGAAAATGTAGGTTGCAGCTCTCTGATCAAAAAAAAAGAATGTCAGAAAAAAAGCTTTTTCTTGATTTTTTTTTTCTTGTTGGTTTGGGTGCCTGAGCGGGCCTGCCGGAACGCGTCGAGGGGGCTTCAACGTGCCTTTTTTGTCCGTCTCCCAGCCAAGAAGTTTGACGACAACCACTTTACCTCGGATCAGGGCAGCTCTCATCCTGCCCTGAACACCCTGAATCGCCTGCTGGCTTCCCTGGACCACCTAGATGCTCTGGTGAGTCCCCATGTTCTATTGGAGCTCGTGGCGTCTGTCACGGTGTGACGGCTGTGGCAATGGGCTCTCGTTTTTTAAGCGATAAGCTGTTGTGTATTGACGCGAGCTTTGCTTACTTGTGTCGGTGTCTGTTTTTGGACTGCATTGTTTATGTATTAAGGCTACCTTGTCTTTTACTCTGCAGTGCGTCACGAGAAGTTTGGGATTTCATGTAAGGGCTTGTTCGCACATTTGCATTCGATCAGTATAGCTAGACTGAAGGTTTTGCTGTATTTGCAAGATGAAATCTACGCACCATCTACGAAAAACGGTCACTCGTGACATTGTTTAAGTTATTTTGAGCTCCCAAGAAAAGATAGATGTGCACTGTATGCGCAGATCGAGGTTGCTCGAGGGCTACCTGATTTTGTAAGCAGTGTCAAGCCAGCAACAACAATAAAATTAATGACTGATTGATTGATCATTTCTATACTTTAGCATTGATTGATCATTTCTATACTTTAGCACTTATTAATCATTTCTATACTTTAGCACTGATTGATCATTTCTATACTTTAGCTTTGGTGACGTTCAAGGGACGTTTGAGAGAAAGGAGATTTGGGTGGAAACTGTATTGCTCTTTGAAGAGAGTACATATTTTCACATTATCAGAAATTCAGTGCACTTCGGGAATACGATCGCTGACCGATTTTTCAAATGCCGATACTTCGGATGGCGATAATTTGGACTTGCTTGATATTTCGGACAAAAAGGAGGGACCGTGACCTACCCAATAGCAATTCTGCATATTCACTACCAATGTTTCGGACATCTTGAAGTCCGAAAGATCGTCGTGAGTGATCATCGGGAGACAGTACCGAGAAGCCGCCATTTTAGATTCTATGTTCGCTGTCGTTAGTATGCCATCTGTACATCAGATGGCACTCTGAGTTGTAGTGTATGTTGTTACGAGATGGCGCCACGTGCCCAACAACGGCACGCGCCGTCTCTGGATGCATGTACACATTGTAAAGAGAAACAGCCTTAATCGAAACTCCACGGTAGCTTGACGTCCTTTCCTTTCATTGGTGGATCCGCTAAGTCCCGGGTCACAAACATCTCGCGTCCCACGCGTTAAGCAATGTAAGCCTTTCAGCATCTTTACAGGCCTTCTGAGGTGCTGTCTTTATTGTATCCTTTCCTGTCTCTTTCCACCCCCTTCATAGTGGCCATCCACGACCACTACAGCTGTTTGTGCATTGGCTTGGTTTAGCAGGGCTGTTGAGTATTGCTAAGGCCTACTGCTATTTATGTTATACAGTATAGACCACTTACAACGTAACCGCTTATAGTGCAGGACCGGGTATAACGCAGTTTTTTTAAACCACCGGTTCGCCTCCCATAGAACTCCATGTAATTACATACCGCTTAAAACGCAGGCGCGCGAAGGGAAATACCGGTTATAGTGCGGTTTCTGGCACAGCCCGCCGACCGCGCCGACGACCGGAGCAGCGAGCACACTTCCCCGTGCGACACTAGATAACTGCGCTGACGGCGCGAGCCGCAAGCGTTGCGCAAGCGGCACTCGCGGGGCAAGGAGGTTGCTCGAAGAAGCGGGAGAAGCGAAGAAAGAGGTTTCAGTTGCCCTAGCGACGGAGGGACGCACGCACGTGTCGTTCACGTGCGTGCGTCCCTCCGCTGCGTTAGAAACCAACAACCGCAACGACAGACCAATCGCAGGTCGAGGAGAAGTGTTCGCGCGCGTTGCACGCATGCCGGTCGCGGGCCGGCTGCTGGTTGTGGTCAACGTTGTGATCGTCGTCGTAGACGGCGTTCATCTCATTGTTCCGCGTAAAAGCGCTATCCTTGACTGAATTTTCGTTGTGTGTCGCTATGATAACCCAGCACGTACTAGAAGGGAAGATCCACCTACTCGAGCGGCGATGTCGTGGCGGCGCTCTCAAGACGGCAGAAACGCCCGTGTCGTCGTGTTTGTTTACTTCGACTACAGTGGTGATTTCTAAGCATTTGTGTCCTCGAACATCGCCCGGATTTCTTATTTGGCGCATTTCATGCGTGTGCTCAAGTTCAAGGTATTACTGGCGCGTACCGTATGAAGGATGCGAATTTTCACGCGTTTTCATCTCCGGAGAAAAGTGATTAGGGTTAGCAATCCTGAACGCTCGCAACGTCCGTCCGCAACCCGCGACGCCGCTAAAAGGCTGCGCCAGGCAAAAGCCGCTCATTTCTTTCAAAATGTGTGACACACTTGAGAGAAGTGTACTAGTCTGGTGAAATAAAGACTTTCCTCAAACTAAGCTTTATTTTTCATCTAACATAAAATAAATTATTTTACAAGGGTAAGTTGTCTTATGGCATGTATTTTGGCCTGAAAAATTGATGTTTCGGTTATAACGCGGTACCGCTTATAGTGCGGATTTTCGCGACTCCCGCGACATACGTTATATGCGGTCTACACTGTACTATGGATTTTTTTTTCTCTAGCTGCGCGTCGTTATCATCAGTATTGCGACCATTTTGCATTGTTCATTTCTCATTCTGCAGTCGTGGACTTGCGCCTCTCATCTCCTCTTTATGAATCGTGTTTTCGGACTATGCTGGCTTGGACGTCATGGCCCCATCTGTTCTTCCGCCGCTGCAAAGTGTTGCTAAGAAGCGCGGAAAGAACTCAACCACAATGCTAGATAAGAAGTCGGCGATTCTAAGTTCATAGAAAGTGGCCAAACGCAAGCGGAACTTGAAGCAACGCGCGCAGGCTTAACTTGAAGCAAGGCGCTATTGACAGCTCTTTTAAGCCCGCTTAGACGTCATAAAGGGAAGTTTTTTAACCTGCTGGTTTTTCGGACTGCTCTATTATTTGGATGTTTTTTCGGTCCTCGTGAAATCGGTGAAATTGGTCGGCGACTATAATTGAGGAATGTTTTTTTGTTTGGGTTGTATATTTTGGAGCTAGTGATGTGGAGCTCTAAATTCGTTTCTGAAGTAACCTCGTTTCCTCCTTTGCAGACGGACCACGGACTGCAAGCCCTGCAGGAGATCCGCGCTGTGTTGCTGGAAGGGGATGTGTCTTCCTTCGAAGTGATCCACAGCGGCCTCGTGAGCCGTCTGCTCAGCTTCCTCACCATGGCCAACTGCCATCGAGACGACCGGCTCCGCACCTTCCTTCAAGTGTTCCTTCACACACCCCAGGTGGGAGCCAGTGGGAAGCCTCTCGGCACGCCTGGTCGAGTGTGGCGTCGACTGAAATGTCGCCCATTTGCTTGCCGTGTTCTGGAGGATCCTTTCGTTGGAGGAACTCTGAGAGCGCTTCAGCTCTGCAACGAATAGAGGCGAGCCAGGACAGTTTGGGTCGTCACTGTTGACGCGTGCCAGATGCATGTCAGCTGCCTTGTTAACAGGCTTTGCAGTGCACCAGCATAGTTTGTGGTGCGAGGGCAGCACCCTAGGAATTGGGCTGTAAGAGCGTGAAACAGGTGGGACGGTTGATGGCATGGTGCCGCGGTATGTTGCTGCATAACCGTTGCCACGGGCCAAGGTAGGCGAGTCGAGAGAGCCGAATGTTGGTCACCAGTGACAACGTGCTTGGCACACTTGCCGAAGCGTTTGCAATTTTTGTCTACACGAGGGCAATTTTCTACTTGATCTTTTACAAAATGAATGCAGGCAAATATGGTGATGCTCGCGATTGCAATCTTCTCTTCTGGTTGTCTATTTTAGCTCCATCGAAATTTTTTGTTGGTGCATAGTGCCAGCTGATGCTGCATCCTGTGTACGTTTTATATAAGAGTTCTCGTGATTCTTTTTAAGGCGACAGCCTACCTGTCCTATCGAGTGAAAAAGCGGCATATATGGCCATAAAAATATGATTGAGCAGTTTGCGCCACTCAATCGTACGCTCGAGGACGACCCTGTCCTTGGCGTCGTCCTTGAGGTCGTCCTAGACCTCTAGGACGACCTCACTTGTCTCGTTGCGCGAAAAAGTGGCAGCGTTGTGCCCGAAAGATGGCCACGAAAATGTCATCAGGCATGCGCCACTCCCACTTAAGTGCGGAAGCGTGATGTCACTGCAGGAGCACCGTGTGCAAAAGGTGCGTTTCTGACTTCAGTGACCGCCGACGCAAATACGCCGCAGCCTCCTAAGTGTCCTCCTATAGACGTCGTCCTTTAAAAAGACGACGTCGACATTGTTTTTAAAGGGATACTGCAAAGAAATTTCGGTACTTATTTTGTAGTCTATATGTGCCCAAAGGAGCAGTATCACATCGGACACACCAATTTCTTGTTAAAAAAGACACAAAAAGGAATTTTAGAACAAATGAAACGATTGGCAGAGAGCACCCGGTGGATGTCGCTAAAGCCTCTTTTGTAATGCCTGTCTAAGAACCTTGACAGCTAGTGACGATAACTCTCGCCTAGAACTATACATTCTTTGAACCTGACATCGTCCCGACAACTCTACGGCCAGCACAAGAAAAGTGGAGAGGGAGGAACTTCCCACTCAACGGGACTCTTGTGTGTGTCGCAGACATCGCTATTTTCCCTTAACAAGATTATAGAAGATTAACCCGTCACTCAAAATTCACAGAAAAGCAGCTTTGTGGTTAGTTGCGGTGGCCCGATCTCTGGCGTGCTTTGACTGCTTGGGTGGCTGGAACGGCTAAGGCATCCTGACAACGTCAGCCTCGCCGCAGCTTTGCTCATCCCGAGACAAACTGTCACGATTGCGCCGGATGTGATGTCATTCTGGACATCATTCTTGAGGTCGTCCTGTAGGACGTCATCCTTGATGCCGTTCTTGGCATTATCTTTGAGGTAGTTCGAAAGATCGTCCTCGGCGTCATCCTAGACGCTGTCCTTGACGCTATCCTCGACATCGTCCTAGACGTTGTCCTTGATGCCATACTTTTATTTATTTATTTACATACCTCTAAAAGGCTCCAGAGGAGCATTACATAGAGGGGGGTGTCGTATAAACTTTTACATAATCATACAATATTTCACAAGAAAAAATAAAAAATAGGAGACATTGTGTCACGCTAAACAGAACCATGAAGGGAAGACATTACATAACAAAAAGGCCACACACGGACTCACATCATTGGAGGCAGTCGACGTGCTGGCATCAATCTCTAGGACGTCGTCCTATATGTCGCCCTAAACTAATATGTGTAGAAATATTACTCAAACATTTCTCCCGCAGAACTATAATGCTTTCGCCTTCCTACACGTAAGCAGTCTTGAGTGTCCTCCTGTATTTATTTTTGCGTACAGTTTTGTGTATGCAGAATAAGACGATAGAGATCAATGTTGCTCAAGCAGTAACCCGACAATCAACAGCAGGACCTGGAAGCCCTGATTATGCAGCATTCATTTTTAGGCCGGTTTTTATCCCTCTTACTATCACTAAAAAATTCCTGGCTCCTTGCTATGTCCTGCAAACAAACTTAGGCTACAGCCGACGTACTGCACTCGCACCACAGACAATCGTGCTGCACACTAAACATGACATCACGTGACATTGGCGTCACATAGCGTCCTGGTGCCAGATCGCATAATGTCATCATGGTGACCTCACAATGACTTGTCATGGCATCACGAGACTTCATGGTGTCTTGTGACGTCATCAAGGTGTGACGTGATGGCTCGTGACATCATGATGTTTAGCGGAGAAATATCCCAGCCAAAAAGACCCAGCAGAAAACGTGCACGGGGATCTGCCGCGAGACCCTGCCGAAATGGCTGTTGCTGTAAGACTTCTCACCCGAAATCTGACCGCCAAAGGCCGACTCCTCGTTCTCCCCGTGCGCAGTACAACCCGGACGTGGTCTACGACCAGGTGATCCCCCTGCCGGGGCCCCTCAGCGCGCTGGTGCAGAAACTGAACGCCTGCGTGAGTCAGCTGGAGCAGTTCCCGGTCAAGGTGCACGACTTGCCCGGAGCCGTGGGGGGTGGCAGGGGCACCTCTGCCCTCAAGTTCTTCAACACCCACCAGCTCAAGGTGTGCTGCCGTTCCCCAAAGCAGGGCAACAATAGAATTTGAGACTTGCTGCTCACTGTTGTCAGATTTAGGTGTAGAAAGCGCGACACTGTTGGTACAAACGAGCGGGTGCAGTTATTTGCTGGTTTTCTCGAAAGAATCGAGGCACTATCATCCACACACCTAGTGTGGTGTAGAGTACTTGGTCGGAACAAAGCTAAGTGGTAAACTTTGGTGCTTTCCCATACCCTCTCTGACTAAAACATTAAAAAGTGCCGACGCCGCCTTTGTGCTGTGTTGTGCAGCGTGCGTTGCGCTACACTGCAAGCGCGGACACATCTGCACTTTTGCTTCTCGCTTTGAAAGGGTATTGGTGGACACTAGAGTTTAACCCATGGGTTAGTGTCACTTTCACTTTGGGCTTTGTACCAGAATAGTAGCTTAAATGCTAGCAACTCAATTATAGGATAAAAACGGGAGAAACTGGCAACCACTATCCCGGAATGATACCGAAATTCAAAATGGCAGCAACAAAATTTTACCCCTAGAAGAAAAAAAGTGCAGTGCGCATGGATTTAATATTTTATTTATCTCTGGGAATATCGACTTTATTGGGCCAAAGATTTGTCACTGCCAGGGATGGGCAGTATTTCAAATACAAATATTTGAAATACATATTTGAAATACTTTGTGTATTTTGCATTTGTATTTAATTACAAATTGGGTAATGTATTTGACGTGTGTATTTAGATACTAAAATGTGGGTATTTCAAATACAATTGTAATTAAATACAATATTGTGGGCGAAAATACATCCCTCATATTTATTGTCACTATCCAGAGCAGGAAGAAAACTATGTTCTGCACCGAATGCAGTGTCTCTCAATCGAGCATAAGCTTTTAGTGACTGTGATTACGGTGCTAGTCCAGGGCAAGAATAGTGACGAAATCAACGTTCACTGGCAGACTGGCTAAATAAGTGCCTGTGACAACTTGTGATGCTTTCCAGCCTGATTTTCATCAATATTTTTGCCTGGAACATTCTAAATGTGCGGGTCATCCAGATTTTCGTAACTGGCGCGAGTTGCAGCAATAAAAAATTATTTAGCTACCGCTGCGCGTCTTGGTCGTTTCGGTTTTTATTGATCTAATTAATGCCTAAATGTAATCGACAAAAAAAGCTGCTTGAAGCTTTGTACTTTTTTCACCTATTACGTCGAAGCTGATTACATTTTTTTGTGATTATATTTCTATTACGTTACTAGAGCCTCGCACACTAAATCCCGAGTGTGCGATGCAAAATTAAAATGCGATACCCAGAAACCCATTGCAGGTGCCCTGAGGTCGCTGATGCAAATTTTGAGGAATGTATTTGGAAAAGTATTTGAGGAGACCAAATACGTTTGGTTGTATTTGTATCTTGTATTTAAATGCTTTTTTGGAAATGTAATTAGAATTGTAATTAAATACATTTTTGACGAAGTATTTTGTATTTGTATTTCGAAACATATTTGCATGTATTTTGCCCATCCCTGGTCACTGCTATGTTAATCACTTTCAGAACCACCAAAAGATTCCTCAGAGTCGGTCACAAAAAAAAGTTCGCAGCGTTCCGCGATGTTTCCCAACTGCATGCCGTTAGCTTTTTTGACAACTTCTTCAGAAAGAAGCCAGTTGCTAACGGCTCGTCCTGCCCTTCTTTCGCGCTCCAGGTATTCAAAGAGCGCGTCGTCCACGTATTCACCGAACACTGATGCGCCGTTACTTAGCTTTAGTCGAAGTTTGGCTTTCCCGTAGTTTTGCTGTAGCAAATTGTCAAAATTCTTGTCCCATTCTTATATCCGGTCGAGCTTGAAGTGTCGAGACGTCTGGTGTACGTTTTTTCCGTTTTTATGGTGCCATTGGACGACTTCAATTTTCTTTGTTTCTGTGTAAGAATGCATAGCCGACCTGACACTGCCGAAATAAAGCGACAGTGGCGCATGGTGACCGGGCTAATCGGGCTGCAAAGTAGGATTGTATTGAATTCTTGGACTGGATTTGGCAGGCCAATGTCGCCTGGGCGCGGTGCGTGATACGGATGCGGAGCGGGGAGGAGGGGCGCTTTCTCGGAACTGCGCGGAAATGTGAAAATAGCAGTGAAGTTAGAAGGGGCTCTTGCTTGGGTGGAGGTGCTTGCTCGGAATTTTACGGTATGTGTTTACCCACCTGAGACGTGGGCCATCCCATTTTTTTTTATGAATTTCGGGCGACAAGGGGAGTGGTCGACGAGTCGGGATATTACAGTAGTAAAAAAAGTTTGGCTCCTCATGCAGTGTTACTAATTTTTTTCTTTTATTTGGTGAATTAAGATACTTGTAGGTATATTTCAGATAAGTTATTCTTCATTTTATTACGGCATATTTGTTTAAACTTAAGGGGGGCACCACCCAGAAAAAAATATTCCTGCAAAAAACATTGCTTTTGAAAAATTACATATTTACATCCACCAACATCTAACGAGTATTTTCAGAAATTTTCACTGGTTTACACTTTATAGTTAATTTTTTATAAATTATTTTCTGTCCGCCGAAGCTAAAGAAAAGATAGGGTTTGGAGCACTTTGAACACATTTTTTTCCGTTCCACCTTTTTGTATAAATTCCATTTTAGTCAACCTAATGTTTGATAATGGCAATACAGGGAAGGCTCGTTCTTCACTTTTCCTGACTGAACTTTAATAAGGAATGCGGCTATGGAATGTTTTTGTCACTTTACGGATGTCTTATTTTGTCGACACCGAAGACTAAAAAGTTGACCAATTTAGCAGAAGAGAAAATTGATAGAAGTAAATGACCTTTTAAAAGAAGCTTTCCATAGCCGCACCTCCTAGGCATTCTGCTAAATATCTAGCGAATAAAAATCTTGAATATCGAGATAGTTTTCCGACGATAGATTAACTAAACAATGTAGGCGTGTTGCTGGTAAAAGCTGCCGTAATTTCCTTCCCACTTAACCGACAGACGTGAAATTTTGTTTTGCTCCCTCAAGCATGACCACCAGCCTACCCTGTAAATTTCATTAATGTTAAGCCAAGGGTTCAAAAGTTGACCCTCCCAGGGGGTGTGCCCCCTTAAAGAGCATAATTTTTTTTCCTCTGACGGCCAAGTCTGGTGAGAACTACTTTATGCAATTTTTTAACTTATGTGTACAACTTGCTTTTTGCGCGAGGCAACTGAAAGGTGTCCATGTGGGTGTACAGTGCAATCTCCAGCGGCATCCGTCGTGCTCGAACCTGCGGCAGTGGCGAGGAGGACCCGTCAAGATAGACCCCCTGGCACTTGTGCAAGCCATCGAGCGCTACTTGGTCATCCGTGGCTATGGACGCATACGGGTGAGTGCTTGACCGTTCTGCGTCCCCGTTTTTGGCTTTTCCTGGCAGTCCGGTCCTTGCGGGGCTCTTTCACTTGCAAGTACCTCTAAGGGCCGTGCATGTGCTTAGGCATCTGGTTTTTGCGTGTGCTCATATCGTTTGTAAGTGTTTGATTGTGCAGGGAATTTGTTAATGCTTTATACAGTGAAATGCCTCTTGAACAAGCTCCAGTTGAACAAGCCAGAAAATTTATAAAATCTCTCAGCGAAACCGTTTTTGGCATTCAGTTGAGTGATCCTTCGCTTGTTCAGCTGGTGTATTTTCAGGTGTTATTTCACTGTAGGCAAGGTGTGGCACTTGTGTGCAAGCTTGACACTCCTTCTATAAATGGGTTTTAATGATGGTTACTGCAGGATGAAGACGATGGTGGCAGCGACGAGGAAAACTCTGATGAAGACATCGACGACACCATGGTAGGTGGGCCCAGCCCGTGCCGTCCGCTTCTCGAGCATCCCTTCCTGCATTGATTTGCGTTACTCAATTGTAGCATCGTCTTTACTTTCTGATGCTAGTTTAACAGATCAATATGAATAATATCTAGGGGGGTGAAAATATTGAAATTTTCGAATACGAATATTGGAAAATAGCTTAGAATATTGAATATGTTACAAATATGTGTGTACCGTTAGGAAAAAACAAAAGAAAATATGCAAATACTTTCTTTATTACCTTTAAAATTGTAAATGATAACAATTCAAGTAAATAAGTAGTCTTCTGCGAATAGTGGATTTTGAGTTCAAAGCGAATTCAAAGCGAATACTGGTTTTGGCCGAATATTTTTGATTTGAATATCGAATAGTTTTTCCACGCCTTTTACTAGCATTGCATAATGCTTAGTCGAAAACCCAGCTAAACTTGTGAAGGTTGTTCCACTTGTTCATTTATAAGCTAAGTTTGATCTATCTGTATCCCGTAAAATACCGGGCAAGCGCCCACTCAAACTTCAGAGATAATCACAAAAAATGGGGAATGGGCGCTTGTCTAATTATCAATTTTGCATATAAATGTACTGTGCGTATTTTCTCAGATTTTACAAATTTGGGGATGGGTGCTTAATGTGGAATGGGCAGATGCTCGGTATTCTACGGTCTATGAACTGTGACCTCAGAAGGTCTGGTGTTTTGGGATGGCGAGTAAACGACGGATTTGACATAAAATGAATCTATAGAGATGGCCAACTATACCCAATGGAGTTAATTTATGAATCTTGCTATATATAATATTCTTTCTTTAATCTCGAGTTTAAAAAAGAATGAATCGCGCATGATGAACGTAGGTTGTAAGGGCATCTCTGCCTAACATAGTACCCTCTTGCATAACAGTTTAATTTTAAAACTTTTACTGCAATGTAGATATACACATTCACAAAGTTTTCATTTATTTTCAAATACAGTCGGCACAGGTGCACCATCGCGCTTTGAATGTAGTACGTTGTATACTTCCAAGCACGCATTTAGGATATTCATAAGTTTCCAAGTGTTTATCGCGACGAGTTACCCCGGTGAGTGCGCTTCTTACCAAGCACCTGTGCGCTGAGGGGAAGCAACATCCGCGAAGCTCGCTTCCGCGGGTATTGTTTCTCCGCAGCGCACCGGGGCTTGGTAAGAAGCTGACTCACCAAAGCCAACCCAAAGCAATCACTTCGAAAAACGCGAATAGTGTTCTTCTCGAAGCGAATATCGAATAGTGTATTATTCGGAACTACTATTCGAAATTTTTAATATTCGCACAACCCTATAAATGAGACAGGCAGCACATAAACTATGCAACTGGTAACGCTACTATTACAGTGTAGACCGCATATAAAGTATGTCGCGGGAGTGGCGAAAATCCGCACTATAAGCGGTACCGCGCTATAACCAAAACATAAATTTTTCAGGCCAAAATACATGCCATGAGACAACTTACCTTTGTAAAAGAATTTATTTTATGTTAGATGAAAAATAAAGCTTAGTTTGAGGAAAGTCTTTATTTCACCAGACTAGTACACTTCTCTCTCAAGTGTGTCACACATTTTGAAAGAAATGAGCGACTTTCCCCTGGCGCAGCCTTTTAACGGCGTCGCGGGTTGCGGATGGACGTTGCAAGCGTTCAGGATTGCTAACCCTAATCACTTTTCTCCGGTGATGAAAGTGCGTGAAAATTCGCATCCTTTATACGGTACGCGCCAGTAATACCTTTAACTTGAGCACAGGCATGAAATGCTCCAAATAAGAAATCTGGGCGATGTTCGAGGACACAAATGCTTAGAAAGGTCCACTGCAGTCGAAGTAAACAAACGCAACGACACGGGCGTTTCTGCAGTCTTGAGAGTGCCGCCACGACATCGCCGCACGAGTAGGTGGATCTTCCCTTCTAGTACATGCTGGGTTATCATAGCGACACACAACGAAAATTCAGTCACGCGCGCGAACACTTCTCTTCGACCTGCGATTGGTCTGTCGTTGCGGTTGTTTCCAATGCAGCGGAGGGATGCACGCACATGACACATGCGTGCGTCGCTCCGTTGCTATGGCAACTGAAGTCTCTCTCTTCGCTTCTCCCCGCTTCTTCGAGCAACCTCCTTGCCCCGCAAGTGCCGCTCGCAGCTAGCGCCGTTATCTAGTGTCGCAGAGTTGCGGTTGTTTCCACCGCACTATAACCGGTATTTACCTTCGCGCACCTGCAATTTAAGCAGTATGTAATTACATGGAGTTCTATGGGAGGCGAACCAGTGGTTTAAAAAAGCCGCGTTATACCCGGTCCTGCACTATAAGCAGTTACGTTGTAAGTGGTCTATACTGTATAGCTTGACTAGTAATCACCTGTTAATTGTACATGAAAGCCGGCAAAAGGTGCAACTGAGAAGTTATGCAAATTAATAAAAATAAGAGTGTACAAAACTGCACATGTCTGGTAGCATGTAAAGATGCAACCTGTCACATTGTCACACAAACAACTGGTAGCTAGCTTTTTTAACAAAAATAATTGAAATTGCCCTTGTCTAGTCAGCAAGTTAGATATCAGCTGCTAATGCAATTATTGCAAATTATCATGCAAGAAAATAATTGTTTCATATGTTCAGTACATAAGCGGTCTCCTTTTCGCAGTGGCAGCTTTTTCGGCAGCAGAAAACACCATTGCTCCTGCAGCAGAGCATATAAGGTCGCTAGAAAAGTGAAGATGCAGGCTTGGCAAAACTAAAACCAAACCTATTCCTTCGTCGTGAGCTATAGTACATACTGTGTTTGCCAAATTCTTAATGGCCACTTCTTTTCGCCAAAATAGGTGGCAAAACTACATGGGAGTTACGACTAAACCAAAAAGCAAGAGTTAAAAGAAAAATGCGATACTCAATATAAGTTGGCTAGCCCCATCCCCACTGTGACCGTTCGCTTACATTCGCCACTTTTAGAATCCATACTGCGAGCATCCTCCCGTGTCTATGGACATCTACCGTTTTAACGTAGAAAAACGAAAAAAATTCATCCAAGCGACTTTATTTAAATGGAAAGCCATCATGCTGGTGGAAAAAGATAACAATGGAGCCGCACTGCATGGTCTCGTAATCCCAGTGACCCGACGAGCTTGCAAAGTGTTTAGAAGACGGCCTTCCCAGAGGCGACGGTTGCACACAGGCCGTACTAGCACAGGAAGCGCAACACCTAAAACACTTCGAAAGCAAGGATTAGCTCTGGAACGCGAAGAGCCATCTTCGGTTTTACGGTGAAGCTGGTTATAGTTAGGGTTCTGTGGATTTTTTGTGGGCAGCAACTAAAAACTATGCTCGCACCGCCGCACGTGCACGCCTTCCTTGTGTAAAAGATTCAAAGTAAATAACCAAAATAATAAAGCATTAACGAACGTGCGTGCAAGATGCCATTCGTTTTAGGCTTTTGCTTTAGAACAGCTACTGCTGCAGACGCTAGCATGTGCGGCGTGTGGAACACGATTCACTGCATTCTCCTTGATGCTCGGGTAATTTAACAATAGGTTTATTGAGTAGATTAGTTATCAATAGGCACTATTTTTTAGATCAGTAGACTCTCGGGTAGATAATAAAGGTTTCTCAAAGATTTGCCGCTTTGCGACCCGTGTTGGCCATGTCTACGCTCGCACTGCCCTCTCTTTGTCGTCGTTCCAAGCGCTTGCGTGCCTATAGTCGGTTACAAGTTAAGAACGTAGAAGGAGCTCCTCACACAAGTGTGATGTGCTAGTTTCAAATCCCTCCACAGTCTAAAGAAAAGTTCACTGGAAACACTTTTTTTTCCGCTTCAATGGATAGATATTGGCCACACAGTGATGCCAAGTTATCTCCGATCCCACTTTTTCAGAAAGTGATCTTTGTATTCATCGGAGGGGGAACTGAGCCCCTGAAAGCAGCCTTTGTATCCATCGGAGAGGGAACCTAATTCCCGAAAGTCTTATTTGTTTCCATCAAAGGGTGAAAACTCTAGTCTCCCTCTTGTGGCTTCCACAGTGCTAAGTCAAAGTTGAAAGGTAAAGCAAATATGTACAGAAAGGCAAGACCCTCCTCGCGCATTGGTTGTGACGTCACGGGAACGATAAGACGCCATTGGATGCGGAGGTGGCGGAGGGATATACGATTCCCTTTGAGGGGCATTTGCCGCTACCTTCTTGACTTTTGACCTACTATAGTTTTCCTTCCTTTCGCTCTTTTGGGGTGGTGGTCCCGTCATGCATCTACTTTCCGCCGAGTGGCAGTGTCTAGTTTCCTCTGGCTCCTCGGGACGGCGATAGTCGTCTACGTGAAATAACGACCACCGATCAAGACGACTAAAAATGTGTGTGCATACCTTTCGTCACGATGACCACCGATCAAGACAATATATGTGCTCGTACCTTTGTTCGAAATTTTGTGTCGTGTGCGAAACAGCGTCGCTGCTCGTCCACCTTCAGGATGGCATGGCTCATGATCTTATATTTTTTCCAATAAAGAGTCAGTTTTTGAGAGATGAGCGAAGGAAAGTCTTACCTCAAGCCGTGTGCCCCTCTTCCCCAGGCGGCGATGATGATCAACCAGGGCCAGGCGCGGCACAAGCTGCAGTTCCTGATGGGGGACCACCCGCTGCCGTATGGCATGACGGTGTACCAGGCCATCCGGCAGTACAGTGGGGCCAGCCCCGACGGGCATGAGACGGACACGGACTCGGAGAATCCCATGGGCTACGCCAACATCTGGGTCCAGACCCACACCATCTGGTGCGCGCCTCCTTTTTGCCGCCTCCTGTTCCTTCTTTTTCGGACGTCGCAAGCGGGGGTTTTATCTTTTAAGGGTTCATTTTTTCCCGACGCCGTCTTTCGGTGTTGATTTTTGATGTCAAGTGAAAAATAGCATTTGTTGGGGCCGACGTTGAATGATATGGCGCAAGGGCGTTGCGGCTTTACGGGCAGTTCGGTGCAGGTTGTGTTCCGGGGCAACACAAAATAAGGTGGTAGATAAAACTTTTCTTTGAGGCTCGGGTTTTTCCTGTTAGAAAACAACTCCCATTCGGGGCGTTTTTTTTTTTTCTCGAGTTTTATAAAGTTGGTTTAAGGGTTTCTTTTTGGTGTTTACCGGTGTACGGAAGACAAAAAGGGAGCAGTCTCTCGACTTCGTCCAAGTGCCACCCCGAAGCAAACCTTGATGTTCCTATATTAGGGTGCAGGAAGTCGTACACCTTTCACGAAAATTCGAGATCGTCGCGCGCACATGCCGATTATTTTGGTTGATTTTAGAGTGAGCCAGAGTATCGAAGCTGCCCTATACTATTGAGGCAGTAGGGATTCTTCGGGGGCTTCCCCGTCGGTGCTGGGGGGCGTGGCTGATGCGTGTGGTGTTGCGTGACTTGCAGGTACCGGCCCGTGCCGGAGGACGACCGCAGCGGGACCCCCTCAGGCTCCTCCGGACGGGGGGGCCAGAGCTCCTCCTCGGCCCCGGGGCTTTCTAGTCGCCGCAACAAGAGCTCCTCGGGCTCCAAGTCCATGGCCAAGAAGAAGGACGACCTCTGGAACGGTGAGGAGCCACCCCGCGTCCTCGCCTCGATGGGACTCGTTTGAGCGTGGTCTTGACGAGCTCTTGCGCTCGAACATAGCGCCTGCATGTGTGGCAGCAGCGTCACGTTGGCAAAGGATGGGACCGACACGACCAGCAGCATTTACGCGTGCTGTGGCTGCGCTGACGCGAAAATGGAACATGTTTTACCTTGGTGCCTGCTGTGCCGGGCTGCCAGACCAGAATGCATTGCACACCCGAGACTGCAAAGGCCATAACAAATGCCCTTTCAAAGTTCAATGCACAAAAGTGCCAATGTTTCGTTTGGGCAAACAGTACATTCTAAGCCATTAAACCGGCACTCATTAATGCGCATTGTGTCGGACCTGCCTGCAGTTTGATTTTGAAGTTGCGAAACGAGCCATGTTCTGACAGCGGGGTGGGACTCGTTCCCGGTGCAGAGGGTGTGGTGCCCGAGACGGTATCTTTGCTGCACCAGCACCTGAGCGCTACCCTGCCGGAGTCGGTGACCATCCAGGACGCCTCCCTCCAGGTGATCACCCTGCTCAGGGTGGTCTACGCCCTCTCCCAGCACTGGGGGCACCTATACGAGGTGGGTGTTTCGCTAGTCGTCAAATCCTTCTACAGACAGAACCTGCCATGCTCCAACGTGGCCAAACAACCGTGCGTACATTGTTGCGCATGGTGTCCCTTGCTCTTTCAGAAAATGAGGAATTAAGGGTCGCATTTTACTCTTGGGATGTTTTCAATGGCCTTTTCAACCAGCCTGTTAGGCAGCGTTGTGTTAGCATTTGTAGACTTGTGGATTTCTTGTTGGTTTTGGGGGCATATACTGTGGAATACCGCACATCTGTCCATTCCATACTAAGCGCCTATTCCCGAATTTGCAAGATCTGAGAAAATATGCATAATTCATTTATATGTAAAATTGATTACCGGACAAGTGCCCAGCCCCCATTTTTTTGCAATTATCTCAAGTTTGAGAGAGCACTTGCCCGGTATTTTACGGTATATTGTATATATCTTAAGGCTATATATTTATGATTGTGAAAACAGCCATAAACATTTAGAAACTACTTTCTGATATTTTAGAAAAGTTTCTGTTTCTCTTCCACTTTCCCAGAAAAGGTAGCCTTGCCACCTCAGTTTTATCATTAGGATATTTGTTTGTGGTCTCAATTTCCCACGAGGGAGTCTCCTAATCCCGTTCCTGCAGCTGTCGCCACCCAGGCGGTACCTCGGTGACACCTGTGCCACTATATGATCTAATCCTTGTCTACTAAAGTTGGATAACCTTTTGTTATTAAAAACATTGCTTAGGTGTCGCAAGCTGCCACCTGGTTTAGAGGGTTTGGCGGCGTTCATGCATCGGTCCACAATCCCCCGACCCTTCGTGCAGCTTCATTCGTACCTGCCTGCCCTCCCGAGGGCCGAGTTTGTCAACAGCAAGCTGACTGCCAAAGCGAATCGGCAACTACAGGACCCCCTGGCCATCATGACTGGAAACATACCGTCGTGGCTCACCCAGGTGGCCTACGCCTGGTGAGGCACGCATTCACTCTAATTATAAAATAAGACGACTAATGGCAGTGGGAAAGGGGCGTCCTTTACTATTATAGACAGAAATGAGAAGCATAAAGTAAAAGAATAAATGGATGGATAGGTGGTACCCTTCATAACGGGCAGTAGCCTTCTCCACCAAGCCAGGGTCAACAGAAAGGGTTTTGTAGTTTGTTTCTTTTTTTTTTTTTTTAGGTAAGAAGGAGGGAGGGGGAGGGGTTGAGGGTTAAGGCGAGGGCTTCGCACACCCCAGAAATGGCCTTGCGGACCCCGTCGAGTCTGCAGAACCCCGTTTGAGAACCACTGCTGTAAATAATGGCATATTGAACTAACAGATATGTTATGGCTATCAGTAGCTCGAACGAATCTGAGATACGAAATGGGCTCTCTCGCAGAGGGTCATCAGTTGCGTGTGACAGTATGTAGCGCCCCCTCCAGTCCACAGCTCTGAATGCAGAGAGCAGGAAGGGTGGTTCTGCCTGCATTTTGCGGATGTCCGCCCGTTGGCATGCTGTCCAAATGTTAATGGGAGCCGACTTGTGGGTCTCCAGTCCGTTCCTGTTCCCCTTCGAGACCCGGCATCTGTTGTTCTACACTACGTCGTTTGACCGGGACCGTGCCTTGCAAAGGCTGCTGGACATGACGCCCGACCTGTCGGGGTCGGACAACAGCGAGAGGGTCACCCCTCGTCTGGACCGACGCAAGGTGAGGCCACGCCGACCTTAACGCGGGGGGGCAGTGGCAGGGGTAGGAGCAGGTACCGCCGCCGTTGTCGGTCGCTGCGTTGTTGATTTCTAAATTTTTTTACCGAGGAGAGTTTGTTCCGGGTAATGTCGCTGTACAGTGTAGACCGCATATAACGTATGTAGCGGGAGTCGCGAAAATCCGCACTATAAGCGGTACCGCGTTATAACCGAAACATCAATTTTTCAGGCCAAAATACATGCCATGTGACAACTTACCTTTGTAAAAGAATTTATTTTATGTTAGATGAAAAATAAAGCTTAGTTTGAGGAAAGTCTTTATTTCAGCAGACTAGTACACATCTCTCTCAAGTGTGTCACACATTTTGAAAGAAATGAGCGGCTTTTGCCTGGCGCAGCCTCTTAGCGGCGTCGCGGGTTGCGGACGGATGTTGCGAGCGTTCAGGACTGCTAACCCTAATCACTTTTTTCCGGAGATGAAAACGCGTGAAAATTCGGATCCTTCATACGGTACGCGCCAGTAATACCTTGAACTTGAGCACACGCATGAAATGCGCCAAATAAGAAATCCGGGCGATGTTCGAGGAAACAAATGCTTAGAAATCACCACTGTAGTGGAAGTAAACAAACACGACGACACGGGCGTTTCTGCCGTCTTGAGAGCGCCGCCACGACATCGCCGCTCGAGTAGGTGGATCTTCCCTTCCAGTACGTGCTGGGTTATCATAGCGACACACAACGAAAATTCACAGTCAAGGATAGCGCTTTTACGCGGAACGATGAGATGAACGCCGTCTACGACGACGATCACAACGTTGATCACAACCGACGCCATGTTCGCGGATAGAAGCAGCCGGCCCGCGACGGGCATGCAATGCGCGCGAACACTTCTCCTCGACCTGCTATTGGTCTGTCGTTGCGGTTGTTGGTTTCCAACGCAGCGGAGGGACGCACGCACGTGAACGACACGTGCGTGCGTCCCTCCGTCGCTAGGGCAACTGAAGCCTCTCTCTTCGCTTCTCCCGCTTCTTCGAGCACCCTCCTTGCCCCGCGAGTGCCGCTTGCGCAACGCTTGCGGCTCGCGCCGTCAGCGCCGTTATCTAGTGTCGCACAGGCAAGCGTGCTCGCTGCTCCGGTCGTCGGCGCGGTCGGCGGGCTGTGCCAGAAACCGCACTATAACCGGTATTTCCCTTCGCGCGCCTGCGTTTTAAGCGGTATGTAATTACATGGAGTTCTATGGGAGGCGAACCGGTGGTTTAAAAAAACCGCGTTATACCCGGTCCTGCACTATAAGCGGTTACGTTGTAAGTGGTCTATACTGTACAAGATGCACCACCTTCAGGCACCACTGTGGTAAATCCTATAGTCATTGATAGAATGAGAATGGCAGAGCGTCTCTTTTGAATGCCCGGCCTCCAGGGCGCTTCATGCCTTTCAACGTGCCTTGGCTGCACTCGTGTGCGTACTCGAGGTGCAGGGGGTATTGAAGTGTTGTTGGAGGTGGGAAGCTTGCGTTGGAGGCGGGGCGATCAAGGCACCTCTTTACTGTTCTCACTTTCTAGGATACCTGAGCGCTTTACATTGAAAACTCGTTTGTGTGGTCCCTTCAAATTGCCAACGCTTTCGGTTGACTCGCGCCGTAGTAATACTAGGTTCAATCAGAACGATTCGAAACTGATTTTGTAGCGTAAAAAGAGGTGGCAGCACGTGATGTTCGCGCTGGAGTCGAGGGCAGAGACCCTGGCGTCAGATTATGCCAAAGGGCGTCGTTCCATGAACATTTGTAGCTGCGCTACTCGAGTTTTTGTGACCACATAGATAGCAGAGCGAGAGAGAACATCAATTTTGCGTCACACCCGGAAAATCTAAAATGGAGACCTTTGAAACAATTCGTAAGGTTTTTGTGAAAAAGCAGTGAATTGTGCAAAGTGTCTAGAGTAGCACTCGTGCTTCAAGAATGAAAGAATGTTGCTGAAAGACGAAGAGGGGTACAGTAAGCTCTCCTCGTTTTGTGTGGCGCAGCTTCAAATGTTCACGGAACCACGCCCTTCGGCATGACGAGACACGGAGGACTTTGCTTTTGACTGCTACTCAAGCGTCGCCCTCTCCTTTTACGTTGCAAATTCAGTCTCAAAACTTAATCACATTGCGTAAAGCTTGTCAGCATTTTAATTTGCACACTCTGTCTCATGGTTAAGACTTGCCACTGGGCTTGATTGCTGCAAAAGGTTGGTCACGTGCAGGTGCTGTGGACGTGGGGGGTTTGACCAAAATGTCTCTTCAATGACTCGTCAAATATTTTGCTGAAGTTTGCTGTCGCACTGAGAAATCAACCTTTCATTGAGAAAAAAAAGATTGTTAAACATGTGAACTGTTAGTATACCGGAGCAAGTGTTTAATATGTAATTGCACAGATCTGAGAGGACAGTAGGATTTTAGCTCGGAGCAATGCATTATTGACATGGTCCAGTTGTCTCACTGGAGAATGTATTGAGGAAGTTTTGGCACCTGAGGATTCTCTAGGAACTACTGTCGAAACCGGTTATAATGAAGTCAACGGGAATCAAAAATCACTTTGCTATATCCGCTATTTTGTTATAACCGACTTCGGTTAACGAAGTGCTAAAGCGAATGGGACATCGTGATCGCTTCGCTGTAGCCACTATTTCGTTATAACCAACTTTGTTATAACCGACTTCGTTATAACCGGTCTCGATAGTATTTAGAGACCTCCTGGGACCCTGAAAGCCCAGTTTTAGCATCCCTTACTTGTAAAGCACACTCACTCTATTGTAAAGGCTAATCTATTGAACCTGACATTTGGTCCGTGTGTAACAAGTTTTGTAGACAAATGTTTGTGTCGTTGAATGACATTGCGGTTCTCATTTGTTCGCTGTCCGAACAGAGGACCGTCGCTCGGGACGACCTGCTGAAGCAAGCGGAGGTGGTCATGCAGGACCTCGGAAGTTCCCGGGCGCTGCTCGAGATACAGTACGAGAACGAGGCGAGTTGGGGCACCCTTTTTCAATTCCGTGGAATTTTGGGGGCTAGCTTTGGGGATTTGGTGTTCGCAGATATAGCTTCGATGATTTTTAGTGTCGCATGACACCGCAATTTTATGCAACGTCAAGTCAAGTCACGCCATGGTGTTACCCTCGCAATCTGCCCTTTAGTGGTTTCCTTACTGTGCCCACGAAAGGAGGATTGCGAAGATGCCCTCTAAATGCTACGTGTCTTGAACACCATTAAGAAGTTCTAAGGGGACGACAAAATCTTAACACAGAATGCATTTTTTTTTTTTTTTTTTTCTGTCTGGAGGGTTGTGGTCTGTGCTTTCTCCTGGCCTGGGTGGCACATGGAGGCCCTGCCAGAAGCTCACTCTGGTTTCCCACGCTCTTCCAGGTTGGGAGCGGCCTCGGTCCCACGCTAGAGTTTTACGCCCTGGTGTCGAGGGAGCTGCAACGCGCCGACCTCGACATGTGGCGGGGAGAGACGGTCTCAGTGTTGAAAGGTAAGAAATGAACCTTGCCACGTTTGGGCTCAACATGTCCGTCGGTGCTCGCAGGGTGTCGGAAGAATGTTACGATTATTTCTAGATCACGTTGTTGTAAATCTGGAAAGCCAAAGCAAGCATCCCAGTAATCAGTTTGTAGACTCTAATTTTTTTAAACAATCGCAGTCTTATTCACGTCATGCCCGTACCACTCAGCAGTGTTTGAATTTAAATTATTAGGAATCTTGTTCTTCCATGAGCTAGAAAGTAAGAAATGAGGTCACATAATCTTTACAGGGTGTCTGCTCGCTACGTCTAGCTATTGCCGATTCACACGACTAACTGATACGCAAACTAATCGATCACGTGAGAGCACATCGGAGGTTCGTCAGTCTCGCATGCGCATCCACACAAGAGACAACAGTGAGGACAGACTGAACCTGTTCGCTACCTTACAGCACTGCGAAACTCTTAACATCTCACGATTGCACTGTGGCACCGTTGTCTAAGAGCGAAATCGGCATTCACTACTGCGAAAAAGAATCATGCACGGCTCTTATGTACAGAGCGAGGCAGAACATAGTGGTAAACTTAGTTTGAAGCGCCATTAGCCTTACTAATACAAGGCATGAGAGCGACACAAGCATGTTTTTGCTCAGGGTGGCTTAGCCGCTTCGATACTTTCACTTCACTTCAATGCTTTCACAGCCACAAAGGTATTGCTGGGTGAAAGGTTGATTGGATGTGCAAAAATACGATAGCGTACGCTAAAGACACTTAAAACTGCTTATGAGTAGGAATGCAAAAGCATTCCTACATGCAGTGCATCTCTACAAGCAGCGCACCACGTCTTACTTTTTCACACGGTGCTTTGACGGTGACATCACGCCGCTCCATTGCGCAGGCGCGGCGAACCCCTCTGGCTCCAACTTCCGTCCCGATGCATCTGCGTCGCTCTGCTTTTCTTTGTGTCTTATCCCTGAGGCGTGTCCGCTTTGACCTTGAGCGTCTCGCCGGCTTCTATGACTAAGCATCTGCGTTACTGTGCTTTTGGCCAACGGGGAATTAAACCGCTGTTTCGCTGCTACAGACTGTTACAGACAATGCCGACTTCACTCCATAGGACAGTTAATGCTTTCGCATTAAGATTGTAGCTTGCTAGACGAAATTTGACAGAAGTTTCTTGACACCAACCCTGAAGAGTGCTGGAACCTGCATTGCGTCAGTCGGGCAAAGTTTCTGCAGCTTCTTTCACGCATGGAACCAAGAATCAGGTGACAAAATGAGCCAGTGAAAGCACAAAACACAATAATGCACCATCTTTGTTTTAATTATCTAAGAAAGAAAGGCAAAGAAATAGCATACTGTTGCCAGATTAAATGCTTTTCAAGTCGGTCACCCGCCGAAAATTCAGGAGTGAAAAGGCGCTCGGCCATTTTACGTCGCTCGTCCGTGGACAAGGTGTGGATCGCAGGAATCGACGACATGGCGGTTGCGTGATCCACGGACGAAAATCGCAATCCGGTCAGTCATCTGAATCTGCCATTAGGGCCAACAACACCTAGACTAAGCGAGGCTTGTGTACTAGTTATTTAACGATGTCACACTATGGAGACTCGGCATTTGCGTCTTACACAAGTGCCGTATAAGCATTCAACTGGCTCTGCCTCGGTCGTTGCGTCTGCAGTCACTCTTCCGAGCTGGGTCTAAACGTTGCGAGGAGTGCCCCCATAAATACTCAACGTGGAACTGAGCTTTGGGAGTTTGCGAACAGTCCGACTTTGCCGAGTCAGAAGCTTCGATAAACGTCTCTATCCTGTTCGCAGGGGGTGAGGAGCCCGTCAAGTATGTGCACAGCGGGTGTGGCCTGTTCCCGAGCCCGCTGGGGCGCAACGCCAAGGTGGGCCACGTGGGCCGGGTGCGGTCCCGCTTCAAGCTGCTGGGCAAGTTTGTGGCCAAGGCCCTGATGGATTCCCGAATGCTGGATCTGCCCCTATCCCTGGCCATGTACAAGTGGATGTTGGGCCAGGAGAGCTCCCTGTCCCTGGCCGACATGGACTCCATCGACCCAGCCCTGGCACGCTCCCTCAGGCAACTGCACCAGGTGAAGCTTTCGAGAAGCTCTTTGTTGCACCACGGTGCCGAGAAAGAGTATCCGAACAGTCTGTTTACCCAGATCTTCAAATGTGGTTCCTCAATTTCCCCCTGATGACATTGTGATCCTGGTGGTGATGCAGCAGCAGAGCTCGAAGCATGTGGAGCAAAAGCTCTCACCACAAGACCTAAGGGTTCTGGTTTTAATCCCTACCCCTGCCCAATTTGATCTGATTGACCATTGTGCCACCGTACGTCACTACCGTGCGATGCATGTTAAAAGACCCCATGCTAGCAGTCGTAGTGAACTGGCTGAATTGGTCATCTGCGGCGGAGACCCCAGATGCCCGCTGAGGCTGACTTCCCGCTGTCTAAACGTACACACAGCTGTGTTTGAGACCTTGTTGTGTATGTGAGTTGTGTATGCTTTCCTACGTATCCTCAGCCTTTGTGGAGTTCAGTTCAGTTCCCTATGAATAACCTTCATCACTCTTCGACATTCTGTTCATTATGAATAACCTTGATCGGCCTGGAGGGTTCAGTTCATGCTGAATAACCTTCATCAACCTCGGGGTTTACAGTCATTATGAATAACCTTATGTCACCCTTGGGCATTGAGTCCCTGATCTACCTTCACCAACCTCAGGGTTTCCATTCATTATGAGTAACATTTTGTCACCCTTGTGTATTCAGCTCCTTATGTATAACATTTTGTCTCCCTTGTGGGTTCAGTTCCGAAGGTGACAAGGTTAATTAGCAATGGCTAATTAACCTTGTCACCTTCGGGCATTCCGTTCACTGTGAATAGCCTTCGTCACCCTCCAGGATTCGGCTCATTGCAAACGACCTTCGTTGGCTCGTTGCCATCCCCTGGTTCTCCTTGGAGACTCTGACTTCCTCCCCGTGGCAGGTGGTGCAAGAGAAGCGGCGAGTGGAGCGCGACCGGAGCCTGAGCCCTGCGAGTGTGCGTCGGCGGGTCGAGGCCCTGCAGCTGGACGGCTGCTTGGTGGAGCTGCTGGGGCTGGACTTCACCCTGCCCGGCCAGGACAGCCTGGAGCTGCGCCGAGGAGGGGCCAGCCTAGGCGTGAGCGTCCACAACCTGGACCAGTACCTGCGCCTGACCGTGCACTGGGCTGCCGTGGAGGGGGTGCGCCGCCAAATGGACGCCTTCCGGGAAGGCTTCGAGGCCGTCTTTCCCCTCGCACAGCTTCAGCTCTTCTACGCGGACGAGGTGGGCGGGTTCTCAGACCCTCAAGCTTCAATCTGTTTGCTGCGCGGGTTGGGCTAGGGATCCATCGACGATGAGTTGATGTGCACGTCTCATTTCCTACCTAATATTGATTTAGAGCGCTGCAGCCAAAGTTGTCAGTCGTTTATTTGAGCAGCCGAGTCCAAGACAGGGTGTAAGATAGACAGGTGGGGAAACGGCCCATAGAAACCTACCGCAGCTCCGTGACCGGATTGTGTACTCGTCTGCTTGCGGGAGGCTTGCGGGTACCCCCGATTTGCGACAGATGGCGCTGCGGCGAGAAGAAAAAAATTAGAATCGAATTTGCATGGAACTCTATGGGAGAGTGCACAAAATAAACTGAGAGCACGACAGTTTTCCATTGAAAATACACGAGAAACCTTCTCCGTCAGTTTAACCGGTCGCCAGCGTTCGCCCAGCTGGAGTGAGAGTTTGCGGTGCTCCACATAGATGGCGCCACAGAAAAAGAGAAAACCGAGGGGGACACAATGCGGTCGCTCATTTGGCTCTCGTTTCACCACCTGTCTATCTTACACCCTGGTCCAAGAATTGGCAGCGCGGAAACGTTGCAACGGATGTACGGCCAACACATCTGCAGGATCGCATTGCCATGAGGGGAAGATAATTACCATCTTGACCAACACGGAGCTAAATGTCTGAGGGGGTGAAAAAAAAAAAAAATATTAATGTTCCCAGTATTGCTGCTCCGATGTACATGCAGAACAGTGCTGGACCCTCTGTTCTCTACTCCTGTGGGAACCTTTTTCCGGCATTGATTGGGATTGCGCCGACGGTATGACGTGGCAAACTCACATTTATGATGGCTTCGGTGGTTCATGACCTGTGGCTACTTAACGTGCTTACCAGAGGTCACTTTGACATTGACAATTTACAGACAAAAGGAGGAAACAAAGTGCCGTGCTACTTATAAGGTGCCACTATAGTTACTTTTTGTGGCTGTGCACTTGGGATGGCTTTGATGTCGTGTTAGCCCATACGACTCCCTGCAGCCCAAGGAATGGGCTCTGTTGAATCCAAACCCTTTACCTTTCCTGCTTCTCCGTCTGTAGTTGGAGCAGCTGTTCTGCGGCAGCGGTCCCAGTTTGTGGGACGTAAAGAGCCTGATGGACTGCTGCCGGCCGGACCACGGCTACAGCCACGACAGCCGGGCCATCAAGTTCCTCTTTGAGATTCTCAGCAACTACCTGGCCGAAGAGCAGCGGGCCTTCCTCCAGTTCGTCACGGGCTCCCCCAGGCTGCCCGTTGGAGGTGGGCCCCCGTCTCTCTCTCTCTCTCCCCCAAACGCGTGGTGGCAGTAATGGCACCAGCCCCTGGGGTTTTGTAGCGTTAGCTACACTGGCCGAGGTTAAGCAGTTTCGTGTGGCCCTCATAATGAGCCGTGCTCATCATGCAAGTCGTGCTCATTATGCGGAGCGTGCGGCAGTGGCGGCGGAGCTCCGCACAATGAGCAAAGCACCGCGCGCTCCAGAAAATGAGCACGGCTCACTATGAGAGCCACGCGAAGCCGCCGCTGTGCGCTCCGCCGCGCCTGCCTCGCCCGCCTGCGCATTCCGGTGGAGTGACGTCATGGCCGCGGCAGACGCACTGGCGCCGCTGCGTGCCCAGCTGTGTGCCTCTGTTGCGCAGTAGCCAAGTCTGACACTGCATCGGAGCCGCTTGATAGCGCCTCTCATTTTATGTGCTCACGCTACGATATCCTGGCATTTCCGAGCTAAGCCACCGCAATTTTCGTCAGTGAGTGTAACCTCGATGACGTCACGTGACACTGTGATGCCTTCCCAAAGATACTTTGTGCGCAGCATTGATAAGTTCTGTGACGTCACCCACATGACAAAGCGACGTTTCGTGATATTGCGACGCCACGTGACACTGACAGCTTCATATACCATATTTACATGACTGCAAGTCAACTCGGTTGCAAGTCCAATCGGCATCGGGTGGGCTAGAGGTCTGTATGAATACAAGCCAGCCCGTGGGCGAGACTCAGGCTTCACGCCTACATTCATGAAGGGCCGGTAGAGCATTGTATTTAAGGGCCTAAACCGAGCCTAAACATTTTTTATTTTTAAAGCTATCAATGTATGAAATTTTCAGGGTACTTTCATAGCACATATATAAGAGTAACTGCTAAGTTTCATAAAGCTGTGCCCATGGGTTCTCAAGTTGCACTTTTTTTTTTTTAGTACGGTTCACTTGCTTTTTTTATCCCAGGCCTGGAGAAATAGCAAAACATAGTGGGAATGTGAAATTTATTATAAGCATTCTTAGATGGGCACCCGAGGGCATGACATAGCCTTTTTTTTATCGTTCAGTCGACCTTCAAACTCCTTGAGCAAAAACTACACGAAAGGTATGAAAACCGGCAACACAAAAGGTACTAATACCCACCGTTCACCACTGGACCATGAGATGGCGATACTTGTGCCAGAATTGGCAGAGGCGCTATATTCCTCCAAAAAGCTTTTCACTCTTGTCCCTGCATCGGCGCTTGGGCTTTCGCCTTCAAGTCGTCTTAGGGATCACATAAGAGACCCTGTAAATATTTTTTCCTTTCAGAAATTTTTTTGTGCAATGTTGATTTTTATGTTGCTGGTCATATCCTCATCTATCAAATTTAATTTGGGTATTATAAATTTTAACTGAATTTTCTAAAAAAAAAGGAAGCATCACAGCGCGCGACAATTGCACGACGTGATGCATTTAGACAGCAGCAGCAGGGTCGTGATGTGTTTTCCCGCCAAATCTAGTGGGGAAACTGAATTGGTGCATAGGTCACGTGACATTAATTTTTCTGCTAAATTTAGCGGGGAAACTGTTTCGTTTATGTTCACGCTGTCGCAAAACTGGGGGGCAGGCCACTAACAGCTGGCACTGTAAAAAGGACGATGGGTGTGATTTTGCTGAACGAGCTGCCTAGGCCCACGGATTAATCCAACTAAATGTATCGGCAAAAAAAAAAAAAAAAAATGTGAGAACTGGTGCTTACTGCTTTGACTATAGAGTACCACAGTCCACATGTATAGCAGTAGCAAGCGAGCTGCCATGCCGTGCAATTTATGAGCTACTCATACTGAGCAGACCCTTGATTATTAGCGTCGGGCTGGGCCTGGTTGGCTGTTGGAAATAGATAGTAGCCGGTCGCAGGCGGGCCCGGGCCCAAGAGACAACGGGCCAGGTTGGGCCGGTTTCCCAAATATCGGCCCGTACAGACTAGGGATGTCGCGAACCACCCTAGGTTCGATTTCGAAAGGTTTCGATATTTGCGAAGCGAACTGAGGTTCGATTTCGAAAAATTTCGATATTTTTGTACCGACCGAGGTTCGATTTCGAAAAATTCGCAACTTTTGTCCACAGCGGAGTTTCGAATTCGAAAAGTTCGAAGCTTTCACGGTTTCTAAAATTTCGAATTCGAATATTTCGAATATTTTTTACTTCAGGTTCGATAAATTCGAAGATTTCGAAATTCTTTGTAAAAAAGATTCGAAAACTTCGAACGCTTCGAATTTTTATAGACATGAAGTTCGAACAAATCGAAGATTTCGAATTTCTTTTTCCATAAAGTTCGAAAAGTTCGAAGGTTTCGATTCTCTTTTAACGCTAAATTCAAAAAAAAAAAAAAAAACATTTCGAAAATTTTGAATTACTTTCTAATCCAAGTTTTCAAAGTTCGAAGTCCGATTTTCAAGTTTTTCCACAGTTTCAGTTTCAAATAACGTTTTCACGACTCACTGGTTTTCACAAAATCAAGTTTAGAAAAGTTAGGGTGTGATATCTAGATTCTGCGAAGTTGGTCAGGCAATTAAATGAGACAACGAGTGTCCCGGATGTGCTAGAATATTTGCCAGTGCAGAATTGTGACCGCCAGCCCCGTGGGGGGGGGGGGGGGGGGGGGGGTCTTTAACCTGCATCAAGCAGTAGTGATTGCACGAACACACTGTTTTACGAGACTCTTCCAGTTCGAAACGGCCAGGGGCGAGCAGGAGGTTGAGGCTCAGAAAAACCGTGAAGCGACCTGGCAAACTAGCTCGCCACCCCTTGCACGCTGGTAGTAATCCGATCCGGTGAAGTTTATAATTGTCCTGGAGGTTTATTTTCTGGGACGGAGGAATCGCCTTGCAAAAAGCACAAAAGCCGACACAACTCGAGGTCGAGGAGCGTTCTACCATACAAGTGGCGTCGGAAGAGGAAAAAACGGGGGGAAAGAGGGTAGCGGGGGGGGGGGGGGGGGGGGGGGGGGGGGGGGGGGGGGGGCTTCAGCCTCCTTCTTCCCCTTGCAGGTATTTCGGACTGTTAAAGAAAACAATACGGGGAAGGAGGGCGTGGTCGAGCTTATTTTAATCTGAAATTATTTATGCATATGTATAGCTAATGTCGCTCTTCACTGCATAAAAGGTTGCGTAGATGGTCATTGTTAGAAACTCGTTGTCAGAAGGCACTGCTCGTCACATGCTTAGTGGTTCGGAAGTTCAAGGCTGTCTTTTCGACCTAAACACCTGTGCCGATAGTAACAAAAGAAAAAAAAAAAAAAAAGAATAAATGCGGGAATAAAAAGCAGGAGAAAAAAAAAAAAAAAACTATCAATAATTCGTCGGAAGTGTTCTATTCTTGCATATTCAGAGGTTCAGAACTTTGAAACAAGTTTCTTTTACCAAAGTGTGTACAGGCTAAAAGAAACACGTCCCAGGAACGTGAAGCGAAAAAAAAAAAAGTTTTCTTTTAATGACGTGCTGAACTTGAACACTACTAGAAATCTTCTCCCATGAGTTAATTTATTCCTTAACGTGAAAAAAACAATAAATATATTATTTTGTATTCTGCAGATGGCAATGATATGTACTGTCTGTGGTGTTAATTTAAATGCGATACCTCAAACAACTTAGACGAAAATAAATATCAAGTTTAGGTCATAATTGCATGCAGATACATGTTTGGACACTTCTTCGAAACTCACGTTGAATAACAATAATCACATCTTAAAACGGCACTTACCTAGGCTATACATAGATCATTCTTAAAAAAGTGTAACTTATCTACCATGAATAGCTCCGGCTGCAGCGTGCTTCAAATCTGGCACAAACGATAATCGTCAAAAACCCGTCGTCCTTCCTCGCCCCTTCGGGGATTTATTTCTTTAAACCTAAGCATGCCAGAACATTGAAATAAACGACATTGTCTTTCGTAAGGAACGCAGCACCGCGTGTAAAAGTTCGAGAAAAAAAAATTACGAATGTACCCCACTACTTGAAATCAAATGAAACCGTCCGCCGGTCTTTCGAAGTTCGACGAACGTCGAACTTTTACCCTAAAAGTTCGAAGTTCGTCGAACTTCTGACTTTTCAGAGTTCGAAAGTTCGAAACTTTTCGAATTCTCTTGATAAATAAGGTCGAAAGTTCGAAATTCATCGCATTTTTTGGTCAGTCAAGTTCGAAAGTTCGACAAGCATCGAACCTTGCAGCGCAATAAATTCGAAAGTTCGAAAAAGATCGAATTGTTTAGCGTAATAAGTTCGACGGTTCGAAAAGCGTCGAACTTCTTAGCTTAACAAGTTCGAAAATTCGACCTCCGTCGAATTTTACGATATAGACGATTCGGAAAATCGAAATCTTTCGAACCTTTCGAACCGCTTGATTCGATCATCGAAACTTCGATTCGAAAAAAGTTCGCGGCATCCCTAGTACAGACTTCTAGAGTGAGCATGGCCTTGCACGCTATGTCATATCTGAATCAGCCAATCACCGTCGAGCTGGGGGTGAGACGTCGTCGCCTGGCTAAGCCAATCTTTTGTCCCCATTTTCTTTTTTCCCCTGATAGCTAATTTTAAAAGTAGCCAGAATGCAGCGGGAAAGGAAGTTGACAGATAGAAAGATTGAGCTGTACTGCTGCTAAATCTCTCCTGTCGACAGGTCATTCCCAGTCTCCTAAGGTCACATTCTCAGAGTACTGGCATGGTCTACATGTTCCCCATACCGAACATGTAGAAATATAACACCCTGGAAGTGCAGAAGCTGACATTTATGACTGGGCTACAGCATGACATTCTGGTCTTGAGGGATCACTCTAGCCAGAACTGTGTGCACTGTTTTGGTGGTGCAACTTCAATTGTGTCACCAAATCTAACAAAAACTCCACGACACCCTTTTGGGTTTCACAGTTTTACAAGTGTTGTGTGCTTAGTTAGTCCATTTTATGAACAAGTTTTTGCTTCTTTCTTTAATTTACTTGAAATCTTTTTCTGTTGGAGGTAATATATTTGTGTTAGAAATTCCTTCCAAAATGTGTTTCATGGAAAGTTTGACCCATAATTCTGACTATGATTTAAATCTACAGGCAATTTTTGCTCCCAGAAGCCATTAGTGGAAAATTTATTGCAGTCCTTTAAACACGCTTGGGGCTCTAAACTCTTCAAACACAAAGTTGGGACCGAAGTTCACGGAGCGCACCGATTGGCCAATCGCGATGATGACTTTGCGCTTTTGTCGCCGGCGTCCAATCGGTGGCCTCCGCGAACTTTTGGCACCACTTTGTGTTTGACGAGTTTAGGGCCCCAGATGGGGCAGTTTACGGAGTTTTTATTACCATTGAAACCACTAGCACAAATTAGCAATGCGCATGCCCCGGTCCGACTGGTCAGATTCCTCCTCTTGGCACAGCATGGTCTATGTTGCATTATGCACCATTGAACACCAACTCTAGTGTCCTTCTAACCCATTGCTGCCGCAGGGTTCAAGAGCCTGAGCCCTCCGCTGACCATCGTGCGCAAGACGTTCGAGCCCAATGAGAACCCCGACGACTACCTGCCCTCAGTGATGACGTGCGTCAACTACCTGAAGCTGCCGGACTACTCTGACGCCAAAGTAATGCGCGAGCGGCTGCGCATTGCCGCCAGCGAGGGCCAGCACTCCTTCCACCTCTCTTGAGTGGCCTCGCAGCCGCGGGGCAAGGAGGAAGAGAAAGACTACCTGCCCGCTCACCTTCTCCGAAACACAAGCGACCGTCGTCTGCTCACCTGCCTCCCGGAGAAAGCGTGCCGCCCCGTCTGTTGTCCTCACCTGCCTTTCTTTTCTTCTTTGTTTTCTTGCGTCATGTGCATGTGTATGTTTGTCATAACAGTTATTGCAGCACCCCTTTTCGTGTCTTTCATTTGCACATCGTGCCCCGTCGGGAAAATTCGGGGGAAACGGGCAGACGTTTGTCGCAACGGAAGCCCGGGTGTACAGACGCGTGGCATCTCGGAGCCTCGGGGAATTTGCAATGTTCGAAGCCTCGGACGAGGCGAATGACCTCGTTCGAGGCGAATGACCTCGTTCGAGGTAGTCGTAGTATTTCACGTTTCGTTTCTCGTGTCGGTCATCGTTGAGAGATTGGAGCCCCCGACTCGTAGTTGTGAATTTTGGAAAGCGGGCTCGCCTACCTTTTGTTTTACTCTCTCCGAAGGGAAAGCCGTCTCCGACATTGGGGTGGCGCATCACGGACCGAGCCCGTCGCGCCGTCGAGTTTGTGCAGGAACAAGCCTTGTTTTGTGGTTTTAGTTTCTGGTTTGCCACAGTTCATTGTTTTCCCGTTAGATCCATGCATTTTGTTTCAGTTTACTGGCTGTGCATGTTTTCAGTTTTCTTAGTGCCGGCACCCAGACTCGTAGACGATCCCCTTGCCTCAGTTCGTTTCGTATCCACTGCCGCCACCGCCGCAACGGAGTCTAACCCGCTTTTTCGACACTCCGGACGTGTAGTTCAAAGGGGCAGCAGAAGCGTGCGTCGTAATGCATACCGAGGGGGGAGGGGAACGGGTCCCATTATAATGCTGCAAAGAATTTTCAGTGTGTGTGCGAGCATGCGTGCCTGATTATTGCGTTCTATATGCGAGAGTGTGATGCTTTCTTTCGGAAGCACGGCGTCTCTTTTTGTTTTTAATGAAGCATAAGTTAAGAAAAAAAGGAACGAGAAGCAGAGAGAAGCTTGTACATCAGTTTGAACGACAATAAAGAGGCCGGATCAAGGTGTGTGTCTGCTCTGCGAGAAGCGCGGGAAAACGTGGATGGACTGACAGTGTTCAGTGAAGCCATGTAAGGAGTGCTCGGACGTACCAGAAATATAGACTTGTCATTGTATGCTGTCATTCTTGAAAGAATCTGCTTTGGATTTGTGCAGGGCAGCAGCCTGCACAGGGTGTTCTCGAGCGCCGTTCGGTCATAAAAATGTTCGTATAAATAACTGAGAAACTGAGTGCATTAAAACTTTTCACAAAGGTGTCTTCAGGTGGTGCATTCGCCATGCTCAAAGTTTATGTGTAGGTTTCGGGCAAAAAAATATTAAGCCGGAATGAAAACTTGCTTTTTTCATATGCACAGGGAAGAAAACGGCCAAGATATTCTGGCTGTTGCTGCCACTCGCAGATGGCACGGCACAAAGCCCCATAACCTACTCATAAATTTGTAAAAACTTTCAATGTGCTCCGTTCATTGGTTTATTTCTACCAAATACTTTCCTGTCAGAAGAGCGCTCGAGATCACCCCGTAGTGTCTGCATCGAAAAGTGGTCTATTTCATTTTGGGGTGTGTGCAAATAGTGGTTAGAATCAAATAGCACTGTCATTCATAGTCCTTCAAGTGCCAGGAATACCCACAAATACCAGCTCTATTTGCAGTGTCGAAGCTAGGGATCACTTTGCACTGTTAGATTCAAAGCAGTTTGTACACATCCCTACTTACTGCACGATGCCAGCTTTGTGTGCATACAGACTGTGTTCACAGACCGGTAGAGCCGCAGAATGAAGACGAGCAGTGTTGCTATCCGTGCTTTTGCAGCTTGAAAGTGTGGGTTGGGTGTTCGATCCTTAGCTAGTTCACCCTTTACTGAACTTTAGTTGCATTGCGGATATTCGCGGTGAGAAGTTTGGGTATCGCCGCCTGGGTGGAATTGTTTCACAACCCAAAGTGAATTCCCAAAGTGAGGATACCATACTTCAACTTCCTCCATGGTGCAAGCACGTTCAATGCCAAGCTTCTATGCACTATGAAAATTAAAACAACTGTGTGAGTAGCACCCAGTGGTGTCACAAGGTGGGGGGGGGGGGACCACTCTGGGTGCAGTGCTTGGGGGGGGGGGGGGGGTTCTTGGCAGGCCACGAGTGCCGGGGGGGGTAGGAGGGTCGGGTCGCGGAGGGCTATCGCCCCGGGTGCCCCTGACCCCAGTTACGTCCCCAGTAGCACGTGCACTAGTTATAGCAAAGAAAATGGAAGTGTCCCTAGCGAGCTTCTCACCGTAAATAGCATAAAGCTGTTGAGGGCCTGAAAGCATACACATTGTTTAGCTACTGTGCTGTGCACGCAGTGGAACTTTGAACACCTTTGTGCCACAATTAAATTTCCAGCTTCGGAGCATTTTGAGAAAAAGTCTGCCGGCCAGTTTTCTCAATGGGCTATAGCAATACCTTGGGTTCATTGCCAAAAAATGACTGGAAAAGGCACATATCATTTGACACAAATAGCTTCAGAAATGCAGAGTGTGGCTTATGTTTCTGCTTCACGATTTGTTCTTTAGTGTTCTTACAGACAATGAGCAATATCATTGGTTGTGTACTAATAAGGTGCTCAGGATTCTTGTGCTGTCGGTGACAATGCACCTTTCCAAAGCTGTGGCATGCAACAGCCACTTGAGAAGAGCTACTGCGCATGCTTGGAATGCGTTCCATAGCCCAGCAGTCCAAGATGGCAATGTGCAAAAGGCGATTATTAGAATGGTCTATGGCAGGGGTCTCAGACTTATTCGAGCGTGGGAGCCAGATGGCCCACTCCCGAAAGTTTGGTACAAACAAATGCTGCCCAAGGCTCGAAGTGTACCTGAAAAATAGAGGACACTTAAGACTGCTTAAAGGGCAACTCCGCTTCATTTTTGAAATTTAGAAAACTATGTAGCCCTCAAATATTACGATCTAATTCCATTTATTTATTTAATAAACTGGCCAGCAAACCTTCAAGCGAGCCAAGTCGCCGAAATCTGCCAACTCTAGCGCGAGGCACAATCATCAGCACAGTCAATGCCACAGAGTTGGAGCGGCCAACGTTGAACCACTACGTCGGAGGCATTGCTACGTCATTCTCATGTTTTGCTTGTTTTTACTTCTCTGAGCGAAATTGAAAGATGACGTTATGAGTTTCTCCTCCCGCTGTTGGCTGACCGGGCGTTCACGTGATCACCGTAATGCGGATGCGCTAGTTTGCGCTGCCCTGCACGCTTATCGGTCTGTTTCTCCGCCCCCCTTCTCCTCTATCGTCTTCTCCCCTCCCCCTCTCCCCCGGGCCATGACCGTCCTTGCCATCCGAAGCGACCTGCCTGCGTCGTGCGTCCTGTCCCTCGCTCCCTCCCGAACGTCGCAAGACCACGTGGTTCGACGTGACGTGGCCATGTCCGACGACCTGAGACCAATGTTGCCTGACGCAACCGAAGTTTCGGTATCAGCTGATGTTTAAATTAGGATTACACAAATAATATTCCACATTTCGCGAATCCGAAGACGTAGAGTTGTTTAGTAGTGCTTTGTGAATTTGAATCGCATGCAAGCCTAAATTTTTCAAAATCGAGCGGAGTTGCCCTTTAAGGGGTATTCACACATGGGAGAAATCCCGGGGATTTCTTCACGACACGCACATCCCGCAATGAAAATGTCGGGCTTTGCTATGTGCAAAAGCCTCGTGTTTTTGTCTCGTGATGCGCACGTGCCGGAAAGAAATCCCCGGGATTTCTCCCATATGTGAATACCCCTTTACGTGTAAGAATGCGAAAGTATTCCTGCACCTTTACGCGCAGGAATTTGTACACGTAAGCAGGCATTCGTCCTCTAGACGTCGAGGACGAAGTGTGGGACGACGTTGAGAAGACACCCAGAACAGGACAGAATGACGTCGAGAAAAATGCCTAGAAGAGTTCTAGGACGACCTCAAGGACGACGCTTGGACGACGTCTGGGACAACCTTAAAATACCGGTTGACGACGTTACCCGCTGGGCCACCAGCAGTTCGGCTGGCCCCTTAGCAGCAATGACTCCATTGCTATGGAGCCACATGACGCGTCGCAGCCAGTGGGAAACCGGCTGCAGTTTTGCTGCTACAGAGTGTTGCAGACAACGATGGCTTTGCTCCATGAAATGGTTAATGCTGTCGGATTAAAAATAAGCAGCAGTGGTGTTTCATGTTGCACAGCAGCCAACTGTCCCATTGACACCTCAGAAATTTTCTGGACAAAGCTTCTGCTTTCTTTTTTATGGTTACCATTTTTAGCTTCCAGTTGTATATATGACTACTTTGGTCCCTTTGCTGATGTTATAAGAAGATTTAAAATGTACTGGCAGTCTTCAATAGAATGAGAGCAAGCACACCGTCCTTGCCTTGTCGCACAATTCACTAGACTCGACAGGCATAGAAAAATTGCCTCTTCATATGGCAGTTTTTTTCTTTCCCAATGATTTTTAGTCCATCCAAAAGAAAACGGAATAGTGCAAAACGTATGAACATGTATGAGCAAAGCTCCTTTTTGAGCGGAAATGAATCAACAATAAAAAAACTCCAGGACGCGACCCGCGGAATGCTTGCGGGCCACGTCCCGGAGAGTCACGGGCCACGTGTTTGAGACCCTTGGTCTATGGTATGTGCATGCACAAACATGTTGTGGAATCTCCGGTTACATTATTTGTGTTACACAAGGAAGCGAAAAGATTTTCAATAAAGGGGACTGGCTGCTTTCGGTAAAAACTAATCTGTTTGCCTGCTGAGCCAGGCTATGCTTGCAAATAGACATTGACGCAAATTCAATGTTTTACAGCTATACAGAAAGCTGTATTATCCGGCATGCTATGTACAAGAAGGGTGATGGTTTCACTGGCTGTCACTGGACGAACTGCTCGAGGAGTCTGTGGACATGACCTCAACGTCCTCGTTCTCCTTGGCCTTGGTGTCCATGCCCACCGAGTTGTGGTTGCTGGACATGGGGGGCTTGATGTCCCCTCCAATCTGCCACGAGAAGGACTGCCCAAGTGGGTTTTGGTCTGGAGCAGAGAACAGAGAGGTGTAGTATCAGCACAGGCCTTCCACATCGACAGGTCTTGAAAGGTTACCGAGAGATCAAAGTGCAAGCGAGGACTAACTGCTCTAGCTCTATTTTGAGAAATGGGTCACTTCAACCGACAGCTTTGAACAGAGGTGAGACATGGGACACTTTACCATCCACGTGTGTGAACTTTACACTCCACTTCTCATGTTGTGGAGACCATATGCACAACCGCGTAGCTTTGGCAAGCACTCGTGCAACCAGAAGTTTGGAAGTGGAACAGAGAAACGAGGGCCATAGTGTTTGTGCAACCGGAACATTTTGTAAAGATGACATCCACTGGTGCATATGATTTGCACCTTGGTAGATCACTTGCAAAACAATAGAATTTATATTGTGAAATGAAGGCAGGCTCCTGTTGCCCGAGATTAAGTGCAAAAGTGCTATCAAAATCTCTTCTTGGTTCACAGTCTAAGATAGTGTAACCAATTTTTACAGGCATCAAACACGCTGGCTGCGGTGGCGAGCACATTTTGAAGGCTGTCTTCTCTCGTATAGTACACTTCAGTCCCAACTTAACGTTTTTTTTGCCCTCGCCAGCTTGCCGAGCCCTTCTGCCTACAAGCACTGCTCCAGGGTGGAAGATAGACAGGTGGTGAAACGAGAGCCAAATGAGCGACCGGATTGTGTCCCCCTCGGTTTTCTCTTTTTCTGTGGCGCCATCTATGTTGAGCACCGCGAACTCTCACTCCAGGTGGGCGAACGCTGGCGACCGGTTAAACTGATGGAGAAGGTTTCTCGTAGATTTTCAATGGAGGACTGTCGTGCTCTCAGTTTATTTTGCGCACTCTCCCATAGAGTTCCATCCGAATTCGATTCCAATTTTTTCTTCTTGCCGCAGCGCCATCTGTCGCAAATCGGGGGTACCCGCAAGCCACCCGCAAGCAGACGAGTACACAATCCGGTCACGGCGCTGCGGTAGGTTTCTACGGGCCGTTTCCCCACCTGTCTATCTTACACCCTGCACTGCTCTCTAAATTGTGTATTGCAAATCTAAACCGATTTTCACACAATGAGTGGCAGTACTCCCGCCACTATTACTAAGCTCGGATAATCGAAGCAGAATGAATGATTCTCAAGACTAGACCTGTATTATGTTACAAAGCTGGAAAGTGTTCCTTTTACACGGCTGGGCTGTTTACTTCAACTACCGAGCATGCATTGCAGCAATCTTAACACTCGCATGCTCGAATCCAAACTAGAGCCCAGTGACAACTTTTTTTTTTTTTATATTACTGGCCAACAAACAAGTGCCTGCATGTAGCCACTACCTGCCCAGGCTCATACTTTCGCCAGTGATGTACTGAAAGATTTCTGCTTTCAGCTTGTTACATGCCTACCTAGTTCAATAAAACATGCACACAAAGAGAAGGAAATGTAGGTGACACTCCATCCATGCATCCAGCCTTGCTCTCTGTTCGCATTTTTGTAATAACTAGATCTGTTTACTTTGATTCTGATTGAGAGCATTCATTATGGAGCTTTAGTAGATTGCACCGATAATAATACCAGATACTCCACAGGTGCCTTTGCGCAACCGTTGTTGGAATTATCGGGACAATCGACTAAAACTCCCTATTGACAGTTAAATCTTTGCTCATGCATGCAACCTCACCGTGGTGACCGCGTGCAGCACTCAGATCTCCGAGGTTGCCCTGTTGCTGCAGCGGGGGCCCTGAGAGGGGCAGGTCGCTCAGACGACCCAAGTAACCCTGCCGCATCTCGATGTCGGTCGGGTACGGCCTCCGCTGGTCCCCTGAGATGCAACGAGTGAATGCATCGCTACAGTAGCCTAATCAAGAATGCAACCCTGGCACTATACTCTGTTTCACCTTATGATGTACCGCAGGAAAGGCTACAAGCGCGAGCTCCTTGCTCAGGGCATATCTCGTCGGCACATGCTCTCGCGCATTAAGGGCAGCTGCAAATGCTATGAGCTCGCGCTTCCAGCCTTCGCTGCGGTACAACATAAGGTGAAACAGAGTGTAGTTGGTCTTGTACATCGTTGTCCTCTGACGCATATTTTAAACAAGTGAAACAGGCATGCATATCAGATGGCTAACAAATGTAAGGCTGAGACAACCACGTGAGACTGATTGTGACCCATGAACACTCATGCTTTATTGGCATTGACTGGGCACTTGAGTCTCAGAGCTATGAATCTGCACAAACCAATCCTCCTGATGCTGCAAAAGGTTTGCACCAGATATAGTGTTATTGTCTAGTCAAACTTGACTGCCACGTTAAACCTTCCATGAAATACTACAGCCACCATGCTTGAAGGCGATGGAGAGTTTTTCGGGCCCAGTGGAAAATAATTTTGGGCTCGAGAACATCCAACTTTAACTTCAATATTTACCTCACGGTTAGTATGAGTTTTGTTTTCACTGGCGGACTAATTTTTCCCCTTAAAAGTACAAACCCTGTCAATGTAGCCTACCTATTACCAACTCCAAGCGAGGCGTTCATATACACTGAAAACTGAAAAAACAATATTTGCATTGTTTAGAACTTTCCTACGGTGCAAGCGGTCTTCATTCATTTTAATATGAACCCGTGTTCGTTGACACTTGTAAAACGCTTAATCTTATTTGCTAACGTGACTTTTTGCCCAAATCAGAAGCGGCCGACTGACAAGCTATTTAATAACTTACTTCTCATCAAAAGTAGTCAAAGATTAACAGCCAAAGTTGTATGTTTATTTCTATATTGCTCGTATATGAAAAGATAAAAATGTAGCAAAATGAAGTTTCGTTTTTATTTTTCTAATTAGTAACTTTTGCCGACAATACACGAATTCACATCACAAATATATTTTTTTAAAGAAAAATGTGAGTATTACTGCCCCGGAAAAATGTATTCCTCTATTTGTATCGCTAAACTCTTTTTTATTTTTCAAATGTATCTCTGATACGCATCATGATACTTTTGTACGGACATATTTCAGAATCAGTCTTTGTATTTCCAAATGCAATTTAGTGCATCTCCGCCCAACCCTGAACCAAAGAGCACCAGAGCTCGTAGCCTGCTCGGCCTTCACAGAAAACAAACGAAAAAAGCGAATGTCAACTGGTCGATGGCCATTCGATGTTCTTTGAGGATTATCTCCACTGAGATAATCTGCAGAAAGTCTTAGCAAAAAATAGCTGATCAAGTGTGGGGTAGGGGCCAGAACAGACTCGTCTGTTCCTTTGCTTCAGTGCTATGCAAAGAACAAGCTGTCCCCAAAACATGCTTTCAAACAAGTCTGGATTTTATTTGACTGTCGTGAAATGACTGTCGTCGACACTGTATATTGGATATGCTACGTTATTCAAGATCTCTCTCAAATAAACCCTGCCTTCGGATAACGTGGCACCGTGATGTATGTGCAATATGTTGTTTGATTGACGAGAGCCATTCAATTTCATGCTGCACATGGTGAATACCCACATGCCTTTCGGCTATATTGTGTGGTCATATATTTTTGACAGTTAAAACCTTTGTAGAATGACACAACTGAGCGGCGTTGTGAAAAGCCTGCATAAATTTTAACATCCCGGTTGCATTAGATTTTGTTCTGTTGGGCACGGACTTGCCAAAAACAGCTTTCGTTTGTTTGATTTTGTTTCCAAAAATATTACAATTTTTTGTTAAAAGCCTCAAGAAATTCTATTTGCCACAAAACACAAAAGAAGCAACAAAATGCAGCAATTTAGCCGCCACCAGCGTCCGGAATCGCACCTACGCAAGCTGCCACAGCCCATTCGACGAGAAAACCCACAGGCCAGCAGTTGGGCAACAATGACATACACTCTGAAGACAAAAATATATTAAGGTTTTTATAACATGGGAAGCCGAAATAACAAAATTGGCAGAAATAAAAAGAGGACTGAGGTAGTGTTGTCCCTTTTTTATGATATACTTGAGTAGAAGGGAAAAGAAATTGGAAGAGTGCAAGAGTGTTTTACTCATATAACATTGTACTGTTAGCAGACAGCCGGGATATGTTACAGGAGCTGATTGAGATCTGTGGAGAGGAAGGAGACTCTCTGGGCCTGAAATTCAGTAACGACAAAATGGAGCTAATGGCTTCTAATGATGAGAAGAAAGTTCCCACTGAACATTCAAGGCTTTTTAATAAAACACATTAAGTATAAATACTTAGGAGTATGTATGGCTGAATGAGGGAAACAACACTTAGAAGAACAAGAAGAAAATATGCTAAAGAAAGGAAAAAGGAATGCAGCAATTTTGAAGCATAGGGCACTATTGAATTACAATAGATGAGAAGTTGTTAGGGGAATATGGAAAGGAGTCATGGTGCCGGGGTTGTCTTCTGGCAATGCGGTATTATGCATGAAATCTGAGGTCTAGCCGAGCTTAGAGACCCGGCAGAGCAGCGTGGGCAGACTGGCGCTGGGGGTGCATGGGAATACACCAAATGAAGGAGAGCAGGGAGACATGGGCTGGACATCTTTCGAGGCTTAAGAGGCGATCAGCAAGTTGAAATTTGAACAAAGGCTAGACACAACTGAGGATACACTGGGCAAGAAAGGTATATAGCATCTATACAGTCTGACCACTAAATGGACAAACCGAACCCGAAACTCCAATAACAACAGTCAAGTTCCCGGGGCACAACAGACTACCTGTGTGAAAAAGGAAGTAAAAGAAGACGAGAAAAAGATGTAGGAGGAAAGAGAGCAGTGAAAATCAGCTTTAACTATGTACAGGGGATGAGAACAGGAAATACAGAAAGAGCATTGGTATGATAATTCACGGGGGAGCTCGTTATTCGAGGCTAGAAGAGGAATATTGAAAAGTAGGACATATAGGTCAAAGTATAAGGAAATGAATATGCGGTGTGCCGTAAGCCAAGGTAAGACAAGACGATAGAAGAAGCGATGTTGAAGTGCACAAAGCTTGCTCTCCCCCCCCCCCAGGGAGGTTGGCTACAAATTTGACCAGAGCGCTGGGATTTGCAGACGAGAATGGAAGAATGCATGATATAAGTGAATAACTGTGTTCCTCAGTCTCGGGTTTTATTACCATGAATCACCACCAGCTCGCTTGTTTTTTAAGTATTGTTGCAAGAGATTAGAAGGCTGATGGAAATTACCTTGGGAGAATCGAATGACACACAACCAGGGTATCGGAACAAAACGAAAACCAAAAACGAAAAACGAAAAAAACGATATTTTTTGGCGGAACGGAAACGTAATCGAAACGTTACTTATTATTTTGTTCCGGAGTGAAACCGAAAAATTTTCTTATCGGTTTTCGGTTCAAGGGAAAATATCAGGTATTTCAGTAATTCGTTTCACGCAGCGAAGAGACTGCCGTTGGTTTGTACCATAATTAAAGAGAAGACAAGCAAGCCATCGCCCCCCCGTCTAAACTCCGGGCGAACAAGCATAGCAAAAACAAAGACAAAAAATACAACGAGAAACAAAAAACATGACTCAAGGCGCCATTGCTTCCCACCAATGAGAGCGCGGTGGCGCGACGCCTCCACACACTCGCAATGCTCTCCTTGGCACTTGCGCCCTCTCCCTCCATGCTTTCTTCGGACGACACAGACAGACAACAGATCACGGCAAGCGCGGGAAGTTTGTGACCCGGCGTTGTAGAAGTCCATCTTTTGTTTTTCTACGGATACGGCAGTCTGAGACTCTGTTGCAAAAGTGTACTTCTTCATCCCTATGGGCCTTCAGGGCCTTCTCGGCGCTGAAATTTATTTTATTGGACCAGAGGTCCTGCCTTTCACCGAGCACACTTGATGACGTGCTGCTTCTGAGATCATGCTCGGTGCCTTTATCATTATCTCATTCTCAAGGCAATGAACATGATCTCAGAAGCAATGTCGTTTCCGCAGATTCCTCTGGAGCGCCTGAATTATCTATTTTTGTGTAAAAATAAACGTTACGTTCCTTTTAATTTTTGTTGCGATTTTTTTTTATAGAAAGAAACCGTTACGAACCGTTACGGAGCATTATTTTTTCGTTCCGGAGCGGAAACGGAACGGAAATTTTTCGTATGGAACGAAAATAAAAACGGAACGAAAAACATTTCGTTTTAACACCCTGCACACAACTAACTGACAGCTGGGAACAGGGTAGAAGAAAATTGGGACTCCCTCCCGTGTGGCTCCGGCCCAAAGTCTCCACCCTGTCTCCCAGCGCCGGCATAACGCCGACTAAGTTTGACCAGAGGAAAATTGGCGACTTCTTCACCAAAGCGGGATGGGGGGGGGAGGGGGGATGTTTTAGGTTTTTTTGCTTGATCCCCCAAAGGTCATGCTGGTGATAGTTATGAAATACCCCGCGTGGTGATAGTTATGAAGTTGCAGACGGTAAGCACATTGGCGAAGTAAAGAAACCATACTTTTGGTTCTTAATTTCTAGGTTAGGTGGCGCAAGCTACTGTCAGTTATAAAGGGTACAGCCGTTAGCATTCATCCATCCAACCAACCAGGGACACATGCTGTAGATCGCTTTGTCCGAGACTGCCGCTGTCTATATCGGGCAGAACAAACACAACGAAGAGTGTAACGGTAGACTTGCCTTGTTGCCAGTTGTGAGGGGCAGCTACGGCATTGCTGGCGCTGATCCGATGAGCATATTTAATGAGTTCCTCGGACGAGACGCATCGGGCATTCGCTTTCTCGATGCTCTGAAGTTTCTGCTTGGCCTGGTAGATGGCTGTGGACTGCAGATATTGGTCCCTCGTTAGAAGCAGCAGAGGCACATCCCACATACGCTCCCATTCCACCCCCATACTGGTTGGAAAGCTAATTTAATAAATTGTGGCAGGCTAAAGAAAAAAAGAAGTGCTTAAAACAGACAGAATTGTTTGTTTCAGTGGGTGTTGCTTACCCAGGCCATTACCGTATAGGGAAGAGGTCTTTGGTACAATGCTTTCTTTTAACATGCGTAACTGTAACCAGTCAAACGTACCAGCAGGTGTTCGGCTTCTTTGAGGTGCCACTGGAGCAAGTGAATGTCATGGTCTTGTTTTTCCACCTCTTCCTGGAGGGCGTTGATTGTTTTCTGGACCTCGGCCTGCTGTTCGGCTGAGTGGGCATGCACAACGAAATTATTTAAAGTTGTTAACAACAAGCCATAATGACTGCAGGTAGATGTGCTCACCGACAACTAGCGTCTGCTTCAGTTCCTCGTCCTTTGCGACCAACAACTCTGCGAGCTGGGCGTGTTCTGAGGACGTCAGCCTCTGCGATCTTGGAGCGATGATGTTCTCAAACAGTTCCCTGGAAGGCGAGAAACTCGATTCGCAGTCTCGGTGCAAATACGCACGATCGTGTTGGCGAAATCCGCTATTTCAAGCAAGCCGCAAAAGTCGCACGCACGATGCGTCGAAATGAAGTTTCGTTACAGGATTCGAGGGTAATTAAGAGTGATTCTGGAAAAACAACCAAAACTAATTTAACTTTTAGGATTTCACAGCTTCGGCTGGCTTTGGGAAGCAAGTGCTCCAAAAATGTACTGCCTCTTTTTCTTTTAGCTCGATTCTGTGCACAAAGAGAAGGAACCTTACTTGGCAATTATCTCGATATCGTCGACGAGTGTGAGCAGCCTCTCACGCGTGCTTTGAGGCGCTGCCATAACGACTGCGAATGCAACGATGCAACCCAACCGACCCAACCAACCAACGACCTAACCGCTGCCGATCGTTGCCAATGGTGAACTGAAACAAGCCGACAGACACAAGAGAAAATTCAAAACAAAGGCCAAGACAGAATTTCGTAGTTTATCAAAACTTTATTTGAACTTTAGTTATTTATATCCTTATAAATATAATAAACATAATCAATAGCAATAATTTATTTGACATGAAAATTTATTTTATAGATACGCCACTTAACGCTTTTTTGTTTTCGAAACTGTGTCTAAATTTATGCGACACATACATAAACTTCACCAATGGCGGTCGCTGGAGCGAGCAGGGCGAGCAGAAGCGACTGAGGCAAAAATGTTTCAAGCTCTCGGATAACAGCCCTTTTCCCGGGTGTTCTTCCAGGCAAGATCACTAACGATGAGTGGAAGTGTTGGCTACCACCCACAGGGATCTACTTCCAGCTTCGACAGCTTCAAAAGGAAGCAGTTCAGGTATTCGAAGCGTTCACGCAGCTTACGCACTAACGTCAAACGAACGCAAAATACGCACTGCATGTCAAACTATGTTACACCGAACGATCATCTGCAGGTCGCATGACGGCGAGCATTCGAAACATGGACAAGAAGGCCCATCGCACAACTTTAGGCGTCCACTGCCGGATTTTACCGACACCTTCATGGCGAAGTAAGGACCCATCATCCGAAGTAACATACAAAATGTCGAGTGAACTTGACTGATAGCGCGTTCTTTTTTAGGCGTCGGCAAGAACGCGAAAAAATTGGAGCCCAAGGTGTGCGCAGCCTTTGGGGGGAATCGCCGGAAAGGCCCTTGAAGTATGTTGTTACAAGTTTCGTTTACATTCTTTCGCTTGGTACCAGGGTGGAGAATAAAAATCAAGTTGATTTAAATCGTGGTTAAATCGCACCGGTTTTACTAAGCTCCTCAAATTATATTTCTATTCACCGCTTGTCTATCATTTGATGCTCTAAATGTATTTCTTTTTTATTGCAATCAAATCATTGTCAAGCAAGGAAGTTTTATAGCAGGCTGAACACCAACAAAAAACAGCTCTCTTTCGAGCAAATCAGAGCGATCTTCTTTTTAACCAATATTTTGTATGTTAACATGAATAAAAAGTTGTCAATTAAACAGTGCTTTAAAACTTTTAATTTGTAATTTCTTCCGCATTGTTTTCAGTAATTGGAAATATTGATCAAACAATATTTCATGTTTAAAAATATATCTAGTCATAAATAATCCCTTTCTCCGCTAATGACTTAAATCATTAAGTAAAATTTTCTTAATTTTTCTTTTTCTAAGTAATTATTTTTTTCTACCCTGGATTGTGCTGATGGTGATATACTTTGAATGACTTGATTGTGCTCTCATGCAAGTTTCCTTTTGCAGCTCCGATGAAGAGCAGGCCAACAAGAAGAAGCGAGAGGAATCTTCAGACAACGAAAAAAGTAAGCTTGAACTTGGTTACCTATATTCCATCGGATGTCAGTCAATCAATCAGTCAGTTTTATTTAGTCACGGATTTCACCTACAGACAAATATAAACCCCCACATAAGCGTATGCGGCTTTCACGTAGGGCCGCCACAGATCTTCGTCAGATTTAGAATTATCAAAATGCACTCGTATATATTGATACATACTTTTCTCGGACCAAAATAAAATAAAAAATCGCTTTGAAATTCCCCAGTGACATGCCAACATTGCGTCGTAATGATCACGCTTGGAGACGTTACGAGTTTGCTTCTCACCGCCGGTTACTCATATTTTTTAGACGTTTTTAATTTTTTCCATATATCTGTGTTTAGTTTATTTATTCACACATTTGAAACTTACGTGTGCTCTCGGAGACCTCGTAAAACAACAGATGGTGTGTACTGTGACACCTTTTAGTTGGGTAGACGCCTTCTCTAAAGATGCCTTTGCGATGAGTCGACATTCCAATCCATCGGTGTCTGTTTCATCCCTTTCACGCAGTAACAATTCCTGAATTGCAGTCTTTAATTGGGAAGGAGACATTTGTGTTCCTTCCTTCAGCTCTCGCTCATTGTCTGTCCCCAGAGAAGTCCAAGAAGCACAAGCACAAGCGCAGTCGTGACTCGAGCAGCCACAAGAGCAAGAAGCACAAGAAAGAGAAGAAGAAGAAGAAGCGGAAGGAGTCCAAGAAGAAGTCCAAGAAGCACCGCAAGAAGGAGACCAGCTCCTCCAGTGCGTCCAGTTCCCCGGAGTCGGATGCCAAGCGCAGGGCCGACGGCAGCGACTTCGAGATGTGGGTGGACAAGCGCAGTGAGTATCTTAGTGCCGATGTGTGCCCATTGATGCCATGGTCAGTGACGGAGTGAGGACGGCGGGGCTTGTCTCTCGAACGCCTCCAGCATGCGCTCCACGTCTTCTGCCGGGCTTCTGCTGTGCAAGTGCTTAGGGTGCAAAAGTCGCCGAAGCATTGTCGAAGGCAGAAAGCTCACGCTGGAGGCGGGGCCACTGAAGCCGCTCCCTGCCATTCTCATTTTATCAGTGACCATAGACCACTGTGCTAGGGTGAGAGGAGAGAAGGAAATGAGCCTCCATGTTTAGGCAGTTCCAGTGGTGGAGCTTACCGGAACTGCCCAAACGATAAAAACGGCGCGTGCCCTTTTCCTTCCTCATCCCGCCGAATCGATTGAAATGCCTGCGGAGGACAATTGGTTGGTTGTCTGCTATATGGATCGGGCGCGTGCCCTCTCCCTTTTCTACCCGGACGATTCTATTGAAATGCCCGGATGTACAGATGGCACTGCAGTCTAAATGGCACCGCCCAGAGAGCCCTTAGTGGAGTGGTGTATAGTGACATGGCAAGGTGGAATCTGTGACTGTTCCGGGTTGGAGAAAAGGGGCATCGTTTGTTGTGGAAGTCCAGTATCTCCAGCAGTGACGGCGACATAGAAGCTTCTTGGTTGTGTACAGACAATATTTCGCCTTGAGGCTTCTTTTAAATCAAGTTTTGATTGTCACTGCCAGTTGCTGTTGCTGCGTATCACACCGGATTCACCAATCTCTCGTTGAAAAAGACACGAAAATGAATTTTAAAACAAATTAAACGATTAGCTAATGGCACCTGGTGGATGTCGCTAAAGCCTTGTTTGTAATACCCTTCTAGGAATCTTGACAGGTAGTGACGATGCCTGTCTCGCCTAAAACTATACATGTTTGGAACCTGATGTCGTCCCGCCAGCTCTCCGGCCACCACAAGAGAAGAGTGGAAGGGGGAACTCCCCTCTCACCCGGACTCTCTTTTGTGTGTCCCAGACTTGCCCAGACATCGCCATTGTCCCTCTACAAGATCATAAAAGATTAACCCATTACTCAAAATTCACAGAAAAGCAGCTTTGCGGTTAGTTGCGGTGGTCCGATCGATCGCTGAGGTGCTTCGGCCTCTTCGGTGGCTGGAACGGGTGGTTCCCATTTCGACCCATTCCCAAAACAATCTTCCCGTTTGTAGTTTCCTGTTTCGACCCGTCTCAAAACGACCTTCCCGTTTCATTTTTTCCCATTTTGCCCTTTCCCGAAACAACCTTCCCGCTTCGGCCATCATTCGGTTCATTTGTATATTTCGTTAACAGGTGATAAGGTTCAAGTGTCCAGTGTATGTTCGCCTTGCTCACATCACTTCTCCCTTTCCCGAAACAACCTCGGAGACATGGCACTATAAGATAAACGCTGTGTCAGGGAGGGCTCACCCGAACATTTACAGCTTCATCGACCTCAAGCGGGATGAGGCCTTGACAACGATATCGCTGCAGCAGCTTGCAAATGGTGGTGCCGTGCGGGTCAGGTGACCACCACAAACTATCACAATTGGAGTGCCGCCTTTCTGATGGCGCGATTTTCCTTCTCGACTTCCTCAACCAAGGCGACAGCATTTTGTGGTTTATGGATTTTGCCTGTGTACGCGACAATTCTGTGTTTGAACTTGTAAGAAAATGAAGTCGCAATCATGTGCCCGTCAGCCTGTCTGATTTATCACTTTTAAAAATATCCCGTTCACTATAAGGAAGTTTTAGAATAACATACGTAAGCGCTTTGGGTAACCTTGAAGTAGCGTCGCGATATAAAAACTTAGGCAACGCTAATTTTTGCTTACTCAAAGTGCTTGCCTGTGCTACTCTAAGACCGCATTAGGAGTTTTCGTAGACCGCTTTTTTCCTTTCGCTAAGCCCTCTCCAACGAAGAAGCCGCTACTGCGCCTGCGTGCCGATGGCCTTGACTGTAGAGTTCTGGGTATCGTAGCCCGGGCTGCAGAGGAGCGTGGCGTGACGTCAAAAACGGTCTACGAAAGCTCCCTGTTATTGTACAGAGCGCGAAATCGTTAGCGCGAACAAGCGATTGTTGGTTTTAGCTGTTTGTCTAAAAGAAACCAGAGGACTGCTGCCATCAATATTATTAGTGTGTTTGAAAGTGCTCATCTGGGTTACTAACCTAAGCGGTAAATGTGCTACATTCTAATACCATTTCGAAGTAAAATTCTAAAAATCGCCAAGATTGTGTTCGTGGTAACGTATCGCGCAGTGTACATAGTTTATTTCGTAGTTACATATTTTGGGGACCATCTTGAAAGAAACATTTTAAGTGGTTCAAGTAGAAATATATTTCGTTGAAGCTTGTCTGAAAGTATTGCATATTTTAAGAATATGTTTACAAGAAAAAATATTTCACAAAATAACGGAATTGCTCTCCTGCACCTTTGCATTAATTGCATTAACATGATTTCGGGACATATTCTTAAGCAGAAAAACTGCGCAAACCAGGATTAGAACAATGGGCACTTTTTGCGAAGAGGTTGAGATGCGTGGGGTTTTATACCAACGGGTTCAAACGGGACGAATTCAGACGTAAAATATGTCTTGGCTACGGGTTCAAATATGAAGGGTGTTTCGGGAACGGGTTGAAACGGGACAGGTTCAAACGGGAAGGTCGTTTCGGGAATGGTTCGAAACGGGACGGGTTCAAACAAGAAGGTCGTTTCGGGAATGGGTCAAAACGGAACGGGTTCAAACGGGAATGGGTTGTTTCGGGCTACACCCGCTGGAACGGCCAAAGCACCCCGTCGATGTCGGCCTCACCATAGCCTTGCTCATCCCGAGACAGTCTACATCATGGTTGTGCCGGATGTCACATGCTCTTTGCTGGCTGCTCTCCGGGTGCTTGCCGGAGTGGGCCTTTTATAACGAAAAATACAGCCATCAGGCTCATAATACAGACATGTAGTTGTCATTTACGGGTATTGTGGACCAGATTCAGTCTATTTCTGAACACGATGGATACATTTCAAATTTCGTTGAAGTATCCCTTTAAAGGGGGGGTGCAAAGATTTTAACATTTAAATACTAATTTGCAGCTTATATTTTTTGTACTGTTTACCTAGTCACAAATGAGAAAAAAACGTGCTGCTTTCCCCCGAAAAATCTGGTTCGTGTTCCGGTGCGAAACCACAAGAGAAATATTTAATTATTTGCCGACCTGCAGCCAGATGCGGCGGTTACGGGAACTATGGTGTCACGTGATAGGAGTACACGGAAGTCAGCAAAACCAGTCTCCCCCCCCCCCCGTACCACTACGCTCACCGTCAGCCCCGCGGCGAATCGTCTTTTGTATCGATCACTCGCCACGACCTTCAGTGACGCTAATCCCTGAAAAGTCGACAATCGATGAGGGGGTGGCCAAGGGCTCTGAAGGCAGAACCCAACGGGAAACCAGGTGGTCACCCCAGTGACGTCACCTGAAAGGCGGCTGGAGAGTCAAAGGAGAAGTTGTTTTCTGTTCTTTATTCTACAGGTGGCGCAGATCAATCCCCACTGTTAACTGGCCAAGTAAAAAAATTGTTGCACCCCGCCCCTCTAAAACATAAAAAAAAAATAAAAAATTCAGCACACAAAATGTCTGCAACAAAATACCACAGAAAAAGAAGGAAACAAAATTGGTACAAGTAATGTTAGTACAAAAAGAAGCATGAATGTCTTCATAATAACTGGAATGGACTAGTCCCTTCCATCTGCAACGACAAAGGTCGGTAATTGCTCGATTTTCCAAACTCTACCAGGCAGTATGGACAGGCAAAGTTAGACCCGTGGCAGTGTTTCGCGTATGTTTGGTCCCTGTATTTACGAGTGTGGTCTGTGACTGCAGGGGCTGAAGACGACGAAGACGAAGAAGAGGTGATTGGTCCCCTTCCCAAGCAGCATGTCCAACTCTCGGCCAAGGAGTGAGTGGACTTTGTGACAGTTTTGTCCGATTTTGTCTGACGCAGGACGATGAGTTGGCGCTGGGGTGTGCACTCTGACTCACACTTGTTGCCCTTTGTCTTCCCAAGCAAAGATTGCCTATATCTTTTGTTTGTGAGTCTAGACTTGTTTCAAGCTGCAAAACAAATTGGAGAGTGTTATTTCCTGCTTAGTTTTGGCACGTCAGATGTAGTCAAGTCCCATGCTCTCTAAGGATATACCGTTTTCAAAAGAAACCTTGTCATGGTAAAACCGCACCTGTTGTGGAGATGCCAATATGTCTCGAAACTGTGAATGTCATCCTTAGGCACTAACCATGCTGGTGAGCCCACATGTACGAAAGAATGAAGGATGACACTTGGAGCCACTGAACATTATCAGAATACCACAATCCTGAGCATCTGCTAGACGTGCAAATTATTGAGCTCTCTGATTAGGGAATGCATGTGATATGAAAGTGGATATTAAAGTGTTGGTTACTGTAACTGAATCTAGGTATTTACATTACTTTATTTATTTTGGCTTAGCTTCTAGCCCAGTTTCTTGTCAGTCTGTAGGAGGTTGCTTTCAACTCGGTGGGCTCTGTGTAAGTCTTAGCTTGAATGTGGGCCACATAGTTTACAGGAGCATTCAACCTTGCACGAACAAATTATATCTGCAGTGGGCTTATTTGATGTTGTCTCAATGCTTGTGCCATCAAGTGATAGTGGATAGAGACTTGGGAATTTTTTCGGAATGTACAGTGATATCCAAGAACATCATAAATTATGACAGAACGCTTTGGCTATGAAACTTGTCTTGTCTAGAGATTTTTCCCTTCTGTAGATCAGTTTTGAAACTGGCTTTTGTGATAAGATGCATTTTCACTATTGTTAGTGTTAGCAGTAGAACTGCACTGGTCAAATAGCTTCTCGCAGTGGAGATAATGTACATGATTTTTATGCTCACTAACTTTCCCCCCCCAGAGCAAATCTGTCTAGAACTTATTTTGACTTCACTTAAATCGTAGGGAAATTTGGTACTAAATGGCATCCATCCAAGTGGGAATGCAGGCACCTTTATGAAGCATTGGCTCGTTCAACATCTGTTACAGCTACGGCAAGGCACTGTTGCCGGGCGAGGGTGCTGCCATGGCAGCCTACATCGCCGAGGGAAAGAGGATCCCCAGGAGAGGGGAGATCGGTCTCACGAGCAACGAAATCGAGTGCTTCGAACAAGTGGGATACGTCATGTCAGGGAGCAGGTAGGTCTTCCGCTTTCTTTGTGTCTTCCGCTTGCAATTCTAAATGTTGCACTTGGAGTGCAATTAGATATTGAGTGCTCTCAATATAAGTTACTTCTGGGCAGGGGAGTTGTAGGAATTATAATTTTCACATGATTTTATTACTGACTCTGACTTTATGGCCAATCAAGTAGCCAAACTGTTAATAAGCAGTTCTTCACCAAGAGAGTATCAGGTGTAGAAAAAGGCTTTATCCGACGTTTCGAGCAGAGCTTGCTCTTTTTGAAGTGAGGAGATACTACAAGTTGCAAGATGTTTTGGAGATCGAGAGAGAGTGAGAAAGAGAAAGCAGTAATGAAGAGACAGATGTCGACTCGACAGCAAAAACAAACCCACACACACCAAGCCAGGTTCGCAACAACACTATCCCACCCAATGCCAAAAAAAAAAAAAAAAAAAAAAAAAATCGGTGCTGCCAGTGTTTATAGTTGGTTGCAACTCAAGAAGGTAAAGCGAGGAAAAGGACGGCCAGGGAGGAGGAAGCAGACGGAATGCTGGAGAGGAGAGGAGGAAATGTCCTCCTCTCTCCAGCATTCTGTCTGCTTCCTCCTTCCCGGCCGTACTTTCCCTCGCCCTACCTTCTTAAGTTGCAACGGACTATAAACACTGCCATAACCGATTATTTTTATTTTTTTTAACATGTTTATGGGTTGTTGCAAACATGGCCCGCTGTGTGTGGGTTTGTTTTTGCTGTCGACGCGTGTCTCTTCATTACTGCTTTCCCTGTATCACTTTCTCTCGATCTCCAAAACATCTTGCAACTTGTAGTATCTCTTCACTTCAAAAAGACCAGGCTCTGCTTGAAGTAATGAATGAAGCCTGTGCTGGCTGCTCACAATTTTTTTACGTCCAATCAAGCAGGGAAGGAATGGGAACAAAATAAATGTTTCAGCAGATATTTATTTCTCCAGGGATTTTTCTGTTCGAAATATGATGCTCGAGCTTCAGTGGCTGGACTAGCTCACAGAGAAAGGGTCAGTGAGAGAGGAACTGAATTTGAGTTTCATTGCATTTGGATTGTATCGTAGTCCACCAAGCCATGTTACTTTCTGAGATTTTGTATGTGAGTATAATTATGTGCAAGTATCATGCTATATACCATGCTATCTCACATGTGCAAAGCTCCAACAATGCATGTCCAATTCACATTGCATGGCCCATTCATAAGCTGTTTGTTAGTTTCAAATCTTTCCACAGCCAGATTTTGTGGGGCTCTCACATTGTCTGATTCTAAATTTTGTTTGAGCCTGTTTAGTGCTAAGTAGCAATGACACGTTTTACCGCACATTCTTCCCCGGAAAGGTTCGTCCTAAATTTTTCGCTAAGTGTTGCGGGTTACCCTTTTCTTACAGGCATCGTCGTATGGAGGCCGTACGTCTGCGAAAAGAGAACCAGATTTACAGCGCAGACGAGAAGAGAGCCCTCGCCATGTTCAACAGGGAGGAGCGGCAAAAGAGGGAGACCAAGATCCTCTCGCAGTTCAAAGAGGTCATCAAGGCCAAGTTGCATGGAGACCAGTGAAAACAAATCTTCAGAGGACGGAAACAGACTGAACATTGTTATCGTGGCACGGTGTTCCCCTTCCTTGAACTTCCCAACATCGGAACATTCACACCGACTCTCCCAAGGCTTGTACTACATCAGCTGTTGGCTAGATCCTTAGAAACCCTGCAAGCAGCTACAGTCATTCGTTGACATTTCCTTCTGCCTTTCTCAAAGACGGTGATGGATGGTGTCTTGTCACCTGGAAAACATGTCCGATCGCGTTCGTCATCTTTGTGTGTCGTGGTCTGTCCACAGCAGTCGGGTAGGGATGCCCCAAGACTGAAGCTAGGGATGCTATTAGATAACAGCACATAGATGTTCTGCCCCATTTTCGCTCGTGATGGTACTTTTGGCTCTTTATTATGCCACTAGAAGGGATGTTCTATCCCCGGGCCACTGGTACTCTTTTGGGTGGAGGCAAGTCTGGTGCATGGCTCCCGGAACTCATGGACATGCTTATATGCCATCTCATGACCTTACTGCTAATCCCTCAACCAACTTGTACATAAGCTCTTTGTGACTTTTTTTTTTTTTTTCTTCAGTGAAATGTCAAGATAAATCTAAAATATCAGTTTCCTGCTTTTGTCTTATTTGTAGCAAAATATTCTCCAGGGTTTGCACAAGAATCCCTCTGGAAATTGGAAGCCCACTCCCACTGAAAAACAGTCGGGCTCTATTAGCTTCAATGCGCGGTATAGCAGCAATGAGCATCAATGAGTGTTTGCTTATTGGTGCTCTTACGAACACTGCAGAGAAGCTGCAGTCTGGGGAAAAAGGCAGATTTATGATCGAGGTGAAGCAAACTTTTGTGACAGAACTGACAACTTGATGAGCACCAATGATCATGGTAGCACCGGCAGCACCACCTATGTGCACAACTGAAATTTTGCTCATTGGCATCTTTGGAAACCTTGCAGAGAAGCTAAATCCCGGAAGCCAACTTTACGGCACTTTCAAATTTTTGAGAAAAAATCGAAACAAAAAACGTAAGACGAAGTGAATAGGGTCACACCTCTCTCCCGCCTATCCCTTTTTCTTTGAAAAGTAAAACATAACCCTGATTGTGCGGATCTTAGAACCGACCATGAACGCCATGAACTAAGCTTGGAACATGCCTGGAACCGACACTCTCTTCTCCGTGGTCACGTGCCGTTCTTTATGGTTCAGATAAAACCACCAAATAAAATCTAAATTCGGTCATCGAAGGCAAACACTAAATATTAAAAATAGCAAACAAGATATATATATATCAAATAGTCATTTTTGTAGGTTCTACAGACAGCAAGTACAATGTTTAAGAAAGAAAAAAAACAAAAAAAAAAAAAAACGCGAAGGACAAGCACAGGACAACCAATTTTTTTTTTTTTTTTTCATTCATGAATGAAAGAACGTGGCTGTCCTGTGCAACGTTACTGGAGCTTGTTCCAGTAACGTTGGTTCTGTGCTTGTCCTCCGCCTTTTGTTCTTTCGATTTTAAGTATTCATATTTTACTTGCTCGTTTATACCAGCTTTCTCCTGTCCAGTTTCGGTTTTGGTATGCAGTTGGGGTTTTTTTTTTTTTACTTTATTTAAACTATACGTGACACTGTAGCAAAATATTATTCGGGTAGTCTTCTATTACCATAATAAATTGCATAAAAAAACCTTAATGAAAACAAATTGTGGGTGTCAGTGTGACTTTTTCTGCAAGCCGCTGGAATCGGCGAAACACCAGGTCCATGCTGGCAACACGGTATTTAAATGTCCGCGTCGTTTTGTTGTGGCATTTGTTCAGAGCGTTCGTTCTGATCAAGGACTAATCGAACAGATTCTAGGTCAAATCATGCTTCCACTTAATCTAGCGAGCCGTGTGGCCTGAACTCGCTCTCTTGCCAGCAGGGGCATACGGTCTCGCGTGACATGTAGCACAGTGCGAATGCGACGCACTGACGCTTCGACACATGGAGCGCATTGGCTCGATCGCGCGGCCGTAGAACATTATGTTTTTTCCGGTGACACAAAGAATGACCGCAATTTTGCTAGGAGGATGCCTCGTGATGATGATAGTAGGTAAGCTCCCGAACCATTTTTAATCCTCCGAAAGTCTCCAGTCCTCAAAGTGACTCCTCAAATGCTGCGTGCGTAGAACACGTCCACAGCAAGCAAAAATATCACAGCAAATTACGTTTACTGCACTAAAGTAATGTTAACCGCGTTTCGAAGAACATGCCAACTTCAAAAGAACGCAGTGTCCATCCTGATCCCATTAATAATGATAATAAAGAAGGAGAAGTAATGGAATGATTTGTTTGGTGCTCTGATGACACGACTGACACTGACATTTTTCTTCTCGTCAATGCCAGTTCCTCCGTAAAAATGACTTTTTCGTTATTTTTGTTTTGTTTTTTTGTGGGTTGGGTGGAGTCACTTCACTGATTGGCTGGGAGGGGCTAAGGGTTAGGGATGGGTGGGATCTTTCTGCGGTTGGCCGCTCCCCGCAATCAATTGAGGTGAAGGTCCCATCCCCCTCGGTACGCTGCACATGTCTGCGTCTCCCACTTTACGCCGGTCGCTCCGATTTCCCTCTCTGTTGCAGTTGTTTTGAGCTACCGGCAGCTCGTCGCCTCACAGTTGGTCCCAGCAGTGCCTGTACCACACGCCGCTAGTCTGAGCCACGTCACGAGGTATGCGGCTTAGCGCGCGCGGCATTGGTGCGCAAACATCCACGCGACATTTTCAGTCGGTGTGCCTCCCTGTTTAGACGTGGTTTTTGAGCTTTGAAACATTTTGTCCATCGCAGTTTTGCATTTCTTTCCGGCTACACCATTTGGTATGTCCGTGGTCTTGGTTGTTATGACTATTCAAATACAATCTAAAGAAAAAATTGTAAGGGTGCAGGCGAGCTGGTGAATATTAACCATGTTGAAATTAACCTGAGACTAGGGTAGAGAAGAATCATCAAAACTTAGAAGGGACAGAAAATAGACAGGACGACGTTGAGCTGAGTTTGAGACGTCGTCCTGTCTATTTTTTGTCCCTTCTACGCTTTGATGCTTCTTCTCTACCCCAGTCTCAGGTTAATTTCAACATGGTTAACAATCTAAAGATGGGAGAGCAGCAGGATTTGACGGAGTAATAATAGCGTTGTGCAGTTAAGAGCTTGTTTCAGTGGGGCCGTGAATATGTAAAATTAGTGGAGCAACGGTTAGGGTGAACGTCGATTATTGTAGTCTACAAAGATCTGGCAGAGGGAACTTGCTCACTATTCTGTTTTAAAATCTGTCGAGAAGTGCAGGAAATGAACATTAAAAATATATAGCATTTTTTAAATACATTTTCTAGTTCATTAATTAGCAAGCTTATTTTACCGTTACAGTGCAATCCCCTTATAACTATTACTATTTCTATTAAACAAAAAAAAACGATAATGAGAAAACCCGAAAATTCGATCGTTATAACCGATTGTCTTAGTGTCTAGATTAGAAATTGATTTTTTCTTGTCTAGAAGCTGATAGTTATGAGCGCTACATCTTTCTATGTGGTATCGTTATAAGTGGATTGCACTGTTCATGTTTTTGTTACCTCTCCGGCTTCATCTGTGCCAGTTGATGCGCTTATGTATCTGTCAAGATTCATTCTCCAGAAATCTGGAAGCTGCTTCTGCAGGCCAAACAAAAATAGCTGGAGGAATGCAGCCTTTTAGAAATGTTTCAATATGGAAACTTCAAAACAAAGCATGCATATATCGGATGTTGGTAGAGGATATCTAAGAGAAGGGATGTTTCGTGAAGCCTCAGATGTCCACTTGATGTTTTGCTAAGAAACATAGTCATATGCAGGTTCTACATTGCAGTGTATTCACCTGTAGCATATGACTTCAGCAGACAAATCTCCAAGTCATATTTGCTCTCTTCTGAGGAGACTTCCAATCAGTGACGCTCATTGTTTGTCTTGTGCAGATACATAGGTGTTCTAATGGACTTGACAGTCCTCATAAGATTTTATTGTTTTTGCATCTAAATGGGAATGTGACTAAAAACCTTGTGGGGCTCATTCCATGGGTATGAAGGAATGATGGCAACAGTGGCTTGAGGGGGATCCTTTTCTAACAGGCATCAGCAACCTTCCGGTAAACATCTGAACCCCAAGGACGCAATCATAGCCTCAATGGAAAGCAAGCTGAGAGACCTGGAGGCACGCATTAAGAAGCTGGAGAACACTGCTCCCAAGGACTTCCCTCTGGTGCGGCAGCTAGACTACCGTGACAAGAAGCGCATACTGGTATGTTACTGCCGTCACAACTGTGTCTCTTGCAGTTGCATACTCCAGCTGGCCCTGCTATTTTGAGTCTCCAATTCTTCTGAAAAATATGCTTGTTTTTTTTTTCTATCATATGCGCGAGCATGCTTGCTGAAGACCTAAATGTACTGTACTATTACTGTTAAATTTTTTATGTCACCCTCCAGAGGCCAGTGTGGGGCACCGATTGGACGTGAGTGCCATGTCAGTGTTTGGCTGGAACCCAATTTTAATAGCTGAGAGCACGGGTTCCAGCCGAAAACTGCCGCGGCGCTCTCGTCTATTTTGTACCCTGTGCAGTGGCTTAGCCAGGGGGGAGTCTTATGAGGCTTTAGCCCCTCCCCCAAAACCCAGCGGGCCCTATAATATACACCTGCATATTGACCCCCCCCCCCCCCCCCCCCCTGCATCCCAAGTCATGAACATGCAAGCCCTCACCCCTCCAAAATCTTCCTGGATACGCTACTGGCCCAGTGCGATACTCTTTTGTTATAGGAGCCTGTTGCAGGAAACTAGGAGTGGCCGGGCCATATAACACATCCTGCTAGATAAATGTTTCAGTGGACCTTGACAATGCCCCTTGCCCTCTCTCAGCAGCAAAGGACAGCGCTACAAAATGTAAAAGTATGGTACAGCGTAGCCATGAGTGACATCTGAGTAGACAAGGCAGCTGCCTAGAGTTGCATAAATTCGGGACCTTAGAATTTTTAACGGGCAATGCACCGGAACCCTGGATGACACCATCTGCATGCAGTATTCCAGCAATGAGGTTGAGGGAATGAAACATTAATGTTTGAAATGGCAGGGTTTTTTGTTTTGTACTTTTTATTTTGGTGGCACTGTTTGTCACAATATATTTTTCCCTTTAGTTTTAGGCATTTGCCAGAAAAGTGGTGTGTCAACGAGCCCATGTTCAGGGAAGTATAATGTGTGCAAAAGAGGGCTGTTTTTGCGAGCTTGTTGTTGATTGTTACTGGCCGAACCGCTCAGCTGAACTGATAAGGCTCAGTGTGGCAAATTCCACTGTCTCCCATCTGCTTCGAACATGTGCATCCACTCACATAACTGTTCTATTGTCTTGGCAGTAGTTGTTGGAAAACTTGGAATCTGGTGATGTTTGGCGATTGTGTGCATTCTCCAGTACTTTTTCTATGGGTTTCAAATGCTTAACAAAAGTAAATATCGTAAACAACTTAATTTTTTGCAAGGACCTAATTTTCGTGAACGGTGGGTCGCACAAACAAATTGTGCAAAATGTCAACATTTCGGAAACAATATTTTGATGTGCTCCACTCTGTTCAGCATGAGCATAATGTGAGGTAGAACACACAATAATGGGTTCACAAATGATCCAATCATTGTGCTGATGTGCAGTTTATATTGATTATGTACTCGAAAACCATGACTCGTAAGCCTTCGTGACCAACCTATGCTGCGCCTTCATCGACTATTCCTGCAGATGTGTAGCTGTAGCCGGATTGTAGTGTGTATTGACGCTTCTCTGAGCCCTCGGTGATAACTGCTACAACCACTCCTTCGTTTATTAACAGAATTCATCACCAGTACATCAGGCAGTCCCGTAATTTTAAGGAGGTCAGCTGGGGCTGTGCTCGGACACAGAATACTTTGGCCCTATCACTTCGGGCCATTCATTGTTTTGTTAAAAACTGAACCTGGGAGCGGAGTTGGTGAAGTGGAGAGGACAAAGTCGGATGCGAGTGCTAGTCCCTCTTTAGGCCTTCCAAAAAATTATTAAATTAAAAGCTCGCCACACTAGCATGGAGGTTTTCTTCTTCTTCTCTGTTGTGGAGGTTGGTCCCGATGTAATATCCTAAACATTAGCTAAAGTCGAATGTGCAAGATATCATGATTGAAAAAAAAAAAAAAAATAGTTTGAGAAAAGGATTTTTTTTTTTTTTTTTGGTCAGTTTCCTCGATCATATGTGAAAATTTTTAAAGCAGAGTGATTGTTGAAGGGCTTTGTTTCTGGGTGGGAACGTTACTAGGAACCAGAATGGTACTGATTTTTTACAGATAGTGTTTTGTAGGCCGCCTTCAAAGGCAGTGATATATCTCCAGATTAGGTGGAGCCAACAACTGCACGCCCATGTCACCTGGCGTGTCTCTGTGTCTCTACTTTCTTGTGTTTTCCATAATTGCTTTGACACTAAAGTTGAGCATAGCTTTATTCACATTCATGATGTAAGAATAGGAGAACTTTTTTTTTGTGCAAGTTTAAGAACGAAAGGTAGAAAATCAGGGTACGAAGAATACCATAGTGCTATGCTTCATTTGACCATGAGAACTGGAAAGAGATCTTGATTCAACTGCACTGCTATGTATTAAACGACACCGGGACGAGAAAAAACGAAACATGTACACGTAAGTGGATTCTGAAATGGCGAGCAAGCCGGAGTGAATGAGAAGCATGCTCCAGCTGCGTCCCAGTTTTTCGGTGCAGCGAGTACTGTGCAGCAAGGCAGAAGAATGTAGAGGTTGAATTTCGCAAATGGCGCAGCATGCTAGTTTACTTGAATTTTAAGAAGGTATTCCATGTTCTATTTTTCCCTTCAATTGTGCTAGCGAAACATTGAGCGACTATATTAAAGAACAAATATGTGAAACAGATCCAAAGGATGTGACGCTCATTCCAACTGCGGTTAATTGCAATGAATGAGACCAGCTGCTGTGGAAGAGCTTTGAACGAGAAGAGGAAAAGTGGGAAAGGGAGCACCGGAAAGGGAGGGTGGGCAATATTTGATCCCAGCTCGAACATTGCTTCTTGAAATGTCGTCATGCATCAGCTCGACATTGAAACATGATTGAGGTTTCAACATCAAGTTGAATTGACGTGCTCGGAAAATGTCAGTGACTAATTTTATGTTTATAAGTTTTTATTTTACAAATTTATTCTATTAAATATTTATTTATTTATGAATACTGTCTACCCCTAATAGGAGCTGTGACCGGTATGGGGTAGAATTTCACATGCTCAAGTTTCACATGTTACAAGTTTATATAAAATATACAATAGGGAGCAAAAAATAACCGGAACAATACCACCCATTAGACCTACAATAAGTGTGTAAAATCAATAAAAAAAATTAAACACTCTTCACTTTTATAGTGCAAAGAGAAAATTAAACCCAAACAGTCAACACTAGTTATCACCTCTTGCAATGAGAACAAGAACAAAACAACATATTTAAAAGATACATAAATTTGAAATGGCATATTTGCAAATTCCCATGGGACCGTCTATCGACACAATATTCTGCAGATGGTTATTCTAGTTGCGTATAGGTCTAGTGGAAAACAAACACCTATATGCTTCAATATGATATTTCGGGAATTTACATTGGTTCTCTGGTGCCTATTTTCAGTGCCAAACAAAAACATTGGTGTTCATCTAAAGCTTATCTCGAACAAAAACGTGACACAAGGATGGGATTCCCCAACCTCCGAGGAACTTGCGTACGACTCCTTGAACACGTCTTGGCACTAATAAATGAAAGGACTGAAGAAAGAAAGCAGCTTTACAAACAGTTCAATGCAGCTGTCCTAGGTCAACAACGGAATGAAACTGTAGATAAAGTGTTTTTTCCGCAAAGTTTGTTATAAAAGGTACAGCCATTACCATCCATCTATCCTGTTTTTCCCGTTCAGGGACAGCTCCGATTTGGGGTTTGCCGGTTTTCTCATATTCTAATAAAACCAGTTTAGAGGTTGATTTTCGAGGTTTATCAGTATACACCGAAAATGCTGAACACTATCTATAATTAGGGTTCCGCATTTTCGGTTTTTATTTTTTTTTCAAAATTCAGCATACTTTTTTTGGTGTTTATTTTAAGATTCAGTTTTCGTTTTTTTTTTTTTTTTTTTTTCGGTGTATATTTATGCCTACAAAAGTTTACCTTTTTTTTTTTGTGAATATGAAAGAAACATTATTGGACAGTGGATCAGATGATCCTTGTAACTCTGATATTCGTGATCCCTCAAGAAATAACAGCACAAATACATTGAAAAAAAAAAAAAAAAAAAAAGTACATTGACATTTTATTTGGCAAATATGTGCAACTGTAAAAAAAAAAAAAAAAAGAAACACGGAAGTACAAGCAAGTCAGTGCCCTAAAAACATGCAGCTTCACCTTCTGTACATCAGGATTACGTGATCTTATTATAGTAAACACATATACATACTTTCTCAGGTTCTCCCCGTTGATCCACGCTCATTCTTTCCTGTTAATGACCCTGGCCTTGGAGAATGCCCTCTCAAGAATAACACTGGACTCTGGCAGGCTTAGGAGATGAAGCGCTGTCTGATCCAAAATCGGCCAGTCAACCAAATGGGACTACTAATAAAGACATGGTGCGACGCCTTGAAGCACAACATATTTCGTGTACTCACTAAACTCTGGCTGCAGATCTTGCATGAAGCTAAAAACCTTATACTAGCCCACACCCAAACTTTTTTTTTAGGACCGGGAACTTGATACACTAAGCCCGATCACAGAAAGGACGCAGATGTCTTGCGAAGGACAATCCAAAACCTCTTTTGTTGGATGTTGAACCTTGAAAGAGGGCCCCTTCCCACCTCCACGCTCCCCCCGCCCATCTCGATGCAACTCTAAAAAAACTGACCATTTTCGGTCAAAATAAAATTTTAGAGAGTGGATTCAGCTTACTTTTATCGGTTTATACCGGAAACGCCAAACCTAAAAACAGACCTTTTTCGGACCGAATTTCCAAAAATGGATTCGGCATACTTTTATTGATTAAAACCGAAAACTCCGAACCCTATCTATAACTTACAAGGTGGCAGCCTATGGACTTGCAACAGTATTTTGTTTACTGTAATTTATTTACAATCAGTTTGACTGCGGCTGATCCAAATAGGAGAGCAGATTCACAAGACACTGCCAAGACCGGTTATAATAAAGTTGGTATTAACGAAAAAGCGGCTACAGCAAAGCGATCACGATTTCCCATTCCCTTTTGCACTTCGTTAATTGAAGTCAGTCATTACGAAATAGCAGATATAGTGAAGTGATTTCCGATTTCGTTGACTTCGTTATAACCGGTCTCGACAGTAACGCTTTTGTTTGAGGGCACATGCGAACGACACTGTTCCCGACAGGTGGCCGGAGGCGCTGGCTTCGTGGGCAGTCACCTGGTGGATGTGCTGATGCAACAGGGTCACCAAGTCACGGTGCTGGACAACTTCTTCACTGGCAGCAAGCGCAACATTGAGCACTGGTTAGGACACCACAACTTTGAGCTCATCCACCACGACATTGTCAACCCTTTCTTCATCGAGGGTGAGTCAGGAGCAGACGTGGCCCCCGAGTTGTGCTCCAGACCAGCTTTTCATGTCCATGTAGTGAATGGTTATGTGCCGGTGTGGAGGTTTGAAAGTGCTTTGATTTCTTCTGTAACAGAAGTGTCTCTAAATCTTGTAAAAATGTGTAAACATATTTGCACTCATGCTAGAGTTGTACATGAGAAAAGTGCTTCAATGGACATTTTTGCTTTTCTTATCTACAATTTTGGCATGAGCACAGATATTGTTATGTATTCTTACAAGCACTTCAAGGGGGTATCGGAGGTTGAGTGGCGTTATTGCGCTGAAACTCGGAGCACGTTGAGCAACCACTCACACTGCCCCTTTTGTTCTGGATCAGCATCACACCAGCATGCATTTGCATAATCACTACTGCGTGAGGCGCATTGAAGACCCCCAGGAGGGGCTAGCAGTCGTACTGCACTGGCTAAATTTCTCATCAAAAGAGGAAACGCCAGATGCCGGATGACTAACTCCCTGCCGCCTAAACAAACACACAATCCAATTACTTTTACATCTTTGCTGTTGGTGTCGACATTGATGGCCATGCTGCTCATGAAGGATTGCAAAGGGAAATACATCCGATACTTTTAGAAAGAGAGTGAAGCATAAAGAAATGTGAGCTTATTAATGTTAAATTACTTTCAATGCAGAAGACTAACATGCGTGCCTAATATTTGTTTTATATTTGAATGTTCTATCTGTTCTTGTTTGTGGAGTCAGAACCCTGTTTGATAAAAAACAATTGTGAAAAACTCAATGGTACAAATGTGGAGCCCATATTGACGGCCGATTGATCGGTTTACCCCCAACAAATAATTTAATTCCTGCATGATATCTCAAACATTAACACTCATGTATACTAAGCCTGCGAACTGAATAGAGTACTGTCGTTTACAGTATTCTATTTTTTTCTAAGCCTCCTTTGAGTCTGCCTTTGCTAGTATGATACCAGGCAATTCATTGCTTAGATAAGGTCTTGAAACTGCCCTTAGCCTAGTCTCAGTTTCGGTAGCAAAGGCAAAGTGCTCAATGTAAAGTTACAAAAATAAATTGCAAAACGCCATTTTTTTTATTTTTTTTAAAATATGAATTGAATAAAACAAAAGACGAACTGTGTTACAGTGGACTTCATCTATAACCTGGCATCGCCCGCTTCACCTCCTCATTACATGCTGAACCCTGTCAAGACAATCAAGACAAATACCTTGGGCACGATCAACATGCTCGGTAAGTTGAAGGGCGATTTTATCTAAGCTTAGCTTGTGGCTCAAATGGCATGCCTGGGGGTGATGGAAATGGTGACTATGCCCTAAATAATGATGGTCCCTTTTTTGTGAATGAGCACTTAGTTCCAAGTTTCAGACAGGTGCTGAAAATTCCCATTAAGGTGAAAATTTTCGTTAAGCTCCAATTGGAATTTTCCTATTGGTACCAATTGGTCACTGCCAATGGGAATCAATGGGAGCCATTTGGAACCTATTCAGGTTCCAACTGGAAAAATAATTTCAATTGGTGAGACCCATTGGTGAGACCCATTGGTGAGTGTGCTTCCAGTAGGAACCCACTAAAACCAATTGGTTCCAGTTAAAACCAGCTGGAATTCCAGTTGGATTTAATGGGAATTTTTAGCTGGGTATCCACAACCATCTCTTAAAAACTCCAATTTGGCCGGCTGTATGTCTGAACACAGCGCCATAATTTTCGCACACACGTCTGCTAGTAGAGACCAGTGAGGTTGTTTCTGATGTTGGGACCTTTCTAAAATTGTGATGAATCTGGTCCTGACCAAGTGGTAGCCGGTATATCACCAGTTAGTTCATGCCAAGTGTGAAAGGGATCTGGTCTCTGCTCTTCATTCGAATATTTATTCTTTAGCTGGAATCAGTTCACTTTGTTTGTTAGCCATTTAGTTTTAGATTCTGTATTGTCATGCTCACTGAAACAATTTAACTCAATCGGTGATGGGCTTTGTTTAGACATATGAAACGGAAGCTCAGGAAAAGAATGGAGTTTACTTTCATGCACTTTGTTTTTACAGTGCAATCCACTTATATCGTTAATGAGACAATCCTAAAATTCAATTGATATATCCAATTTTCATTGTATCTGGACTAGAAACTCCAGAAACTGATTATTATAAGCAGTCACATTGTTTTACGTGGTATCGTTACAAGTGGATTGAACTGTGTCAGTGTGGGCAGTAGGCATACCTTTGGGAAGAGAAGACAGGATGAGGATGGCAGGGAGATCTTTCAGCTATCTCGCCTCCAGCGCGACCTTACCACCTTTGATAACACTCCGACAACTCATGAGCTTCAAACATGCACACGCAGCCAAAGTAAGACGGAAGGCAAAAAGCTTGTGGTGGAGGCCGGGCGACGGGAAGAGGCGCCCCTCTCACCCTGTTCATGACCGTAGTAGCATGGCAGATGGATGTGAAACAATCTAACCAACTGCATGCGTATGTGCCCACAGGACTGGCGAGGCGCGTAGGCGCCCGCCTACTGATCACTTCGACGTCCGAGGTGTACGGGGACCCCGAGGTGCACCCCCAGCATGAGGACTACTGGGGCCATGTGAACCCTATCGGCCCCAGGTCCTGCTACGACGAGGGCAAGAGGGTGGCTGAATCCCTCTGCTACGCCTACCAGAAGCAGGTGGGCACGGAGATAAAGGGGTTGCATCCAGATTTCTTGGAGCTCAGGCTGAAGCAGAATTTGGCACACTTAACAAACGTGTTCTCCACTTTCCAGGTGCCATATTCGCATAGAAGTAACATGCGTGTCATTTATGAGTGGGGTATGTGTGCCTGCTCTTCGGCGGAGCACGTATATAGTCTGCCGTCACGACCGACAGAAGACTGACGTAAGCACCAGCGCCAACAGTAGTCGCGTTCAAGTGTAGGGCAGTCTACTTCCGGTATGTGTATTGAGATACGACCAGAAGTACACCGCCCTAGACTTTTCTACACTGGTGCAGGAGGTGCAAGTAAATCGAACACAGCTAGTGTTGCAGTGTCGACAGCACTTGTGCTGGAAAGTGCCGTTGGCTCCGGGATGCTGTTGCGTTTTACATACGCAAGGTTTGGTGCAGGTTGCTTTGTTGTAGAGGAGGGTTTTCTTGACCTTGTCATCCACTACATTTCTTAGCTAGATTGAACTCAATGATTTCCTGCGTGAGCTTGGCGAGCTTCGCAATATACACAGGGCTCATAAACGTTGTAGCTGTTTCTCTAGTGAGTACTGTGTTGTGTGCATAAAACTTCTGACTGGTTGCAACTGCGTTGCAGCCACTTCTTGTTGGTTACTACACGCACTGGCAGGGTGGTTATCATTTGAGCCTGTTCTCGTTTCGACCTTCTCACTTGGCCCTTCTCAAAACAACCATTCTCAAAAGGATCTTCTCGCTTTGACCCGTCGTATTTGGCCCTTTCCCGTTTCGTCTTTCGCATTCCAACCCTCCTCATTTGGCCGTTCTCGTTTCGCCCTTTTCACCGGGCCCTTTTCAAAACAGCCATTCTCAAAAATATCTCGCTATGACCCATCGCACTTGACTCTTTCTATACAAAAATTGTTTTTTAGGGTAATATTAATATATTGATATACTTTGTGTGTGTGTGTGTGTGAGCGCATGTGTGTGTGTGTGTGTGTGTGTGTGTGTGTGTGTGTGTGTGTGTGTGTGTGTGTGCGCGCGCGTGTGTGTGTATGTGCGCGCATGCCACACTAGAGGCATACTCTCTCTGCTAAGGATTTTAGCAGTGCGTCGAGGTCGTCGTGAAAAGCTACTAGCTGACAAAGCTATTTATCGCAGCCAGATCATATTCCGAAATGTCACGTTGTTTGAGGTCTTTCGACTTGGGACAATGCCACCACTTCTATAATGCAGTGGTTCTCAAAAGGGGGTCTGCGAAGACATCCTAGGGGTCCGCAAAGCCCTGTCTTATCAGTCAGGCACGGCAATATTAGTTGTCTTTCTTCACATTGAAAAGAAACGTTCCAATTTTCGGGAGAGTACTCTCATGTGTATATCCATGAGATAAGTCTACTTTACACTAGCAATTAGTTATATCCATTTATTAAATCATTATCATGCTAACCTATACCTTTCTATGCCCCTCACCCCGAACGGGGTCCTGCATCATCTCCGCCTTTCTACAAGGCGTCTGCGAAACATCAATGGTTGAGAACCACTGCTAATATATATGCTATTTCTGTTCAAACAAAGTTTCCAAATTAAATTTTCATCGCTTTTTTTTCTTGTTTGCTTAGAGGAAGGCAAGCAGGCGTCAATGTATGATTCTCAGTGCGTACCTCTACACATAACATATATCTGATGGTCTGTTGGGGGTCCAACTAAGGTAAGGCTCATCAACAAAGCCGCGAAGGCATAATGACGTTAGAAGCATGCCGAACTAGTGTCATTCGGTCGTAGCGCGAACGGGCGAAATGAGAATGGGTTTAGTTGTAAAAACACGATTCGGATCTTATGAGAAGGTTCAAACGAGAAAGACCAAATGAGAAGGGGTCGAAATGTGCACGGTTCAAATGCGAATGGGACGTTTTGAGATACACTCGCACTGGCACACCGGTACCAGCTAGCCCTGGAGCACTTTCGATCTGCATGTAATTATAGTTGGTGACAGGTTGTAGACAAAGAGTGTTGCACTTGTTTTTCCGAGATCAAATCGATGCACTATCTATGAGAATTGGTCGCTCGTAACACTATCAAAATTAGGTCGGACTCTTGGTGAAAGAGCATTCTGTAAAACAGTGAGGAAATGTGTGAAGATCGGAAACGTTTCAGAGGTATCGGTTAAGCGGCGACGGGGTGGTCTCTCATCTTAAGTGGTTATGAGTGGTTGCAACGCGGTTGGTCGCACTCAACTATGAATGCGTGAGCCATCTTTTTTCACGACTGCAGCAGTTGAGGGAGTGCGCACCTGGAGACTCCGGAAAATACAGTCTCGCGTCTTGTTTCTTTAGCTTTTCTGCGTTTGTAATCTCGGAGCTTTTCATTTCCTCGACTCAGGAACACCTGGACATCCGCGTGGCCCGAGTGTTCAACACGTACGGCCCCCGGATGCACCCCAACGACGGCCGGGTGGTCAGCAACTTCATCCTGCAGGCCCTGCAGAACGAACCCATTACGGTACGTCAGCGCTTGGAGCCCGCTCACCGCCTAACCTTAAGCTCTCCTCCTTTTTAACGCAGAATGCATTTGACCGAAAGTGAGGTCAGCATTTCTGTAAACATCGCTGTCACACTGCCATAGCATGCCGTCACCTTGGCACACAGTTGCACACAATTACAGGGTTACCCGATAGATGGCGCAAGTGTGCCAGTGTGTGCTATCGTGAGCGGTTAGAGGAGAAAGCGTCGTGCTCGAGCGCACCCAAACGCGAGCGTGTGAATGAGCCTTAACTTTTTTTGTAAGCATAACGACTGTATTTGCACTGCGCTCACGTGTGCACATACATCGCGATTGCATTCTACAAAAGTTTACCGATGGTAAGTTCAACAGACTTATGGAGCCTTGTATACATATTTGTTGCTAGATATGTCAAGACATGAGTTTGTGCTCCTGCCTTCAGATTTACGGCAGCGGCAAGCAGACGCGCTCCTTCCAGTACGTGAGCGACTTGGTCGACGGCCTGGTGAGCCTCATGAACTCTAGCTACACGCAGCCGGTGAACCTGGGCAACCCTCACGAGCACACCATAGAGGACTTTGCCAAGATCATCAAGACTCTAGTCGGTGAGGAGGCTTTTCTCGTGCATTATAAATGTGCTCACTCTTGCTCTTCTTCTCCCATTGCACTTTGCCTGCTCGACCCCTTTTTCACCACAAACTAGATGATTGTGTCGTGATTGTAAACTGTTGCGGGTTTATATTGGCAGAATCAGCCATTTCCACGAAGCTCTCTGCTCGCCATGATTGGTGGTTTCCTCCTTTCCACTTGCCTCCTCTCCAGCATTCGCTCTGCTAAAGTGGAAAGAGTGGAGGGCTTTGTGGGAGGATCTTTTCCTGCTATCCTTGACCTACAACAGACACAGCCACCTGGTGATCACTTGCCCGATTGCTGTTTTGTTTGATCATTCCTTGGTCCACAGTATTCTCTCGGGGGCTTTTGATGCTGTGATGCATGGGTGACTAGTTGCTGTGTTCTCTTCGTAAAGAGGCAGGTGGAAAATTTATTAGAAATAGTGTCAGATTTGTTAGGGGTGTGTACATGTAGTACTACAGTCGAACCCGGATATATCGAACATAAAGGGGATCGTAAAATAGTTTGATATATTAAATTTGATATACAAAAATATGTTAAATTAAGCTCTAGTAGAAATTTCCTGGCGTCTCTGCTAATACCGAAGGTCGCGACAAGCGGGAGCCTACCAAATAGAGCATCCAAGAGCCGCTAAATACAGTAGACCGTAGTTGGCGGAGACTGGGAGCACCGCCGTGCTTACACTCGTGCCTGGACGGGACCTCCACACAGCATAGGCGACAAAACACAAAAATAATAATTAAAACAAAATGAAAGAAAAACGAAAAAGCGAGACTCATAAAAACAAAGCATAAATTTAAGCAAGCAACAAAAAAGAAAGTCACTAAATTCAGGCAGCAAAAAAAGAAAGGCAAAAATAAACGGGCAAAGCAATAATGGCAAAAGAAAAAGGTAAACAAAGATAAGGTGTTGGAAGGGCAATTGCACAACCGTTGTCGTCGACACTTAACTTACCTAAGATCGTTTTTTTTTTGCTCATTTTGGGGCAGCATTAGCAGTGCTTAGGGAAAGGGTGCAGTTTACCGTTCAGACAGCGGACACTCCCTGCTCTCCCTACGCGCGCACGTGCCCTTCCCCTTGCTTTTGCCATCCTCTACTTCTTTTTTTTTTTTTTTACCGCATGTATGCTGGCTTGGCGTTGTGCCAATCCGCAACTCAAGCGGGCAGCAAGGCTTCGTTTGCTATATCGAGTGTCCCGCCATGAGAGTTTGATACATAAAGACAATACTCCTATAGTATCACATGTGATTTCCAAGGGGATGTTTGGACAGTTTGATATAAACAACAATTCGAAATACCCGAGTGTGATATAACCGGGTTCGGCTGTATGGCATAAGGGAAAGCTAGATTTTTTAACCTAGAGTTCATGCATTGGGCGAGACATGTTCTCTCTCTGTTGTGCGTAGAAATGAGGACTATATTTTCAGTGTTAGGTTAACTCCCTTGCATAATATAAAAGGTGTGGCATGCTTTCTGGGGCCTTCTTGGGGAACAGCAGCATAAATCTAGATCAGGAAACATTTATAATTGTGAAACCTCTTTGTTACTCTTTGAAAGAATGAAACACAGGAAAAGTTATGTCCTATTGAAGAAAATTGGCACCCTGATTTAGCACATTTCTTACATTAGAAGTACAAACAGAGGGTGAAATTGAACCTTCATATGATTTGTTTTATCCAAATCAAACAAAAAACATAGGTAAGTCTGTATCTGCACAACGAAAGGCGTGACCAAATTCCTAGTAAACACTTTCAGGAAAAAAATATTTTCTTAAGTGGTTTGTTTTAGAGGACAGATTCCTTTCACTCCCTCGTCACGCAGATCTACCTCTGTGTGGTGCCTATGAACAACAGTTTCTAAGTATCATTTTTTATTCACTTTGGCTATCCAATATAAGTAAGAAGCATAAATCCACTTTCTAGGAGGAACCAGTAAGATTGTTTATACCGATAAAGTGGAAGACGATCCACAGAGGAGAAGACCTGACATCACGCGGGCAAAGACCGAGCTCAAGTGGGAACCAAAGGTGAGTCGGCGTTCCTGTCCTGAATTGGCTAGTAGTCCCTTTGCTAGTTTTTGTGTTCCCTTCAATTCAAAGTGCATTCCAGCCAGACATTTGCTTTTGGCCATGACCGACTGCATTATGACAGCTTGCGGCTGCTTATGACAAAAGAAATCTAGTAAATGCACTGGCGCACTGGCACTGTATATCGGGGGCTCTGGAAACGCTTCTGACATGAAGATAGTGCGGAAATTGTGAGATTAAATCTATGCGCTGTCTGAGAGAAACTGTAGTTTTTCACGCTGTCAGAATTGTTTCAATGTCACGGTGAAAGACTAATCCCTAAAAAGATAAGAAGTTGTATGCAAATCGAATATGATTCAAGACTACCCCATAGGTTGCAGTTCTTGCGTCTATTCAGTCACAAGCCGTTGCAACTCAGTCACTGAGTGTCTACTGTTACGTTCAGTCACAGTCGAGCACAAGCGTGCGGACTAGCCTTTAACATTGATACTGTGCTGAGCAACATAACTGACATTGTCACGTTTTCAATTCGCAGGTTGAGCTGCAGGATGGCCTGAAGAAGACGGTGGAATATTTTAGAGAGGAGCTGAACAAAAATAGCAAGTCTTTCAGAAATCCACCATCAGTGGGTCAAGCTTAGTCATTCGAGAGTTAAAAACTGCCTTTGAAGAAGTGGACAATTGGTGGTGGGTGTTTCGCTTGCATTTTGAACAGGTATTTATAGGTGGAGCAAGTTTTCAATATCACATTTGTCCTCGAAGATTGCCCAAGCAGCTTTGGAGAGCAAGGTTTATTTTACTTTCAAGTACTGTGCATAGATGACCCATTGAGGCGCACATCTTTCATTAGCATTTTAATATGCAGCATTCGATCATATTCCTTCCCCTAGCAGCATATTGTAGATTTTATGTAAACAAGTGATGACTTTTTTCATGAACAAGAATTGCGCGAGTTTGATTCTGAATTGTAGTAAATACTGCTTTATTTAAGTGTCTTCTGCTAAAGATGTGCACCAACCTGCTTGGTGCAAGTATTGACGCTGAGTATTTTGCACTTGAAACTTAGGCTGTACCTCTCTTTTTTTCTGTTTCGGCAGTCTTTTGGGGCAGAGTGGTTAAATCTGTAACCAAGAAATGCTTAAAGAGCAGGAGTGGGCCAGGGTGCTCTGAAGCACCTTCTTACCATACCAGTGCTTGGTATTGTGTGAAATGAAAGGAGGGTTTATTGAAGCGGCACATTTAGTATGATAAGCTTGGCTCTAGCCACATACTTATTTGTTCTGCATTTTATTCAGAGTAGTTTTCCCCTCTATTTTATCTCCATGAACAAAGCAGTTCTGAGGTGGCGCTCATCTGTTCCACTCTTACGTTTTCTGGCAAAGTCTTAGTCCACATCATCTTGTGTTGTGAGCTTGTCCAGGGATTTCAAGATTTGACAAGAGAGCTCGCTGTTTTTGCTACTTTAAATTGTCTGAGCCGATTCTTTTTTCTTTTTTTTGGGGGGGGGGGGGGAGATATTTTTTATGGAGTGTTTGATTTGCATTGCTGTGATATTTGTGATACAGTATTTCACACACTGTCATTTGGAACAGGGTAATGAGTGTCCCCTTTCCAGGCAGAGTGGCCGCAGCGGTAGTCATAGACACGGTACAAAGCTCGACGTTGTTGCCTTTGAAACTTCGCAGATCTACGAATCATTATAAACATGAGACAAATAATTGTCAAATATATTTTTATATTTAAAAAACAAAAAGCGTCTGTTTTTTTTGTTTTTTTTCTGCAGCGTGGGTTTTTGTAGTAGTATGGTGCCCGGAGCACGTCTCCGCGGCTCGTATGTTTAGCGGGTCCTCAAAAGTGGTTCCTCGATTTTCGCCTGATGACGGCATAGATCAAAGTGTCATGCTCGCCGCAATTCTGGCGATGGCACAGCAGCTAGGTGGGTGTGGCGGACGCCTGTTCTGCTAACTTTCCAGCTATTGACTCGCATAATGAAGCAATCGATAAAATCAAATTTCGAAATAGTCCTGCTTTCAAGTTCGTTTGGTGGAGCTGCGACCGGGGCCAACGACAGCCTGCCCTTGGCAAGTGCACCAAGTGACGACGTGGGCGGGGCTTGCGGCACCCTTTTTTCACGCAGTCTTTTTTTTTTTAATTCAGGCTAAAAACGTTAAAATTGGTAGATTAAATTCAAGAAATGCCTAAGAACAATTACATTTTTGCAAGTTCTTTTTTCAATTGGTCTGGCCTCTGATCATAACTGCCTTCAACACTTCAATTGCAACATGAACTGCAACAGGGTGTGTAGTTGGGCTAGTTTGTTGGTCATGTTGCGAAGTTAATAAAACAGCGGGAAAAAAAAAAAGACGATAGACCAGTGGAAAGAGAACACAGACCTCTAAAACCAATAATTACCCAAGTTACCATGACTATTTATTCCTTCGTCTAATGTCCGTCGAGCCTGGTAGATACATGGCGACAACAACAATCGTCTCGCACTTTCTTTTAGAGCGCAGCTCTTAGGGGCCCGTTTCCGGCTTGAGCGGCGTCGGCGTCGCCGTCGCCGTTGGCGTCGCCGTCGGCGTTACCGCGCGGTGCATCATGGGAAATGTCCCATAATGCACCGAGCGAGACCCCACCGGGGTCACGTGACCTCGTGGGGGGCACGTCACCCCCCCCCCCGAGGTCACGTGACCCCGGTGCATCATGGGAAATGTCCCAGAATGCACCGCGTGAGCTCCCCACTGGGGTCATGTGACCTCGGGGGGGGGGGGCACGTGACCCCCCCGAGGTCACGTGACCCCCCGATGACTCCCCTGAGGTCACGTGACCCCAATGACGTCATCGTCACTGATGACGTCACCGGCATCCACATCGTCATCGTCATCATCACTGATGACGTCACCGGCATCCACATCGTCATCATCACTGATGACGTCACCGGCATCCACATCGTCATCGTCATCATCACTGATGACGTCACCGGCATCCGCATCGTCATCGTCATCATCACTGATGACGTTACCGACATCCGCATCGTCATCATCACTGATGACGTCATCAGTGACGTCACTGATGTCGTCACCGGCATCCACATCGTCATCGTCATCGTCACTGATGACATCACCGGCATCCGCATCGTCATCGTCATCATCACTGATGACGTCACCGGCATCCGCATCGTCATCGTCATCATCACTGATGACGTTACCGACATCCGCATCGTCATCGTCATCATCACTGATGACGTCATCAGCGACGTCACTGATGACGTCACCGACATTCGCATCGTCATCGTCATCATCACTGGTGAAGTCATCAGTGACGTCACTAATGACGTCATCGGTACCCGCATCGTGATCGCCAATGATGACGTCATCAGTGACCTCAGTGATGACATCATCGGCATTGGGGGTCACGTGACCCCCAAGGTCACGTGACCCCCCCTGGTTAGTTTAACCCCCCCCCCCCAGTGCCCTTCCCTCCTCCTCAAGAGCTGCGCTCTAATTTGGCGTTACAGGGAGTTGTAAGCAGCTTTCACTTTTTTTTTTTTTAAATCTGATTGAATTAAAATTAAATACCCTGTATGATAGCCTCCTTTATTCTTCAAAGCCTGTCAATTTTTTGACGGAGCCACATGAAGCACTTGGCCGCTGGAAAAAGGCAAGGGGCAACGCCGAATGGTTACCGACACTTGTAGAGTGCCCCCTCAGCCAGCGCCACGCGGCAGCCTGCGGCTTCTGCGCGAAACATATCTGCATTTGGATGTTTGCATTGCCTCTGAGACCCTATTGGGGGGGGGGGGGGGGGGGGCAAGCTTGCCCGCGCGCCCCCCACTCTGAGAATTGGGGAAGTGTGGGGGGGAAGCAGGGCATGTGTTTTGCCCCCCCCCCCTCCCCCCCTCGAAACTGCCGCCACTGGGCAGGGCAACCACTGGCCAACTGCCGCCACTGGGCAGGGCAAACGCTGGCAGCGCCCAAGGGTCCGGCCGCGGGGGGGGGGGGGGGGGGGGGGGGAGGGGGGGAGTCTGGTTTATTCTCCCCCCCCACACACTCAAAGACAAGTTGGTACGCCACTGCCCTATTAGTCTACCCCTAGGCACAGTCAGCGCGGGGGGCACGCTAATCGCCGAACGCTCAAGGCACAAAATTCTTACCTTTCAACCGAAAAAGAAAAAAAAAAGAAAAGGAGCGCGTTCGGGTTACCACATCTGCAGTTCTGGCGATGCCTGAGCGGGCCCCCTTTCTAGTCTGTGTTGTTCCTGCTCGTTCCCCCTTCCTTGTTTTCCCTTTACAGCGGTCAGATTCTTTCCCGATTTGACAGGCTTTGTAGAATAAAGGAGGCTATGCCGTTCTAGTTCTTACCAATTAGGTGAAAAATGCCGAGTCACTGGGTTGTGGGTGCTTGAGCTGCGCCTGCTCCGAACGCAGCCCAGTAGACACACGGTAGCTCAGAGAATGCCATGGGACGCACACGGCCGATGTGTGCTGTTCCGTCGCCGACGTTTTGGCGTGGCCAGCTGTTGAGGAAAGCAACACGCGAGAGACGATGAAATCTCGCTTTATGCGCAGTTAAACGAAGAACTGGTGTTTAGGCTGCGCTGATCCATTCTCCCACAAGTTGTGCGATGCGTTCTCTTGCTTCAGTGAGTTCCGGCAAGTCCTTGTCTGAAGGTGGGTACATGTCGGCGCAGTGAGCTGTTCCTGCGATCAGATAAAAAATTTCCAATTTATTAAATGAAATGTAAATGTACGTAAGCACATGGCGCGCTGAACGCCGTGGTGCTATATATATGTGCCTTGCTGAGTGCCTATCTAGCTAATTGAAGCTTTATTTATTTATTTAATATAAAACAAAGCGCCTTGTTAGGGCATTATTTACGGTCCCTATTTCTAAGTAAATATATAAATATATAGCGTTCGCTTAGGAAATAGAGCTTCAGAAAACGGTAAAAATATTTTTATTCGGCCGGAACCGTATTACAATTTACCTTCGATTAAAATGTTAAAAAAAAATCGTCATATGGTCGGTAGGGACGGGACTTCAACGTGCTTTGCTGTCAATGCATTAGAGGCCAGCGGCTGATAGTCTCTTAAAGGGATACTTCAACAATATTTGAAATATTCCCGTCGTGTTCAAAAATAGGTTGAATATGGACCACAATATCCGTAAATGATTATCGCACGTTTCTAATCTTGAGCCTGGTGGCTGTATTTTTAATTGTAAACGGCCCACTCTGGCAAGCGCTCGGAGAAGGCCCAGCGGAGACCACGTGACATCTAACGCAATCGTGACGTAGGTCGTCTCAAGACGAGCAAAGCTACAGCGAGGCTGACGTCGAGAGGATGGCCTGGTCGTTCCAGCCACCGAAGCGGCTGCTTTTGCACGAATTTTGAGTGACGGGTTAATCTTCTATAATCTTGTAGGGGGACAATAGCGACTTCTGCGACACACAAAAGGCATTCTCGGGAAGAGGGGAGTTCCTCGTTCCCCTCTTCTCTCGTCATGGCCGGAGGCGAGACAACCTCCGTCACTAGCTGTCAAGGTTCATAGACGGGCATTTCAAGCGAGGCGTTAGCGACATCCACCAGGTGCTTTTTGCTAATCGTTTAATTCGTTTTAAAATTCCTTTTCGTGACTTTTTTAACAAGATATTGGTAGTTTCCATGTGATACTGCTCCTTTGAACATATATAGACCAAAGAATGTTTCGAAGTTTCGAAGTTTTATTCGACGATTGAAATGGATGTCAGGGCTAGGGATGCCGCGAACCGCCCCAGGTTCGATTTCGAAAGGTTTCGATATTTGCGAAGCAAACTGAAGTTCGATATCGAAAAATTTCGATATTTTCGTATTGACCGAGGTTCGCATTCGAAAAATTCGCAACTTTCGATCACAGTGAAGTTTCGAATTCGAAAAGTTCGAAACTTTCACGGTTTCTAAAATTTCGGATTCGAATATTTCGAATATTCTTTTACTTCAGGTTCGATAAATTCGAAGATTTCGATATTATTTAGAAATAAAATTCGAAAATTTCGAACGCTTCGAATTTTTATAGACATGAAGTTCGAACAATTCGAAGATTTCGAATTTCTTTCTGCATAAAGTTCGAAAAGTTCGAAGGTTTCGATTTTCTTTTAACGCTAAATTCGAAAAAAAACAAAACAAAAAAAACTTCGAAGATTTTGAATTCCTTTCTAGTCCAAGTTTACAAAGTTCGAAGTCCGGTTTTCAAATTCCTCCACAGTTTGTTTCAAATAACGTTTTCACGACTCACTGGTTTCCACCAAATCAAGTTTAGAAAAGTTAGGGTGTGATATCTAGATTCTGCGAAGTTGGTCAGGCAATTAAATGAGACGACGAGTGTCCCGGATGTGCTGGAATATTTGCCAGTGCAGAGTGACGTGTGACCATAGATCAGTAATTGGGACCGCCAGCCCGGGGGGGGGGGGGGGGGATCGAACGCCGCCCGAGTGACGCTGGCATATAGTAAGTTAAGTTTGTAATTGTCCTGGGGGTTTATTTTCTGGGACGGAGGAATCGCCTCGCAAAAGCCGACACAACTCGAGGTTCAGGAGCGTTCTACCATACAAGTGGCGTCGGAAGAGGAAAAACGGGGGTAAAGAGTGTAGCGGGGGGGTCTTCAGTTCCCTTCCCCCCCCCCCCTTCCAGATATTTCGGACTCTTAAAGGAAACAATACGGGAAAGAGGGCGTGGTCGAGCTTATTTTAATCTGAAATTATTTATGCATATGTATAGCTACTGTCGCTCTTCACTGCATAAAAGATCGCGTAGATGGTCATTGTTAGAAACTCGTTGTCAGAAGGCACTACTCGTCACATGCTTAGTGGTTCGGAAGTTCAAAGCTGTCTTTTCAACCTAAATACTTGTGCCAATAGTAAAAAAAAAAAAAAAAAAAAAAATGCAAGGATAAAAAGCTGGAAAAAAAAAACTATCAAGAATTTGCCGGAAGTGTTGTATTCTTGCATATTCAGAGGTTCAGAACTTCGAAACAAGTTTCTTTTACCAAAATGTGTACAGGCTAAAAGAAACACGTCCCAGGAACGTGAAGCGAAAAAAAAAGAAGTTTTCTTTTAATGACGTGCTGAACTTGAACACTATTAGAAATCTTCTCAAATAAGTTAATTAATTCCTTAACGTGAAAAACCAATAAATACATTATTTTGTATTCTGCAGATGGTAATGATATGTACTGTATGTAGTGTTAATTTAAATGCGATACCTCAAACAACTTAGACAAAAATAGATATCAAGTTTAGGGCATAATTGCATGTAGATACATGTTTGGACATTTCTTCGAAACTCACGTTGTATAACAATAATCGCATCTTAAGACGGCACTTACCTAGGCTATACATAGATCGTTCTTAAAAAAAGTATAACATCTCTACCATAAATAGCTTCGGCTACAGCGCGCTTCAAATCTGGCACAAACGATAATCGTCAAAAACCCGTCGTCCTTCCTCGCTTCTTCGGGAATTTATTTCTTTAAAACTAAGCATGCCAGAACATTGAAACAAACGGCATTGTCTTTCGTAAGGAACGCAGCACCGCGTGTAAACGTTAGAGAAAAAAATATTACGAATGTACCTCACTACTTGAATTCAAATGAAGCCGTCCGCCGGTCATTCGAAGTTCGACGAACGTCGAACTTTTACCCTAAAAGTTCGAAGTTCGTCGACCTTCTGACTTTTCAGGATTCGAAAGTTCGAAGCTTTTCGAATTCTCTTGATAAATAAGTTCGAAAGTTCGAAATTCATCGAATTTTTTGGTCAGTCAAGTTCGGAAGTTCGACAAGCATCGAACTTTGAGGCGCAATAAGTTCGAGAGTTCGTAAAAGATCGAATTTTTTAGCGTAATAAGTTCGACGGTTCGAAAAACGTCGAACTTCTTAGCTTAACAAGTTTGAAAATTCGACTTCTGTCGAATTTTACGATGTAAACAATTCGAAAAATCGAAATCTTTCGAACCTTTCGAACCGCTTGATTCGATCATCGAAACTTCGATTCGAAAAAAGTTCGCGGCATCCCTAGTCAGGGCACGTCTCAGATACTGTTGACCAAGTTCTAGCCCGAACAGAAGTTTGGGTGCCGCACCAATCGAGCAAACAGGCGCGGTAATAATAGCGCTGGGAATAGAGTTCCTGTATAGGAACTCTATTCCACCGAGGCGGCGGCAGAAAGGTGAACTAAACTGCGCCGTCGAAGCGTGACGACAACGGGCTCCTCGTCTGGCGATTGGTTCAAACGATAGACGCGCTCTTGGTTTCGATTTCGGTGGTGAGATGTGATGAAATTTTTTTATTTGAACGTTGGATAATCTTTTGAAGTTCCTAGTTGGGAATTAATAGGTTTCATACCGTGTATAAAAGCATAATCTGAAGCGATCCCTCCGTTTGTCACTGGTCGAACGCATCCCGCAATGCTACCTCGGGCGCGTAACAAGCATCGAGCAACCATGGACAAAGAAAAAGGTACGAGCGCCGGGGGCGGCGGACTTTTGGTTTTGGTTTTGTGCGTCGTCTCGTGTTCGCTTTGCGAACTGGTGTCTCACCAATCATGCCACGTTTATGTGCAGTAGTAGGTTGCGCGAAAGGTCGGCTAAAGACGTGCGGTCGATCGGGCGACGTTAGTTTGCATAAACTGCCGACCGATGCAGCAATGCGCAGCATTTGGTTGCGCGCCGTCGCCTTGCGTAGAGCTGTGGACAGCGGTGTCAGGATTTGTTCGTTGCATTTCCGACCAGAAGACTTTGGGCAGCACCTTCACGTCAGCCGGCGTCTGGGTAAAAGTGGGGCGGGGAGTCGCTCTAAGGCGGCGACCGAGGAGTTGGTGATAGGTCTTGGGCGCCCTCGTAAAGCGCCAATCCAGAGTTCTGCGTCCTTAGCAGCATCTCCCGTTCAGTCGGCGTGAGGTCGCTGAACGGGAGCTCAAACTCGTTTGCGAGCGCGCCGTTGTCGTCCATTTCTTCCAGGTTTTCTTCACAGACCGCCGTGCACTAGAGCCAGCTAGAGCCATGGAGAACGAACCACGGGAACCACACTGAGTGTGCACTAAATCCTACCGATGCCGACAGTGCTCCCTGACGTCACTTCTCTTTACAGAGACGAAAAAGGGAAGAAATCTGAATGTTTGTTTCGGTTTCGCAAATTTATTTGCAGGTACAGAAATAAGAGTCACAACGTTCTAGAAAAAATTGTGTGGCATGCCAGGACCCCAATGCTTCCGAAAACACCTTCTTTAAAAAAAAAAAAAAAAATTAAATTGCCTTCATGGTCATTTTAAAAATATTCACTCCCTTTCTCCTGACATCAGGTGAAACCATAATGATTTTGAATGCAAGTATTCCCAGCGCTGCGGGCGATGTAGCTAAATCGAGAGGCGTGTTGACTCTCGACCGTGGCCTTCACAAGGCGCCAAGACGCAGCTGGACCGAAAGGCGAAATCAACTTGGAAGGTGTCCAACTCTGTTTAAAACAAACTCGCATAGTATTCCCGCATGGGAATACTATGCGAGTAGTGGACACACCTTTCCCGATTCTTTAGCTTTACCGACCTTTGATGTAGATGGAGGTGACGTCCTCGGCGAGGTCTTTGGTGATGCCGAGGGCGTGCCAGGGGTCGATGGAGCCGTTGGGGAAGGTCACGTTGCGGACGCCGGGGTGCAGGCCTCCGTAGAAGGTGTTCGTGCGCTCGACGGCCCTCTGCAGCAGTGCCTCGTCGAAGTGCGCCCCGAAAATGTCCCTGCACTGCTGCACGAAGAACCTGGGGAGGGATGCGCAAGAAGGGGATGTGGTTATCTCTCATCTTCATGCAAGTTTCATAGCTTTCATTATCTATTTGTTTACTTTTATTATTAAATCCGTTAGCATTTATAGCCCCGGTACATGCAGCCGCCTTTCGTTTGGACGGTCGTGGTTTCGACTCGACTTGTTTCGTGAGGCTGCGGCGCGATTCCCGCCATGCTTTTTTGCTCTGCTCGTCCACTTTGCTTCTTACGTAAGGGGAAAAATGTCATCTGGCACGCGTCCAATGACGTTCTGGCACGCGTCCAATGACGCGCCGCGGGAGCAGAACAGAAGTGGATCGAGCGGCCGTGCCATTGGCACGGCCGCTTGTTATTTAACAACACTGCATAACCCCCAAGGGTTTGCAGCGTTTCTTAAGTTATCAGCAGACGACAAAATATCATGTTTTTGAACATGCGATAATAACATATGGTCATACCATAATGTTATTATGGTCATACCATAATAACATTATGGTCATACCTCTATTCCTATTTGTTTGTCAAAGTTTGGATTTTGCGGAAAGAGAACTCTACATAAAAGTTCTGCTTAAAAACATTAAAAAAAAAAACAAAAAAAAAACGGCGGACGATTGTGAAGGTCAACCATTTCGTCGTTTACCCTGAGACTGGGTTTTTGTTTGAAGAGCAGAAGTAACAGAAAAAACAGACAAGTCTCAAACTCAGCTATACGTTTATTCCAACAACTTCCTCTTATATAGTTCGTTTTCGTCGTCAACAACCAATCACATACGACTTGTCCTTTGCACCGTGACTTTACAGGTTCCACTATATCACAAAAGAAGCGGACACTCCCAACGTTTCCAAGTGAAAAGGTTCTAGCAGAAGATATGCCTCACAACATACACAACATATGCCAAGCAACTCTTTTGTGTCCTCACAATAAACAGGACAACAGCCCACAACAACATCCCACTCAAAACTGGTCACCTCGAAAATTGTAGAAAACAGACAATACACACCAGTACACACCACAGACAATACACACCAAAGAAGCCTTTCAGGATGACTAACTTTTTTTTTTTTTTAGTTAGTCATCCTGAAAGGCTTCTTTGGTGTGTATTGTCTGTGGTGTGTACTGGTGTGTATTGTCTGTTTTCTACAATTTTCGAGGTGACCAGTTTTGAGTGGGATGTTGTTGTGGGCTGTTGTCCTGTTTATTGTGAGGACACAAAAGAGTTGCTTGGGGCTTGTGAGGCATATCTTCTGCTAGAACCTTTTCACTTGGAAACGTTGGGAGTGTCCGCTTCTTTTGTGATATAGTGGAACCTGTAAAGTCACGGTGCAAAGGACAAGTCGTATGTGATTGGTTGTTGACGACGAAAACGAACTATATAAGAGGAAGTTGTTGGAATAAACGTATAGCTGAGTTTGAGACTTGTCTGTTTTTTCTGTTACTTCTGCTCTTCAAACAAAAAAAAAAAAAAAAAAAAAAAAACAGTCTCAGGGTAAACAACGAAATGGTTGACTTCCACCAGCTAGCCTGTACTTTGACTCTTTTCTCGTTGATTGTGAAGGGTGTGCGTGTATACACTGGAGTTATCGGAAGAACTTAAACTTACTCCACCGGGAACAGAGACCCAAACGGCTGATTTCGGAGGTCCGAAGACTGGAAATACCCGAACTCCACGCAGGTCTGGTAGGTCCACTGACGTCCTGGAAGACATGTCGTTCGCCAAAGTTCCATTATTCCCTCAACACCCACTTCATTCGGACTTGAAATCTTCGGAAGATATCACGGCGAAGAAAAATGTATGTGGTTTACGTACTTAACCAACGACTCTGGAAGTGCTTCACGTTGTGGTCACTCTGGCGCCTCGTGAGCGTGTACGCACAGCCAAAGCACGACTGAAGGCAACAAGCGCGTGCTGAAGGCGTCCGAAAAAGAAGCCCCGCCGTTTTCATCTCTGTTTCATCTTATGATGTACCGCAGGAAAGGCTACAAGCGCGAGCTCCTTGCTCTAGTGCAGCTTTCAACGCTATGAGCTCGCGCTTCTAGCCTTCTCTGCGGTACAGCATAAGGTGAAACGCAGTATAATATAGTTAACATAACTTGTTAGCGGCGAGATGTTTTGGTGGCGCCCTCCCACGGTTCCCCCTTGTGACGTCATTACCTTGCAAACAACAAGTTCGATGGTGTTTGTTATTAGCATGGTGCAAGCTTGAAATCATTGCGCTCTCAAAGGAACACGGCCAACACCGTCAAAATTAAAGTTCTTTCATTCCTCTTATTTCCGTCGATGATAAATCCCCTTTCCGACGTCATAGTCAGCGTTCGGCCAATCGTGGAAGGCCGACCACAGCGACGCTTTCAGTCGCGCACGGGGCTAATAGCGGTGCAAAGAAGATCGTATACACTTCGGAGTGGTTTACCTCCAGCGCCTTGGGTGCTGTTGAATTCGATCTCGCGCATAGAGTTGATGAAGGTGTCGTAATCGTAGTCCAGGCATTTTTGACCCGTTGCATTCAGGAGCAGGCTGTTGACGGCCGCGAACTTTTCCAGCGGACTCAGCTGATCGTGCGGGTCGGTCATCTTGTCGCAGAGCGTGTCGATGGTGATGCTTCCGTTTCCCCCCTGTCAAGAAAACAACGACAGCAACAAAAGGAGTCATCTTGATGACACAATGAGTGCTTGCACGATTCGCGTTAATGACAGCCAGATCGTGAAGAAGAAACATTTCAAAGCAGACTCATAAAAACGGGCGAGCAAGTGTTCCAGAATGCGTCTTCGGTGCATCGGAACGCGAGAAAGGGCGTGCCAATGCAGCCAAGTTCGCACTGTCTATGGTTGAAGTTAGGAAGGGGGGGGGGGGGGGGGGGGGGGCAAAAGCACGTGGGCGAATTCAATGGGTAAACAGCTTCAAAATGGCGCGCAAGGCAGTGGAGACATATATACAAAAATGGCCTTTAAATGCCTATATATAGTGGCATTTCCTCGTTTCCTACAATTAAAGTAATTATGTGCTCGGGGCGTGGCCTCTCCTTATTTTTTTCTGGCCAACTTAATCTCACCTCGAATTCCCTGGCGTCTTTGTTGTACTGCACGATGCCTTCGAAATTGCCAGCCAAGCTTTGGAAGAAGTTCGCCACGTCATTGCGGTTGTATCCGTTGAAGTAGGTACACAACCTGCGATTGACGATCGAGTAATTAGCGGTGAGACTTCAGAATGAACTGCTGAGCAATCGCAATAGTAGCTCGCGCCATTTGCTTTTGCATTACAGGAGGGCATATTCATCAGGTGGCCAATTAGAAGTATACGTAATTCTGGACGGAAATGTCATGATGGTGTACGCGGTATCTCTGGCACTTTGTTGAGTAGTTGAGGTGTGGTGCACAGAAAGGAAACATGGTACATGCACGCTCACTTCACAGTTTTGTTGGGACTGGAGGCCACTGGGGGCTTTGCTGTCCTTGTTTCGTTTATTTCTAATGTTCGGAGCTCGTGCTCTCAGACCTACGAGCTTGTCAGTAATGTTAGGGCGTATTTTGGGGTATCGTAATAAGCATCCCCAAATAGTAATCTTTAGTTTTGAACTTAAGATTCACTCGTTAAACTGTTCAGCGCAGTTGGCCACCACAATACCTGAATACAATTACTTCAAACGGAGCGACCTGAAAGGAAAAAAAAAATTAAGAAAGGAGAGGGTGAGGGTACTGGTTGACATAACTAAATCGGAGGCGAAGGAAGAAAAAAAGGTTCAACCAGTCATGTCAAGTATTCACCAGCTCGCATGCACGTTCACTCTTCTGTCGGGTTGCACTTTTCGTACAATTAGTTGTTTTTGTTATTTTTAAAACCTGACCCACACATTATATCCAGACGCGGCGTTCGAGGACGTAACCGTTCGTTTACTTGAGTAGTAGTTGCGTTGAGAAAGAGGAAGGTAGATGGTTATTATGGTACCGATAAGCCGGGGTCACCCTGCTTATACATTATACACAAGACAGTCTGCATACGGATTCGAACACGAGTCACGGCGAGATCCATGCTTCGAATGCCGCATGGCAGTGAGTTCAAGGAGAAAACTTGGCATGCGGCATTCGAAGCACGGATATTGCGGTGACTCGTGTTTAAAGACTGTCGTTTGTATTATGCATGAGCACTGACCCCGGCTTTAAGTTCCGCTTACTTGAACAGGTCCTTGAGCTGTGGCCAGTTTTCCGGTTGGCTGGACAGGTAGGTGAGACGGTCGACGGCCAGCTCGATCTGCTTGTTGCACTCAGGGCCCGTGGTAGCCAGAGAATCCCGGACCACGCGCAGGTAGTCTGAGAGCAGACGGCATCTAATAAGTCTCGCTTTGCAAATATCAACAGCGTGAAAGAGTATACATGGCTTGTACGTGACGCCATCGCACCATGCTGGTGGTTATTCCTACTTGTTCTTGTGTAGAAAAACAAATTCGGGGGTAGTGCGAAATCTAGGATGGAGAGAGAGAGAGATAAAATATTTATTTTAGCACGCCTAGTCTGAAGAAGTTAGGAGCTGAGCAGGTGGATCTCCACGATGGCCGTAAGTGTGCCGTCAATGCAGGGCATGTATGGTGGTGGGCGATATGTTCGTCGGTATCACATTTATGTCACCGCTCTCTAAATGCATTTCTACATGCTCTGCAGCAGAAAATCCGCGCGCTATGTTTCCTAATTTCTGTGGTTCCGTTTTGCGTATTTCTATTAGTATAATGTATCAGCTGCACTGAAAATAGATCTTATACAGCCTTGGTTTCCTGTTCGATAAAAATAGTGCTCGAGATATGACATACATGTCCCCTTCTGCCCATTAGAGCCCGCCTAGATACAGGCCCATTCATGAGGGTGAACCCACATGGGGACCACATGGGGAAACCATATGGGTCATTGTGTAGACTCATTTCCCACATTGGTGGCAATTGGGGCTACTTTGGGGCTATTGGTGCCCAGAGTAGCTACAATTATAAGGCTTGTTGTTGGGCTATTAGCGGCGAGATCTTTTGTTGGCGCCTTCATATGGTTACCTTTCGTGACGTCATTACCTTGCGACCAACAAGTTCGATGGTGCTTCTAATGAGCATGTTGGAACCTCGAAATCATAGAACTCTGAAACCAACACTGCCAACACCGTCAAAATTGAAATTCTTACATTACTCATATTTCCGTCGATGACAAATCCTTTGCCGACGTCATAGTCGGCATTCGGCCAATCGTGGAAGGCCCACCACAGCGATGCTTTTGATTGCGCACGTCGCAAATATTCGGTGCATGATGCACAGGAAACTTGTAAGCACAAACAGACGGGCACGAAGAAGGGGACACGGACAACCGCTTGTTCGTGTCCCCTTCTTTGTGTTGCGTGGTGCGCAGCGATTGCGACGTCACCTTTAAAGTCAATGATTGCAAATAGGGGGGCACTGGACGCGACGGCCCCGACGGCCAGGTGCGGGTACTTGAGCTTGAACCAGGCGGCCAGCGACCCCGAGTACGAGCCGCCGAAGACGACCCACTTGCTGTCTTTCTTGAGCGAGTGCTTGCGCACCATGGCGTCGCGGAAGGTGGCCGCATCAGCCAGCGCCTGCTCGCTCGTCAGGTGGGCCAGGTTGTCTACAGACATGTCCCTAGAACACAGACGACACGATTTGTAGGATAAAAAGAAAAGCACGATAAGTTACGGAAATAGGAAGGGAATGTATTTAAAAGGTTGAGTTGAATTTGCTAAATCATCAAGCGAACTGATCTTTCGGCAATCGAATAGATCGATCCTCCCGTTGTGCCAGCTCTGTCGCCTTGCATGCATCATGGGAACTGTATTGGTTTTCTGCGCGTGCGACAACCCCGCTTCGGATTTGGGCGAGCAAACCACGAGGTTTCATGATCTATTTCGGTGTCTGCTTCCTGTGGACTACAGTTATGCCGGCGTCACGCACGCGTAAAACGCTTAGTGAGATCGTTATGTATATTCAATATGTAAATGCAGCAACAGGAACCTTCTGAGAATTATACGAACTCATAAATTTTTATTATTGCCCAGTGGAGATGGTCACATCCACCATAGTCACACTTCTCCTGGCTATATTCATTTCACTGAACGCACATACACATACACGCGGAAACATGGTTAAGATGGTTTCCTTCGGAAGTCGAGGTGCTGGAACAAGGTCGTTGGCGGATTTTTGGTGTTGAACCAGAAAAGGTCCGGAGACACTTCCATTATTACAAGCAGGTGCATGCAAAGCCAACCTTGTATGCACTGATGAATGTAAACCTCAGCACGTAAAGAGCCCTTGTACCTCAGGAAATTAGATTCGTTAAAGCGCTCCCTATTCTCCATCAGACGGAATATTTCAGTTCACGATGTTCTGGTAGCACTTTAGTACTACGTTTCCAAGTAGTGCCACTATGGCACTACTTGGAAACGTTCAAATATTTACATTTATTGTCACTTTTTGTAAGTAGTCGATTAGCTAGTGATATCGAAAACCTTGTTCAATGGCATGGAAACGTGGTTTCATTTGCCCATGTTTTTTTGTAAGCCAGGTGGAGATTTTCATGTGTCGTACACAACGGACGAAGGCACACAGACTAACAATATCTAACACAGGAGAGGCTAGCTAACGAGCTCTTCGGGACTTATAAGTGCCCACGTGCTTTAGAAGCTACTTCCAGCGAACGAGCTAGCGCGAACATTACACGTGCAGAGAAACCCATTTTTTTAAAGTAAAGATACATTTTCGCTTACTATGTTCGGCAGCGTGATGTCATAACTTGAAGTCATTGGAGTCGTTGTCGTCTCTCTAATTCTTTATTGCAGATTTTACAGATTTTTCACCCTTAACGAATGTAAAATCTATAAGAGAAACTCTCTCGTCAGGAAAACACCACCGTGGTTGACATGCCGATTGGCGTCACTGCAACCGCGAACCAGTGTCGGTACCTTTAGTCTGTTACAGGTTAAGAAACCAATGTCAATTTAGCTCCGCTTACAAAGCTCTCCGCCCTTTCCTCTTTAGCAGAGCGAAAGCTGGAGAGGAGGTGAGGAGGGACTCAATCGCTTCCTCTTCAGCATTCGCTCTACTAAAGCGGAAAGAGTGAAAGGATGGAGCCTGTCAGTTTGCGCGCTTACTTGGTGGGCAGGCTGCGGCCGTAGAATCGGTGTTCGAGCTGGAAGACGAGGGCGCCGTATTGTTTGGCGAGCAGCATGATGTGGGTGGGCGCCGACAGCCAGCGGGCCGACGCCGCTCCCTCGCCGCCCAGCAAGAGGAAGACGGGTCCGCCTGGGCGGTAGAACTCGTCGCTCACGAAGTACCGCTGCGGGATTAACGTCGAATCTTAACGCCTGGGTGAATGCCCCGAATGAACACATTCCATCACGCTAGTTACATCAAATGATTCCAACCGGAACGCATAAAAGAAGCAAATCCTAATAATACGAGGAACGTACCATATTTATTTAAAATTTAAATTTTTGCTGCAGATCCCGATCACTGACAAGTCTGTACATAATTCCACCTTCTCGACGACAGACCCCTCCGTTGCCGAATGCCCTTGCTGCACCTGTGTGGCAACCTGGAACCACTTTTTGCGAGTGCCTCGCCCAGGCCTGGACAGCTGCATCCAGCTTATTAATGACCACAAAATGGCGTCATCCCAAACATTTATTTTCGCTCCCAGCAGGTGATAGCCATTGGGGGCTTGGTAAGGCTATACCCATGCGTGATGAAACTTCTGAATGGTCGTACGCCGTGCCGAAAAGACGGCCCAACCCGATTAGACAACCGCCCAATCACAGCCTCGCGTGAACAAACACCACGCAGCGAATAGCCGGCTTCTGATCGGGTTCGGCCGTCTCCTTTGACAGTATCACCACTCGAAGTCCGCGCTGCTGCTATTGACAGTATCACGAAGGAGGAGAAAAAGGAAGGCTCCGGCGAGCAGAGCCTCCTCCAGCGAGAGTCCCTCCTGGCCGTTGGATTTGGCCATCTTATATAGCCTGCGGGAATGGACGCGTCTGGGGTGGGATTGGCTCCCGGGGAGGGTGGAAGGGGGGGGGGGGGGGGGGGGGGGCGGGGGCGAACGCGTACAAGTATCAAGATCCCGAAGGGTGTTAGGCAGATCACCCGAGAAGGATGAGAGAGAGCCGTTTGCATGGGAATACGGCCTCGCCTCGCATCTGGGACATGCCCCGAGATGGCGACGCCCCACACACTAAAAAAAATCAGTTCGAAAAAGAACTTTTTGGAGTTCTTCGGCTTGTCCATATTTTGCACCCTAAAAGGTTCTTTTAAGCACCTTATAAAAAAGTTCTTCATGAAGAACCTTTAAGGAGTTCTTTTAAGTTCTCTTTTCAATGAAACAGTTCTTTGGGAGGAACTTGTAAAAAGTTCTTTTCAGCCCTTCTCTCGCTAAAACAGTTCTTGGTGAAGAACCGTTTAACAGTTCTTTTAAGTTCTCTTTTCAATGGAACAGTTCTTCGTGCGGAACGTTTAAAAAGTTCTTTCCAGCCCTTCTGTCGCTGAAACAGTTCTTTTTAGTTCTCTCTCGGATAAAGCGATTTTTCATCAAGTACCTTTGGAAGGTTCTTATAAGCTCTTTTTTAATTAACCAGTTAATAATATGAAGAACCTTTATTGAGTTATTTTAGGGTCTAAGGAAATAAGTTCTAAATAACCTTTCAAGGGAACTTTTATGTTGGGTGTGCGAATACCCCCTCGGTTCAAAAAGAAGAGCGATATTTCTAGGTTCAACACTGCAATGAAAGTCATTGTGTACAGTGGACTTCTTGAATCTAGAAATATCGCTGCGCTATTTGAACCGAGGGGTATTCGCACACCCCAACAGTAAAGTTCCCTTGAGAGGTTATTTAGAACTGTTATTTCCTTAGACCCTAAAACAACTCAATAAAGGTTTTTCATGATTTACTGGTCAATTAAAAGAGCTTATAAGAAGCTTGCAAAGGTATCTGATGAAAAACCGTTCCATACGAGAGAGAACTAAAAAAAAAGCTACAAAGGATTTCTTTTCAACCACTACTTGCTCACCCCTAACTTTTAAGTTACTTTTCACCGAGAGAGCTTTCTATTATGAACCTTTTCAATGGAAGGTTTGTTGCAAAAACCATTTTCGAGTTAACTTGAATAACTTATTCGCAAAAAGCGACTTGGGCAACAATTTTAGGTGTACAGTAGCTTTTTTGTAAACCACTCTTTATTAACTGTCTCGAACTGTTCAAAGACGCAATATACACCACCTAGACGTTTTGCAAACGTCAACAGACGTGCAAAACAGGCTTTGAACGACAAGGCTCCTTTTCTGGGGCACTACATCTACTGCAGAACCACTGGCTTGAATTGGTATTCAAGTACACATTCATCGTTGATATCAAGACCAAGTATGAGGTATAGGGAATAAAGGTAGGAGAAACAAAAGTGATGCTCTGCAATGTCCAACCTGTCAATGGTGAAATGAAGACAAGATACCGCGGTTCACAAAAAAAAAACTGACGTTTATTGAACATGACTAGATTGAAACTTAGCACATGAGTAGAATTCTTCTCCGCCTAAAATATAGATCAAATATGACACGGCCTAGTGGAACACTGAAATGAGACACTGAAATTTTGGCCTTGAGAAAATGGAGACAACGTTCTAGATGTCTGATTTCATATATGGCACGTTAGCGAGCTCAGATCTATTATTTGACCACTAACAAAAGAAAACAAAAACTGACTTGGAAAAACTTCAAAACCCTTTCTTGTTGAGGTATACTTTATGGATAAAAATGCTATCTTGGAGACGAGATGGACGAGGCAACCACTCAGGTGTGGAAGCAGGAAAAAGGGAATTGCGGCAAAACAAGACTTCTGGCCCCTTCCTTCTCATGATGCCCCTCTCCAACCACACACTGCGAGGGCCCATGGCACAAACAGGTGTTAAACCCAGACAAAGAGCACAACGGCACTGCAAGTAGGCAGCTGCAAACCAGGCTGTTAGCTGAATTTAGACAGTGCCTAAGTCTCTTAGTATACCCTTTTTAGGTTTGAAGTAACTCAAAACCAGACAAAACTGATCCACCATTCAGGCTGTCTATTGCTTTGAAAGTTTAGTGGAAAAGGTGTTAAAATTACCACTTCGGGAATGCAGAGGGCCGGGTACAGCTAAATAACATCAGTGGTGGTCTTGCCAGCAATGTCTACCCTCCTTGCCTGTTACGTCTGTGCCATTATTTGAAGTAAGAGCTTCACATCTGTTGCAGCCTTGGAGCATTCAGCAGCCATAATCACTAAGTGGTCTGCACAGTTGTCGGTACCTTCTACGTCATGATGTGGAACCTGAAAAAAAAAGTGCCATGCACAGAATATGAGATTTGAAGAACAAAGTTGGTGTACCAGACGAACTCCAGCAAGTCTTATTTTATGTTATGTAAAAAAATTGTAATTTAAACAGCGGGTGCACGGGTCCAAATAGATCAAGTTATATGCACTCTATATTTTAGCTATAATAAGGCAGTTCAATGCAACAAAAGAGATTTAACCGAGAGACAACCAGAGAGTATTTGATATATCTGACAAGCCATGCAACTGTGACTTTTAGAGATTACATTTACAGCAATGTGATTCGTTCAAGTCCCTTTGGAGCACCTGTTGCAGTAGTCAGAAGTCCATTTAGGAGTAGCCAAAAGTATGTTTAGGAGCTGCTAAAAAATGTATTGGCATGTAAGCAAAAACTTCGTCTTTATTCTCACCACTGTGAATATTATCATACGGTTAATGTGTTGGCACGCTCAACTAAAACTCTATCTACTTTTCCCTCCCACTCCTGTGCAACCTTTTGTTAACATCAATTGCTTGACAAGTTTGATTCTCTCGAACAAAGCACTATCTGCTTAGTTGCACATAGAAGCACCAGACATGGCAACAACAGTCTGAGTGATGATGGATAGTATGAACTTCTATGAATGGTGGTTTTAGGTACGGAATCAAAGTAAAGCAAACAGTACGTACCACTAAAATAAAATAATGTAAAAATAGAAACATTTTGAGTACTCAAAGTGATGTTTTGTTACAGTTCTAAAGGTTATAATAAAACAAAGATTTCGTCATTTGATTGTGAATATCAATGTCGTATATTTAAGACTTCATAACAAGAATCTGCATGCGAACAATAAATATGCCTTTTAAAAACAATCAAGCCGAATTTGGTAAGGTCATTCCCAAGCTTCTAACCATTCCTCTGGACGGGCAAATGAAAACTGTATAAAGATTCCTCTCATTTTTGCAAAATGTAACAGGCTAAGCACTTTGAAGCATGTGGTGCAGCAATTACATAACTGCATTTAGCTGAATAACTATTTAAGAACAGTTCCCGCTTCCAGGTTAGTTTTATTTCTTTTAACTGTATCAGAACCAGATTATAACAAACTTATCATGGTCCTTTTGTATTTTTGAATACAGTCACTGCGTTGGCGTTTTTCCTTTCGCTTTCGCCCACCACCTTTGCCATAGTTTTCCTTGTTTTGCTTAACTTCTGGCAGATGCATAAGAAGCAACCTTTCTTTTTTCGTTTTGTTAATAAGGCTGTGCCGCAGTGAATCCTGCAGTGAGACTGACGAGTAGCGAGCCTGTTACAATGCAGATAATGAACTTCGAGACAAGCATTTCAATTGTCAGAATGAAAACAAGTTCTTGTAAATCTTACGCAGCGTCCAGTGGAGTCGGCCAGGAAGGGGTATGCCGCTTGGAGGGCACGCATGACATCATCTAGCTAAGACCGACTTGGCATTCTGGAAAGAAAAAACAACAAATGTTAGCCTCTATTTTAAGATATATAAGTGAGGACTTCAAATGCTGCTGCTTTCGGAGTTTTGCTCAGAATGTCGTCTGCCAACGCAACGACCAACTTTGTTCGTGCTTCATTTCGCTGTGGTTGAAGAAACAGTTCACTCTTTTCACACAGCCTCTGTAACAGTAGCGAGGGAAATTATGGGAGATTATATATCTGTGGCCATACATCCATACAACCTCTGTAGACCAAACTGAGGCTGCTGTGTTACTAGCACGAGGCACATTGGAGGGTTTAGGCAAGCTGAAAAATAACAATGTAATTAGTGCATCTCGAATTTCACAAATGGAACGCAAATTTCGAATTGAGTAACGTGCCCCACCTTTCTTTTATGTCTCCTTTTAGCTGTTCAATCAGTTTTAGCAGTTTGACTCGCAGTTTCATAGCAGGGAGCAACTGCTCAACCATCCACACTGACAAGTTTAGTAACGTCTTCCCATCAACCTCCTCTGCATAAAAGGAGATAAAATA